TAAGGTGGGGATGCGGCGGGCGAGTTCTTCAGCGTGAGAGGTTTTGCCTACGCCTGGTGTGCCGGTGATGATGATGTTGGGATCTGTTCGTAGCATCGTCATGATTGTGCGCTTGGTGAGGAGTCGAGCGTGTTGGGAGAAGGGTGGCCTTGGGAAGAAAGCTGCGCGACGCCAACAGGTTTTGAGAATCATGGACGAGTGACTTGCGCGAAAGGTGGGAGCTGCGTGGTGACGTTTTTTGAGCTTGCGGAGCTTTGTTTCTTCACAGCCCTATCAAACTTTGGACGCGAACTATTCTCCTGTACAGCTCTGCACTCATCTTGCATCTGAGATTCTGCATTGTCGCGTGTTTAATTTCCTATCAGCGCAGAGACGAAAAGTTGAGAAGCGCGCCCAAGTCTGCACAATGCTCGCGCGAAGAGCTCTTCCACGCCTCCAGCAACCCTTCCGACGGTATGCGAGACGCCCATATTCGACGACGGAGCTCAGCAATGGCATCAAGATGACCTACGACCTGTACGAGCCCGAGCAACAAGCCCAGGGTGGCCCAATCATCTTCGTCCACGGTCTCTTCGGCTCCAAGAGAAATCACAGGAGCATGAGTAAGTACGATTGTCCTTCTATCATCCATGGCCAGAGATGGACCGCGACTGACAATGCTACAGAGTCCTCGTCCGCGACCTGAAGCGACCAGTCTACGCCGTGGACACTCGCAACCATGGCGACTCCTCTCACGATCCAAAGCACGACTACACAGCCCTGGCCGAAGACATAGAACTCTTCCTCCAACACCACAAATTGCAGGACACATGTTTGATTGGGCACTCAATGGGCGCAAAAGCAGTCATGGCAGTCGCTTTGCGCAAGCAAGTCAAGATCGGATCTCTCATCCCCGTGGACAACGCACCGGTAGACGCGGCACTCAAGAGCGACTTTGGCAAATACATTGTCGGGATGCGAAAGATTGAAGAATCCTCTGTCAAGACGATGAAGGAAGCGGACAAGATATTGCAAGGTTACGAGGAGTCTTTGCCTATACGACAGTTCCTCCTCACGAACCTTGTGAAGGGCCAGGATGGTACGCAGAAATTCAAGGTTCCGCTCAAGTTTTTGACTCCTGCACTGCATGGATTGGGAGACTTTCCATTCAAGAACCCGGATGAGACGAGATTCGAAGGCCCAACGTTGATCGTGCGGGGGACAAAGAGTCACTATGTTAGCGATGAGACACTGCCGATTTGCGGGAGGTTCTTTCCAAATTTCGAAAGAGCGGATATCGATGCTGGGCATTGGGTGATCAGCGAGAAGCCGGAGGAATTCAGACAAGGTGAGTCAAATGTGGTGTATGAGTGTATGTCGACCCTTCATTTGCTAACGAGAAGCAGCTGTCGTGGAGTTCCTCACCAAGCACCAAGATTGAACACAGTGCGCGACAATGCTGTAGAATCGCGGTCAGTGTAAAATGCGGTCAATGCTGTGCGTTGATCTGGACTGGATTGGACTGGGGTTCAACAAGTGCCCGCAGGCGACTATCCACGACACACAGTCATCCAGACATCATCCCGCAAAGCCCCCACACATCGGCATGCCTATATACGCTCTGCAATCGTCCGCCGCTTTCAAGACTGCAGACTGCGCGGCAGCTGCCACACGATCGTGTTCGGTATGCTTGGCCACCATCTCTGCGCCCGCGCAAGGCGTCGACAAAGACGTGCGGCTGTGACCTTCGCAAGCAAGCACCGGCGCAAGAAGCAACAATCTGACCGAACATATGTGATGCTGTTGTTATCAGCTCCTTGTTGCCGTAGGGATCCGCGGAAAACGGCAAAAAAGCAGCGAGCTAGACCTCGCTACTGGCAAACCTTTTCAAGCTAGTCCGAACTGAAAGCGAGACAAGTGGGGTGAGTGTGGGCCTTGCACGAGCTTGTGTGCGGGCAAGCATTGTCAATGGCTCGGCTCTGCTTGTTGTCCTGCCTGCCATGCTGTTACGGTGGCATTGGGAGTTATGGCTGCAGGTCCGATAGCGCTCTGGCGTGTTATGAGTGGGTAAGATGTAATAAAGTAGAAGAGAGCAACGCATATCGGCGACGAGCAGTGGTGGTGTTGGAGGTCCGATGCATGATACTCTTTATTAACCTCAGTCCTTCTACTTCAAGTTCCTTTCCCCTTCTTACCTGTCTTTCTGGGCAGATCGATTGTCGTCCAAGCGCGAATAGTCGGAGCAGCTCGATCCGTAACGTCCATTCCGATTCAACATGTGGTCCCTCTTAGCACTCGCCGCGCTGGCCTCAGCACAATCCAACGATGAGAGAGTCCTTGGAGTCTACATGTTCCATCGACATGGCGACAGAGTCAGTGCACTCCACGAATATCACACGATACCATCGATAGGAAATCACTAACCATCGATCACCAGACACCAAAAGCCCTCGCCCCAACCAACCTCACCTCTCTCGGCTACAACCAAGTCTACTCCTCGGGCGAATACTTCCGCTCCCGCTACATCTCCTCTGCCTCTTTCTCATCATCCTCCTCATCAAACAATTCCACCCTCATAACCTCCATCTCCCCCAACATCGTCTCCTACCAACAAGTCGTCGCCTCCGCCCCCTCCGATACAGTCCTCCACAACTCCGCCCAAGGTTTCCTCCAAGGCCTGTATCCACCTGTCGGTTCCTCCCTCGGCACTGAAACTCTCCGCAATGGTTCGGAAATCGAAGCACCTATGAATGGCTACCAACTCATTCCGATCAGTACTCCTTCGGGGTTTGGTTCGGCCGGTGCAGGAAGTGAAGATGCGGGTTGGTTGCAGAGTACGAGTAACTGCGCTCAGGCGAAGATTTCTTCGAATGAGTATTTTTCTTCGGAGGAGTATGAGGCTCTGTTGGAGGAGACGAGGGAGTTTTATGAGGGGTTGAGAGCGGCGGTGGAAGAGGTTGTTGGAGAAGGGAATGTTGAGAATGAGGTTGGGGAGTTGAGTTTTAAGAATGCTTATACGAGTGAGTCTTCCCAACCTTCCATTCTACGCTAATAGCGACATGCTGGTCATCCTGTTGACTGACCCTCGAAATCAGTCTACGACCTCCTCTCCCTCTCCCTCGAACAAAACACCACCCTCTCCAACACAAGCACAATCTCCTCTACCCTCGACACCTCAACTCTCGAACAACTCTCCTCCCTCGCCAACATCCACGAATGGAACCTCGCATACAACACTTCTTCCCCCATCCGCGCAGTCTCGGGTTCCATCCTCGCCTCCCAAGCCCTCTCGTTCCTCCAATCCACCATCTCCTCCCAAGGCCAGAAGAACCTCCTCGGAATCCAATTCGGCGCCTACGCAACTTTCGCTTCATTCTTCGGTCTCGCTCAATTGGAGAACGTGAACGAGGAATTCAAAGGTGTTGTGGGTTTCGCTAGTGCGATGGTATGGGAAATGGTCACCAACTCGTCTTCTGAAGGCTTTCCAAGTTCGGAAGATGATATCTATATTCGTTTCCGCTTCCATAATGGAACTACGACTTCTGATGATGAGCTCCTTACGTACCCGCTTTTTGGTTCGGGAGAAGATGTTGTGCCTTGGAATGAGTTTGTTGAGGGGATGCAGAAGATTAGTATTGGGAGTACGGAACAGTGGTGTACGGCTTGCGGGAACTTTACGGGAGAGTGTGCGGCTTATGGAGGTGATGCGCAGGGTTCTGCTTCTGCTGCTGGGAGCGGAAGTGGAAACGGGAATGGATTGAGTCCGGCTGTGAATGGAGTCATTGGAGCGATGGTGACTCTGGCTGTTGTGTTGGGGTTGGAAGCTTTGGTGCTCGCGCTTGGTGGATTGAGAGTTGTCAAGAAGAGGGGAGCAGCGCAGGAGAAGGTTGAGGAGGTGAGCGAGGGTGAGAAGGCTTAAGGTGGTAGAAGAGAACTGGAAATGATCTGGACTGGAATGTGATGAAGTGATATGCATGAGATTTTCGGGACAGGTAATGTGAATAGTGTTATGACACTTATGAAAATGATGTACAGCTTTGACGAGCTTCTTGCCGATGTAGTATGCTGATGATTATGATTTATTTGCTCAACTTTATCGCCTTGCCTTGGCTCTTCTCTTTTTGATCCCAGCCGCTTGCGCTCTCGTCCGCACTCCCGGCATACGATGCGGTGATTGACTAAGCTCGTCAGGCGAATTACTAGTCTGCCTCGTCGAGCGTCTCTCAGGCTTGTTGCTCTCGGCTCTGGACGCCGTCACACCAAGTGATTTAAGCACTCTTGTCACACCTTTCCTGAGTGCCTGATCGTTTAAGCATCGCTTATCGATTGTTTTCAAGAGCTGTGCTGGTAGAGGTTGGAACGCGTTATTTACCCGATATGCCTGAGCGGCGCGGACCAGATTTCGCATTGCCCTCCGGAGGTGGAAGTTTTGTGTAGGTACGTTGCCGGCCCCATTTGGGGCCAGCACATGCAATCTCCCTAAATCCTTGATGAGCTCTTGCAAAGTTCTGTCGCGGACACCGCTGAACCATGTGATAACACGGCCTAGATCCCGGCTGTCATCCTGCTGTGTACCCCAAAATTGGTGTTTGACGCCAGGAGTTGACCTATTCGGCAACTCTTGTGCACTTCCGAAATCAGTCAGCACGACGTCAGGATAGCGGTTGGCGTTGTCTGTCGAAGGTCTGAGCAGGATATTGCTCTTCTTTATATCACCATGATAGTATTTGGATCTGTTCCCGCCATCGAAGTGAATGAGGAGAAGGGCGGAGAAGAGCTGCTCAGCTATGTGCCAGCAGAAACCAATTGGTGCCCGTTTGTCGGCTGGGTCTTTTTCCTTCCCCAGGTGTCGGTCGAACTCTGTTAGGGTGCCACCAGTAACCACTTCAAAATCGACCCAAAACTCTCCACCGACGGCGGCACCTGGTTGCGTCCATTTGCTGCCAGGGTAGAAGTTCATGATACTAGTATTGGCATGTCGCGCAAGGTATGCTATGATCTCACATTCGTCAGTGATAGGTGCCGCAGCCTGATGTTGGAAAATCTTTGTGGCTCGTAGCTCGGGTGCGATCATCCGAGCTATTATATCGACAGGCTGCTGATAGTTGAGGTCTTGCGCTTGCTTTTGTGCGCCAGTGAACTCCTCAATTGTGATTGTCGCTTCCACCACAGAATACATCCCGTCCCCGAGCCGACCTATTAGGTGTTTCTGCTGTTCCACGTTGGCCAGATTCAAATTTAAGGCAGCAGGCGTTGGTGCTACTCCGGCCATGTTGTAAAATACTGCCTGCAGTGTTCGATAATATGCGATACAAGTGAATGAAAAGCACAGTGCCGGACTGTGCTGGTAGCCGCGATACGAAAGGAATGAGAAGATAGACGAACGTGGAGAACTTGCGTTTGCAAGAGCGCCTCGAGACCATATCCAGTATTCTCTGGTCTATTCTTGCCAATGTGTTCAAAGGCCTTTGTTGTGCCACGTGAGCACCATTTCCGGCAAAGGAAGGGGAGATGAGCGAGGCGATCATGTCTTTGTTAGTACGCAGTCACAAAGAGATGGCGATAGGCCGAGACCACAAGTCTTTCGCAATGGTGTCGGGCGGTCTGTGCAACTGTCCATGTAGAATGCAGGTTATGTGTAAGGTCTCAATTCGTGTAGTCGTAAAAGGGTATCTCGTTCTAAGTCGTCAGTCAATAAGTTCAGCATCAGTCCAACCCATCCCATTCAGTTCCGTACGGGCAATCTCCAACCTCGAAAATTCCGTCCGATCCTGAAACAAGGAACTGGTTTCGCCCAATCAACTCCCAGTCTTGCTCGACGTAAGTGCTCGGTTCAGAGGCCACGATCAGATGTTCTCCGTGTCGCTGCTCCGGGATACCGACATCTCTTTTTGGGTGAGGGATGCCATCAGCATTGTCAGGATATTTGCGGTTGAGTGTGACTCCTGCTTTCGTACTGTAGTACAAGCTGGGAGGCAGAGATGTCTTGTGATTTCGGAAGCGGCAAGCAACAAGGCTCACGCCATCTGTCGCACATAGGTTCAGCGAATTCGCTCTCTTTGCTACGCCAAGTATCTTTTGCTGCAGGCCTACAACAGTTGCAACTGCTTTGTGGAGTGCGGCTTTCATTTCCTGGGCCGAGTATGTGTAGTAGAAAGTCGTGGCATCGCCACCTCGGGTCAAATAAGTCATGTAGAGACCAGCAATATGCCTGGCAAACAAACGTTAGTATAAAAGACAGGCTGAGGGCGAGCGACAAGACACACTCGGAATCAGTTCCGCCATAGACATTTGCATAGGCAGCGTGGCTCATCTCATTGATGACCGCCCGCTTGATCTCGGAGAAGTCGCTCACGGCTCCATTGTGCATGAAAGTGTGCCTTCCGAACACGAATGGGTGATTGTTAACGTTTGCGACGGCCGTTCCTGATGAGGCGCGAATGTGACCGAAGAGGCAACGCGTTTCGGTGTTTTGGCATATGGACAGAAAGTTGGACTCATGCCGCGGAGGTTGAATGGTCTTGTACAAAGCTGGTCGCAGTCCCTTTGCGATGTCAGCCACATGCACATATGGCTGATCGTCTAAGAACGATACGTCTTTCTGCGCGCCATCTGCACTTTCTCCAGTCTCAGGAAGTTCGAAGTCCGAGTTGGCAGAAGTATACCAGGCTATGCCTAGCCCGTCGAAGTTGAAGACGACATTGCGTGCTTTGACATCGTCCTCGGCGCTCTGGTTGTGCTCGTGAGGGAGGAGCTTAGGGAGATAGTGATCCGAGACTTGCTTGACCAGGGAGTGCTTCGGCGTGATCAGGACATCTTCGAGAAGGCAAGGCTCGGTGGAAGAGATGTATGCTATCCAGCTGGAAGATGTCAGCTTGGCACTGATAAGGTTCACATGGGGGTTCGACGTACCGACACATATTGTTGTTTGCAGGTTCGCGATAGGAGTGAGAATAGAGAACAGTGAAGGGAGGGGCGTCACCTACCGTCAACGCTAGAACTGCTGCTCGAGGTCACGCCTTCCCTTTGACTGGTCGTGTGCCAGTCGCCGATAGGAAGGCGCTGTCGTTGGCCTTGGCGCTGGCCGGCGTCGGCGACGTCGGCCCGTGGTGACCGAGCTGGAGCTGGAGCTGTGTGCTGTGCATGCATCCACTCAAGAACGACTGCGTCCAGATAAGTTATCTGGCGACATCACCGACGAGATGGCCACTGTCCCGCCCAAGTTCCAGCAGTCCTCCGTACCTGCGCAGGAACTACTTCCCTTCGACGAGCGCCAGCCGCCCACGATTCGACTGTATCCTCTCAGCAACTACACGTTTGGCGTGAAGGAGACGCAGCCAGAGGAGGATCCGTCGGTTAAGGACCGCCTGCGACGCCTCGAGGAGCACTACGAGAAGCATGGCATGCGTCGGACATGCGAGGGCATCTTGGTCTGCCACGAGCACAACCATCCGCACGTGCTGATGCTGCAAATTGCCAATGCCTTCTTCAAGCTGTGAGCACTGCACACGTCGCTGTGCTGCTAGACTGGGCTAACTCTTCAGACCTGGGGACTACCTCCGCCACGATGTCGACGAGATCCAAGGCTTCAAAGACCGCCTGAACGAACGACTCGCACCCACGGGCTCCCTCGCCGAATCGACAACCGCCGCAGACCGAGATTGGAACATCGCCGATACCCTCGCGCAATGGTATAGGCCGAACTTCGAGACCTTCATGTATCCCTTCTTACCGCCTCATGTGACGCGCCCCAAAGAATGCAAGAAGCTGTATCTCATTCAACTGCCGGAAGGCAAAGTTCTGAGCGTACCCAAGAACATGAAGTTGTTGGCAGTCCCACTCTTCGAACTGTATGACAATAGCCAGAGATACGGTCCGCAGCTCAGTGCCATCCCGCATTACCTCAGCCGCTATCGCTTCGAGTTTGTCGATGAGCAAGGCGAAGTCGTGTCTTACACGCCGGGTGGCCCGATCAACGAGAACGTGAGGACGAAAATCTTGGCTGGAGGCCAGAACGGAGTTGCGGCCCAAGACGACGCCCCTAAGCAAGATGAGGAGATGGCGCAGGCAGCATGAGGTTGGAGTATATTGAAAGAACCCGACATGATTTGAGCAAGAGTTGTCTGCACAGAAATTGTACAGCTCATGCGGCCAGCTCGTGCATCTCAACCCGTCGCTTACAGCTCGCGGACGGGATTCAATCAGAGCGCACGCGCGTGGCACTCTTCCGCCAGCTTGCACACACCTGACTAGTGCACGCGAGGAAGTCAAGACTGGGGTTCAGAGCGAGACATGCGAGGCATGAACAGCTGCGACCCGTCCTGGTCCCGATGATCGGCATTGTCAAACTGCTCCAGGCAGGACAATATGCCGCATTCGATCCAGTATGGGCTTGGTATTACCTCTGTCGTCCTAGGGTACCGATCTCTTGCTAGCAGTGCCTTGTGTTACCATGCCGATCGACATCGAGCGTGCGCGAGCAACAAAGAAATCGATTGACGGCATTTCATTGGCATGTGCCGCTTCGACTCGATGCACGTCGATAACATGCTGCATTAGCTGCATGCCAAGAATCCTCAAAAATTATAGCAGACGGCTCGCGAATCACTAATCACCATATGGCGTCTGTTCTTCTTACATACGTGCAAACGAATTACGCCCAGACTATGAGACTGGAAATGCAAGAGCTATACAGTGCTGGTGCTCAATCGCCGTTCTGTACCTGTGCAACCAGCGACCGTTCAAGCTTGGCGTTTCCCGGTGTTGCTGAGAACACTGCTTCCGGCCACCTGCAGGTACTGCTATTTCATAACTCAGTGACCTAATGGAAACATGGATCATGCAGCAGCGGCTCTGTTCATGGTAAAGCAGCTCGAATAAATCTGGACACGCAAGCCACTGCGATATACTGATGTCGCCACTTCGGAAATTTCAACCAACCTCCAACGCAGGAACGAAAAGTCGCTCGTATTCTCGCTCTCTCGGAACGCGCCACGAGAATTCTTGAAGCCACTGTGCGATGCGTGCCTGCGACATCTAGGGTCACGAACAAGCATGACCGTGGCTTGCCAGGAACGATACGCACGTGTTCATGGAATCCTTCTGGAACTTATCCTTGACATCGTTGCAGCTCGTGCCGCAATCCCGTATTCCATAGCGTCGGTAGAGCGACGCACTCCGCAATTCACATCCTTCGCTGCTGGTCGGCTCGTCAGTGCCTTATTCTTGTGCAGATTTCAAGCGGAAGCAAGGTCTGTGCCGTACGACGTCCCTCAACATACGCAGATATCCGTCATAAGAGCGGAACAGCTCAGTCGCTTCGAGGTCGCCACCACCTTTTTGCATCATATCAGGCTGCACGCCACCTATTCTTGGAGCAGTGCTGTATTGCCTTACCGGTGTATGTCGAACTTGCATCCAGCTGCTCAACGTATGGGTCCAACGGAGCCTTTTCTGCCGTGCATATGCTACTTCGACTGCAACTGAAGATATGCCTTGACTTGCCAAATCGAGTAGTTTCACTTGCTTTGGTCCCGCATTGCCGGTAGAAGCGATGGACCTGAACAGCACTTACGATATTCGCATCACGATGTTGACCACGTTCAATGATGCACTGCAGCTCGGTTATGAGGCTGCGCTTCGCCTGGAGGATATCGAAGATGGGCAATACGAGGAATGCACCCGTTCTCCACAACGCACGAGTTCGTGCTGCAGCTCCGAGAGATCATACAGCTGAGCACGGGAGTAGAATCCTCCATGATTCTTCCGGTAAGGAAAGCGATTCAGAGGAACGAAGTATAGAGATGAGTGGAATGGCCTCTTCATTGCTTTCTCATCAGCAGCAGCATCTCGCCTTCAGATCAAAGCTCCAGATCGTTCACAGCCACATCTCGTTCATTCGCTTTACAAGCAATCCATTTCAATCGCTCAACAATCAACATGCAGTTCTCCCTCACCACCATCGCCTTTTTCGCCCTCAGTGGCATGGTGAACGCTTACCCAAGCCCAGCTGAGACAACTCCTGCTGGTTACGAGCCAGTCCCACCAAGCTACCCGGAGTACCCTGAGACCACCACAAAGAAAGAGGAGCCCACCACGACCAAGAAGGAGGAGACCACAACTAAGAAAGAGGAGACCTCCAAAACGCCTGAGACCACAACCAAGAAGGAGGAGACGACGAAGAAGCCTGAGACCACTACCAAGAAGGAGGAGACAACGAAGAAGCCTGAGACTACATCGAAGCCAGAGACAACCAAGAAAGAAGAGTCCACGACCAAGAAGGAGGAGACTACCAAGAAACCGGAGACTACCACTAAAAAGCAAGAGACTACAACCAAGAAAGAGGAGACTTGCACCAACTCCGTCGGCACCTCCTACAGCACTGGCTACACCACTTCCACTTCCATCAAGACGATAAAGGTGCCAGTTACGCAAACCAAAACCGTTACATCCACCGCTGTCAAGACCATCAAAACCACAATCGTCAAGCCGACCACTTCGTACCAAGAGGAAAAGGTAAGTGCAGTCGCTAGAAGGCATCTTCGATGCGTGAAAGACTCGTCTCAGGTGATATGGTACCTTCCACTGACTGCGTTTAAAAGACGACCACCAAGAAACCCGTCGTATCCACCGGCGTCAAGGAGAGCGTGATCACCATCACCACCAAGATGCCATTCACCACTACTACATTCGAGGACAAAGTCGAAACTATTACCAAGACGATTACTGGCGCAGAGACCAAGACTTCCGATGTTGTGACCACCAAGACTGAGGTCGAGACCAAACCTGTTGTCACCTCGACGACCTCTTTGTCGACTTCTTTGTCGACCAAAACAGTCACCAGCAAAGTTCCGTACACCACGTGCGTGTACGCCCCAAAGCCTTACTTCATGTAAACGTCTTCGACTCAAGACTTGGACTGTGACATTGAGCCGCAACGAACGAAGCGATGTCCCCGCTGAGGATGGTCAAATCATTGAGAGGTTGCGGGGGAAGGCAGGGGTAGCTGAACTGCGCATAGAAAACATTTTTACGAATGATGAAAGCTCTGGTCACTCTTTTTAGGAGGATGTAGATGGGGGTGAACAGGGCACCTTTTTGATCTGGAGTATACATATAGCATCGATACTCAAATCGATATTTTACTTCTCATGCTTGGACCCCAGTCGTACTGACATGCTTTTGAGCAAGGATGTGGCTGTTCCTTCCTAACAAACTGCCAAGCCCACTGCACTTCGTCTTTCGTCTCCTCTAGCAGTCTCGAATCTTCCCACTTACAACACCAAGATGCCAACAACACAGCTTGAACCCACACAAAATACCATGGAAACAAGATCAATGAAGAGACGACGTTTCCCCAGAAATCTCGGCTCCAATAACCCCAGAACCAGATGAGCGATCAGCACAACCAAGGACCGTTGCTCCACTCTCAGCAACGCCACATCCAGCGAAAACGACACATTGCGACAACCCTGATTCGTCCTAGCTGCCATGCCTCGGCTGGTTCGCACGAAACTATGTACCTGTCGTGGCTTTTGTGGCTGCCAAACGATCCAACGACAAACGAGCTCCATCTACCACTTATCCGCGTGCGCGTGCGCGTGCGTGGAGGAAGGAAGGGACGGGAGGGGTGTGAAATTCTGAACATGTCTTGACTTCTCGTCCTCATCATCACACTGTCTGTCTGGATATTGTTGATCTGAGTTGAGGTGCTGACCGCAAAGATGCCGGCCGTCCTCGGCGTGCGCAACATCGCGTTCGCGATTGTCGCGATTGTGTTTTTGATGTTGTTTTATCATACGTCTGGAGGCACGAGGGCACCTGTTAGTTGGTCACCGAAAGCACCGGAGTTCAAGGGTTTTGCGCCTCTGCCTGAGGGGATCACGGTGCCGCTTTCGACGCAGCAGCAGGAAGATGAGAAGTTGAGGCAGGAAGCCAATGCTTTGGGAGGTGGTGCTGGAGGTGCGGCGAATCCGGCGCATGTTTTGCCTGGTGGGGAGCAGGTTGCTGCAGATGGGAATTCTATGGGAGGACTTGGAGGAGCGAGTACTGAGGCCGGCCAGCTAGGTGGGTTGGGTGGTGGGAATGCATTGGGCGGAGGGTCTTTAGGAGGATTGGGAGATGGTGCTGCTGCTCCCCCTGCTGCTCCCTTTGCCCCAGCTGCTGATGCTGGCCCTTTTGCTGCTCCTGCTGCTGCTGGTGGCTCTCTGCCTGGCCCGGCGATCGATCAGGCTGGTCCCCCTCTCGCTCCACCTCCTCCTGCTGCTGCTCCAGGAATGCCTCCAGCACCCGCTCCGGGAATGGTGAACGCGCTTCCTGTGCCTCCTGTACCAGCTGCTCCAGGTCCGGAAGCAGCCCAAATGCCTCCTATGCCAGCTATGCCAGGACTTGGGAGTTCACCACAGATGCCACCTCTTCAGCCAAATCTTGGGAGCACGGTGGGCGGGACAGCACCTGCTGCACCACCAGTCTCAGATCCACACTTCCAAGGAGGCTTTGCAGATGCCCCATTTCAGCAGAACCTGGACTTGGAAACGCCCAAGATGGATATTCTGAAGCTTCGTCGCTATAAGCCGCACAATTACAAGGGCGAAGGGCACCCGACATATGCCACACACATTACGACCCCGGGAGGATCGCTGAACGACCCTTACTTCCTTGCAGCTCTACAGCTCATCTTTCGCGTTCTATGGGATATACGATCCGGATCCGCTCAATACCCATTCACGGCATTCGTCGCGCCACACATTACGGAAGAGCAGCGTAGCGTCCTCGCAGCCGCAGGTGCGATAGTCCGCGAACTCGACTCCATCGAATGGCACCCGGACAAGAACACACAGGGTCGCTGGCAATACAACTTCGCCCGTTTGAACCTCTGGCGTCAAACAGACTTCAGCAAAATCCTGTATCTCGACGCAGATGCCTTCCCAGTCCAGAACCTCGATGATCTCCTAGGAGCCGCTACCCGATCATGCAGGAGGGAATTACTGCCCTTAGAAGACCAGGCTTCCGGAGACGAGATCTGCCCGTACACATTCATGGCCGCTCAACAGAACCTCCTTGCAAACCCTACGGCCACGATAGAACTCAACACGGGAGTGATGCTTATCCAACCCAACCTCGCCATGCACCGACGTCTTACACGTGAACTCACAGCGAACAAAAATTGGGATACCGCGATGGCTGACAAGGCTTTCCTATCTGAGATGTTCAAAGCTTCTGGTCCGTTCCCAGTCGTGCAGTTAGCGAGGGAGTACAATGGCTTCTTCCCTGGTCCGTTAGACGAGGGGAAGCTGAAAGTGGTGCACGAGAAGCTTTGGGTTGAGTTGCAGGAATCTGCGCCTTGGACCAAAGGAATGTTCAGGGAGAAGCATGCGGAGATGAAGGTATTCTATGAGAGTCCCGCCTTCCAGGAAGTCCGGCTAAGAGATGGGGAGAGGGTATATTAATGCATCTGTGCGAAGTAATGTCTGTATAGAATTAATTGACGAATGAGATATGATAGCTGAGAATTCTGCTGATGTGTGATTCCGCACGACGTCTCGTGTCTTTGACGTGCGGTAGGAGATTTCAGGGCTGGCGATGTGGTATCATGAGAGCATTGATCGCGGAAGTGAAAGCCGAGTCGAAAGCCAAGATGAGTTTGCGAGACTGTTACAATAATCGCAGACGCACTAGTATATTAGGTCATGTCACATTGTCGGAAATCAGAGAAAAGAGAAACTGCTCAACATCACGACTTCATCTCTACCACCTCGACACGCTCGACCGAAGTATCCTTCTGCAGCTCAGTCATAGTAATCTTCTCTTGCTGCTCTTGCAAAGCCTTATCTTCGAACACTGTTCACAAATGTCAGCATCAGCACATCACAGAACGCCACAATAAATTTGTACTTACAGAAAGTCAACTCTTCCAAAGTCCTGCCATGTGTCTCCGGCCACAAGAAGTAAATGCAAACGACCTCGAATGCCAGCCAGACACAGTACATGATAAGGTACTTCCAAGTTGCATTTTTAAGTCCGATCGGGTTGACAAAAGTGCTGAAGAAGCCCGCACCTCTGCCGAAGAATTGAAAGAGGGCGATACCTCTAGTCCGAACCGCGAATGGGAAGAGCTCAACGAGGAATGCTGTGAGTATGGTTAGCCTTTTCAAGAAACCTTCTACTTACACTCGACACAGGATGACTTACTATACGTCAAAGCATTATACCCAATGTTATAACACGGCGAATACAAAAACATGAAGAAAATCACGGCATGTCCCGCCGCAATTGCTCCAGTAGTCAAGAACCTCTCTTGCGCGATTGTCCAGCCACAGTAGCAAACCAGCAAAGAGCTCGCGCAGAGGAGATACATTTTCCTCCTGGGGAACCTCCGCACAAGCAATGAGGCGCAAGTAGCATTCACCAGAGCCCAGCAATTAAGTCCAATGTTTAGCTTGGCTTTGAATGATGAATCTGTGTAGCCGATGCTTTCGAGGATCGAATTGAGGTAGTAGCTGATGAGGGTGTTGCCTGACCATTGCGTAAAGAGGCCGAGAAGAGACCCAATGAGGACACGCTTTCGCATACCGGGAGTAGCGAGCATATCGAGCCAGGATTGCTTTGAAGTTTGGAGTTCCATTTTGATTGTATTTTCGATTTGTGCCATTTCCGCGTGGACGAGGGCGGAGTCGCGGTTGCCTTCGGCGTGGTATTTGATGAGGATCTCGTACGCTTCTTCGCGGCGGTCTTGGGATATGAGCCAGCGAGGGGATTCGGGGACGAAGCTGGGGTCACCGGTTAGTCGAAATGCTCGGATATAGGAGACTTGAGACGCACAAAATCAAAGCAATCTGAACAAAACTCGGCAAAGCTTGCAGTAGAGATGGTACTCGCCACGACCAATCGCTGGGTGCCAGGCTTTGTGTTCCGAAAGTGATGCCAGCGGCTGTGATTGCTCCGATGAAGTAACTCGCGTTGAATAGACTTGTGAGAATCGGTCTTTCCTTTGGATAGCCTAGCTCTCCAAGCATGGCTGCTCCAGAAATGATACAGATCGGAATGCCAAAACCTAGGAGCCAGCGAGCGGCAAGGTACATTCCAACGTGTTGAGAAGCACTTTGAACGGCGGCTCCAAGGACCATGACCCAGGAGCCAAGGAAGATGGACCAACGACGACCGAATTTCTGTGTTACCCAAGGGATGAAAGGAAGAGAGCAGATTGCTCCCAGACTGTACATTGCTCCTATGATGCTGCACAAATCATGATTATTAGTGGTTGCTATAGTGAACGTATGCATACTCTCTTGCTGCTGCGTCGACTTACCCTAAAATCGCGCCCTCAGGATGATCAAAGTACTCTTGCCATGGATCGACAATCTGCACCGCATTGATGATTTGACTGTCGAAGCCAGAAGTGATTTCAATCCCCATGCCTGAGTACGGTTGTCAGCTCAAAGATCTCTGCATTTTGTATTCGCGTGTAAATCAGTCACGCACATGTTGGGAACAAGAACAGATACAGATATCTCAAGTTTGGTTTCTTCCACCACCGGACCTTGTCCTCTGCGATGGCACGCGTGAGAATCGGGTCAGCACCTTCTGCTTGCGATGTGAGCTTCATATTTCCGTTTGCAAAATCGTGTCTGCCGCACGAAGGGGCGAAAGTTCACGAAACCGCGCGAGCGGGCAAGGTTCTTCAGATTTCTATACAAGATGGTGTAGCTTCAGGCTCAGCTGGTCACACCTTGATCTCCATGTGGCCGAGATGGGGCTTGTACAACAGCTTTGGAGAACCCAGGTCCGGCGTCCCAGCCACATGGGTATGTCCACTCAGTCATGGAGCAACGACAATGACACTCAAGCCGGGCTTGGCAGCTGGATATACAACATCACAAGCGATGCAGTATGCAGTCAAGTTGGAGGCACTGTCTCGGCGCAGGTCCAGTCGACCAATAAATTGCAGAGTGGTTATTGTTCGACTGGGCATATGTTCGCTTAAGGTGAAGTCGAGGCTCAATGGCTGCTGAACCCTGTCCAACCCCGTGGGGAACCAGAGCCTTGGAGAAGTGTTTTAGCCTGTATCCGGATGAATTGCAGGTTTCACAACATTGAAGCCAATGGGGTCGAATGAACTGTGCTAAGCTCGAGACACTCGCAAACGCTTAAGCATGGCATGTCCTGATACATTGTACCACAACTTCAAGCTCAACTTCCCGCTCCGGACTCAATCTGGCTGCACTTGAGGCGGGGATCATCAGGAACTGGCGTTCGGTAAAAAATGAGGCACGAGTCTTCGCCTGAGCTGTGAGCTCTCTGGCACGCCTTTTCTGTGGCATTCACATCAAGTAGATGCACTCCCAACCACGCGAACCTGTTTTAGCGTTGACGCTATATAGTCGGGCTTGGCAAGTCTCTGTCTCTGCTCAGTACTTCTGCTCCTGCACCATATGCTTTCTGTCTGAGCACTCACCACGCTGAGATTTCTGACTGCCCAGTAGCGACGGCTCTATCGAAGCCTATTGCAGGATTCGAAACACACTCTCAGCAAACGAGCCTAGGTTGTGTCTCGCAAACGTCGTATCTCATCGGGCTCCCATGAGGTGGAAGAGCAGCTGCAAGGTGCCATAGCTGGGCATCTGGACGCAGCAGAGGCACAGAGCTGAATTTCTCTTCGAAGGACACCCCAGGATTTATCGGGAGAATCCATACGATCGAAAAAAAAAAATGGTACCGATAGCCCGGAGTGAATTGCTGACCCTTCAATGGCGAAGTCCTTTTGACTGGCGTAAGTCCTCCTGTGCCGATGGTAGTTGTTTCAAGGCCAACCACGAGCCAAATGCGGACAGCCCGATGCAGAGCTAGATGTACAGGTGTCTCAGTCCAGCTAGCAGTGACAAGAGTGGTGAAGTCCCGTGGTAATCGGATATGTGCAGGAAAGTGGAGTTCGTCGTCCTTCATGACACTCACTTCTTCGGCACCACTCCAGCACCTGTCGCTCCAGTGCCAGCAGCAGCGCCTGACGAAGCAGTCGCGGCCTTCTTACGCCACAACAGCTTGCTCATGAAATTTGTGACAGGCCGCAACCGCTTGCTCAAGAAATTCGTGACAGGCAGCATAGTCCGCGTCGCAAACCACGGTGTAGCCCAGACACTCACGATAAGCCTCAAGGGGATCAGAAGCTTCGTGATCGCATATGCCGTAGCAAGCTCCGCAACGAGTCTCGTGCCCTTCTCGCCCTTTCCAAACCACTTCCCGCTCCTTGTTTCGCCGCTCAGCCACCCTTTCTTCCGCATATAGTTCCCGAACTTTTGAACGCCATCGCTAAACCATTTTCCCTCGCTGATGAACGGCGGAAGCCAATTGGTGTAGTGGAAGACTGCTGCCAGTCCGAGCAGAGGTACGACTGCTGTGATCTCGTGGAGGATTAGGAAGGCAGATATGTGGGAGAACGGAGCATTGCGCAGTGGCTCCACGAATCTTCGTAAGAACTTGGGTAAACGTGATTCAATGCGCGCAACGCGTGCGGATTCTTTCGTGGTTGGTGGAGTGGACTGAGTAGATTCGAGACGGCGCGTCAATTGTCTAGAATTGAAGCGGAGAGACTGGCGACCAGCGGTCCATGCTGGCCGGAATAGTCGATTCATGGTGATGCAGATGAACAGCACAGTGGATGAGTTGTTGACGACGGGATGTGGTTTTATGTCCCTGCAATCCGCTACGGCATGACGTAGAACTAGTCCTCTAGCAGTCGTCACATTCCAACAACACTTTCAAGCCCGTATACATGTACTTCCGTTCACATTTTGCAACATGTCACACGAAATTGTCACGGAACGACTACTTCTCAGACCAGTCACAGAAGATGATCTGACTGCCTTTCACAAACTCCAATCCGACCCACAAGTAACAAGATGGACGTACGAAGCCCGCTTCTACGCACAAAGACTCTCCTGATGGTGATACAGCAAGCAAGGACCCAATGAGACGTTGCAGCGCTCGGAACAAATGCTCGATGATCTGCTCGTGCTAGTGAACGCCTCAGATCCGCAACAGCCTACTTTGATTCATGCCATCACAGCCCAGCCTTCGTCAGAGCTAGTCGGGCTCATAGGGACATTTCGTCCTCGAGAGATAGGCTTCTCTCTTCGTCCTGAATACTGGGGCAAAGGCTTTGCTCAAGAAGCCACGAAGGCCTTCTGCACATGGTATCTGGAACGCTTTCCGAATCATTCTCTCTTCGCCAAGGTCAACACTGGTAATGAAGCAAGTGTGAAATGTCTGCGCAGATGCGGGTTCTCACCTGCCACAGATTGGAAACTGGCTCACGACGAGGAACTGAGTAAAGACAAAGAGAGAGAAACATGGCTGCTCAGAGAGTTATCATGAGCTATTTTTTCCAGCTAACTTGCTTGGCACGCTTAAGTCGCAGGTTTACTACGGTACTGCACCTTTGCTCGCATCCTCCCGTACTCAGCCTGCGTCACAGGCACATACTTTGCTGGCCTTGCTGGCGAAGAGCATTCCGGCAGGCACTCTATCACCGCCTCTGGATCCGCGCTCACGAAGTATGGTATCGAGTACCGAGCCCTTGTCATCCTTTGCTCGTTGTCTGTGACAGAGTAACGGTCAGCCAAAGGCGGCAGTGTCACTCTGTGCAGCGTTGACTCGAGCATATCGTTCGTCCACCTCATCAACAGATCTCCTACATTCATCACGCAAGCATTCTTGAGTGGCGTTGCACGGATGTATTCTCCGGGCTTGAGAGGGTGCTCGACTTCCAGGCCGCCGCAGTCATCTTGAAACAGAAGAGTTATTATGCCCCAATCGCTGTGACTGGAGATTCTAGACGCTTTGCCCGATTCGATATCTGAAGCTGGGACTGGAGGGTAGTGCAGGAGCCTCAGTTGGTTGTTGTGTCCCGAGCAGTGTTTGACGAAGAATTCTTCATCGGGCAGGCCCAGGCCAGTGGCGATGCATCGCAATACCTCCTGCGCAGCAGAATTGCATGCCCAGTAGAAGGACGTCGTGCACCTCTTGAAATCCGTCAAGCTGGATTCTGGAAGCCAAACGTTCGGCTGAAGCTTGTTGTCTTCGGAACCAACTTCATACGATTCCTTGACATCCACGACTGCACGCAGCCTTTCCCCTTCTGCTTCGTCGCCACCGGAGTACTGGGAGACTTTTTCAAGGCCAGGAAAAGAGTAACCACGATGGACTTCAGGTCCGTCCGGATGCGGTGCCTTCATTTTCTCGGAGAGAGGTAAGTCAAATAGCCTTTGAGACATGGCGAATGCTTCATCGAGAAGATCCTGTGATAGCCCGTGGTTGGTGATATAGACGAAGCCCACAGATTGACAAGCTGCTATCAGATCTTTGGCAACTGCGAGTCGATCCTCGGCGGTCGTGGGTTGCATCCATCTCGAGAAGTCAATGATGGGAATTATTGCCTTTGCACTGGGCGCGGCTTCGCCGACTGATCCCATTTTTGGTATTGGTCGTGACTTCACGAGGCTGGCTTCTCTCGTTTACGCTCGTTGAAGAAGTCTCGCCTGTATCTTCTGCGCCTTCCACGAAACGATATGCACGAGATGCGCCTGAGACTAGCTTGTCCGCAGCTGTAAACAAATGCAAAGATGTATACCTCAAGCCTGCCGATAGCTATCAGAGTGATAGATAGAGCTCCACCAAGCTTCAGCTTCAACAGGGTTTCATCAGGGCTGGCCAGCTGTGAAAGCTTCAGCATCCTCCAGTTCAGCCCTGGTGTCGATCAGCTTCCGTGTGCAACGCGATCGCTCCAACTGGCAAGTTCTGCTTACAATACACTTTCAAGATGAGTGCGAAGATTGTTCTACTGAAAACAAACGCCACGTCTCTGTCGACCTACGCTCAATTCATTCGAGCTTCACATGCATGTCAAGACCAGGATTGATCGAAAGATAGGCCAAGCTGATGCATGCTGGCACTCGATATCCTCTCAGCAATACAAGATCAAGTCCAGCTTTCACAGCGCTCAAACGGCACTCACCACACAATCAACTTCCGCCTCACCTCTCACACATCAAGCCCAAACATGACCAAACGACCTCCCGAATCCAAACTCGCCCACTGGGCCCACCGCCTCGAATGCCCCATCGACCCAAACGCAAACTACCACAACACTTTCTGGTGCAACCGCGATCTAATCCCCATCCCCTCCTCCCGCCGAACCTCGACATGGCAAGGCTACGCCGGCTACTGGGTAATCGCAGGAATCAACACCACAGCCTGGACAAGCGGCTCCTCTCTCCTCGCTCTCGGCCTCTCCGTTCCCCAAGCCATGGGCATCATGGTCGGCGTAGCATTAATCTCCGCCATCATCGCCGTCCTAGCAGGATGGCCTGGAAGCCACGAATATCTTGGTTTCACTGTTCTGTGTCGAGCGAGTTGGGGCATGAGAGGTGGGTTTTGGCCGGTTCTGAATCGGATTGTGACGGCGATTGTGTGGTTGGGTATTCAGATGTATTGGGGTGGGCAGGCTGTGAAGATTATTTTGGGGGCGCTTGTGGGAAGGAGATGGATTGAGTTGAGGAATACTTTGCCAGAGAGCGCGAATGTTGATACGGCGAGTTTGATTAGTTTTTTCGTGTTTCTGGTCATTTTCATGCCGTGTTTGATGGTTCCACCGGAGAGGTTGCAGATGCCGTTTCGAGTGGGTGACTCAGATACTCTGGTGGGAAACGGGATGCTGATGAAATGCGTGACAGGTTACGTTCGTGATGATCACTTGCACCATGTTTGGTATGCTTGGGTGGGCGATTGCAACAAGCAATGGACCGGGTGAACTGCTGTACACTCCTTCAACAGCCAAAGGATCGGCTCTGTCGTGGGCTGCGCTATACGGATTGCAATCGATCATCGGGTCCCAAGCATCTGGCTGTCTTGGACAATCTGACTGGACTCGTTACGCAAAGACTCGTAAGTCCCTCTTCATCACTCTCTTCCTTGGGCTTATTCCGCACTTGCGCAGTCATCGATCTGAACCCGGGTCCCAAAAGGCCTCCTCTCCCACCTGCCAAACCATCAAATCAACTAATCCCTCCCAGCCAACGCCGCCCTCATCGGCCAACTGATCATGGCTCCCCTTACGATCTGTCTCACCGCCGTCTGCGGCCTTTTGATAACCTCCGCAACAGCCGAGATATACGGCGTCTACCTCTGGAACCCCTTCGAACTCCTCCTGCACATTCAACAGACGTCCCTCTCGCCAGCCACCCGAGCCGGAACATTCTTCGCTGGTCTAGGATTTCTCTGTAGTCAACTAGCCCTCTGCATCGTCCTCAATTGTGTTTCAGCAGGAATGGATCTCGCAGCACTCTGTCCCAAATGGATAAACATCCGACGAGGAGGGTATTTTGTCTCTGTGATCGCGATTGCGATTTGTCCTTGGAATTATGTGACGAAGCCGACGACGTTTATTACTGTCTTAAGTGGATGGTCTGTGTTCTTGAGTCCGATGACGGGGATTGTGATTGCGGATTACTTCTTGGTGAGGAGGAGAGGTTACTATGTGGGAGATCTGTATACGGGGAACAGCTCGAGTGCATATTGGGGAATCGCTGGCTTCAACTGGAGAGGCTTCGCGGCCTGGACGATGGGTATCTGGCCAGTTCTGCCAGGCTTTGCGAGATCAGTGCAAGGTACCGCAGCGGACAGCGGATGGGATCACATTTATCAGATGACTTACTTTTATGGCTTTTTCGCGGCTTTGGCAGTATACTGGGCTCTGCATACCGTCTTCCCACAACCGAGACAGACTGGACGTTCGCCGTTCGTGCTGCAGGAACACGCGAGGATGCTTGGGGCGGATGAAAGAACATTGTCGGGGGACTCGGAAACTGCCATCGTGGAGGCTTCAAAAGGCGAGGCGTAGGGATCGATGTTAGAAGCATCTATCTGTGAATTCTGCCATCGTTACATGCAGTGAGCTCGATCATAATAATGCTTCGTCAACCTGCCGCTCGCTCTGTCATTACCACATCCGTACATCGCTATTCGCCATGCTTTTCAGGAGTGTCCTGTACAATAAAGCAGAATGCATTATTCGGTCAAATGCAAATTCGTGCAGTCTGGCAGCTCACAAGTCTCCGATGTAAACCCAAGTCTTGTCTTTGCCAGAGCCCTTCTGTGCAAAGAGACTGCTCAGGTTCTCCTTGATAGCCTCGTTCGTCAATTTTGGAAATCTGTGATGTGGTCAGCGAAAGCAGTCGGTGCAACGAGGGACCAAATACGCACCTCGCCTTCAAACCCTTGTGAAGTTCAAGCTTGCCTAGCGGGCTGCCGACTACCGCCTCCTTCAGCTCCTCCAGATCTTCTTTGCTCAAAGTCTTTGGCTGTGGCTTGCGACCGCGCTTAACAGCCGGCGTCAGTGCAGTCGTGCTTGTGATAGGACCCTTCTCGCCCTCAGCGGCGCCAATCAAAGCGAATACAGCAGACTCGGCGGAGTGGTTGAAGTTAAGCCTGGGCTCAAGAGGCTTCCGAGAAGGTGCCATCGCAGTGCTTGCCGTTGGCTGCTTAGCAGATGCCGAAGGAGCAGCAGATACAGGTTTATCCCAGTAAGACGTGGAGAATGGATCGATGGTCATGCCGGTGAAGCCTGGGATCAGGAATCCCATGCGCATACCATCCATCACAGCTGGTTGCGTTGTCGCAGGAGCACCGTTCACAGTCAGTACCTTCCCATGCTCGTTGGCAAAGCAGAGTCCTGAACAGTCTGGAACAAGTTCTGTCGTGACCAGCTTGCGCTTTCCCTTTACTTTGTCGTCCTCATCGTCGAGGAAGTCGTCCATCTCGTCTGCATCGGCATTGCTGTCGGCCTCTTCATCATCGTCCGAGCCAAGCTCTTCACCTTCCTCGGGCTCTTCCCATTCTGCCTCGGAGTCGTAGTCGTAATCCGTGTCCGGTCGTGATCGGGCGAAGGGATTGCGCATTGTACGTCGAGTGGTCCTCGGTGAAGTAATCTTGGTATATGTTCCGCAGTATGCGGGTCGCACGTCCTCGCTGAAGTGCACATACTTGATGTCCACCTTGCGGAGGATTGCGTCTGGGGACTCGTTCGACGTCTCTTCAGTCAGATCTATCGGCTCTTTCAAGGTGCCTTGAGCTTTCTCAAAAACCTTCCGGACGTTGGGGTGACCTCTCCTGCCACGGCGAGACTTACGCAGCTCGCCAAAGTAGCTGTCGACGTTCGTGTACGAAGGTACCAGACCAAGATCATATTTCTCCTGAACCAGAGGATCTTTGAGCTCGTGATCGAAGCGATCTTGATCGGCTTCCTGGTTTCTTGACGATGCCTGGGCAAGGAAGGTGTGCTTCGGGGCCTCGAATGGCAGGAACGTCTTCTGGTAGTCGGAAAGCACGGGTTTCTTGGTCGATGGTGGTGCAGGGCTGCGTTTGACAGGCGATGCGGTCGACTTGATCTGATCTGCGACAGCATCGAAAGGCTCGAGAGACAACGACTTCCGCCTAGAACGAGGTGTGTTCTCTTCGCCATCTGCATTGCGCTTCGCTGGGGTACTCGGCTTGCCACCAAAGAAAGCACCCAGACGCATCTGCTTGCGCTCTTTGGCAAGCTTCTCCTCTTGTTTCTTGGCCTCCTCCAACTCCTTCTCGCGCTTCTTTGCCTCCTTCTCTTCAGCCTTTGCACGCTTCTCTTCAGCTTTGCGGGCTTTCTCCTCGTCTACCTGAGCTTTCTTCTCCTCCCGCTCAGCATCCTTCTTCGCCTTCTCGGCGTCGGCCTGTGCTTTCTTTTCCTCCGCTAGAGCCTTCTTTTCAGCACGCTCGCGGGCCTTTGCCTCTTTCGCCTGGGCTTGCTCCAGCTTCTCGGCAGGTGTGAGCTTTCTTCGCTTCGCTGGAGGAGGTCCGCTAGTGGAAGCTGAGGTAGATACGGGAGCGGTCGATTGAAGGGGTATTCCAGTCGAAGGCGGCAAGTCGCTGCTGGACGCGATATCTACGACGCTGCTCAATGCTGTGCTCGTGCTCAACGCGGGAGACGCAGCGCGTTCGTGGCGGTCCTGTCCGACGCTGCCACCAGGACTGGCATTGCTGGAACGCTCATTCTCTGTATCCGGCGGTGTCGGCATCATGAATTGGGTGCCCTTGAGGTTGATCGGTCTGTGATCGGGTGACTCGTCTTCCAGTGGGCGTTTTCGAATGTTGGGTGCAACTGGGGAAGACAGAACGTCCGCCATATGTACGAGCCTCGCAATGTATCCTCAGAAGAGATTGGAAGCAGAGACAGGACAAGATGCGGTGCGTGAGAAGTGTCTCAGTTGTTGACGGCTTCTCCAAAGTAACGCGCTCGGGAGCAGCAGGAGCGCACGCGTCGAGTGCCAAGACGAGTCACTAGCGCGTTCTGCCTACCCACCTGCCCGCTATGTTCATCACGGCTCCTTCTCTTCTCCACACGACGTACTGAAGATCATCACAATCACAATGGACAGTGAAGACTTCGACGACCTCTTCGGCGAGGAAGCCACGTTGCTCGAACCCTCATCTCAAGGGTCACTGACTGAAGCAGCAGCTAATTTAGCCATCGACCATGAAGATGACGCTCGCCAGCCATGTAATCCAATGGGCAAGGATGATGAAATGGAGGACGACGGTGCTACAGCATTTGACTTATTGCCTGTAAACACGGGCTCATTCGCAGATACTGTGCGGCAAAACGACTTCCGCCCTCCTCAACGACTCACACCAAGAGCATATCCGAAGTATGCATACCGAAATACGAGCGGAAGTGCAGTTCTAATCATTCATCAGTGCCGCCGTGATTGACAAAATTGAGGCTGTCTTTGAAGAGATTGTGGATGCTATGTTGCACGACAAGCTTGAGATCGGCATCACCTTGAAGACCCGGCCAAGAACAGCGCTCCTTCCACGATCTAACACCAGCTCAAATGGTGATGCTGCACCGACGAGACGTTTATGCTTCCCTGGAAAGACTGCTGATGAAGCATGGCGATTCTGTATGTGGTACACGGCGAATGTCACGTCGGCCTCTGACACCTCGCAGCCGTAGTCTTGCGGATCCTCGAACTCATGCACGAAGCTCTGCGAAATGATATTGTGATCTCGAAGAGGTATACCAACTCAGCCATCGTTGACCCGCGAGTCACCGACTACTGACATGCACAGGGACATCTACTACCGAGATCCGGCATTGTTCGGCAGTCAGACACAAGTAGACCGATATGTCGATGACATCGCATTCACATTCGGCATAACACGAGCAACCTTGAACGTTTCAGCAGCAGCAAAAGGCCTCGTAGCCGGTGCCATGACCATTTGTCGTCGACATGGCAGTACAACATTAGCATGGTCCGACCCAGAAGGCATCCTCGTCCCAACCCTCAAGGATGTCCTCTCCATCGACATGTCTTCCGTGAATTGGATCCTCGTCATCGAAAAGGAAGCAACTTTCCGCTCAATAGCGAGCTCAGCATTCTGGGAAAAGATCAAAGCCGAAGGCATAATTGTCACCGGGAAGGGTTACCCCGACCTCTCCACTCGTGCTCTACTGCGCTTTCTCAGCACAGCCTCGAGCAAAAATGGCTTCTCATCGCCTCCAGTCTTCGGCCTAGCAGATTTCGACCCTGACGGCATCGCAATATTGTCAGTGTACAAATACGGCTCCAAAGCCCTAGCTCATGAGAACGAAAATCTCGTCGTGACGCAGCTGCAGTGGCTCGGACTTCGTAGTGAACACCTTCGGATCGGCGACTCTGATCCGCACACGACGCAAGGCCTTCTCCCACTCACCAAGAGAGATAGGGCGAAAGCAGTCAAAATGCTTGAGCAAACAGGAGCAGCAGCAGACGAAGATTCTGCACTGCAGAGACGAGAGCTTCAGACTATGCTCATGCTGAATGTCAAAGCTGAATTGCAGTTGCTCGATGCTGTTCCCAATGGCATGACGGACTTGCTAGAGTCAACGCTGGGCAAATTTTGAGAGAAGTGTAAGTAGATTCATGCAGAAATATTCCGTCGCTGGTTGCACGCATATTGTACAGCCCTTATTCTATACATGTCCATACGTTGCAGCTTTGTATCTCTGATGCTTCCCGTCTGCTTTACGGCCTCGCTGTCGTGGTATCTCTTTAACGCAAGAACATAGAAATCCCCAAAATGAGCCCAGAACCCTCTTTCCACGCCTTTGGAAATGCCCTTCACATATACCTTGCAGTCCAACCCTGCACCACTTCAACATCTCCTCAGCACATCCAAAATCCAATCTTTCCCCTCCCTCCCCTCTCTCAACCCATACCGAAAAATCAACGGAAAAACATGCATCTGCTTGTCCCAATCCAACCACTCGCCTTCCACGCCCGCCTGACTCAACTTCTCCCGCATCAAAATCGCGTCCGGACCAAGGATATCATACCCCCCTGTTACGCCATGCACCTTCACTCCCCGCGTCTTCAAAACATCCACTGAAGAATGCAACGGACTGACTCTGATATCCGTGGGCGGCCAATTCCCGCACCATTTCTCCGCTGTAGATTTGACGAACGGTATTTTGAGGATCGGATCTTTCGAAGCGATGGTGTGCATATCTGGATTCGAGCGGCGGAGGTCCGTAGAAGGGGAAATAGCCATGACGGCTTTCGCTGTAGGACGTGCTGTCCTCTCTTCTGCGTCTTCGAGGAGAGCGGAGATGACGAGTGCGAGGACGATGTTCCCACCTGCTGAGTCTCCTGCAAGGATGACATCTTCATCCTCGTTTTGCGCCGTTTCCATTAGTGTGCGGTATTGTTTGAGCATGGCGGGGAAGGAGATCGGTGCAGCGCTGTTTGGGGCCAGCGGGTAGGAGACCAGTGTAATGGCAAAACCGTGCGGGTGCAGCTGTTGAGCGAGCTCGGCGACAAAGTACCAGTGTTCGCTGCTCGCGGGCATTTGCCAGCCTCCACCTGAGTAGTAATATATCCTGCGTTTGCGCTTCTTCTCTTCTGTGACAGAAATACTCCTGTCCTTTGTCACACCCGTTTTACGGTCTTTTGGGGTAAGATCGTACAGGTAAATGTCTTCGACCTTTCGCTCGCGAACGTCACATCTCTTTCTGGCTTGTGCATGTGGTGTCAACTGAGGTGACCCAGCGGGGTGCTCGGTGCTAGAGGAGATCAATCTCGAAGAGAAGGGCTTGATCAGGTGTTGAAGAAGGAACATCAGAGTACTTCGATCGTGTCGTTTCGTTACGCGTATTGTCGGCTGTACGGATGCTATATCGTGGTTTGTGTTGATGTGAGGAGCGGTCGCTGCTTGGGTCGCCATGCTGGCCGGCGTAGAGGACTTGTCTACAGACATGGTGAAGCCCGGTCTGTCTGTCTATTGTTCGGCGTGCATCTCTGTATACAGATTTCGGTGCGATGCTGCACTTCCTTCACTCGCTCCAGCAGAGACCGATGCTAGAAAGAGATCGTTGATGGCGGGAGAAGTATGGTGAAGCGCAACACCTACCGCGTAAGAGGACACTGACAGCCTTGGCCGCGAGCCATGGCGCCTCTTGTCGTACCCATAGTACGGTCTAACGAGGTCGCGACTTGCTTCTCTGTGGGAGGATCAAAGAGCCGCATCGTCATCGATCAATGGGGTCAAAGGATTTCAGCCTCCATCGGCCTCGTTGAGTTGCGATCGGAGCTGATCCCTGTCGTCGTTCGCGCATTGACCTCCGCGATCACCTCGCGTATCATCTGCACACTGCACTTCTTCTTCACACCCGCGTGTGCAGCCTCTGCGAGCGTGACAGAAGCGCAGCACTCTTCAACATTTCCTCGGGATTCGAAGGAAAGCTCCGTTCCTACCATCGCACTGACGATGGCGCAGGATCAAGCCCAAGTTGACGCGACTGCCAACGTCAACGACGCGTTCAGACACCAGGCTTGCGATGAGCCAGTCTACCTGAGCAGGAAAGAAATCTTTCCCGTTAACAGGAATGCAGCAATGTTGAAGATGCTGGCCGATGCCTGGACGACTGCGCGACGCTGCCGTCTCCGCAAATGTGCTGGTCGTTTCGGCTTGGCCCGGCAGTGTCTGTCAGAGACCTTGTGATACGACACTGTCGCTGTTCATACAGTAAGAGCGGTAATTGCGGCTTGCTGCCTCAAAAGTAGGTGGAAGTCAGCAAAACTGCTGGCAGTCGAATTGGTTGAAGACATGGCCTGGCAAGTCCAAAACCACGGTAGCTTCCCGTCCACCACCCGCCCGCGCCTTCTCTATTAATTCTTTCCACATTCTTCTTTTCTACATTCTGCAAAGATTTATTGGTGCTGGCAGTCTTCCTATCACGTTGGAGCGCAAGATGTTATCACGACCTCGCGGGAGTGATTTCATACGAGGTCTACCGCACTGTCAAACCAGCAGGCTGGCATTCACGAGCTACCTCCTTCGCACAATCTCGGACCATCGACTCGCCATCGACCTGATCTACCACAACTCCGACGAATTTGGCGACACAGGTACCTTCATTGTGCGGGGTTTCCAACTTTCCTCCATCGGCCGGTGGTGCGGTGCAGATCGCTCAGATCGGAGTCTTTGCTCTTTCATTGCCTCCCCGTTCCTCGCGATACCGCGGAAGTCTGCCGATGGCTGCGACACGACCGCCAAGAGCTGGTTGCGCGTGGTTCCGTTGGTGGCTGACGGTTGAGCGGGCAGAGATGGCTGTCGGTCGGGAAGATCGTGATGTGCCATCTCGGAGTCGGTGACCTGGACTTGGTCAAGCTTCGTCGAAGGAGAAGAGGAATCTGTGCAGGGGTCAGCCGCTGTGCCAACTGACCACCCACGCAGGTGTAGAAGGATATTCCCATGTGTGGTATTTCATCAACGCCGAAGCTCAGAAAACCATGAAGTGTTGTCAGGACATATATCTACACCTGCCTTCGTATGCTCAGCAAACTTGCTGTTGCCTCCGATGCAGCCGAGTGGGTCGGTTTCCGGGTCTGCAGAACGACTGTCGGCTTGGAACGTCGTGATGTGTTGTTCGAAGATCGGCCAGGGGCTCTGGTGTCTACCGTCGGCGAAGAGGACACTGGAAGAACTGCGCTGCATTCTGAAAGGGTCCTTGGAGCAGGCAACGCACCATGACCTTCGATATCCGTGGAGGGGGCGACAGACTTGTGTGGCTTTCGACTGGGAACGTCGTGATGTGTCGCCAGGTGATGTTGCTCCGCACATGGATGTTGAATCGGAACCTCTGCGCAGCCGACTCTTGAGTTCGCTGGGTGGTTGCAAGCTGGATGGCATGGTGGATCGATAATGCGGAGAGTCGCGCACCGCATATGCAACGGCTTTCGACTTGGTTGGGGTCGTGATGTGTCGTTGAAGGAGGTCATTCGACGCAGTGGCACTCCATCACCTGCAGAAAAAATCAGCTTACGCTGAATGAGTCGCCTATGTCGGCCGTTCGTCCGCGACCACTGGCACGGGCTGTTAGACAGGCCATGGTCGCATCGGAAACGACACGGCCTTTCGTTCTTGGACAGCCTGATGCCCTCAAGTCCATGGAGAGGGACAGGAGGGGTTCTTCCCAGGCGGCTGTCCATTGGGTTGGGCGACTCATCTTAAAAAGCAAAGAGACCATGTGGGGGTCTTTGGCTTATGGACAGATTGATAGCGTGTCTTCCTGTTGTCCATTTGGGGTCGGATCGTAGTGATGGCGAGCCAGCGTGGCTCAGACCTCCTGGTCGCTGATGAGAACGAGCGGGACTATCAAGCGTCGGGAAACTGGCGTTTGTTAGCATCTGTCTGCCAAAGGAACTCTGAGGCCAGGAGAAAAGATTACACTGCTTGTTATTGGAGATGGCGTCGAAGCCTCGGTGCTGGGTCGTTGGAGAAGCCAGGGCTGGTGGATCGCAGCGTGTAGAGATGGAGGGAAGATGCGAATCGAACGAAACGAAGATGGGTGGGATGGCACATACTTGATGAGAAAGGGCACAGCACAGCCTCCTGTTTACATGACAACGGGGGGCATACAGGTAAGGACGACGCTCTCAGCACGGCTGCTGACATATTTCTACAGGAACGAACCTCGATCAGCAAGCAAGTGCAGAGCACGTACTTCGATATTGCGAGCGGCTACATTCACGTACCCAGCGTTCAATCGTGAAGCCAGGGCGTTCAAAACAAGATCAGCACTTCTCTTTACAGAGCGTTCAGTATCGGGCAAGCCCTACAAATGACATAAATCACACCGATTCGTTCTGCGTCTAGCAGCATGGCCTACATATGCGTCGAGAAGGTGCCTCCACTGCGCGAAGGAAGTTTTGGACAGTGCGTGGCTGCCAGCTTGACCAAGCTCGTACGTCAAGCGACGAAAAGCAGCAAGGCAGGCTCTACCAGAAGTCCCAAGCCCTGGCGAAGCTGTAACCCACAGGAGCAGCAAGTACGAGATACTTTTTCGTAGAAAGTCAGACCTGGGTATCCACGATCGACGATAATTTCCGGTTCCAGGACTTCTACAGGTCGACGCTCCTACATTTCAAAGGCTGTTACGTGTTGGCATGCAATGAAAGCATAGAGTCAAAAACAGGTCGTTGATCATATATCTATTCCCCGGTAGCCACGCACAGGTCATACTCGCTATGCTATGCTCCCAAAAATGCCCATTTCCAAACGCCATTCCCTCATCAAAAGCCTCCAATCCTCGTAGTGCTGTCGTCAGGTTCATCCCCACAAACCCCTCCGCCAAACTCCAAATAACACCACCCATCCTCCTCTTCCATCACAACTCCCAACTCACCATCAATCCACCTACTCACACCATCCCATTCTTAATATTATCATACTGACTCTCCGGATACTCCAAAACATTCATCACCCCATCCAACGTCGCCAACCCCTTCACAGTCAACTGCACCAACCCTCTCGCCAAACCCTTCCCCACCTCCGTCGTAGCCCCGACCCCAACATCCGTAACATTACTATCCCCGTTCGCCTCCCACCACATCGCCCCACCCAAATTCTTCTCTTTGATATATTCCATTTTCTGCTGTGCCATTTCCGGCGTATCATAACTCACCATTGTTTTCGTAGCAGGATCATAACTCCACGAAGCACCAATCACAGGATCATAGAATTCTTTCGCGCCGGTTTGAGGGAGATCTTTGTAGTCCCATACGCCATTTTCCCAGCTGCCTTCTCCTACACCGGTATATGCTGTTCCTGGGCCGATGGTATTGGTGAAAGCTCGACCGTAGAGTGGTAGTCCAAGGACGATTTTACGGGAATCGATTCCGTTTTGGATGTACCAATTTACGGCTTGATCAGTGGAGAAAGGGGTGCTGTTCGTGTTGGAAGTATCTTTGAAAAGGTTGGCTTGGTGGCCTGCCATTGTATCCCAAGAGCCGGCGTAGTCGTATGCCATGAGATTCCAGAAATCGAGGACGGAGTCCATCCCTGCGATGTCGAGTTTCTCGTAATTTGCGGGGCCGGCGGCTGTGGCGACTGTGAGGAGGAAGTGGGGTTTGACTTTTAGTTTGAGGGTTGAGGCGTATTCGTCGAGGGCGGAGCGGATTGCCTGGAGGAGGAGGACGGCGTTGGTGGCTTCGGTGGCATCTTGGGGGTATTCCCAGTCGATGTCGAGACCGTCGAAGCCGAGGTCTTTGAGGAGTTTGACGGCGGAGGTTGCGAAGGTCTGGCGGCCTTCAGGGGTGGACGCGGGTTTCTGGTAGTCGGGTCAGATGAGGAATGCGGCGAAAAGGTGTCTGGAACACTTACCGGGAAGTTGGTGCTGTACGTCCACCCTCCGATACTGAGAAGTGTTTTCATGTAGCGGTTCTTCTTCTTCAGTAGGTAGAGTTGTTTGATGCAGCCATAGGCATTGTTGCCAGTTTCGCTCCAGCTGTCATCCGGGTAATGCTTCTCCAAATCTGCGTAGGTGTCACTGAGGTAGACTTCACCAGTTTCGGGTCGTACGTTTGCGAAGGAGTAGAGGACATGGGTCAGTTTATCTGCGGGTAAGTCGGCCGGCTGGTAGTTCCTTCCATAGATGTCCCAGTTTGGGAAGTACATCACAGACTTGTATGGTATCTTGCCCTTGAACGGCGGCTTGCTGGTTGTGTTCGTCGCGGATTGTGATGAGGCCGTGGAGTTCACAGAGGCAGTGGAGGCATAGCCAGCTTGCCTTCGCTCAACTCCATTCCCTTCTTCGTTCACTAGTATCGGCGTGGCAGCAGCAATGGTCGCCAAGACAGCCGTGATTGTAGTAAGCAGTCGCTTGGAGAACATTGTTCTTCTCGCCATGATGCTGGTCCGTACTTGAAAGGGTTCGAGGGAGGTCCAAGGAGATTTATACACGTACCGGGTTTTCAGATCAGGTCCGGAAAGTCAGCATCCATAGAAGACCCGCTTCTTCAAGTTCGTCGGTAGTCGCAGGAGAGTCTCCACCTACATAAAAATCTGGACCGCATTCTTATTCTATACCAGCCCAGCCCACGTCGTACCTTGATCCAGGAACAAACAATATGCATAATTCCTGGATTGCGATGGTCGTCAGGTGCGACTCCGTTTCTAGAAGTACTCAAATTCCGAGACGGTGGCAGCTGCATTGATGGGCGACGGGTGTACGCGTTTGTGCGACCACATTTCGTGCAACGCCCCCTCCACATTTGTACAGTGCGCACTTTGCGACGCGTAGAATTGCGGCTCATCGCATGTCATCACCGCTCGACTTCTTGGTTCGGACCGTTCGCGCTGCAACGTGTCGTAGGTTTTCGGCCGTTCCGCTGGCCGACCAACGGCTGCACTCCGAGCAACACCGCATCCTCTCGTGACGACCGATTGCGATCGCAAGGTCATGTTGCTACGCGCAGCCTTGTGTCAAGGACAAACCGGGTTGACAGATGCCACAAGGGATGTTGTCACCGGATGTCTCCCGACGGTCGTCTCAATTGTCATTCCTTGCTCGGACGGAGCACATACAGAGGAGTTCAAAGACCTCTCTCTTTCGAAGAACGGTCGAGATTCTGGTGTCCACCAACTTGAGAAGGCTGTGCATGCGGCATCTTGGCTCGGTGGCCAGAAGCCTCCCAGCTACCAGGTTCGTATGCGACGCAGACAGGAACACTCTGCAGGTACAAGCCGAAGTCGCACAACAGGGCCTGAGGAAGACCATCCGAGTATCACAATGCGGATAGTGACAGGAGTGATGCATTCGCATGTTCGACGAGGCCTGAAAGATGACCTGTTCTGTTCCAGTCTGCCTCGGACCATATGGCCGCATGCGAGTCGGCAGCATACAGCAGACGGATATCCTCGTGAATTGGAGCTCCACTCATGCCCACACTTCTCAGTGCGTGTCTCGTGGCCGGGTACTTGCTTCGATTGTTAATACATCTGGCCACGGGAGATTACAGCTTGCGGACCTGATCACACTGGGTGGGTGGAGTTCCTGGAAACACTTGTGAGTCGCAATCCCATGCGCTTGTCTCGTCCAGAGATGTGTCATGGCTTGTCCTCCTCATATCTCATTGTTCAATCGAACTTGCTACACAATCGTCTGATCATCGTGATCATGACAGCCACTGTTCGTTCGACGGGCAAATGCATGACCAGTATAATCCGGTTTCGCAATTTCGCAACACCGGGTGGACTTCTCTTCTCGCACCAGGTCTTATTTCAGGGCCGCCGGTCAACTGATTCAGCAGTTGAGCTGCACGCGACAGAGGCCTTTTCGTCTCGCGAGCATGGATCGCGGCATCTGCTCCCAATCTTCGAGCAAATTTGGAGCTCCGAAGACCCCGCAAGTCGAAACAAATCCAGGCTTTCCCTCTCAATTCCCAGCGCTCAACTTCCAGTGCCCGCAGAAATGGCAGCACTCGCGGCAGCCTCCACAGCGCCACCACTCGACCCAGCCCTCAAGATCTGCCAAATCCTCATCCCGCTCGACACAGCCATAATCTCAACAACCTCTCCCAACTCTCCCGTTCTCCCCGCGCCCAAGAACTCAAACTTGACCAACTTGTTCTTACTCCACTTCATATTATCAGCCCACACAGCCACAACCTCCTTCCCATCCGAACTCTCTCCCAGATCTCTCTCATATCTCTTACCTCCACCTTTACTCGAGCCTTCTCCACTGTTACGCGAACGCACGATGGTAGGATCCGCTTCCTCCCCAGCATCACCAACAGAACCCCCACCCGTCTCCGAATCCAACCTCACAAGTTTCCACCCCCACACATATTTATTCTTCGAAACATGCTTCACCTCCTGCCCATGACTCTGCCTCCACACAAACCTCTCCTGCACCACCTTCTCCCCTCCCGCCTTCTTCACCGGCGCCGAAAAACTATAACTCGGACTCTGAAACGAGAACTTCGTATGTAATTCTTCCAAAACATTATGTTTCGGTAAAGAAATCATGTTATGAATCGACATGTATCTTTTACTCCCAATCTCTGCCAAGACCGTATTCTCTCCATCCGACGAAGAAGAGGGGTCTTTCAAAGAGGAGGAGGTAATATCCCCTCGATGAAGAATGAATTTCGTGCCTTTCCAACCAGAAACTAAAACAATAGAAAACAGTGGTTGATTGTAATGTTCGCCGAGGATCCAGGTTGTTTTTCGCCAGGAGAGCTTTTTGTGATAAAGATTGAAACGACTGGGGAAGCGAATGATCTCATTCCCATGTTCGTCGCGAGAGTAGGCTGGGACGGAGTTCTCTTTTCCTGCGACTTCGTGGTAGGGTGGAGGGAGTTTGTCGTCGGAGTCTATGCTTGAAAGAGAGGAGCGAGGTGTTGAGGGAGCCCGCGAGAGGTTGTCGTCTGGGATGCGGTCTGGTTTTGTGTCTGTCGTTATTGCCATTGTGGGGCTGTCACTGTTCTTGATGAGGCTGTTGATGAGGCTTCTGTGAATTTGTGCTTGTGCAGTTGTTGAGGGTTTTGGATCAGCAGTACTATGGGTATGTGTTGAGAGCTTGAGGCGTGGTCCAAGTGGGCTGACATTGATCTGAACACTGCCACAGCTGCCTGATCCTTCGTGGATGAAGTGGTGGAGCTGATCCTTGGCTGTTGACGATGGCGTCGTTCGCGTGTGCAGCCGAGGCCGGTGCGAAGTCAATCCCAAGACGCGTTGTTTCTACGCCGCATCGGAAGAACAGCCCATAGTAATGGCCGGCCACATACTGCTACACCTGACGAGCTGCAAGTATTTTCGACCAGTTCCTTGAGAAGAGGACTGAGAGTGAACAGGTTCCGGCGATTAAGCAGCAACAATGCCGCATGCATTATGTAGATACTGTACAACATATTATCCTGTGGCATTATACAAGCTGTGAATTCCCGCTCCAACAAGGGAAGAACCTCCGTCTTCCAGTCTCTGGTATCTTCAATTATGCTCCAATCCTTGAAACGCCGCGCTCAAAAACATACCCACTGGCAGCCCGCATTAACGATGGCCTGGCCGAGAATCGCCATGTGATGCGATACCGTATGCCATTCCTTGTGACCCTCCGATAGACATACTATGTCTGTAATGCTGCTTGAATGCCAATTTTCTGCTCGCCTGCAACGGCATCTCGGTCTCCTTCTCCTTCTTCCTCATCGTCGCTCTCGGCAGCAATGTCAATGCCAGGATCAGGTATGACAAAATCCAGCGACATAAAGCCCGTTGTCCTCGGTCCAATGAGCTTCACTTGTCGCCCCTCCTTCTGCCTCTCTTCATTCCACATCGCGATCCAACCTTCGAGCAACTTCTCACCAGCTTTTGCACCCGTGAAGCCCAGATCATCCCAGAAATACCCCGTCGCGACACCGAGTATCGCATCTGCCCACGCGCGGAATGTGTACGGACTGAACGCTTTCAGTAATATCGCATTGATGTGGAGGATCAGATCTCTGAATTCGTCATCCGTGACCAGCGGGTCTAGAATCTCAGGATACAGATTCGCGAACTGCGGGTACAGATCTCCAGCGATGAGGTAGTCCCTCTTCACTCGTATCACCCTTGTCTCCTCATGTTCCTGGCTCTGAGGCGAGCAGTGGGCATTGGGATGAGGGAAGCAAGGGTGTTGTGGTCCCCATTCGAACTCGTCGTCTTCTTCCTCCAGGTCGCTCTCTGCGCCGTCTCCTTGTGTCTCGTCTCGTCGCGCTCGCCTCGAACTATGTATACTCGCGGCTCTGCTTGCAGTTGAAGGTGGCACTACTGGCTGCGCGGCTAGATCCCCGTACAGATTTCGTTCGGTCGTGGTGAGTTTCGGCGGCGGGGGCACTTCCCCATCGCGCAGTCCTAGACTCGTCCGCGAAGCATTTCGCGATTTAGTAGATTTACTGACTTTGGAGCGATTCGATCGGGCGGATTTGGCAGAGCGGAACGACTTTTGCGATTGTCGCCGCTTCAATGGTACGGAGGCTCGTCGGTCGCTTCTCGCATCGTCTTTGGGCGGCGGAGGAGGCGGTAGCGTGGTGGTGCTCTTGTTGCTCTGGAGGTTGACGACGTTGGGGGCGGGCGGAGGAGACGAGGCGTCGGAGCGCTGTGCCTCAGTCACGCCGGCGATCTTGTGCAGAGTGTCCATGTCCTACGGGCGCATTGATATGGGTAGGATAGGCTGTAGCAATCGCGTGTGGTCTGGGGAGGATGGGGCACTCATTCACATGAAACGAAGCGATGCAGGAGAAGGGCTTCGGCACATTGGCACTATCGAGGGATGATGATCGACGCTGCAAGGATCATGCATCAGCCAGCTTCACTTCACCCAATCTTTTACACTTCACGCCTACTTTCAGTTGTACATTACGATGGAGTTTTCGATTCGAAGAGCTACTATTGATGGCATATTCTGATGTGTAGAACAAATTCCACGACACGATTCGCGTCTTTCCTACTCAGCTGTGGCCCAGCACAAAACATCGCCGCCACCTCCTTTGGAACAGATTCAGCCGCATTGCAGCCACCGCTAACTTAAGGCCAGATCCCATGGATCCTGACCTCTTCATTGCTCTCCTCACCAGCTCCCCGAGAAAAGTCACAACGCCATGAAAGCTGCCAGGCTCGGATCTACTGGCTCGCACAGCCCTGTGCTCCTTCTTCAGCACGCCAGCTTTCACCTTTTTCGCACATCCGCTCCAGTAGCCGGGGTGTTGTATAAGCAGCGGTGGTTATAGTAAGTAAGAGGAAAGATGGAGGGAGCCACTGCGCACGATGACTCGCTCAGCTAAGCTCTCCCAGAAAGGTCCGAGAAGACGATTCGACCAATCTCTTTATCGGTTCTTCTCGGCCGTTGCATATCCCATCTTCAGCTTTCCACCGCGGTAGGCACCTACATGTTCCCAATCATATCTCTGGGGAACCGTGCAACGAGCTTTCACGTAGTCTTCACAACGATGCCACAGAATGCCATCAAGACCAGGGCCGTAAGCACTACCCATCCAAGCAGAGAGTGACACGAGTGTTGCTTCCGAGGCCGTGGTGTCTGTACAGCCTGGCAGAAATCGCCCCAGATCCGTTTCCAGATAGAAGCATTCTCAACTCGTTCCTCGCTTCCAGCCTCCAAGGACTCTTCGGTCACGAACGAATCGCCGTCATGACCGTCGAAGAAAGATGGAAGAATTGCCCTCTCGCTCGCCAACGAAGAAGCCCGACCCCTTGTACCCCGGAGAGGGAAGGATCTATCAGGTTGGCCATCATCGAAATCCAAAGCTTGTCTGCGCGACGCTGCGAAATATGTGAAATCCACCCTGCTTGCTGGCGGTGGCGGCATCACAAGTCCAGATCCTGCCCCTTCTTCGCGCTCGTAAGCTGGTGGAGGTTGATACTCGGGCGGGAAGCCCGCGATCTCATCTGCTCGGGCGCGGTGAGTATACACAGGAGGCGGCTCATCCAGTAGGGAATCGGATGAAAAGGTCCGTCGCACGTTGTGCGCGTGCTGAAGTGGCTCTTCTGCCTGGCGATGTACTGCTGGATTGATATCGGCGTCGCCGTGGCTGTACACCGAATCATGATCATCGTACAAAGTCGCTAAGGCATCGAAAACAGAGCGCGCCGACCGCTCATCCCGCTCCGACTCGGATCGAGCAACGAAGAAATTGAGCCGTGCTCCTCCTTCTCTAACGCCTGCACCCTCGTCATCTGCCGGTCCTCGTCGCATCACGCTCTCCTCGCTTGGCTGTTCGTCTCTCGCGGCCGAAGACATGGCGCAGTATGATCAAATGCGAGTTGTACTTGCGCGGGACCAAAGTGCGAATACAATGAGGAGATGAAGGTGATATAAGATCAAAAAAAATACATGCACTGACAGAATAAATGGCAGGTACCCACATACCTGGGGACTACCGTCCACAACACTGCCACAAGCAGGAAGCGCAGAAATATTTCACTACATTTTCTTGGTTCTCTGTCTTTCTACCACAACTTGAATCAATCTGCGCCTCACACGCAAAGCATCGGATTGCGGCCTCAAACTTAAACTTCCCGCCCCTCTACTATCCGCAATTCCAAATCTAGCACGAACGACATACATACGTAGGAAGGCTATCTAGCCCTCTGTCTTCGATATTGACCTTGGAACTTCTCAACGACACACCTCAAGCACCTTCGATGCGAGAAGCAAAAGAAGTGCAAAGTGATGCATTCCAATTCTGCAGAACAGGGACCACAACAAAACCAAGCTCTGTAGCTCTCCTCCGGCGCCATACCAAGCAAACCCCGTATCCGCCCATTTCCGGACCAGACCAACGCTGTTATAGTTCTACCCCACCGCTACCGGAACTTCTATACTCAGGAATCTGACCTGCTGGCAGGTGGATGGAGCAGAGATTCAGCCGACAGCCCACCAGCTGGTCCACTCAGTCCCACTCTCCAGTCTGCAAGAAGCATTGGTCTTCAAATACTAATGAGGCCAGGAAAGATGGGGGAGAAGATAAGATAGCCTGACCGCGTTATATAGCTACGCGGTCAGGTCAGAATTCACGCAGTCGAGCCAGCTCTACGCATCGCCAGAGAGTCGACTTCGAAATGCTTGGCCTGATCTCGTTTTTCAGTTACGCAGTCAGCTCAGATTTTACGCGGTCAGGTCAGAATTTACGCGGTCGAGCCAGCTCCAGGTCCACGTAAGCACCACCAATAAGACAACCTGAAGAAAGCTGGTTCGACCTAGAAACGCTTGGCCTGACCGCGTTATACTTGGCACGACCGCGTTATGTAGTCAGGTTAAAAATTACGCGGTCAGGTCAGAATTCACGCGGTTGAGCGAGCTCCAAGTTCACGTAAGCACTACCAATAAGACAACCCGAAAGACTTCGACGCAACCTCGAAATGCTTGGCCTGACCGCGTTATACTTGGCACGACCGCGTTATGCAGTCAGGTCAGAATTTACGCGGTCAAGCCAAGCAATTTAGTTTTACGCAGTCGAGCTATCTTCCAGGTTCTGTAAGCATCCACGCTCTGAATTTAAACACCATTCACTCAAGCAGACGACATTGAAAAGGTATCATTAATATAAATGTAACAATGAAAAGACTTCACAGTATAAATTAGGTTCGCCTTTCCATTCAGTTTCAGTACCTCTCCTTTCCCAAGAGGCAGTACTTTACTCGGCCTTGCTCTTGCTCTACCAAAAAGTACAGAACAGGATCCGATCTACCAAGGTACAGTAAGTAGGTCGCAGCAGCAGTGTGAACGCTCCACAGCAACACCAACAGATACTCAAATACTCAATACATGGCGCCGCCAGGACCGAGCGACCCACTTCCACTCCTTGCGCCTCCACCTCCACTTCGCAACTTTCTGATTGCCCTTCCCACAGAGCTCAAGCCATGTACTCCAAGCTCCAATTCATCGTCTTCCTCCCCATGTTGCAGCAGCTGATGATGATCGCTCATCGAATCCAGATTCTACCTGTAATCCGCATCATCACTCAATCCATCCTGATCATACTGCACTCCCAAGCCCGTGGCACTATGCCCATGCTTATCGACCCCATTCATCCCATGCCCATTACCCAAATGCCCATTCGGCACAGGCCACTGCCCATCATGCAAATCCATGCCATCCTCCTCGATCACCTTCCCCATTCCGTTGGCATCCATTTGCTGCTGCATAACAGCTTGCGCCGACACAATCTCCGCCAAGCGTTTCAGGCGCGGTGTCTGTAGCCAACTAGGCGTGTACGTTTCGAGCGCGGTGATAACGCGAGGTTCGGCGATTTCGTAGGGGCCCGAGTCTTCCATGTCGACGGCTTGGAGGAGAAGGACGTCGGACTTCGGGTCGGTGACTCGGGAGGCGACGGCCTTCATGATCTCGCCGTTGATTGGTTGCTCGTAATCGGCGACGAGGTATTGATTGAGGAGTTTCTGAATCTGGTTGGGTGAGAGCCTAGAATTTGGTCAGCAGTTGCTTGATGAGATAATGTTAGATGATACTCACATCCAGCAAATATCCTGAATGATCTCAATATCATTCAGGGTAGCCTTCTTGAGCTGCAAAAGCTTCGTAGCTTGCATCAAGTGCTCAAGCTGGAGAGTACCCTCAGGCATGTCATGGCTCTTACACCATTCTTCGATCCTGGTGATGTTGTAGTTGATCTGCAGACCACGCTTCCAAGACAGGAAATTTCTCCTCATGAGCAAGTCGTTGAAGGCGGTGACACCAACAAGTCGGAGCAGTTCCGTGACTGTCTGTGTGATGATGCTGTCCTCCAGGTAGAATGCCTTCATAGCCTTGAACACGTTGTTCAGCAGGCTCAGCAGGTTATCCATGCTGTAAGCTGGGGTGTTCGAGGACTGCAACAGCTTGCCGAGGAAGCGGTTGTTCTCGTTAGTAACGAAGCCGGGCAGCGATTGCGATTCAATAATGGCAGGCACGATCATCTTGTGGAGCTTCTTCTTCAAGACCTTCATCCAAGTGTGGTAGATGTTGAACTCCAAGCTCTCAAGATCGTGCTTGACGATCTCCAGAAGACGGTCGTACTCGAAGTTGTCGGTCTTCTGTGCCTCATACCAGTCCTCTGCCAGGAAGACAAAGGACAGCATCTCGTGCACGTTGGACAGCCAGAAAGCACCAGGGTTGATAGCCTCGTCACCGTCATGTTGCATGACTTCTTGCTGAATGGACTGCATGACATTCGCCAAGAACCGCTCAGACTCTTTCACGAAGCCATTGTTCCACATCTCGCTGGTGACCAAGTTGATGAGGTATGCGGGGAAGAGCACTTCCTTGTCTGTTGGAGGTGGGCTGCTGCCAGGTGCTGGGATCTTCAGGTTTCTGATGAGACCCATCGTAACCTCGTCATTGAGTCCATCTTCATCTGCAAGCAAGTTCTCCAGCTCCATCTCCACGTTCTCCAACCCAGGGTTGAACGTGGAGCCAGAAAGGTTTTGTGTATGCCCACTAGCCGTCGCACCAAACGCCATCGAGACTGGCCGCGGATTATAAGCGCCACTGAAACGGTCGGTCTGTATCGTCTCAGGACCGGCACTTCTCCTCTTCGGCTTCTTCGAGGCGACGAGATTGATGAGACCAGGCGCAGCGCCGGCAGCAGCGCCGTTGGTGAGCTCGCCGTTGCTGACGGGCACCGCCCTTTTGGCGAGTTCGAGCTGATCTTGCAGGTCTGTGAGTTGTTGACGCAGGCCGATCTTCTCGCTCTCGCTGGCAGTCTTGGCTGCTCGGGCTGATTCGAGCTCGAGAGTGGTGACACGCAGGTTCTCGCGGAGGCTCTTCTCCTCTTCTTGCAAGCGACGCATGTTCGCTGTGCTCTCTTCGTAGCTGGTCTGCAGGCGAGCCATGTCTGCCTCCATCTGTTCCAGCTTGGCGGATGTGATACCGGCCTGGTTGGCCTCTCGCTGCAAATCGTTCGTCCGGTGTTCCAGAGCATTGTACTTTTCTCTCGAGCTCTTGACCTGGCCTTCCAAGCTCTCGACTTGGCCCTTGAGGACCTTGTTCTCTTTTCGCATCGTGCCCAAGTTCTGAGTGAGCTCGACCACCTTGTTCTCGAGCTTGTAGGAGATCTGCTTGAGATCTCTGGCTTCCTCTCGCAGGCCTTTGTATGTCTTGCGTGCTGTCTTGCCGCGCCACAAACTCTGCACGAGGGTAACTTTCCGGCGGTAGTCGCGCCAGCCTTTGAGCTGTTTGTAGCTTCTCCAGTTTCGCTGAATGATGATTGCTGCATCCGAAAACTTCTTGTCCAGAATCATCTTTCGGCATAACCAACCCTTTGCCGCCGCTTCGAAGCGGATGAGATTGTTGCGCTGCTGTAGGTACTGTTTGCGTACCTTTTGCCCTCTCCAAACCCGCTGGATCGTGGTCGCGCTGTGGTTGCGCCGGATCTCTTCGACTTTTCTCCGTGCCAGATTTGCTCGTGCTCGGGCCTGAAAGGCCTTGATGCTGTCGATGGACTCAAGATACCGACGCCGATAATATTTCGCGCGCAGATTCTTTTGAATCATGATTGCGGCCGCATTCAATCTGTTTGTGCGCAGGTTCTCCAAGAAAGCAAGCATACCAGCACGGAAGAAGATCTTGGTCAGACCCAGCTGGTATTTGTCAGTCTTGTCATTGTTTGCAGCGCCCAGTGCCTTCCGGAGAATGGCGTTGGCCATGTCTCGGATTTCCGTCGTCCATTGCGCAGATGGGATCAACATGTAGTAGCGCAGCGCAAACTCCTCGTAGGTCCATCGGGTCGGGTAACCAGCACAGCTGATGCGGACAGTCTCGAGAACACCACAAGCACGAAGTTGACTCAGAACCATAGGTCCCTCGAACTTCCATGCTTCCTTCGCCTCGTTGGGCTTGATACATCTGATGTAATGGACCTCAGTGTTATTGATGGTCTCCATCAGCTGAATCAGCGAACTCTTGAAGATGCCGCCAAGCGTTGGCTTTCTTGCTGCTGCTGCGCCCTTTCGAGCGCCTACAGCACCATTCGCCTTGCCTGGAGCAACAGCAGCTGTTTCTCGTTCTCGCACCGCCGCACTTGATTCGAGAACCTCGACCAAGAATGTGTTTGAGCTGCTGCGCAGCACTTCGAGGTGCTCATCTGGAACAGTATCTCTGTTCTTCTCGATAAAACCATCGCTCTCGTACGTCACATCAATGGCGTAATGACAAACAGTGAATGCACTCTTGCCGAATCTGGGCTTCTTGTAGAACTTGTGCTTGTCCTGGGAGAAGTTGTGATGCAGCTTGTTGACAAAAGATTCGTCGGACCCCATAGGCAACCTACTTTCTTCGTCCAACAGAGCCAGGATACCCAACTTGCCTTCGATCAGGTCGATACATGGCTGGTTGTCACTGAAGTCGATGAACTTCCAGTCAATTTGCTCTCGCAGATATTCTTCCTGCTCCAGCTTAAAGACGTGCTGGTTGAACTCTTGCTGCAGCTTCTCGTTGGCGTAATTGATACAGAACTGTTCGAAGCTGTTCTTGGCGAAGTGCTCGAAACCGTAGATATCCAGGACACCAATGAAGGAGGTCACTTCCTTGACGACTTCCTCAGGGGCCAGGAAAGCATTCATAGTCTCGACAAGCCAGTCGAAAAGCGAGGAGTAGATGTATTTGGCCACAGAGTCTCGTACGACCGTAGCTTGCTGTGCAGTCAAGTTGGACATGATCTTCTCGCCTCGTGTGACGAGCTGTTTCTTGATCGTCCATTTGGCGAACTCGTCGGCATTGATACCGAGCAGCTGACACGCCTTTGCCAGCGATGGTTCAGAGGAAGCTAGCTGCGAATCCGTCCTTGTGGCAGTAATCTTAATATTACCAATGTGCAGCAGCGCAGCCAGCAGCTTCCACAGACCACCCTGCACCTCCAGCGAGACACCCAGCCGGTCGAGCGATTGCCGGGTCTCCTTGAAGTCCTTTGCATCGTCCACGCCATCAATTTGTGGTGCGGCACCCTGGTTCAAGTAGTCGAAGTGCTCTACAGGCACCAGGCCCAGCTGTTCCCGCTCTTCCTCTGTCGCTCCAGCAACGAGTTGGTAGAAGATGTGGTAATTCCGCTCCTTAAGCGGTTGGAAAACCAATCGTGATCGCTCGAGGAGGTAGGTTCGTATCCGCGCGCCAATAATGTCGGTGCTCTTGTTAAACATGATCTCAATGTACTTACCGAAACGCGAGGAGTTGTCGTTTCGGGTCGTCTTCGCGTTACCAAAGGCTTCCATGATAGGGTTCGTAGCAAGAATTTGCTCTTCCGTTTCACTCATCGTATCGGCTCGGCCGCGGCTGCGAGTGCCAGGCTGGTCGGGAGGTTCTCGTGTAGCAAAATATCGCATGATGTATTTGGCACTGACCGTTTTACCAGCTCCCGACTCTCCCGAAACCACAATGGTCTGGTTCTTCTCATTGCGAAGCATGTCCGCAAAAGACTCTTCTGCTATGGCGAACAGATGCGGCGCCTGCGAGGCTCGGTGCTTGCCGGCGTAGACTTGCACCATGCCCGGCACGTAGAGCGAGTCGACTCGAGCAAAGGGATTCGTAGCGATGAGGACAATACCAGAATAGGTGTAGATCTCCTTTTGCGCATATCGCAGCTTGATGGCCTGCAACACGGCAGGTTCGTTCAGATGTGAGAGATTCGTGAGATCGTCGCTGGCCTCGAGCATGGCCGGGTTCATCAGCGGTGGGAGGGTCGAGCTCAGAGCATCTTTGTTTAGCTCGTCTATGGTGGTCTCGATGGTTTTGTCCTGCACTCATTAGCACACTTGCCATGCTGCACTGCTACCCTCCAGCGCCGTCCGTACCTCAGGCGTCGGCTGGCCATCTCGCTCGTCGAAGGTGAAGACCAGTGTGACTTTGTCCCCATCGACGTTCTTGCTCTTTACGGTGCTGGCAACCCAGCCGTCGGCGGCATCAGGCTGCCAGCAGCGTGTCCCGACAGCATATTCGTGAGACATGGTGGCGGTGGGGTCGTGGGAGGAATAAAATTAAGTAGTAGTAGTGGTCGTCGTCGCGGCGCTCCTGCTGCTTCCACCGCTGGCCTCCCCCTTCTCTCCACAGCGGTCGAATGTCCTCCTCCTCACCGCGCTGGTGGTGCACAGCCGCTGTCAAAGCCGGTGAGGTGTGCAGCACTCGGGGCGGTGGTGTGCGGGTGAGTTGGATGCGGCCAGGCGCATCACTCTCGGTGGATTGTGGGATGGGTGTGGTGTTCGGCAAGAGGACAGATTATTTGTCGGCGTCTGGAGGCTGAGAGCTGGCGTCCCTGAGCGTCCAAACGCGCGATTGAGACCTGGCTTTGCACCCTGGCCGCTCCTTCGGCTAGCACCGAGCCCGCGCCATTCCCCTTCGATGTGGGCGCGCGCGGGACAGTTTCAGAACGTGCACATCGACCATCATCTCGTGTCACTCGCGCCTTGTGCAATGTGCACGCTGACGAGTCTTGTGTGTTGTCACTCACGCACGGGAGTCTCTTCATGTGATGCGGACATACTTACTCATTCGTAAAAATGGACGTTTTCACAAAACACCGCCCGCCAGCACTCGTGGATCGTCAGCGGGCATGTACGCAGCGCCGAAGCCCCTGTCATCAGCAGCGAGCGGCGGTGAAGAGTCGCGAAAAGGAAACGTCCTCCATTTGCCTCCCGCCCATTCGCCCAACTCCTGCACACCTCCTGATGCTTCTCCGCCCACCGCCGTAGTAGTCCCACTAACTTAGCACCACCTCCACCGCAAAATCTACCACGGCGGCAGCATAGCGGTGTTGTCACTACTGCACGCACACCTCACTCCCTCCATCATCTCCGATGGACAGCGAAACTTGGTTGTTGCAGCTGCCGAAACGAGCATCAGACGTGATTGCTGTTGTCAGAGCTCGCAGGCTTCCGCCATCTTCACGTGCGCCTGCGGAACTCACTCCACGAAAGTCTGGTGCACGGGCGTCGCGTTGTATAACTGTAGCAATTGCAGTGGCATGATCAAATTGCACTTCTGCGCATTAGTTAATAACCGGATCGGAAAGAGAGCTCGATTGCATCCTAACCCTCTGTCGATGTCCTTCTCCAACAATTCTCATCAATTGCCTCGCGGCCTATCTTTCGCCTCAGCGGCATTGCAATGCTCGAGTCCGCAGAAACACGCGCAAGACCCCTCATGTCTCAGCTCAACCCTCCAAGAATAATCGTGTCAACGCTCAGCATCATAACTCATGTCATCATCGGCCCAAACCCGCCCAGAGCGAAGCAATGCTCCTGGCACCTCACGCTCCAACTTCAAAGTCTGTCATCACAATCGCTCTCCTCATCTCTGCGCTTACGAAAGCCCTGCCCAATATCCTCACCAACCGCCACATCAATTCCATCCTTGTAGAACGCCTCATCAACATCAACGCCTTGCAACTTACGCTTCAGATTCTTCGTGCCGCTCGGTGGTGGCGTGGTCAGGCCAGCTGCCTTTTCTTTATCATCTTCATCCTCGGACTTCAAGAATGGCGAGAGCTCCTTCTTCACTGCTACAGCTCTGCCCTTCTTTCTCGGGGTTGACTTCTTGGTGATGCCAGTTGGACGAGAGCCGGTAGTGGCATTGGGCGTTCCTGCTGCTGCCTTGCGGATGGCTGCGATCTTGTGGGTGATGGCTTTGGCAGTGCAGTCTTGGAAATGAGGTCAGTCATGTCTCCTGTGTCCAGTGTCCACGCCGCCGCCGCCGCTGCAAGCTCAAGTGAACGACTAGGGAACAGCTTGAACGAGACTCACCTGGACCCATGCGGGAAGCGATCTCGACCTTCTGAGCCTCACTTGGCTTGACGTCGCAGACTTGAAGAATGATGGCGTAGAGCTGTCGGCCAAGTCAGTCAAACTGCTGAGGCACGTGAGGGCAAAAGCTCTCAGCTCTCACCTTGGCCTGAGCCTCGTCGTTCCAAGTCATAGGCATTTTGGCTGAATTTGCTGCGTGACTGTGCTGTTGTTTGAAAGGATGGTACAATCTTGCTGTCCTGCAGCTTGAGAAGAGAGATGAAAGTTCGTGAAAGCGAGGTGGTGTGTGTGGAAGTGTGGAAGTGTGGAAGAGAAGAAGTGGTCAAGAGGATGAGGAGGGCGGACGTCCACCTCTAGTACCCACATTGCAGCGGAAGTGAGGTATTGTGATTCTAATATGGCCATTGACAATTGACAATTCACGGAAGGTATGCTATTGTCGTTGTGCGGCAAGAGCCGTTGCGGCAGGTGCATGTGGGGCCAAGTGAGTGAAGAAGCGGACAATAGGTACTTATTTCCAAACAATCTGAAAGCTGCTGTGCGTCTGCTTGACTGAGAGATCACAGTTGTAACAGAATCTTGCGAAGCAGAGATTCGGCAGCTATCTGCCTCATCATGTGGTTGGGTCTGGAATGACTTCCGCAATGGAGCACGCAGTGAGAGACAGAAATTCTGTGCAAAAGCAGAAGAACTACAATGTCTTTTCAATGATTACGACTTGTTCACGTGTCCGAGAAAGTCTCGTGCCACCGCAATGGATGACGCGACAAACCACAATCATGCATGACGGCTCATGTGAAGTGAAGCGCAGGGAGCGGCGCGCCTTCCTTCAGCTTCTCATATTGTTTGTGACTGCAATCAACCCATCATTCTCACGCAGGCTACCACGTGCGGCAGCTCATCCGATTCCACCTCTTCATCATGTATCATTGGCAACCAAACCAGTGCGATCTGCAGAACCTTACAATATCGACTCTCGCATCGTCGTCTCGCATCGTTATGAGAGAGGGCAGAGAGGCACCTGGACGGAGGCGATTGGAAGCGATTGGAAGCCTCTTGAATGCAAAAGGAGGAATTCTGAAAGCGCGGAGTACTTTCCCACCTGCCTGATTGTCTTTGGCCATCAGGTTGTACAATTCTCAGCAATCTGGTAACCGTTGGGCCACAGTCTTCATGCCACATACATTGGACTTTGAGTGCAGATAATAATCTTCATTCGTCTTCTACACATGATCATCCACCACTACCACCCCAGTCTACCACCTATCGACTCATATCCATATTCCATGCAATAATTTCACTGCTCGTTTCTAAACCTGCTTTGTCTATGCCATATCACAAGACCAAAAACCAAGCCAAAGGGGGTATTCAATGACACAAGCAGAAAAGTCTCAAACGTTCATCGGACATAAAGTTGAACGCATCTCACAATTGTCTGTATTCGTACACGCGCCCAAGGAAAAGGGAGTCTCTATCGTCTACCTGGCGGAGGTCCCGGTGGCGGAAATCCATATGCGCCACCGTTTTGCGGCGTCTGTCTTCTAAACAACGGCTGCCGTTCGTCGACCAGCGGTGGAGGTCGTTGTCCGTATCGATCCACAGGAGGTCCTGGTGGAGGAGCATCTCGTTCTCGACCAAAAGGCGGAGGAGGACCCTGGTCGCCGACTCGCCTGCGTTCATGCTCGAGCTGTTCTCGGTGCCGTTCTTGCATGGCAACTTCTGCGTCCCGCGCTGCCATGTCACGAAGGCTCATGCCGCCTAGAGATTGCCGCCCGCTGCTAAAAGGGTTGCCTCCGAAACCTTGCATGTGCTGGTGATGCATCGGTTGTCTCTGCGAATATGCTTCCCGTTGTCGAAGTTCGTGTTGCTCTGCCTCGGCCTGCCGATGGTACGCCTCACGCTCGCGCTCTCGCTGTATGGCATTGGCTCTTTCTTGATCCGCGACAACACGAGATTGGTATACTACCCGTTCCTCCTCCCGTCGTGCTTCTTCGCGCGCAAGGTAGCTTTGACCTCCGTGAAAGCGCTCCAATATGGAGCCGCCTTGGGAAATCGAGTTGTTGTGAGAATGGTGAGCACGATTCGTGGACTGTGGCGGAGCTTGAGAGAATGGCGGGATTGAATCTGGTCGACCGTACTGAAGCGAGCTCAGTGGAGCTGGCGTGACTGTAGACCCACCGACGTGCACTGATCGTGCAGATTCCCTCGGGGCGCCAGTCTGCGTCAACGAAGGTGTCCTTGAATGACCAAGCATGCTTGGTGGCGGTGAAGGATTCGCCCGAGCAGGTGGATTGAGACCCGAGAACATTGTACGGTGATTCGAAAAGGGATAGCCGGATCGCGAATCCCTGAGATCACGATCCAACGGCGCAGGCGCCGGTGGGCTTGGTTGAGAAGCATGAGACATCCGGGGCTGCCACTCGTGCTTCGGAGCTTGCTGCAATGTTGACGTCGTTCCATTCGATGGTTCTTGCTTAAGAGTAGCAGGAGATGGACCAGGCGTGGAAACAGACTGTCCGAAAGGTCCGCGTTGGAACTGAGAATGCGGTGCATTTGGCTGCCCAAAAGTCTCTCTCCTCGTTGGCGGCATGTTCGTCATGGGCTGTGGAGTAGGTGCTGAGCTGTACGGTGGAGCCGGCGAAGCGACGCGAGTTGTCGATGCAGAAGGTAGGCTATCCCTCTTCACAGCTGGTTTGGTCTCTTCTGGTTCGGAGTTGAGGATCGACATCAGGTTTGACTTCTTAGGCGGCTCAGGTGCGGGAGTAGGCACATTTGAGGGCATCGGAGGTTGCTGGAACGGTGTGCCTGTGGATCCGGATCCAGGACGCGGCGTTTCGTGCTTTGTAGGGGAAGGATTGTATGGCCCTCGCCCTAATGCAGACATTGCAGACATCCCGAATTGCGGACCAGAACCTGCTGATGGATTGGGATTGACGAGAGCTGGTCGAGAAGACAACCCAGGAAACCCGCTACGTGCAGGTGTGCCGACGCGCTCCTCAAAATCTCGCCTGCGCTCTTGCGCCGGCATGGCGGTGGAGCTCTGTGGAAGATTCATGTTCACTGGGGAGCCATGTGTGTGTGGTATGCTTTGTTGCGGACGTTGCTGCTGATGTTCCATGCGCGCTTCGTGCTCGTTGTGTGCCTGCATACGCAAGGCCCGACTTTGTTCAGCATGGAGATTCTGCTCCATAGACTGCAGGAATTCAGGCGGTGGCGCGTTGGACAGTGTGCGTGTGAGCTGTGGAGGAGGTGGTTGGCTGCGTGGTGGCGGTGGTCCACCTTCTTGGCCAACTCGAAACATCGAAGTTGGCTGCATGTTCGGTCGAGGTTCGGCTCGAGTCTCTGCCAGCAGACCAAACCGAGGACCCAAGGGATGCTGGAGTCCACCACGATTCATCGGCATATTGGGTGGCATTGTCGATGCTGGAGTGGCGACCGGAAGCATAGGGCTGGGCACCACGCGCTGTGCTTGGATGGGAGTTCCGTGCGCAGAGCCTGTGTAACGTGGTTTGGTCTGGAGCTGCGGTGGCGACGCTTGGTGTGCAATTGGCGGCCTCGGTCCTCCTGGAGGCTCCTCCACATCCATTGCATCTGTCTGCGGGGCAAGTGCACGCGGGGTGCTCGTTTGTGGGTTGTCGTACTTCCTTTTGGTGATGGGGGTCGGTGTCGGCGGAGGACCCATATCCTCTCCTCGGGCTCTACGTTGGTCTGCATGTTCCGCCTGCTCAGCAAGATCGGCGCGTCCGCCATCGACTTGACGCTGGAAGTGGTTCTTGATCATTGTTTGAGTCTTCGTCCCCATGTGATTTGCGATAGCGGCGAAGTCGGTTCCAAAGTGGGCAATGTACTTGGCGAAATCAGTCTGCTCTGGGACTGACCAGTAACTGGACGCGCTCTGTTTCGCAGGCTGAACAGGGAGCCGGCCAGATTCAACATCTTCCATCAGCATATGCGGGTGCATGGGTTCCTGCGCAAACATAGGGAGCGTTTCGTGCTGCATCATGGTGCGCGGAGCGCCCTGAAAGTTAGCTAGCAAGCCAGCCTCCTCGAGGCTTGGCCCATTGAGTCTTGCAAACTCATCCTTTGGCTGCGGAGGTGGTGGTTTGTGAGGTGACATGCCTGGGGCTGCCGCTGCCAATGGCGCGAGTTGAGTTTTGCCCTTTCTGCCAGGTTTGCCCTCTCCAGTGCGCCGTTGCTTCTTGGCGGGCTTTTCTTCTCCGTTGGCATCCTTGTTTGAACCAGTCCCGGGCTTTTTGGCAGGCGATGGACCGACAAGAGTGCCCTTGGCTTCGATCTCGCGTTCACCAAAAGTGGTGGGTGCTGCCGCGCGTTTTGGTCTCCCAGTAGTGGTGTCGGTAGTCTGAGCTACATCTTCGCCGCGATTCAAATCAGCCATGAGCGCAGAGCCACGAGATGGCCGGGAGGCTTTACCACCCCTGCCTCTGCGACCGCCCTTGAACTTCTTCGTCCTATTGTCTCTGAATCGTCCGTCCCACTTGTTGGCATAGTAATGATGGATGCAGTCTTTATAGGTTCGACCTTCGAGGAGTGAAGCAATCTCGCCCCATTTCTTGGGAGTGTCCTTGAAGGCTGCGATGAACACCTCTTGTTCGTGCTCAGTGAACGTGTCCGGAGGTGGCTCGTAGGAGAAGACACGCAAGAGTTTGGCAGGATCACGAAGCCTGTTGGTGTTGACCAGGGCATCCCGATCTAGAATCTCTTGAGTCTCTTGATCTGGAAGCCTCGCTTCTTTCTCCATGTCGGCCTGGACCTTCTTTGCTTCTCGATCCTGTCTTTCTTGCTCGATTCGAGCAGTCTCTTCAGATTCTCGAATAACTCGCTCAATCTCGTACTCGCTGCTATTCTTGTGTAAGCGGCGTCCTTCGAGAATCGGATTGATCAATGGCATTAGAGGAGCCTCAGGCACTGGTCCAGGCTCAGTCGATAGCTGTCGTTCAAGCTTCTCTTGCTGTTCCTTGATCCTGTCTAACTCTTCACATTGCTCTCGCCACTGCAGGTAGACATCGGCGAAATCGTCCTCTGCATCTTGCTCAATGTCCCTTTCAATCTGGAAATCCTCGTGAAGAACGGCCGCCACCTCGGCTTCTTCGTCCTCAATCTCTTGCACGGTCTCCTGGAACATATCACAGTCTTGCAAGGGCAGAACTTCCTCGGACTTGATCAGATATGGTAGAGACACGGGCTCAGGACTTCGCCGGCGGGGCAAATGGGCCACGTCCGCTTCATCTTCCGCATCCCGGATGGCCACATCGAGATCTTGTCCTGCACGCGGTGTTGTAACTTCTGGTCCCTCGTCACTGCCGGAGGAGAGTGTAGCGCCAGGCACATCGCCCCTCGCATCGTCCTCCTCTACGTCCATCGGATCCCCGCGTTGCTCGTTAAGTCGTGCAAGATCACGTGCAGAGAGTCGTGCCAATCTAGCAATTGACTCCAGTGGCGACGTCGCACGGAATTGGGGAGCGCAGAGGTCGTGAAGCTTTGCGCGCAACTCACGCTCCCTTCTGGCATGCTTAGCCTCAAGGAGAGTTGCGTCTTCATCCTCGTCAAGCTCATCATCTTCTTCGTCGCTGCTGTCAATGATGTTCTCTTCAGAACGAGGAAGTGTTCCACCAAAGAACGAAGCACGCGTGGTGGCTTGGCTGTGGCTTAGTGAAGATTTGCGCTTAGTAGGCTCACGGTCGATATCCATTCGATCTTCCGTCTTGACGGCAAAGTTGTCATGCTCTGATGCCGCTTTTGTTTGCCCCTCTTGGGACTCGTGTCTCGCATCTGCGGGGACCTGCCCATCCCCATTCAAAGCTTGTTCCTGCCTCTCCTTCTCATCTCCATTGAAATCACGTTTAGCTGGCACAGCGGGATACGGAGACGGACCTGCTGGAGGAGGACGACGCCATTGATTCCACTGAAGTTGGCTTCTCGGACCAGATGGCGCGAATGGAGGCCTTTCTGGCGGGCGTGGGACTGCAGTGGCGGGGGCTGGGGCCATGCGTGGCATGGAAGGCGGACCTGCCCGAGCGGCTTTGGGAGCGGTCGGAACAGTTGACGTGGCCACTTTGGGTGACACGCTGAACGATTGCCTGCGTGGACCGGAGGGTGCGGTTGGTGGCGGTGTGCCAGAACGAGCAGATGCCGTGGATTGGAAAGCCCCTATATCAGACCGGGGCGAAGTGAATGGTGGTCGTGGAGATACCGAAGTTGGTGCTACAGGAGGACGTACTGCCTTTGGCCCTGTTGGTGCAGAGATGTCAAAGCGTGGAGCTTGTGGTGGGTTGGGAGATATAGGCTGTGCCAAATTTGGTAGTGCATGCCTAGTTGCACCTGGTGAGGGAGGCATTGAAGAAGGAGGATGAGTCTGGTGCGGTTCAGTCCGGTTCGAACCAGGCATGTTGTCCAGCGACCTGACGCCATGCAACCTATTGCTCGGAGGTATGACGGCATCGAGCTCGAGTGCACGAGGAGCCCGGGGCGCTGTAGGGGGCGGACTGGCATGATGAGCCTTGGGTGCGAGGGGAGCAGCTTTGGGCGCGGTAGGTGCATTGCTCGGAGGAGCTGGCCGGTCGTCTACGGGCTGCTGTGTGACTTCGGGAGTGTGCGCGTAGTCCTGTCCTGCAGGTCGCGACTCTGCCGATGGCTTGGATGATTGAGGCGGCTGGTTGCTTGCAGAGGTAGGTGCAATAGAGAAGCTAAAGGCTGGCACCGGGGGCGCTTGAGTCGGTGGGCTTGACCCTCGAGAGCCATACCTTTGCGCTGCAGCGTCAGCACGTCCATTAAGATATGCGGGCTCCGGAGGTAGATCTCGCCGCTGCGTAGCAGTCGTAGGAGGAGCTGCCGATGGACGCCTTAAGCCGGTGTCACCTCCAGAGCTCTCAATAATGGCTAATCGCTCGGGATTGATCGGCGGTGCGGCAGTTGCTGAATAGGTAGCGTTGATACTCGGCGTGTTGTCGCTAGGAGGCCGACTGTCCAGCCGAGCGGGCGGAAGCTCTCGTCTTGAACGTTCGAGATCTATTCGATCTCGTTCTCTTTCTCTGTCCACCCAATCTGGCCGCCTTTCGTCCTCTCTACGCTCAAATCGTCGCTCATCTCTCCGCTCTGCATCCCTACCATCTCGAGACAAGTCACGACCGAAACGCGGAGGTGGACTGCGTTCTCTCCGCGCTGGAAACAAATCTCCTCCACGATCGTCCAGAGCTCGCCGTCCCCCTCGTGTCGCGCCTCGGAAGTCGAAATCGCCTCGTCCGCGGCCACGGAACCCGGATCCGCCTCGGTAAGAAGACCCTGCGAAGGGAACGCTGTCAGAATAATTAGAACCGGCTGACGGAGGCCCGTCTCGCGACACTCTTCGTGCACTGCGAATGTCGATATCTCGTGGAGGCAATTCTCTTTGTTCGGGGAATTTTCTTGGCGGCGAGCGCTCGCGTGGCGGGGGCGAGCGATCCCGCCGATCAGGATAGTCGCGCTCGCGGAACGGTCTGGCACCGCTCCCTAGAGGCGGCGCATCTCGCAGTGAAGGGCGGGAGGCATTTGCAGAGGTCTGCACAGCAGGCGGTGGTCCTCGCGAAGGGCCATCGAATTGTGACCTGGGTCCGCGCGGCGCGTCGGAACCATTTCGCAATGGATTGACGCCTGCATGTCGGGCATCGAACACGTTAGCACTGGAGCCTCTTCGGTCGCCAAAGCGCGGTGGTGAGCGTGATCGATCTGCTGGGCCTCTGTAATTCGAGCCTCCTCTGTAAGACATCCAGAAGGAATTGTACGTAGCCCAGCTGCGTGGCTGAACTTGGATCTTGGCGCGACTACCCGTGGCTCATGGGCGGCGAAAACAGTGGGTCAGCGGAGGTCAAAGTTGACTCCAGCTATTCGCACTGCCTTTGAAGCTGATGACAGCGCTGCATAAACGCGTCGCGCCAATGGGTGTTCCTCGTGGTGCCGTCGATGTGTGTGTGAGGCGTTTGGGATGCAGCTCAATCTAGAAGTGCAGGTGCAAGCGCTCGGGCGAGTCAAGCCACAAAAGCGGGTAGCGTAGCGGATCGCTGGCCCCGGCTCGAACTCTTCTGCAGGCGTGTGCCCAGGTGGAGAAAAACGGCCAGCTGATGCGAAGGCGACGAAGAGGCAGGCCGGTGACTGCAACGGCCAGCGGAGTCCGCTGGGCACCGCAAATGAGGTGAATGTGCGCTGGCACGAGCGTGCACGAGATGGACGCGTCCCGTGGGCTTTTGGCGCCGAAAGAGGCCGTTTTGCTCCTGTCAAACAGGCGGCGGTCTCCCAAGACTCGCGGTCCAAGATCTGGCTGGCGGGTGCCAAACAAATCACGAAACTCCGGCGAGGTGCTGAATGCAGTGCCCTCGACGTTCTGAGCACCGGCTTGGCGCGTCCCGAGTCCAATGGAGCAGTAATGCGAAAGTGATGCGTCGTTGTCCTTGGGCAGGTTGATGATACTCTGGAGAGACCAGCACAAGCCTCTTTGCGGATCGCGGCTAGAGCTTACCGAGAAAGGGTCGCGACTTCTTTGCCGAGTGTTTCAAATCGGGGTGCATCACCAACAGTCTGCACAGATGGGTGTTGCAGGGCACAGGGACGGCATGTTGCGGGCGTGATGCACTGTGCTACACTCCTGATTATCGTGACATCTCGTGGTCGTTGGACACGAAACAAAGCGAGCGAGCGCGCCAGAAGCCCCCGACCGACGCTGCGCAGCTGTCCTGCAGCAGGAGTGGCTCCCGACCAGTCCACTGCTGGCTGCCCGAAGCCTGGCGCATCGCTGGCCTGCAAGGATGGCAACTCTAAAAAGCCTGTGCAATGTCGTAATCAAGCATCTGTCCCCTGGCACACCACGAGTCCCATTTCGCGTCTGGGACGCCGACTAGCGCTGTCTTGGACTGCGTGTGTGGTGTGCACGAGAATTGCTGCCGCCGCGGTGTCGAACATTTCTCCGTGGCAGCGCTGAGGGTCGCGGGATAGAGTGCGGCGATCGAACGGCTGCAGACACGCAAGGGCGCTGTCTCTGTTTTGCAACGACACGTGCCCTCAGCCCGGTACCTCGATGTCTGGGCCGATTCGACGTACGTGGGACGCACGAGTGGGGCGAGCTAGTATTAGGCTTTTTGACAGCAATCTCGAAATAAATTCCAGTCTGCACGACCACAACAAGAACAACTCTCATGGCTTCCCACAGCCAGCCCGAACAGCACGATGCTCCTGCGGGCGCTGCCAATGCAGTGCTCAAGCCGTCGGACCCCGTGCCGGCAGGCGCGGTGCCCGTCAAAGGGCTAGATTTTGATGCATTTGCGGATCGCAATGTCACAGTCGCCGAGCTGGTGGAAAATCTGGCCAATGTGGGGTTCCAAGCGACGTCGATAGGACAGGCCGTCGATATAGTCAATGGCATGGTATGTAGACCGCTACACTCCTCTTGACGTGCTTGCCGCTCTTTCTCCTCCTTCCTGTCCTCACCGTATTAACCCCTGTTGCAGCGGACCTGGCGCGATGCAGAGACCGGAGAAAAAACTACCATCTTCCTGGGATACACCTCGAACTTAATCTCATCGGGCCTGCGCGAGACGCTCAGATGGCTCGTACAACACAAGCACGTCTCCGCCATCGTAACGACGGCCGGTGGCGTTGAGGAAGACTTCATCAAATGTCTTGGGAACACTTATCTCGGGTCATTCGAGCAGCCTGGAGCGGCACTGCGTGCCAAAGGCATGAACCGCATCGGTAACCTGCTTGTTCCAAATGACAACTATTGCCATTTTGAGGACTGGGTCATGCCAATTCTCAATAAAATGCTCGAGGAGCAGGAAGAATCGAGGACTTCAGAACAACCATTGAGCTGGACACCCAGCAAAGTCATTGCTCGCCTCGGAAAGGAGATCAACGACGAAAGCTCCGTGTACTACTGGGCGTGGAAGAACGACATTCCAGTATTTTGCCCGGCACTCACAGATGGAAGCCTTGGTGACATGCTTTACTTTCACACCTTCAAGTCATCGCCGCAGCAGCTCCGGATCGACATTGTGGAAGATATTCGGAAAATCAACACTCTCGCGGTACGCGCGAAGCGGACCGGCATGATCATTCTTGGCGGAGGCGTTGTGAAGCACCACATTGCGAATGCGAATCTGATGCGCAACGGCGCGGAAAGCGCAGTTTACATCAACACCGGCCAGGAGTTTGATGGTTCAGATGCCGGAGCTAGGCCCGACGAGGCCATCAGCTGGGGCAAGATCAAAGCCGATGCAGCGAGTGTCAAGGTAGTCGATCTCGCCTGACTCGTGCGGAATACTGAGACGTGCTAACATGATTGCAGGTGTATGCTGAAGCTACCATCGCCTTCCCTCTCATCGTCGCCGCAACCTTTGCCAAAGTCGAGAAGAACGGCAGCGCGCCATGAAAATCAACCAGTGAGGGATCTTGAGTGGCAGCGCCGAATCGCGCTTGTGCAAGGCACCTTTTTGACACTCCAGGCCGACGTGCATAAGCGCGACTGCGCGATTGACGTGGTCAAGTCGCGGACATGGGGCCGCCCGTGGGAGTCATCGCATCCACGTCGCATGACGCGGCTGCATTACATTCTAGGTATGTATGAACGTACGCGGTGCCCGGTGCAGGAGGCTGTCGGTATTGTGTCACTGCCGACTGTCTTGTTTGCCAGCACTCGAAGCATCGTCAGTAAAACAGGCTGCAAAGTGCTAAATGAGATAAGGTTTCGCCGCCCCACTGCACTAGCGCCTCGGACCCTTCATGCAGCTGCTCTAGCGACTTGATAGCACTTCTGCCTATACAGCATCTGCAACGTGAAGGCTGACGACAAGGCTGTGGAAGTGACAGGCAGAAGCAGCGACCGCCATACCACTCGCTAGAAGGAATCGGCTTCAGGCACAGCTCCGCGCGACGAGGCCTTGTGCAAGAGCGGGTACCCACTGCCGACGGACAGCTCGCATGTGACAATCGCGAGAGCTGCGGCCACAATAGAGACAGCCGCCCTATTGTGCGCGCAGTGAATTGTTCGACCCCAGCCACCGCGCGGACACATCTATTCATCTTTCTTTCGACCAGATCATCAACCTTCCACCAAATCACTTCAACCATCTCGCTCAAACCTCGCGACCGAGCAACTCGAACCAGCAAACACACTCCCGCCTCACTGTGACTGCGGTCTACGTCCTCACCATGGACCGCCACGGTCCAGGTCCCGTTGACGCCCCTCGTCCACTCGCCGCACGTCGCTCACCGCCTCCTCTGCCTCACCTCGCGACCATGAATGCCAACGACTGGACCTTTCCGCCCGAACTCGCAACGCCAGTCTTCCCACCTGCCGCCGTCGCTCCACCCAACGTCGAGGTCGCTCCAGCAGGCCCTCCTGCGCCCCCGAATGACGAACGAGAGGATCTAGGAGAGACAGATCATTCAGACAGCGAGGATGACGATGACGAGAATGACAATGCAGATGGCGACCACGCTGGCGGCGACGACGGTGCTAGTGACACCTCGACTGGCAGGCGGTGGTACCCGTTGCAAGAAGACGCACCTGAAAACAGAGAGCCTTGCGAGGACGAGCTCAAGTACATCGAGTCGAGAGCCGAGCACAGCGCGCTTGATGAGCGGTACTGGCATGAAGATACATTCACCGACATTAGCGACCCAGAAATCAATGAGGTCGAGCGGGGCATTCTTGACTGGGAGATACCTGTCTTCAATGGCACGAAACAGAAGCCGGTGCCTGCCGATGTGATGCGGTCACCTACTGTCCGCATCGGCGGCTACGACTGGCAGATCAAGTTTTATCCGCACGGCGTTCGTCGATCAGACTATCCGTCCGTATATCTGGAATGCATAACCATGCAGTCACCGGACTTCGAAGAGACAGAAGAATTTGAACGACCGCCGCTACCGTTCCTTGACTGTGTGCCGAAGATCAAAAAGCGTCGCTCAGTGGCCGCTCAGATGTCCGTGGTGCTCTACAACCCTTCCGAGCCTCGCGTGTACAATTTCCGCACCGAAGCACACCAGTTCCACAAGAAGTCAGCCGATATTGGATGGAAGTACTTCACCACATATCCGCGCTCGCACATCGCCCTTCGTCACCATGGCATGCGCAAGCCTCTGCTCACCGACGACAAACTGGCGTTCAGAGTCTACATTCGAGTCATGGACGATCCAACCGGCTGTCTATGGGACAACAGCCAACTGAATGCCGACGATATCACTCAAGTTACGGGCTTGCGACCTTTCACCAAGTCCCATCCGTATGTGTCGGCAACGCTCCCTTTGCTGCATTTCTCGCCCTTTCGCCAGTTCGTGAAAGACCTTCGCATGCCTAGCCCCTTCCGCAACTACTTCCAGACTCTTCTGTTCAAGATGTTCACGAGACGGCGATCTCCCCACTTCGGGAGAACCGGCACTCACTTGGTGGCCGATGCAATGGAGGTACTGTACCGCCTGAGGGAAGTTCTGCATCGAGATTGTGCAGATGATCCAAAGACAGCACTCAAGTTTAATGAACTTGTGGGCGAGTTCCATCCAGAGCGCAACAATGCATGTGGTTCTAATCGACTTGACACAAAGACACATCCTTCGATTCAGGATGCTGTCAATAAGCACCCAAAATTAATCGCCACGCCGCAGCTGTTGACACTTGAACTCACAAGACAAGAGCACGACAAGGAGACCCGGAAGTGGAAGAAGATCACCAATCGTGTTGAGGTACCTGACGATCTGGAAGTTTCCGGGCGGCAATACACACTGTTCGGCTTTGTCACTCATTGCGGGCACTTGCAGTCATGTAGATATAACGCTTACGTGCGTCCTCACGGCAAGGGACAGGGCTGGTACGCCTATCACGACGGACGCGTTACCAGATTGACCGAGAAGCAAGCGCGAGAGAAGCACTCTGGCATCGAAGCGCCATCTGATCAGGAGCGAGCACCTGATGATGGCTACGATAGCCCATACGATGAGTTCCACAGTCCGGATGGCGAGGTCACCTACGCAGTACTGTACGCTCGCCACGATATCTCTTTGCAGCCAGCCGACGTGCAGATTGAAAGCTGGCTGCCAGAAGAGCTTCAAGATGCATATGCACTAGATCTCGCCGATCCTCCTAACTCAGCCATCCACGAGTGGCCCGACCACCGAATTCCAGGACCACCTGTCGCGGATCCACACATTGTTGCAGAAGAGGGGGAAGCGGGTGCGCGCCTGGCCGCACTGACTGAACGCATCAACGCCACCATCGAGGCTGCAACACCCGAGCCACCTACGATCGTAGATGGCGATGGCGACATCGTCATGCGCAACACCGAAGCCGAGTCTGATTACGAGGTACCAGAAGATATCGAGATTACTGGCAAAGGCATTCGCGACTGGCTTGGGCGTCCATTCTACGAAGGCGAGTGGAACAAAGTCTACTACCACGGCACTGGTCACCTGATCAATCTCAACGGTGATGAATACATTGGTGAATTTCGAGACAACGAAATGCACGGCTGGGGCAAGATCATTCTTGCTTCTACCGGAGACATCTATGAAGGTACTTGGGAGCACGACAAGATGCATGGCAAGGGCAAGCTGATTGAGCGTGCTACCGGCAATGTGTTTGAAGGCTCTTTCCGCGAGGGCAGAAAGCATGGAGAGTTCGTTCTTCGCGGTACGGTCACCGATGAGGACAAGAGCACGTGCCAGATCTGCTATGACAATCCCATCAGCACGGCGTTCTACGACTGCGGGCACGTCGTGGCTTGTCGTGAGTGTGCGGCTCAGGTGGACTCTTGCCCTATGTGTCGCAAGAGAGTCGTCGCGAGGCTGCAGCTGTATGGCGTGACGGTTACTGCTTCTTGATTATGAGGTGAAAGGCAGCATGGCGACGGAAGACGATGCGCGTTCTTGTTTGCTTGTGTACTTGTCTGCGATCGTTCAAGCAGTTGCATGAGATGATGGAGAATGAAATTAGCGACGGCGTTTTCGTTAATTGTCACTTGTGTGTAGACGATACCCTCCTCTAGCAGAAATTTGAACGACTTCCATAAAGCTACGTTCTTTACATCCCTTGGCCTCAACACCATCCGCTAACTTTCTGCCTTCCTCCCAACAGCACATCCCGCCACCATAGGGATTCTCACTTTCCCATCCCCACTCCCAAATTTCTCCCTCGCGACATTCGCCATCTCCTTTCTCACAACCTCCACATCCCCTTTCCACCCCTTCTGCATCGTCATAAAAGCCGGATTCTTCGAATCAATAAAATAATCCGCAAATTCCTCTCCACTTTTACACTCAAACCACAATTCCTTTTCCTCAGACACAACATCCAACAACCCTGCCTCCCTATACGCATCTTCAAGATTTTGAATATTCTTCATAACTTGTCCAAAAGGATTCGAAGCCGAAGGCGGGATATATGAGGGGTCAAGATTACTGCATGCGAGATCCCATGGTTCGTGCATACTGCTTTTTGTCCAGATTGCGGTTCCGAGGAGGCCGGTTTGGGGTTTGAGAGTGCGGGTCATTTCTTGAATGGCGGTTTTGGGACCTTCGCCGGGGAGGAATTGAATGAGGAAGGTGCTGAAGACGTGGGAGAAGGTGTTTGGGCGGAGGCCTTGGGAAATGTGGTCTTGGGAGGAGTCGAGGATTTGGGTGGTGGTGTTGGGGAGGTTTTGGGTTTGGAGGAGGGAGAGCATAGAGGGGGCGAAGTCGGTGGCGTGGATGTGGATGTTGGGGTAGGTTGTGGAGAGAAGTTTGGTGAAGACGCCGGTTCCGGCGCCGGCGTCGAGGATGTAGGCGGATTGAGGGTCTGGGGGTGGGAAGTTGGATGTCAGGAGGGAGAGGAGGGCTTCGCCGCCTTGACCTGTGAGATGGGCGATTTTCGTTGAATACGCTTGAGCTGTGGCAGACCAGCCTTCTTTTTTGTCCGCCATTTTGAGTAGGTATTGTAATGCAATAGGCGGGCAGAGTTGTTGTGATGCGAAGTGTTGGATATGACTGTGAGAGTAAACAGATGTCAATGTGCACCGCTTACTGGAGTATGTTGATATAGCGCTTGCAGGAGTGAAGGATCACTGATCAGCACACAGAGCTGGAGCTTGAGGTCATTGTTATTAATGCACCAAGATATACCGACTGAACACAGCATAGCGAAACAATCCTCTGGTGCCGTCCTAAAGTGGTAAAAGCAGGAGTAGGCAAAAGGCGAAGAATCACATGTCGGCGTAATTTTGCGGCGAGATGAGAAAGTGGGCAGTTGTGTGGTGATGTCGTGTCGCGGTCTTGCCGCCAACCTCGGTCCCTTTGTCGCCCGCACTCTGTCTCGACCAGCATTGCTTGCACCACGCATCATATATTCGCGTGCCAGATCACCGGCCACTCTTCGCAACAACACCCACTGCCGACGCCCTTTCTCGGTCTACCGTAGCAGCATTTTCACGTCGCCACTCGCCGTCTTGTAATTCGTGGAGAAGTGTGAGCAGTGTCGCCGTCGTTATCGCCCTGATGCAGCGTGTAGAATGATTGCGGCTACTCGTCGTTGGTTTCGGCGGAACAGAACGAATCTGGTCGTTGGCGTTGGCGTTCTGGGCGCTGGATACCTCGCGGGGCAATATGTTCTCAGCAAGATAACAGAAGCGCGACAGCGCATGACCGAGGAGAGAGTCGCGAAGGAGAAGTAGGCACACATAGAGTTGGGGGGCTACACTAAAAGCTAATACCTGGGCAGCTTGCGAAGACGATTCGAACAGAACCAGGAAGACTGCACCTACACCGTCCTCGCCCTTCTCCCGACCCTCCGCGATGACATCGTAAACGCGCTGCCCGTGGAGGAGATCACGGAGCAACTACAGCAAGAGCGGAGAGAGCGGCTACAACGACTGGGAGCTTCGGACGCAGCATCATCAGACTTTCCTTCAGCACCTTCGAGCGCGGTCGACGATGATGGCAAGAGTCTGGCAAGTCTGCAGAGTAGCAGCTATGTGCATGCCAGCCAGATCGCCAACAGCAGCACGTTGGAGGTGCCAGGCGGTTCAAACAGGCCAAAGCGTAGCAAGGGGCAGCTATGGCAGGACATGAAGATCCAGTCTATCACGCGTGCACTAACACTGCTATACTCCATGTGCCTGCTGACACTGCTCACGCGCATCCAACTCAATCTGCTTGGCCGCCGAACATATCTGTCCTCCGTGGTAGCACTCGCTTCCCCGCCACAAGATCAACACGCCTCCACCATTTCACTCGAAAACAGGGACGATGACAACTACGATAATGTTTACGGTAATGACTTCGAGACGAACCGAAAGTACCTCACGTTCAGCTGGTGGTTATTGCATCGCGGGAGCAAGCATATCATGGAGAGAGTGATGACAGCTGTGAAGGAGGTATTCGGCCCGGTTAATATCAGGGAAGATGTGACTCTCGAAAGGCTGGCAGATCTGATAATGCAGGTGCGAAGGAAGATTGAAGGTGCCACAGAAGAGGAGCGACGAAGCCAAAAGTGGTTGGAATACCTACTGCCGCCCAGAGAGGATGAGGAATACGTGATACGGCAAGCTGGATCTTCGGACGATGAGGAGTCACCTGCGCGACGAGATTCAGATCCCCTGAGCGAGACCGGAGAGGGGCTCATCACCGACTCTCTGCGAAGATTGCTGGACGAGACATCCGACCTCATCGACTCGCCGACATTCTCCTACGTGCTCACACGCCTCCTCGACGCGTCATTTTCACATCTTGTGGACTTCCGCGTTGCGACGGAGGCATTCAAGCAAGCTCCTCCGGGTAGAGAGGCACCCAGGATCGTCGAAATTGAAGAGCACAAGTGCAAGGTGGCACATGTGCTCCCAATTTTCTGCAAGCAGGCCCACGTGATTGGTGCCGGTAGTGGCGAGCTGGAAACCATGGCAGGCGTAGCAGCGCAGGAACCTCTTGGGAACGAGTACTTGTCTGCTGTCGACCAAGTCAGTGACCTGGGTGCTTTCGCTGCCGTCATCTACTCTAGCAACTTCGAATACGAGATTCCGCAGGACGATGAGAACCGCACGAGTACGGCTCGGAGACCTCCTGGACGGGATGGTGATTATTCATCGGGGACCAGTTCTTCTTTCTTTCCGGCCGAGATTGGCGAGACTTTGAGGGAGACGGCGGAGACCATGCTTCAGGAGAGCGAACTAGTGGTCCTTGACCAAGGGTACGAGGATCAAAGTGCATTGGCGGGCGCAGTGAAGAGCGACTTCAACGCTGCGTGGGAGAAGGCCAATTCGGAGAAGGAGGATATTCCGGCGATGGACGGTCATCCTGCTCCTGAGACGATTGCCACAGCTGGCGAAGACCAGGCACCTGTTACTGAAGTTGCTACTGCGACTGACGCGCCTATTCCTTTGCCCGAAGAGGAGGTCTCTGCGTTGCCGGAAGGTCCGATCAAGCTGAATTGATCGGAAAAAGAGGCGGATATCATGCAATGTAAGAATTAGCGAATTGAGCACATTCAAAGCGTCACCTGGATAGATATGTGTGACTTTGCATGTCTATCTATGTACATTCGCCGTGCCGGCATTAAATGGCCTCTTGACACCCGATTGACTATGTTGGAGCGCATCCCATTTCATTGCCATTAGAAAATGTGTATCCTGCTCCCTTTGTGCTCAAACTCGGTTATCCGTCCCACAGTTTTAGCACATCCGATCCGGCTACTGGAGATCTTCACATGCATCCACTCCACTGCAACTCACGTCCATGCTCCGGCGCAGTGCTCCAAGCTCCGAACTGTCTACCACATTACGAGCTCAGCATACAGACACCTCGACACCAATATGTCTCGATCAAACCCCTCAGGCATACCCGAAGACGATATCATAAACCCCAAACTCAACGTCTCCTGCCTCGACTTCCTCCTCATCGAACTCGTCCCTCTCGCGCAACGCATCACCGACCAACTCCACGCACGCGAACAAGCTCTCATAGAAGAATTCCGCCGAAGCAAAATCTTCAATAACAGTAATAGCAATGGCTCTTCTACCACATCTTCCACCATAACAACAACACAGCAATCGCAATCGCAATCGCAACCTACAGGCTCTCTACCCACAGTCCCAGAGATCACAACAACGAGTGATGGAGCAGGAAGCGGAAAGAAGACTTCCAGCGAAGCAGGAGCAGAAGCAAGCACAACAACAACAACCACAGCTACAGGAACAGCAGCGACCAGCGTAATCAGCACCTCCAACATCGGCGGCGCACCTCTCCTCGAAAACTCCTCCACACGCGAAGCAGTCTTCTGGCGTCTCGATAATTTAGGTTATCGTGTTGGACAAGGCCTAGTAGAGCGGTAGGTACTTTCATCCCCTCCCCATCCCAATCTCATTACTTTCTCTCCTTCAACCCCAAGATCTATATTCATATCCCTCCGGATACTGATCTTCCTATGCACTAGTTTCTCCCACACCAAACCCCGCCCCCAAACCCCCCTCGAAGCCATAAAATTCATCTGCAAAGACCTCTGGACAATTCTCTTCCGCAAACAAATCGACAACCTAAAAACAAACCATCGAGGAGTTTTCGTGCTCACGGATTCCCGTTTTCAACCGATAAGTCGTATGTCCGTGGATCGGAGAGCTGGGCCGAGAGCGGGAGAGGATGCTTTGAGGAGAGGGCAAGCTGTAAGTTCATATATTTCTCTCTATACTCCGCCTTCTTGTTTTGCTTTGGTTTCGCTGACAGGAGGGCCGGATTGTAGTATTTATACTTCCCTTGCGGGATAATTCGAGGCGCATTGCAAGGGTTGGGGATAGAAGTTACAGTTACGGCGGAGACGACGGAGATTCCAGTTGCTACGTTCCAGATTAAGATGAAGGGAGCGAAGGCATGAGGAGGACTGAAGACAAGGTGGCTAGGGCCGAGAAGGCCAGTGTCATTCCAATGTGCACGACGAAACGTTTGATATATGCGTAAACCAACGGAAGTGGTCCAAGAGTTCCAGATTGAGCAAAGGTAGCTGTACCCCGACAGCCACCGGTACCCAGCGACGGAAACGCTCCAAAACAAGCCTTCAGAGCGCAGCGCCGAATAGAGCCGGCCGTCCAGACAGAAGCAGAAAACGCGCATCAGTGAGACGGAAAAAATCGATCAGAAGGGCAGCTTTTGGTATCATTCCTATGCACTCCTGTATGACTCGCTATCTAGTCGCTCGAGGGTTCGTATCTCATGCCATCATGCCTGGCACCTGGCACCTGGCCATTAATTATGAAAGCGTTTACGACCTGGAAGTAAAGTCAGCATTGGCTGTGGCGGCAAAGATAACGGGAAAGACAACTTACTTGGCTGGTGGGTTGTGGACGAAGTCGACACCCTTCTCGATGTTGCCCTTGAGGCCCTCGTAGCACTTAGTGAGCAGCTTCTTCTCGTAGTCGTTGACGTCCTTGAGAACGTTGACAGCCTTCTGGGCACCGTCCTTGCCGAGCTCGACTGGGACGGAGAAGTACTCGAGACCGGTCTCCTTGTGGATCTCATCACCACCGTTCACACCTGGAAGGTAGACGAAGGTTGGCTCAACGACACCAGACTCGCCCTTGGCAGCCTTGATCACCTTCTCGGCGAAGCGGAAACCAGCGTATGCCATGGAGAGAGTGGCGGAACCAGCACCATCCTTGGCCTTGACGACCTCGTCACCACCGAACTGGACGCCTAAGACGTGGTCAGCTGTCATTTTCACTCACGAGGAGACGGACCTTGGCAGCTTACGGTTGGTGAGAGCATCAAGCTTGTCGGCTGGGATGTTCACAGCTGGCTTGGCCAGGGAGAAGAGAGGAACGATGGTCTCGCCAGAGTGACCTCCAATGACTGGAATGACCGTCTTGGCCGGGTCCTTCGTGCCCGTGAGGGCCTGAACGAAGGTCTCGGCACGAACGACGTCGAGTGTGGTAACACCAAAGAGCTTCTTCGGGTTGAACTTGCCGGCCTTCTTGAGGACCTCGGCAGCGATAGGAACGGTGCTGTTCACTGGGTTGCTGATGATCAGGATGAAGGCGTCTGGGCAGTTCTCTGCGATGCCTTGGACGAGACCCTGAACGATGCCTGCGTTGATCTTGAAGAGGTCGTCACGGGTCATGCCGGGCTTGCCTGTGAGATTGCATCAGCATGTGAGAATGGCGACAACGCCGAGCACTGCATTTCCACTGGTCCTCGGCCTGCGCACTCGCAGTACATTACCCATCGTGACCGGTATCCCGGATCTCGCCACAGCCATATTACACTAGCTCCATATCCATTGACCCGACTTCTTCCGTTCACCCAAGCCGCCGCCGCAACAGTAACAATTTTGTATGAAAGGAGTGTACTCACGTGGAATACCAGCGGGGATGACAACGATGTCAGCGCCAGTGAGGGCCTTCTTCAATCCATCGTCGGCTGGGAGGTAGCCATCAATGGTGGCAATGGAGGAGATGTGCGACAAGTCGGCGGTGACACCTGGGGTGTTCACGACATCGTACAGCGAGAGGTGGTCGACGAGCGGCGAGGCCTTGAGGAGGAGGGACAGTGGTTGACCGATACCACCGGAGGCACCAGCGACGACTAAACGCCATGTGTTAGCACGTGGGTACCAAGAAGTTGTCTTCGCCGCTGTCGCCGACTCAATGTCGAGGCCTGCTAGCGGGCGACTGGCGGCGGTGCGGGGCAGTTTGACGTACCAGCCTTGACCATTGTGACGGTGTTCTTGTGTTTGTGTTTGAAGTTGAAAGTGGTTGCGGTGTTGGTGCGAAGGAGGTGTTTGTGTGTGCGATTGGAAATGAAGTGGATAAAGTTTGGTTTGTGACCAAAAGAAAGAGTTGATGAGCTCGTCCGCAGCTTCCAAGCGCCAGCCGCAGGTGAAGGTGGGGTCATCAACAATTGAGGGCAGTCGCGAGGGGACCCTGGCCGTGGTGGAAACGGCCGACCTTCCGCTCAGGCACCAACGCGCACGTCTCCAAAATCTTCCCCATCCTCACCCCAGCATGACGTGATGAGCTTAGTCCAAATGCATGTCGTCGTTATGTTGAAGCTATGTACCAAATCGTTACACTGAACGTCAAGAATCCGGCTCACTTGCCAGTGAATTCATCGTGCCTGTGCCGTGGCACATCGAGACCTGCTCACTCTACTCTTGCTCATATTCCGCAACCAATTCGCGAAGAAGCAAAAGAATGTCGACAGATGAATGCCTTCGCACCACATCAAGGGCACGAACTCCACCAGTGACAACGAGACTGTGCTACGTCTCAATGCCTCCAAAAGAATGCTCCGGCATCGGCGTGCCGTCACGAGTGGCGACAATCTGAATCACAACAACAATGGGGGTCCTTCATCTTGGGGCGCGTTGGTCTCTAACCATTCGAATTAACGAAGTCCTGATCGCCGTCTCCATCGTGTTCGTTACCGCCTTGTTGATTCGGTTGATACTGTTGACCCATAGGAGCTTGTTGCGGAGGATACATCTATAACTACCGTCAGTCAATCAAGCGTTCTTCGCTGTACTTGTCGAAGGCTTCCACTTACGTTCTGTTGGGGCATGCCTTGCATCTGTCCCATTGGATATGCCTGTGGCTGTCCACCATACATATTGGGATCGAACATCTGCTGTCCGCCATATTGCGGCGGTTGTTGGGGCGGCGGGTATGCGCCCATCTGCTGTTGATACTGCGCTTGCGGCATGTGCTGAGAATCCACGCCACCAAAGTCTGGTTGTCCACCCATTTGCTGTTGATCTAGAGGTTGACCTTGTGCTTGTGACGGGTCAGGTACCTGATAGGTGCCAGGTTGTTGGTACTCCGGTCGCCTCTTGTGAGCAGGCTGGGCATCCTCTCGAGGCACGATATCGATGAGGAAGTCGAACATGTCACTTTTAGCTAGCGCCGATGCGATGTCGCTGCGTTGAAGCGTTCGTCGCTTGTTCTCTTCGGCATGGATCCATGCCCGCATTGTGAGTTCTGTGATAAAAATGTCACAGCCTTTGGCGAAAAGAATGGGCGCTTCCGCGCTAATCATCTTGACCTCAGGATCTGCCTTCATGACCTTCTTGATACGTGCCAGAGGTAATTGATGAAGCTTGTAGTCATGTTCTTCAGTCTCGAGCTTGGTCACTTGGTTTTGCCAGTAGGTGTTGAGAATATCACGATACGGTCCTTGCAGTCCTTGCGACACCTAGTCCTACAGTCAGCGATATCGCACGCGTCGAAGCTGAGGTCGATCGCATCTTACATTCTGCCAATGCCCTGTGAAGGTCTCTGGCGGAGGCGCATGCCCCGCGGCAGCAATGGCAGCGCTGGCGCCGTAGTGTCCTCCATGCTCGGGCGCGTACAATGGCGCACCGTTCTTGCCATCGTACCTCTTCGGTGCAGCCGCAGGAGGTTGCTGTTGCTGCGGTGGAACACCGCCGTACTGCATCTCGACTTGTTCGCGACAGCAATGCGCCGCCGGTTATCGGTAGTCGAGACGCGCCTCGCTCTTTCCAGGTTCGCGCGGCGCGATGGCGGTGTCGCGCGCTGCTTTGACAATGATGTCGCGATACAGGCAGCTCTTCGTGTCGCTCAAGCGCGTGTGTCGTCTGGTCGGCGCGTCACTACTCGTTGCAAGGCGTAAATCTTCTGTCGTTGATGTATGCTCTACTCGTCTCTCAACCGTTAGCCGCTATCGATATGCGACCGCAGCACGTCGTTCCCTCGGCATGCCATGCCAGTCGTCGGCCCAGCATGCGCGAGCTTCTGCGACGGCGGGCAGCGAATCGCGACGGCGACGTGCCAGTTCCGTCTTTTGCCTCGCGGCCGTGACGGCGTAAACAATCAACATGACTGCCCTGGGAAACGAGATACTCACCAGCCAGTGACAGGACGCGATCCAGGTCCTTGAAGCGTTATTTCATTGGTAGAGGAAGGACCTATCATAGAGGGAGGAAGACGAGACCGGCGCCAAGCAAGAGTCACGCCTCGTTCCGAGACACAGGCGACGACTTTTCTGTGGTTCCGCAATCCGCTCCGCTGTGCTGGGTGCGCAATCGAAGGTGGTGCGCGCCGCTGTGCGCGCAGACTGATAACAATGGTTTGTGAGAGGATGCGCTGCGATGCGATGCGTCGACGAGAGGCGGTGTAAAGTGGGCGAAGAAAGAGGACCGACTGCGCACTCGGCGTCTGCTCGACCTGCATATTCCGATCGCTTTTGCAACCACTCCTTCGCGCAGCGCGAGCAAGATACCGTGGCATGACGCAAAAACTCTCGTCTTCACACACCCACGCGATCACGGCCAGATCGTGGTATACATGAGGCTGCAATGCGCCATGGGGAACACGGCAACACCCTCGCGGCTGCATGCTGGTGAGCTGGCAATGCCTGCAAAGATGGCGCCGAGTGCATCGGTCCCATCGAATCCCACGATGCGTTGGCAGACAGCCTACTTAGCTTCGAACTGTGACTGGCGGCCAGCACCAATTTACCTGCAGCCGCTTGATGCGAACCTCTCCGAGCCCGACCGCGCACCTTATGCTGTGCCGCAAGTCTAATGCTAGGTCGTTAGGTGTGTCAAGATGTCTCTGGAACAGTGTCGAGTGAACTTTATTTGATTGATGGTCAAAGGTGTCAAGTACTAAAAAGGCATGCGGTGAGAACGCGATGAGAACATCTTCACCGCCAGCCCGGAGATCACGAGATGTCGGCCGTCATGCCAATCTACCTTCATCATGACACCTGCACTTCGTCTCGCTGATGCAGGTCCGTGAGGGCGTTTGCACCGACTTTCAGGTCGAAACGCTGTGCAACCCCAAGGCCTGGACAGCGCGATGCTGCTTCCTCCATCACTCGTAATTTCGATCCTCATTGCTCGTCACGCCTCAATCTATTTGTCTTCTTCCTTGGCCTCGACCACCGGCAGACGCTTCTGCACGTCAGCCCAGGACTCCTTGCCCTTGATCATTTTGTGGATTGCATCCACAATGTCGTCCAGGCTTGCACGAACTTGCTTGGTTGTATCACGATCACGTAGGGTAAAGCTGTTGTCCTCCAAGCTTTCGTAGTCGACAGTGATGCCGAATGGAATACCAGCTTCGTCGTTACGAGAGTAGCGCTTACCGATACTGACACCACTTTGATCGAGTTCGTATGAAATTGCCTCCTCGTCAAGGCGCTCCTCGAGTGCCTGCACTGTTGGAGTGAGGCGGGAGTCCTTCTGGAGTGGGACAACGAGGACTTTGGTGGGAGCCACTGATGGCTTGAAGGACATGACTGCACGTGCAGCATCGCCCTCTCTCGTCCACCATACGTGCTCCAGCAGACTGTACAGTATTCTGCCAATGCCGAACGAAGGCTCGATGACATTCGGAATGAATTCGCGTGTCGTTCTTGTGGTGGTTTCCTGCTCGAACTTGACCAGGTCGTTGCCCAGCTCGACTTTGCCCATCTCAGGCACGTCAACCTCGACCTTACCCTCATCTTTGAGCGTGATGCTGAGCTTTTCCCTCAGTTCTTGCGAGAGGGAGTCCAGGGCCGACTGCACCTTGCCAACCTCCTTCTTGAAACGAGGGCCAGAGTTCTTCTTGTTGAGCTGCGCGACCCATTCGGTGGACTTGATTGGCTCTGGAAGTGTTTCTTGAATCTGCAAGTTGACTCCAGTAGCTTTTTGGTGCACGCTTAAATCAAACGCACTACGATCAGCGCAGCCAACGCACTCTGTCCAGCCATAAGAGTTGAGAAGCTCGCAATCCCAACAGTCGGCCGCGTAGTGAGCCATCTCGTTTTCCATGTGCTGTCTGAAGCGCAGCTTGCTCATGTCGATACCGATCTTTTGCATGAACTGCATGATCCTGACGAGGAAGTAGCCCAGAGTCTCGTTATCAATGACCTTCTTGTCAACAGCTTCACCAACCGTCATCTCAGTCGGTGTAGAGCCACCTGCTTGCTGCACATCACGAGCAAGCAGAGGGAGCTTGATATCGCGGACACGGGAGAACTTTGGGTGCTTCTTGCCACCCTCTGGGTCCACAAAGTGCTCGATCTCTGCCATGAGAAACTCGCGCACACGGAGAAGGCCGGAGCGAGGAGAAAGCTCGTTACGGAATGAGTAGCCAATGCATGCAGAGGCGAATGGGAGACGGCCACCGGTCATCTCAACGAGCTTTGGAAACGCAAGAAACTGGGCCTGAGCAGTCTCTGGGCGAAGGAATGCTGGCTCCTTACCAGATGCACCAATCTCGGTCTGGAACATGAGGTTGACTGGAACAGGTGGCTCGACCTCGTTGCCAGTAGTTGGGTTGCGAATGTCGTGCTTCTTGATGATGTTCGCAAAGTCCTCTTGTTGGCAATCATCCAGTGTAGCGAGCAAGTGCTCATACTCCTTGATAACGGCATCGTCCAGTTTCACAGCAGTCTTGGCAACCTTGGAGGCCTTCTTCTTCTTCTTGGGATCGTCAACTTCCTCCACCTTCTCCCCGCGAGCCTCTCTATCACCCTTGAGGCGAGTCTCAATGACATCCTTGATCAAGTGGTCCGTTCGCAAGATTTCACCACTCTTGGGATCCTTGCACATGAAATCTGCGAATTTGTCGACGTGGCCAGATGTCTTCAGGACCTTGTATGGGGTGAGCATTGACGTCTTGAGCGAAATCATCTTCTCGCTGCGGACGAAGTGGTCTCTCCAGATGTTGAGGATCTCATACTCCAAGGGCTCGGCAATTCCATAGTCAAAGAGACCTTTTGTGGCTCCATATGGCTCGAAAGACTGCCAGTAAAAGTTCTTGCGCTTGTTCCAGGACTCAAATGTGTCTCTGTCAAAGACTTGACCCTTGGAGGTCTTGTAGTCGTTCGCCATGGTGGGTGTTCGTTTCCGGACCTGTAATTGAAATCTTTGAAGTGCTGTGACGGTCGAGAATTGGCGTGGCTTCAACCTGAAGAGCATCCAGAGCCTGAGTCACGCGACAACAGCACAGCCTCTTCTCAGTCACAGCCGCAGCAGATGCGACGAATGTGCGATATGCTGAGCTGATTCTGACAGGAAAAAGAGTGGAATGGGGGAGTTGCGTTTGTGACTCCTTCTCGAACAACATTGAAATGTTCGGGATGGTGGAGATTCAGGGCCGTGGCTGACTGTGGCGTCTCGCCGATCCTCCGACATTTTTTCGATGCTGCAAGCCAGACTGATCTGCGACACTGCACTCGACATCACAACTCGCTGCACAAAAATGGGGTCGTTCAATCCAAACAAGATTGGCAACAAGATCAAGAGAAACGAGCAACATCTCAAAGTAAAGAGGGAGAAGGAGAATGCCAAGCGAGACGAGCGCATGCGACGGCGGAGACATGAGGATAAGAACCCACATTTACGAGACCAGCGGCGAGCGAAGAATGTGCCTGCCACGATCGACGCAAAGCGAACATGGGACGAGATCGACTCGGGCGACGAAGACGATGCTGGTCTTGGAAAAGCGTTCAACATTCTGGACCCCAAACGAAGGAAGCTCGAGAGCGTCGCAGATCAATCAGAGCTCTTGCCGGAGGAAGCAAAAGACGATGCGAACATTCCAGATGCAGACGCAGAGGATGTACTACCGGATGAGGACGATGACCACGACAGCATGTTAGACTCTGACTCGGAAGACGAGGAGGGGAGTGAAGCCGAAGGGGATGAGGACACGGACAAGCAGGGCGATTCGCGAAAACGTGCTCCCAGCGAAGCGCCCAGTATAGCCCCGTCAGCAGCGACAGGCGTCACCGATCTCACCGTGCGACCCGAAGCTCTGAAAGCAAAATTCCCAGCTCTCTTCGACGATACCGATCGCGAACCGAAAGTGCTCATCACGACTTCGATAAACTCCACCCTACATCACGAAGCCGAACTACTTACCGGACTCTTCCCCAATAGCAAATACATCCGACGAACAGCACACTTCCACTCATACAAATACAGCGTGCGAGAAATCTGCTCGTATGCATCAGATGCGGAGCGAGGATACACACATGTCGTCGTGCTCAACGAGGACATGAAGAAACCGAAAGGCATAGATATTGTGCACCTGCCGAATGGACCCATGTTCCACTTCAGCATATCGAAATGGATACCCGGGAACAAATTACCAGGACACGGTAATCCAACAAACCACTACCCAGAGCTAATACTAAACGGCTTCCGCACGCCGCTTGGTTTGCTCGCTGCACATCTATTCAAATCACTGTTTCCTAGTCGGCCAGAGATCCAAGGTCGGCAAGTCTTGACGCTCCACAACCAGCGAGACTATATCTTCTTACGAAGACATCGATATGTGTTTCGTGATAAGAAAGGAACGGAGAAGCCGATACAAGGTGCAGACGGAAAGCCAATGAAGGGTGCTGAGGATGTTCGCGTTGGATTGCAAGAGCTTGGACCGAGGTTCACGATGAAGTTGAGAAGAATTGACAAGGGTATTCAGAAGGCCAGTGGGCAGGAATGGCAATGGAAGGCTGGTGACGAGAAAGTGCGGACAAGGTTTAGCTTGTAGTGTGTGGATTGTGGCTGCAGTCGCGTGGCTGCAAGGTGTCTGAGTCTACAGTCCGAGACAAGCATGGCTATACGGCTCTTGTCGTTGATTGGGTTCGCTGCAAGACGACAAGTCTGTTCTATGCCAATCCAAGCCACGTCTTGCTGCAGATTCAGTCCAACGGCTGGCTCGACTGGTCGCCTTTGATACCAGTGATAGCTCCACAATGTCCAAGTCCCGTCTTCTGGGACGGATTCACATGCATCTTTTGATGTCTCTGTAGCATATCGTCTTGTGATCGATTTGCTAAACAGGCCCATCGTGGCGTCGCTTCAGAGGATTACGCTCCAGCAAACATCATCGCCGAGTTCTAGTAGATCCAAGATTTTGCATATATTCGCTAGTAACCCGAGCTACGCGTCTCCTATTCGATCACTTGTGGGCCTCAGTCTAATCATACTAGTGTATCCCACAGTCGCTTTGAAGACGGCCGAGAATCAGAGGGGCGAGCATTAGGCAGGTACTTCTCCTTTTTCTTTTTCTCACATCATAATCATGATATTGCAAACCAATCGTGTTTGAGCAGCTCCTTTGCCGTCGGCCTATCCCTCGGGTCCAGTCTCATGATCTCACAGAGGAATATCTTGTCCTCTGGCGTTAATTCTTCATCTTCCACCTGGGAGAACGGCTTTCGAATGCACTGCTCTTCTATGTGAATGTGAATCGCAGCCAAAATCTTTTCCTGTTCTTCATCCAAAAACGACTTGTAGGTCAATGGGAAGGGTCCAAAGTATCTCGCTTGTTGAATCAAGACATGCACAGGAAATTCGGCATCATCTGCCGATACCTTTGGGGGCTTGAAGATGTGAAAGTTTCGCCCGAAAATAAGGCTTAAAAGCTATCAAGACATTAGCCGCCGAGTAGCGTGGAATGCGTGTAAGACTCGCCGTGGCGCCGAAAGACCAGATATCTGTTGGAGTCGACCATTTCAGGCCCAGTAAGGCTTCTGGGCTTCGGAAGATAGCAGCTCCAATTGCATGAGCTGTACCGCGAGGATCAGTTTGAAGACCGACATCACAAGCGTCGCCTGGAAGAGGTGGTGTAAGCGTCGAGTTGATGCAATGGAGGCTATCAGTCTCTCCACCTTACCGCAATCGGCCAACTTCGCATCCACGACTCTCGTCCCGCTCGCGTTGAAATTGAGGAGTATGTTGTCTGGTTTGATGTCTTGCAAAATCAAGATTCAGCCGAGGCCCACCTTGCAGGACACAGCTGGATCATGATTACCTGTATGTGCTATTCCTTTCGCATGTAGGGATGCTAGCGCGGATAGAACGTTATGAGCGATGAATTTGACGTCTTGCCTCGAAAAACTTCTTTCGCTTGACGATTTCAGCGCACCAAGCTCGAGGTGCTCCAACACCAGAAAGGGGGGTTCGTTGCCATGGTCGATGAAGTTCCTGATACACGAATTGCTCTCAAACTGTTGCAAGATTTCTCTTTCACGTTGCAGGCGAATCTCAGGCGCGCATTTGAGCACGACTTTTCTATGTGCCGTATTACTGGATGTGTATTTAGTGGACGCAAACGACTGATGTTGGAGCAAGAGGGACTGACCTGGCGCTCCAGACTTGGTCGTGAAGCTTCTGCGCAACGACGTACACGTCTCTAAACCCCTTGACCACCTGACCTATCCGTAGAGATGATGACAGCGACGTGAAGGCCTCGCACAAGTGCCGGACGAGCAGTGGAAAGACGAGTTATCGCCGGCGAGAGAGCATTCGACGAGCGTGCAGGTGAGCTGACCACCCTGGTGCACGCCCCGCCAAGGCATTGCCGCTTTGCTTCATGTACGAGCTCAACAGTGGGCATTTCCTAACGCAACACTCAGTCACCGGTCACGCCAAACGAACGACCTGCTTTCGCTCTAGTCTTGCAAGAGACCGATTGGATGGTGACAATGCTCTCCATTGGCCGTCAGCATGTGCACTGCGGCGAAGCGCTCTGACATCTTTGGCCGAGCCTTGTGAAACACCCGGCTACATGCTCGAAGCGCCAACAAGTTCTTCCTGCCATATGATGAGACTTCTGCAGGCATGCCGTACTGTGCGCAGCGTTCTATCGACATGCTCAAGCCCCACCGGGCGCTTCATCATGGCGCTTTCGTGCCGCCAGCATTGGACGAGTGTCGAATGCCTCCAAGTCAGCATTGTATATAAGATTGCTGTTTCGCACACCAAGCTGGAGTCGTTTGTACAACATAGCAGACCTCTTAGGCTCAATTCTTCCACTCCGCGCTCAACGGAAGGCATTCGTCGCATTACGCTCAAGACTTGACTACTCGCGATGAGCTGCAACAAGATAGTTGCCAGCAAATTACTTGGGTCCATTCTCCAGAGTGGCAAAGAGCTCGAATTACGCGCAGCGACACAGACGACACATTGGACAAGGCCTGCCATTGTTGCTAGTGAAGCTATGAGAGACGGTGCGACCAAGGCTATCAAGGGTAGCGGTAAGACTCTGCCTGAAAATACGGCCAGGGAGAAGCCGATCATTCAAGTGAGAACGACCCGAAGGACCATTACACCATTGTGCTGGAGGACAAAGATGGCAATTACATAAAGACGGAGCATTTCGATAAGAAGTGATGCTTTGAACACTAGCGCCTTGGGATTATATGGCGGGCATTGCTTTGCGGTCCTCCTCGGAGTAGCTAAGCTTCTCGATATCTGCAACGCCGAGGGAAGCAATTTGGAGCTAGAAACACATTGGACTCTCTTATCAGTTTTCCGAATCTGCGGCAGTGCATCGAACTCGGCGTCCTGCTTTGTTTCCCCAGGAATCTCGACCTGGGCGCAACATCTGTAGAGTTATCGGCTAGCCCCAAAAGACTTCGCCAACTCCAGGCTGGTGGAGCGCGACCTTCGGGCGCGAAAAGAGATTACGTGTACTGGAGTCCAAAAAAGGCAGCGTCCAAATATGCTCTCGATGACATGAAGTGTGGTGGCGATGGCATAGTACAGCGATATCTGGTAGGAGAACCACCTTAGGGTACCGGCTGAGCTGAATTTGACAGGCGTCAGAGTCAGATTATATGCCTGGCCTGCGACAACAGTACCTTTGCGGGAGCATTGGCTGCCATCTGCTGAAAGTAGAGACATCGTGATATACATCGTGATCCAGCTAGGGATTGTTGATCGAAAGTGTATGTACTGCTTGGAGGATGAGCCCCAGCTCATCTCGGTGTGCGCCGGAACAAGCAACGGGAAGAGGGTAACTTGAGGCTTTGGCATTGCGAAGCTGGGCCATTGTTCACTTCAGGGCCGTCGGTATCCGATTGCCATCAACATGGGTCACGGTAGCCTCAGACTTGTGCGTTCGACTAAGTCGTCGTGACGGAAGCATCTTCTTGAGGCTTCGGCTTGGATGATCGTGTATGATGTAGAGTGTTCGGTGTTCAATGGGTTGGAGATGTCGGATCCAGTAGGCGCGACACAGCAGCGAGGTGCTTCAAACGACGCCAACGAGCCCTCTTGGCCCTGATGCATATCTCGCTCTTCAAAAGTCACCGAAGTCTGCATAAGGCATTCCTAATCGGGGACTAAGTGAAGAAGTGGCGCCGCGAGCAGGCGCACGTGATGGGGGAAGAAGTCATACCCGAAAGTCATTGCCGGACAAACACCTCACCTGGAGGACAGTGTGGGACATGGCGCCAGACGCACCCCGCAGCATCCTGACGGGCCTCATGTCAGCCAGGCTGCTGATTTGCTCATTCGTCAATGCCCTCTGAGTTTGCGACTGAGCCGCCCGCTCTGCCGATGGTCGTCGCACGTTTGCTGCTGGCCGATGGAACTGCCGTCACCTCTCGCACGCCCAGGTCCCTGCGGTAAGCGATCAGACAAAGATATATGAGTATGACCGCCCGCCTGTAGAAGACTCTGCCCATCCATCTCCTTGCTCTTCATCACCTTTGCGAGAAGCACATCAATAGACTGGACATTTGACCTACAGACCACCATTGATCACAGCAGCACACAGCAGAGCAACAACAACCATGTCTGACTACCAACAACCACCCACTGCCAACGCCACAAAGCCCTCCACCACAACCTCAGCCTCCGGCCGACAATACGACCCCAACTTCACACAACATGTCATCGACACCTGCGGCCCCAAAACCAGCCCCCGCATGAAAGTCATCTTCTCCGCCCTCGCCAAACACATCCACGACTTCGCCCGCGAAGTCGACCTCACTCCCGAAGAATGGCTCGCCGGCGTAAAATTCCTCAACGAGACCGGCAAAATCTGGGCCGAAAGCGACGGCAAGCGTAACGAAATGCATCGTCTCTCTGACATTGTCGGTCTCGAATCCCTCGTCACCGAAATCGCAAACTACGTCCAAATCGACGACCCTTCATACGTCCCCACATCCGCCGCTATTCTCGGTCCCTTCTGGTCACCCAATGCACCGTGGCGCGAGCTCGGTGGCTCGATTATTCAAGACGAGCCGAAAGATGGTGTTGTGACGTATATGCATGGTATTATTCGGGATATGAAGACGAAGAAGCCTTTGCCGAATGTTACGTTTGATATGTGGCAGGCGAGCAGTAATGGCAAATATGATTTCCAAGATCCGGAGAATCAGAGTGATAATAACTTGCGAGGCAAGTTCAAGACGGATGAGAATGGAGAGTACAGATTGTACTGCTTGAGGCCTACGGCGTACTCTCTCCCGCAGGATGGTCCTTCGTGGCAGCTGTTGCAGGCTATTGATCGCCATCCAATGCGACCAGCACATATTCAGTGAGTTTACCTTCACCCTCCTTGCCTATCGGACTTTTGCTAATACTCTTCTTTTCTAGCTTGATGATCACAAAAGAAGGCTACAAGCCCTGCATCACACAAATCTACCCCAAGGACGACCCATGGCTTGAGACCGATACCGTCTTCGCAGTCAAGGACGATCTCGTTGTCGATTTCGCTCCTCTCAAGGAACTTCCTGCCAACATGCCACCAAATGCTGGCAAGGGCGGTCCTGCTACACGAGAGTTGGAGCTGGATATTGTGCTTGCACCTTTGTCGACGACATTGACGAATGCTGAGCCTGTTGTGCACAAATAGATTGATGATACCCGGATTGGAATGAAATGAGATGGGATGAAAGCTGAGTGATGCATTTTTCATGGGCTGCATGGATGGGATGGGGAACCTTTCTTGTTGAAATTAGCGAAACAGAGCATTTATCTTCAATGAAAAGAATTTCAAAAGATTAAACATTTATCGTTGGCTATTCTTTCGAATATCTTGCATTGATAATTTCCAGCGAACCAGACCAGCGAAGCTGGACTGGCTACCCACGGCCATATGCTTCCTGCTCGTCGAGCATTGAGATGCTCTTCCCCGGAAATGCTTTCGCTGTCAAGCAATGAAGTCGAATGCATGCACCACGCTGTCCGCCGCCCTAAGTGTCTCATTGGCATCCCTCCACGATCACAGATCCCACGCGGTAGACTTTCGTCCTCAATAGTATCCTTGGAAGAAGCCCTAGTCCGCTCCACGCGACCCTTACCCCATTCACGAGAAATGCGCCTTAAATGCCCTCCTCCCCGCAACCCCATCATCCTCAAATTCCCCATTACCATTCCCAGTCTCCCTCACAAACCCATTATACCTCTCTCCGTTACCATTCCCAAGCTCCCTCACAAACCCATAATACCTGTCCCCACCACCAAAACCCCCTTCTTCTTGCTGTTCTTGTCGTTCTTGCCGCCAAACCCACCTCCCACTCCCCTCATCCCACTCAGAAACACACGCAGGCGTCGAGACCTGTCTCTTCGGCGTAAACTCAAAAACATTCGCCGTAGGTCTCAAGCCCTTGTGTTCCTGCTGCTGGCTCCGATACTCCATCTTCGGAGAAAATTCAAAGCTATTCGCAGTAGGTCTTAATCGTGGTTGAGGAGTTGTTGAGTGGAGTTGAGAGAGACTATCGTAGTCTGTATTGCGAAGAGGGGAAATCCGGCGGATGAAGGGGTTTGAGGAGCTGAGTTGGGGGTTCGTGTTCTCGTTTGTTGCTCCTGAGGTTGCTGTGTGGTATGAGGATGAAGAGGGGGAGTGGATGACTGTGCGATCATCGACAGCGATATCGATATCGATATCCTTATTGTTGTTACCGGGAGACTGAAGTTCTTGGACGATTTCTTTCCTCATCCAACCCGCAATCCCCTTAAACAAATTCTTCTCAAACGGAGGAAAGCGCACGTTCAGGCCCAGACTCTTATACCGCGCCAGAATCTCCTCATATTGAACAGAAAAATACATCCAAATCCCCGCTAAACCTCCCGCAAGCGTTGTGGCAATCAGGAGAGAATAAGGTGAAGCCAAAGCGGTGAGGTAAGTTGTAAGGACCGGGATTGGAAGGATGAGTTGGAGAATTTGGCTAAGGAGGGCGCCGATGTGGCCGAGGAGGAGGCATGCTGAGGCGAGGCCGATGAGGGCGATGAGGAGGAATGTGAGGGCGAAGGGGAGGGCGAGGAGGGAGATTGCTAAGAGGCCGAGGCGGTGGTCGTAGGGCATTTTCGTTGTTCTTGTTGTTCTTGTTGTTCTTCCTTGAGGTGGTGGAGTGTTTGCTTGAGATGGAGCGGGTGTGGCGCGGACGCGGTTGAGGGACTCGAGCGAGAGAGGCAGTGGTTGACTTGGGCGCTGCGTGCTCTTGTTGTGAGGTGCAGGCGGAGAAGTGAAGGTTGACGTTCGTAGCGCTTCACTTCACTTGTGACCCTTGACTTCCGCTATGTGCTGGTGCGTTTCATACAAACAGTGTCAGTGCGCGCGTCGGCACAATGTCTTGTAGCAGGAAGCGGCATTGACGCGATGATGAAACTGCGCGTCGAAGGCCGATACTCTGACCGACTTGAGAGGTAATTTGCAATGTGGCAGGCCGTGAGACAACTGTATAATGGGAGTCGTGCAGGAAGGTGAACAGTCAACAATGTTATTATATTAGAGTCATCATCGAAAGAAGTAAGTTCACCTGTTGCTTTGTATCTGCGCCGTATCATGGTTCAGGACTCGCGAGATATCCATGAGACTTTCATCTCTAGAATCTGCTGGCTTATGTCTCGCTCTGTTTGGAGCATGTGAAGGCGGCAGACAACTTGCTGGAATCCTTGGCGCCACTGGTTGACCATCAGGCCCAAACCCCACTGTCATCGAGCTCCCGACCGAGTGACACCACGTCGCAGTTTCCGAAACCTCTTGTCCGCTCGAGTCTGGTAGCATGGCTATACGCATTTGGCCTTGACTTGGTTCATCGTCGACGATGAGTCGCGGGAACAATTTCGTCACCAATGCTTTGAGTGAAAGCAGACAGGCACAAATGATACCAACATTGCCTTCCACTGCAGACCAGATGACGGACCAGATGCCCGACATGACGAAATCTCCTTGCTGCGAAGCGACCACGACTGTTACCACTCGGACGACACTGACGAAGCAAACCAGAAATCCCATGACGAACACCAGCGTGGTTGCGATTTTCTGCTTTCTTGGTAGATGTAACCCGGCTATTGAGGGCATCGGTAGGATGAGGACCGAGAAGTCGAGGAAGATATCCACGGCTGCCACAGAGCACCAGTATGTCTGTGCATTCCGGCAGTAGCCTGGGAGTTCTGGTTGCCACAGCTTGGCGACCGGTTTGCACAGAAAGATGCCGCCAAATGTGCCCCAACATATGGCCGGTATCAACAGGAACGCCAGGATATGGCACGATCTTCTGATGATGCGCCCACTGAAAATCCGGAGATATTGCATCAAGATCGATGCCTTGGTGACGTTTACGAGGACTGTCCAGATTGAGTTGTTGACCAGGACCAATTTTGTGACTTGAATTGTATCTGTTGCATCGTCGTATTTGCCTAGCCCTTTGGTTACACTGGCAACTATGATGAAGCACATGGCCCACGAGAGTAGCTGTGGCAGGTCAGTCACTTGCGTGCAAGAGTAGACATGCTCAAGCCTACCAGCGATAGCAAGATCACATAATCGTCCAGGCCAATACAGTGAGTAATCTTGCACCTCGTATACCATCGCAGCGCTACCACTATACTGGCAACGAATGTGCAGAGCACTGCTGGAATGAGAGCATCCAGGCCAAGATCTCCTGCACCGAAATGTGCTGCAGTCGCTGATACCAGATGATCCTGATCAGACATGTCGGCATCTATCCTGGCAATGTAGGTATCATCTCGTCGCTGGCTGCAGACCGCATATAAGCCACGGGCAAACTTCTACTCGGCCTTGAGGCACAATGAACACCACATGGTAAGTTGGCTTCGCCTTGCAAGCTGCGGAGAGCAACAACAAAGCAAGATCCAGCTTCGTTCTCATATGACCGAGTTTGTGGGCTGGTGAAAGAAATTTGGCCGGTAACTCGGAGCTCGCATCGTGGGTCGACCAGTGACAGATCCATCAAAGCTTGATTGTCAAACTGATGAGAGGTTCGATGGAAGTGAAGCTTTGGCCGCCCACCATATGTGCGGTTACATCGCAGAAAGCCGAGGAAGGGACCGTGCTTCATCTGACTTCGCCTCGTAGTACATCAACGGGGATGCGGTATCTTTGTGTTTGCTTAGGAAATATCCTCGTGGGATGCACGCGCAAAGCAAAAGAGCAGAAGGAGGCCGGGCGGTGGTATTGGTTTCCATGGTCCGTTGCCTGATGCTTTGAGCGCCTGAAGCCATCGATACAGACATGGATGACCTTTCCAAGTACTAGGCGCACAAGCATGAATGTATGCGGCTTGGCAATGGACGGCTCACTATCGCACTGGAAGTGGCTCATAGATGTGGCGTCCAGGGAGCGCTGTGAAGCGATGTCCGATGTGCCAGCCAGATTCCAGATCCCAAGTTTGTAACGGAGTTCTGCCGACCTCTCTGCAATGAACTTCATTTGTTTCGCGAAGCTGAAGCGGAAGACCTGTCCTTGTACCTTTGGAAGAGGGACATCTTCAGCTGGATATAGGCTTGCACGGCTGGATTCTCCTCATCATACATGACGCCATTGGGATTAGTGGATTTGGCAGGCACTCCAGCGGTCCAGGAAGCAATATCGGATGCTTTGCGGTCTTCGAGATGCCGGTGGTTGGGTGGTGATGCCGAGCGGCTACTGGAAGTCGTCGAACTGGCGGTCCTAGGCATTTTGTCGTTGTGTCCCTTGGAGTGAGATGCCTTCTTGTCACTACTATCGTTGGTCGTCGCGGTGTGAGCGGTCCATTTATCGCTGGGGTCCGGCATGATATAAGACGCGGCCGGGCAAGCCAGCAAGCTCTGAGCGTGGCTTGATGGGAGGAGCCTTCAACAAAAACTGTCAAACGTGATGCAAATACCACGCCAGCGATGTATTTGAAGCAGACGTGTCTCACCACATGTCCATTGCTGCACGCGACCGGCTGCTTCACGGTCCATGCAGCGAGAGAGCACCAACCACGAGGGGCAGCGTTGGCAGCATCCCAAGAATAATACCGTGTGTCGATGCAAGTTGTGCGCACACATACCTCTCAGGGGAGGAGGAACATGGGAGACAGACCCAACGGCGTACAGGCTGCGTAAGGCGGAGACTAAAGCCCTCTCCACGCCGCCACGACAGCCAGTAGAGTCGGAATACGAGGGCCATAAGTGACAAATAGGCGTCGCGCGCGCGGCCACTCATGGTATCCAGTCAGACTTGGGACAGAGATTGCGTTTGCCCGCGCAGCAGGACGGGTGGTGGGGAAGGACGACGATTGTTGCTGATTTGGAATCTGGCACTGACTGACAGCCCTTGATATCCCGACATGGCTGCAAGCTCGACCGAGGCGTGCTGCGCTTCGTCTGGCGCTCGTCTAGATGAGCCGTGGTACATCGGTCCACGTACGCCATCGCCATGTGGCCGCCGCGATCGCACGGCGAGAAGTCGATGAGACACGGGCGGTGCCCTCGAGTGAGCGCTGCCGTCCACATCGCAGCAGCGTTGCAAATAGGCAGTAGCCGGCGCCAAGCATCGATGCACAGGGATACAACGAGACAAGCTTTGCGCGATCATTACAAACACGCGAGCCCTCTTCGGCAACGATTTCCCTTGCAGCATCCTCACACGGAACGACATGTGCACGCCGGATGACGAAAGCAGCCGCCAGCGCGATCGTGTCCAGATAAGACAATGCTCTCCTTCTGCCGCTGCTGACTTGCATGGAAGCACTTGCTACTTCCGAGCGATGCCCGTTGGCCTGTCGAGCGCCCTCCGCCGCCATCGCCAGCTCACCGCATCGCCTATTCCAATTATCAGAAGCACACGAACTGGCCGCAATAAACTTAGATTGAGCACATGGCCGCCGCGAACGCCTCCACCTCACCCAGCACGTCGTGATGCATGAAATACATCGACGCTGGCGTGTGGACGCGGGATCAGGATCAGGTTTTCCTACAAGCTCGCCCTCTAGCTCTGACGCCCAACCGGAGCACTCTACGCGACCTTCCGCTTGGAACGCCTCCTACTCGGCGTGCAAGTGTCAACTCTGTCGCACAAAAGCAGTTTAGCCGGCGACAAATCGGCTCCAGCATGCAATGCGGCCCGTGTGTGCCATCTGATAACAGATCTGACGACCAGGCCCGAAAACGGCAAAGCATCGTTCGGGGCCATCTCGACCCCGATGAGCTCTTGTGGTCAAGGTTTGGACAATGCCATATCGAAATGGAAGTATTTGATACACACACAGCTTTGCGATGTCGTGGCGCACCTAATCCCACAAGACGCAAGCTCGTGACTGCCACCGCGGCGAGACTGTCACCCTTGCCACACGTAACAGAAGGCGCAACAGAAGCTTGGTAGAAGATGTCTCGATGCATCCCGGGGTCGTGTATGACAAACAGCCGTGCCTGCAGTGCAAAAACCGGCACCGATGACACCACCCGACCCTGCAGTCACCCGAGTGACCACTCGTCGGACCTGATCACAGCAGACTATTTGCCGACACAAGCCGTGGTCACCAGCGTTACAAGAACGGAATCTAGCAGGCGTTCATCAGGTACGAACCCGCTGATGGCTAACAAAACCAGGCAGTCATGCACCGTCTCGATCAGACCCCTTCGGGCATAGGACACAACGATGTTGGCATGCAATTGTCATACCATGCAGCCTTCGATCGCCCATGCCAAAGACCACAACAGACGAGCCTGACCGCTTTTCCCCACGCTCATGATCGACGTCGTCCAACATCTCTTCGTCTGCCAATGCAAATGCATCTGTATGCCGCGCGCATTGGCGAGATCTAGGGCTCTCATCAGTCACCGCAAGATCCAGCGCCATGGATACCGGCCCTGCCAACTCAGGACCGAGCAGTCCACCTCCTGGCCAAAGGCATGCAAGACCACGACGATGACCTTCATTGCCTTCTCACCTTAGTAACACAAAACATGGCCAGAAGCGGATCACACCTCACCAGTAACACATGCTTCTACCGCGAAGCAAGAACCCGTCGACTCCACGTGCTGGCGTGGTATACGAGTCCCGTCACCAATACCACTGTGCCGTTACTCGAGCAACATGCTGTTACAGTGGGTGCGAAGTACTTCTTCTCACTCGCAATGCAGCGCGGCCTGTCAACGTCAACATACTGGAGTTACATCTCTCAAAGTCTATGCTACATCGAAGGCAGTATCGAGACGAGGCAGATCGTGCAGCGATTCACCAAATAAGAGCTGCGAAGCGCCCAATCCGTACGACCTTCGAAGGCGAAAGAGAAGTATTCGCACAGCAGGTCAGAACCGAGAAACACAGCGACATATGCTGCAGCATGGTAAGGCGCGGCGAGGGTGTCCTCACATTGTTTCATTTGTGCTCTAACAAAATTTCCCTCACCAGCTACCTCACTGGGCCTTTCTCCTTCCTCGTACAGACTGCTTTCTGTTCTGTAGTCAATTTCGCGACTTCTTTCCCTTTCTGACAAGCGCCGTGCAATGCAATAAAACTATCGACAAGAAGAACAAATCTCAGATCTCACAACCCTCCTTTCATGCTCATCAACAGTCGTCATCTTGAGACCTGCTCTGCCAACATGACCGATCCACATCTACAACTCTCAAATCCGTCCAATCATTGTCGTCAATCATCATGAATATGTACATGAAACCCTGTCAATTCAGCTCATCGTCATTGCTGCTCACTCGACGACCCCTCTTCCCCCGCCCCATCAGCTCCATTACTCTTCTGCCTCTCCCTCTCCAACGTCCTCTGTCTCCTCAACGACGAAGTCGTATTACCCCCGCCACCAACCGGCCCCCCAAACATCTCCCCAATCGTCGCACTCAAACTCCTAAACCTCCCCCTTTGCGGTGGACTCCCCGCCGCAGTTCGCAAATCACTAGCTTGCTGACTCTCAAATTCCAAATCTGTACTCGCGATGGAATGGCGTTTCAGATTACTCGGTACAACAACAGAAGGTTCATCAAGTTGATCTGTTATAGTTCGTATTGTCTGAGGAGGTTTATTCGATGGTCGCCGTTTTATGCTACCGCCGCCAAAGGGGTTTTTGTCGATACCTCGACGAAGTTCATCGGCGACGATGGCGGCGAGGGAGCCGCTCAGGGGGCTTGTGAGGGGGCCGAGACGGAGGGAAGAAGTGCGTTCGAGGAGACGTTGGGGTGGAGCTGGTTCGAGGGTTTGGTTGCGGGTGAGGGGTGTTTTTTGAGGGCTTGGACGTTCGGGTGGGCCGGATGGGGTTCTTGTGAGAGGTGTCCGTGGGCGTAGTGTTGCGTTGGGTGTTTGAGGGATGACGGGTGCTGAGGTCGTGGCGTGCATGACTGGTTTTAGAGGATCCGCGTTGGCTTTGCCGTTCAGCTCGGCGGTGTCTGTGTGGACTGCGCTTGCAGTGCCTGGTTGTAGGTCTGGGAATTGGAGTAGTCCTGGAGCGTTAGGCGGCGTTGAGCCCATTGTCGGCGCTCGTACATGCATCTTGGGCAACGACCCGCTCTCGAGCGTTTGTGTTCGCCGGAGGGAAAAAGCATGAACCGAATTCGCTACGAGCGACAAGTTTCGACTGGGCCCATCGTGCTCGCGAATTTCTGGCATTGCTCCTTCTTCGTCCACAAGGCTAATGCATTCCTCGTCCTCATCCGCATAGCTCTCGCTCTCCTCAGTCTTCCTCCCAGAGGTGATGCACCACACGCCAAAGAACGTCAATGCACAGCCTCCAACAAACTTGCCTGCATCCTCGGGACTTTCGCGCTCGAAGTCGCGGTAGAGGACAGCGCTTCCAACGATGACAGATATGGTGAAGGCCACAAACTGGGTCGGAATGACCATGGTCGAGTTGAACCTCTGCAGGGCTCGGTTAACGTACTTGATCTGCATGACGGCTGTGAATATTAGGACTGCCAGCAGGAGATAGGTGATGGGAAAAGTCACCACCTTGTATAAGCTGTATGTGAGCAGCGATGCCACGCCTTTCGTCGACAGTGCCGTGTAGCCGCCGTACAGTCCGACCAGACCAATGTCAATCACGATAGTCCTTTGGCCGTACTTGTTGCTCAAGACTGTCAAAGCAGCGATCAAGAACAAGGTGATTCCCAGGTAGGTCTCGAATTCCCATGTCGTGACAAGTTCCCAGATGGCCTCGGGGGTGAGCTTGGGATTGTTGTCGCTGGCGGAGAGGACCACGGTAACGGCTCCTCCAATGGCAATAAGGACTCCCAGGCCGTCGCGGATGCGGAATTTCTCCTTTAGAAGCAGAGGCGCAATCAGACAATTCGAGACGAGTGCAACCACTCCGAGCGGAGATACAATCGACGCTGGAGCGAAGCCGTATGCCAGGAAATTACCCGTCTCGCCAACGACCATCATAGCAATTCCCAGCCACCATATCGGACTCTTGAGATATGACTTTTCCTCAACATCATCTTCTCCATCCTGACTGTGGTCCTCAGCAGATGACGCCGAAGCGCGCCTCGAGTCCAACTTCGGAATCAGCGGCCGCGTCTCGTCCGTCCCCTCTCCTTCTTGTTGCGCATGCCCATTCATCTCCGCCTTCCTATTCCCCTCCACCCTCTCCTCAGCAACTTCCCTCTGCTGCGTCCCATAATCCGCGCTCTTCTTATTCCTCCTCGCACTTTTCCGCTTCTCCTGTAGCCTCGCATCCCGCTCTCTACTCAACCGGAGATGTGCATATCGCTGCGTATTCAACGCAAAAGAGATCAGCACATTCCCGCAGATGGCAGTAACAACTCCGATCAAACTGGACCATCCACCATTCTTCAAATCGCCGGATCCGCCTAGGAAGCTCGTCGCGGTCGCCAGGTCCTCGGGCCCGGTTGGGATGTACATTGCTGCTTGCTGCTGCTGCTGTGCGTGTGCAGGAAACATACACGCCGGAGACGGCAGAGCAGCTTCTTCACTGTCACCGCATCCCGCGCGGCAGTGCAGAGTAGTGGCAGGCGACAAAGTCCGCCAGGTCCGGGATGTTGCTCAGCGCTTGTTTCGTGAGTTGCTGGAGATGAGCGTCACAGAAGAGGCGAAGCTTCACACTTTCTGCTGCTGCTCCGGCTCGACTCGGCCTTGAACTTTGTGCACAGACGCATGTGAACGACCACTGGATGCCAACTTCACATCATCATCGCCGAATCTACGCTATCAAAACTTTAGACTAAGGATCTTCGGAGTAACGAGGGTTACAAAAGTCCTTCTCGTACTGCTATGTAATCTATCATGGCTATCTCACGCAACCCCAGCTTTCAGTTTCAAATTCGTCGGCAATCGCCGAGGCTCAGCTTTCCTGCTGTGGCTGAATGCTGAACGAGGTACAAAGTAGACGCAGACTACCAACTTGCAACACGCGGAGCGTCCTCAAACGTGATGAACCAAAAAGCACAGGCTCCAAACTATTCAAGCCTTGATTATGGGGTCGAAATCCTGAAGGCTCGATATCCAGCAATTGAGTGACACTCCCTCTAGTTACAATCTGTAATGCATGTTGTCCAAAGGAGGAAGAGGAACCAAAGGCTGAGACCCGACTTCCTTCGCATCGACCCAATTTCCATGAATTTGTGCCCGTAATCGCATTGGCAATTCAATGACTGCCACCGGAGTCTGGAAATCACCAATCGTATCCAAAATCACCAAATTCGTAAGATTGACATCGAAGCGATCGACGGCAAATATTATATGTCCGTCTCCCTCTGCAGAATCTTCAGAGCGAGGAATAAAAACTGGTTCCATGCATCGCACGTTCGGACCCGGGTCGTAGATTTTCAATTCCTTTGTTTCCTTGGAAAGCATGGCGACGGCGTTCAAAGTTGCAAAAATGCCTTTCTTCGCCGGCTCTTTGTGATCAGAGTAGAAAATGTTCATGAAGATTTTGTCGTATGGTTTTGTCATGTATCGCTCGTCAATACGGCAGAATTCGTTCGGGATGTCGACCAGGATTTCGGGTTCTTTCAGCGTCGTTTGGTCGGGACCAGAAGGGTTGATATTGAAGCGGACGAGGTCGACGACTGTATTTCCAACTGCTTGCTTGGGATCTTTGCCGAGGAAAGGAAAGATGGATGAGCGTATGTCGTGCGGAAAGGTTCCCTCGAAGAAGATGTTTCCGTCTTCTTCCCAAGCTCCTGCGGTGTGGATGATGGCAGAAGGCTCGGGGAAGGTGTAGCAACGCGATTCGTAGGGCTTCCAGCCGGATCCAGCCAGAGGTTGATCAGGGCGACGCGGAACGACGATGAATCTGGTCGGGCGACTCGTGTCCCAGCACACATGAGTCTCACCCTCTTGAGGATTTTCTCGCATCGCTGTTGGCCATGGAGCGAACACGATCCAGTTTTCTGTCACGGCGCAGTCGTGGCATACTCCGAGGTCGGGTACTTGGATGCGGTGCTCGTTCTTAACACGTCCTCGGCGGTCCACAGAGTAGGAGACGATCTGATGGAGCTCCCTCGAGTACGTGACCATTTCATCTGCGTGAGGATCGATATGTGGATGCGCAGTGCTGGTCATTGTCTTGATGTGGGCGCGATAGGGATCCATTCCAGTAGTCTCGAGCGTATGAGGGTCCATGGTGAAGGCGGGGCCCATTTCGGACAAGGCTTGAAGACGACCTGCCCAATAAATCACGTTGGTGTTAGTTATCTGTGAAATAACAGCCTGGACACATGGATGCTCTATCCAAGGGCAAGCTTCGATGTCCACAGGATTGCCTGCACGCTTGTGTTTGTCGAGCTTGTACTTGTCGTTGTGCACATGCTTGATCCTGAAGTCGACCCGACCATTGTGGATCCGAAATGCTGTTACGACACCGTTGCCCAACCAGGGGACATGACCCCTATCCACTGGGATGACTCTATCTTGCCCAACGCGATAGAATGTCCCGTCAATGCTGCTCGGAATGACGCCCCTAACAACGACGTCGCTGATCTCGCCTTCGAGGTGGATTGGCGCATCGATGCCCGACAGATCCTCCGCAAAAGGCCATTCGGAGGAAAGCTTCTCTGCGCCCTTGATAGGGACTATAGAGGTCATTGCGAGTGGTGTAATGATGCTGGGGCGCAAATTGTAGCGGTGAAATGATCGAAAGGCAGTATCGGACTGGTGAGGGTAGACTTTGGTCCTCTGTGCGCTCACAGCAAACACCTGGAGGGCTTCAAAGTCTTATATTCCCCACCTTACGCTCATCCCACTGCCCGGCCATGTTGAGTACAGAGACCGTAGACCGCAGACGGAAATGTTGTATTCCGCTGCCTGCATGTTTCGAGTGTTTTGACACGTCAGGGTTGTTCACGCGAAACGGAAGTCTTCCCTTTCCGAGTCTCCGGCGGTGTTGGACATCCTCAGACTTTGACGATGGACAATTTTATGGAGGCGCTGAACTTGGCTCTCCTGCTTCGAGCCTTCGATATGGCTGGCTGGAGGAGAGAGTGCCGCTCGAGAGGCTAGCGTGCTGGTGGAGCTATGTGAGGATGCTGACCGGGCCATAGCGCTCGTGCTCGAGATGCGCGACCTGCCGTTCACTTGGCAATATGCGTATAAGCTCGTTCCGACATTCGTCCAATGCGATTCTGCAATTGGGACGAATGACATTCGTTGAGCTGATGACCAGACAGACCTGGCTCTGCCTCAGGCGCTTCCTTCCACTTGCAAACCATGACTTCCGGGAGCGTAATGTGGCTGCCTTGTTCTTGATTGGGTGTGGTGCAGAGGAAGCTGACGGAGTCGATCAATCCCTTCGCGGCTGCCGGGAGAGCCCACGGATGGCGGCAAAGGTCTTGCAAGCCAGCGACGTCTCGGCTGGGCAGGGTTGCCTCCGCCGGTCGCAAATTGACTTCACATGTTGGAGGAGGAGACAACGCCCAAGTCCAAGCAGCCATCCCATTTCCTGACTCGTGTACGAATGCTTGCTCAATAATTGATGGGTTGTGATTGGTTCACGGCATGCATGGGGCTTTTTATGCTTGTGGCCTGAGGCAAGACAGCACACCTGCAAGTTCTCAGTTCTCAGCACCACCACGCAAGCCACTTACTCTGGGAGCAGACATCACTTCTTTCAACTTCAAATGAGTATCGCGCTGCCTCTCTTCACCGGCTCGGACGCACGCTTAGCCTTGTTCGTTCATGGCTCCACACAGTGCGAGCTCGGCAGACATGTCGCCATCCTGCATCGGCTCAAAAGCAGAAGCGAAAGAGCTAGCATTGGAGTGAACAGAGAGACAGAATTTGCCGCTGTCTGGTCTGACGAGGCCTATTATAATGTCGGGAGAGGCTCATGTCTGGATTTCAGCCCTATCGTGCCCTGAAAACCCACGGCGGTCCGATGACTGGGCGAAAGATGACTGACTTGGGATGACCAAATCAACACTCCGCATGACGACCATCTCAGGCTGGGTATCGCCGAACGCCAGATCGTGTTACAGGTATTGTACAGAAGTTTGCTGAGGCCGCGTCCGACCAACGTGAGGCATCGCCTTGCAGAGGGCTGTTGTCCTGCCCGGGTTCTGCATCGCGTGCGACCTCCCGGCCTCGCCAACGCCCTACAGTGCCGACACTCGACAACGACTCAATAATCACAAGTGATGCACTTTGGTTAAACCCATGCGCCTGTGCAAGACTGATGCCATAGGCGACTCCGCTGACACGACTGATACCGCTACTAACTGAGCAGTAGAGGATGCGCCTTCCATCAAATTTCCCCAACCTTATGCGACTTGTGCCAGATCTCCCAAGCTGCCAATGACGCTTGGGAGCATGGGTCACGCAATACTGATGCGACATGAGACCAAAGTTATTACAGTTGAGAAAATATCACTGCCGAGCAGTGGGGAGTACAGGCTGCAGGGGCATCGCCACCTTCCAGAACAGGAAGCTGGCAAGACTTCAATGCCTGTCGATTGCCACACGCTATCCTGCTTCACTCTTGACGTCAGGTGAGGAGAGTGCACATTCTCATCAGACGTAGACACGACTTTGCCTACAGTGTCGGGTGGAACGTGAGGCGTCACGGTTGTGATGCCACGTTGCAGATGCCGCGAAAGATCAAAGTACTGCACCATCACAACGAAGGTGAAAGACCACGCAGGACTGTCTAAAAGAAGCAAGCAGAACGGGAATGTACAGGGGATTTCTGCAGGCAGGGCATAAGCGGGAGCAGCGGCCTTGGCCTACGTTCGTCCTGCGAAGACCTGCAGAGTGAAGTCTTCATATACGTCTGGCCGGAGATCGCTGAAATCCTCCAGGATTCTTCAAGAGGTATCATTAACTGACGTGCTTCATCATGATCACCCGTGCTGGTCTGTTGGCAAGTCTGCCTTTGCTGCTACAGGCACAAGAGCTATGGGGACGACAGGACTCATACGGGCCCACTTGGATGGGCTTGCCCGGCAGCATATATCAGCCCCCAGGCATTTGGGGCGATGCTAAGGATGCAGCCTGGCCACCCACGTCGTCCGATACTGGATCGCGGATTGAACCTCAGAAGCCAGATGCCGAACTGCAAGAAATGATTTTGGAAGTTGATGAAGCTCGTGTAGAGAATACAATCAGCAAGCTGGTGAGTTTTGGTACTCGACACACACTGTCAGTGCAGAACTCCACAACTCGTGGCATTGGTGCGGCTCGAGATTGGATTTACCAGGAAATGCTCGATTACGCCGAAGATTCTGATGGCAGAATGGATGTCTACTTCAACAGCTATATTCAGCCGGTGGACGGCAGTCGGATTCCCTTTCCAGTCAACATCACGAATATCGTGGCGCAAATCAATGGCACGACTGACCCGGAGAGGGTCTATGTGGTGACAGGACACCACGACAGCAGAAGAATCGATGTCCTGGACTACGAAGGAGATGCTCCAGGTGCTGACGACGATGCCAGTGGTGTGGCAGTAGTCATGGAGATGGCTCGTGTCTGTGCCAAGAGGCGACCAGCCGCAACCATGATCTTCGCTGCTGTCGCTGGTGAAGAGCAAGGTCTGTACGGCTCTGCCAATCTCGCGAGGACCTTGAAGGAAGCAGGCTACAGAGTCGAAGGCAATTGGAATAATGACATTGTCGGTACTGGAAAATCTCAGCCCTTCGCTCCGATCAACGATTATACTGTCCGTCTCTTCGGTCCGAGCATTTACTACCCAAATGCCACGAACGCTTCCGCTGCTGTGCAACGCACCACTGCGAACGTTGGCGGCTGGAACGACTCCCCGGCACAAAACCTCGGCCGCTTCATCGCCGAAGTCGTCGCCGGAGCTGCAGAGTACGTCGGAATGCAAGTTGCTCTCATCTACCGTGCCGACCGCTTCCTCCGTGGCGGCGACCACCAATCTTTCCTCACCCAAGGCTTTCCCGCCGTACGTTTCAGCGAGGCCGTCGAAGACTTCGCCCACCAACATCAAGACGTCCGCGAGCAAGATGGAATTCAATACGGCGATCTGATCGAATTCGTCGATTTCAATTACACCGCTCGTGTAGCAAGAGTCAACCTCGCGAGTATGTGGTCTGCAGCGAATGCTCCTGCTACGCCGAAGAATGTTACGATTAGTAGAGTCATTGGATTTCCGGCGGGCAATCAGAGTACAAATCCCGAACTTATTACGAATGAGAGTGGATTCTCGTGGGCGATGGGAGATGATGAGTTGGTGGAGAGTTATGAGCTCGTGTGGAGGGAGAGTGGAAATGTGCAGTGGTCGTATGTGATGAATGTGGGCAATGTGGGGAATGTTACGGTGGATTTGAATAAGGACAATTATCAGTTTGGGGTCAGAGCTGTTGGGAAGAATGGGTTTAAGAGTCCGGCTGTTTGGCCTTATCCTGGCTGATCAGATTGTACGCGGATATAGTATGGAGGTTGCAGGGAAACATCGTGGGGTGTATACGTACTTCATGGGAAATGACAAAGATGCTTAGTTCAGGAAGGTGACAATCGGCGAAACAGACTGGAATATACGCCGTGACGACTGCTTTGCTGCTTCGAAGAGAGCGACTGATGCTAATATGTGAGAACAAGGAAAGGGCAATCGGCCTCGATGACAAAATTGCTACCTTGGGCAAGGTGCTAACAAGGGATGACAGGGGTCACAGACCTGCGCCTATTGCTCGCGACTCCCCTTGTCTTGTGGTTCCTTGGAAGGTTACAGATCGTACCCGGATTCTGCATGTAATGAGTCTAAAAGGGAACATCGAATTCGATCGCGAAAGCAAGGAAATGATCCTCTACTCGATATACTGAACCAGCAGCTATCGATCTATCACAAACGAGCGTGCCTTTCCAGCCTTCCACCACCATCATTGTCACGATCCTTTCCCAACGAACGACAATAGTGAAAGACGCAATGCCACGACCAAATGCACCGAAACAAACCAAAACGCCAGCCATGCATGCAACCGACCCGCTACTCCAGCCACCTTCCCAACCCTCGTTGCAATCAGCTTCTCCGCTTCTCTACATGGCCGCTCTGTCCAATAACTGATGAGACACACAGGTATTAGTAAGTCCCCCTAACTTTCACTGCGGCGAGAAGACCTACCACGTATCCGATATTGTTTCTCTCACGAAATTCTTGCTGGCGAAGGCGAGGGTCGGGACATTCACCTCTGGGGCAACTCGGGTGAGGTAGAACGAAACCAAGATCTCGTCCGATGAGCTTCCTGTTGGGCGCAGTCTGATCCACAGTTTTACGTGTCAACAGGTGCTCTTTCTTGTCTTGTATGGACTCCCCTATATGGGGAAAAACCTCGCGCATGACTTACAACTCGTAGTGGCAACTCGTCCGGATCGCACAATCCAGTGCGTCCGGTAGCAGCGCAGAAGAGAGTCCGTCTGACCATATCGATTGGAGCTGGAACAGGACTCCTCTTGGCGACATTCTGTCTGTAGTTTCGCTGAAACAAAACGAATTGGTATTAGCAACTGGCCCCTTGTCCCCATCCTCGTTGAAGCAGCCGAGAATACATCTTAGACTTGGGAAAGACTTACAAGGTTCTCCAGCGCCGCCTCCAATTCTGGGTCTGGGACGTTGCTACATCCGCCCGACAAGCAGACCTGCGCCAGATATTGAGGATCCCGTTCTTCCAAGATCGGAGCCTCCCCGGTGTTGAACGGGTGGGGCATGAACGGGGTTGGCCGGCCATCGCATAAATAACGCGGACTCCGGAGGCAGACCTCTCCAATGCGTTGTGGCAGGCTCACCGGATCCGCGTCAGCATCTCTCGCCTGGATTCCTTTCCTCTGTTCGAACAGAACGCATGCGTATTAGCAATGTCCTTCTGACTTCTTGCAGATGCCATAGTCGAACAATGGAAGGGGAGGTGACGATGTTCTAGGATCATAAGACTTTGGCTTATTGAGACAAGTACTCACTAGTGGAAAGTCTAGTTGAATGGGGTTGTTCCGTAGATAGCCTGGCCACGGCTCGATAACTGGGAGCCTTTCGAGAGGAGCCGCCGCAGCAGAGGTCAGGAAGAGGAGGTCGCTGGAGGAAAATCGCATATTGGAGCTCTTTTGGCTTGAGTGGAGTAGCGATTGGTTCTGTTTCGGATCTTATTAATGTTCGTGTTTGGTGTGCTTCTTCGTGGTGGCACGCTTTGTCCAGCAAATGCGCGTGGAAGGGGTTGGATTGGATTGCGTTGGGTTGTCTTGATGTCGTTGAGTGTTCGCTTGAGATCTGCCAAAGTAAAAATTTCATTGCGGCAAGAAGCTCGCTTTTATAGTCTCGCGAAGCTGAATCAGAGAGCAGTTTCGCCAGACTTGGTGTGAAGCTGGAGATTCTTCTTGACCATCTTTCGGCAAATGTTTTCCCAAATGGATACTCAGCCTTGTTCCATTGCCGCCATGATGTACTTGGTAACGAATTAGATATGCTCCTGGCAACAACCTAGGTGTTTGTATAGCAGCGACGGCGATTTCGGAGCGTGGGTAAATATTCAGAGAAGGTCGGCGGGCTGATGGAAACTGACACCACAGTCGTTGTGTGGACATACGCTAAGACTAGAGAGGAAATAATGTCAGTCTGGCTGGACTGTCGCTTCCTCCATCGGCGAGAAGACAGCACAAGGAAGGTAGACCAATACTCTTGAACATGGCGGCAAGCAGTAGGTCCAGTCATCAGTGGACACTCTCGGTTTCCCAACAGCTGTGCGGCCGCTGTTCAAAATTCCCCTCCCGCACACACCAAAGTTCCAGCCCATCTTCATTCCGTGCGTCCACGCGCTCGCCGGACCAAGCGTTGCCATCCCTACTCTGAGTCAAGTACCCGTCCGAGGCGTTCCAACCCAGAATCCTGTTCCTCCCTATTTCCCCTGGTCGGACCGAGCTACTCACTCGTACTCCACCGACGCCACTCCAAGATTCCTCGCGACGACATTGAATTATTAAAAAAAAACGCCGCCCACATTAGCGAGAGAGTCGCTTCTCTCCGTCACAGCCTCGAGCAATACCTCGTAGGACAGATTCGGCGGTCGACTTACATCGTCCACCAAGTTCATTGACAATCGGGCTCCAAAGAGCCATCGAAAGCCCGTCCAACGCAACGAGCATCATGTCGACCTTATTATGAGCTCGCACAGAAAGCGAGAGCGATGTGCAACAACGGCAAGATCTCGTTCGAACTTCAAAGCAGTAAAGAAGGTTTAAAATCTCGACTTGGCATTGGCTCCTTCTCGATTAGCGTTGAGCGAAAAATCATCACTGTGAATCAAGAGGATTGAAAAGACTGGGGTGAAGTGAGTAGACATGACTCGCCCAGGCATGTTTGGAAGGAAGATAAGTCAAAAGCATTGTTCCGTTCGTGGCTCAAGATAGACCGCGCAGGTTCTATTGCCAGCCCATGCCCTTTTTCATTCCACGCTTATGCATCAAGCTCCCTCGAGCAACATATGCATGGCTGGGTATCTTCATTGGGCAACTGCTGCAAAACCTTTGTCAGAATTGACCAATTGACATGCTCACACATCTAATAGCTCTTTCATGTATCATTTCTCCGCGAATGCGTAGTCTCATATCCCAAGAAACGCCTCGCTAATCAACCAATTCATTCCAGACATGCCCGTGTTGTGCACATTTACATCACATCATAACACAATCCCGATCTTCTGCAGCTCTTTTACGCTTCGCAGCCTTCAGAACCTGTTTCTCCTTCTTCGTCAAAGGCGCCAATCCATGCGCATCATGCGCAGGTTTCAAAGTATCGACCGTCTCTCCACTTTCGTTCCGAGGCAAGTGTACGCTCGTTCTGTTGGTCGGAGTATTGAGCTCGGTAGTATCTGTGTCATCAGCCGGACCTGTCTCGGCAGGAGCGGCAATCGCAGGCGTGTCGTCGGTAGCTGGCTGCGAAATATCGTTTTTGCTCATCTTCTGCGCGAGCTTGGCCATATTCAGATTGAGACTGAACCGACTGCCATTTGCGTTGCTTGATCCCATGGGTCCTGTGCTGCTGGGTCTGCTTTTTGATGTCGCCGAATCCTTGGACAACTTGCTGCCTCTCCGAGAACCTGTCATTTTGCTTGCAACGGCCAGGAACCCCGTCTTTTCGGTCGGTCCGTTTTCATCGGCAGGCGTTGAAGGCACAGAGCCCGTGGGGTCAGTCCGAATGCTGCCACCCGACGTGCTGCCACTGTGACTACCTTCGTCTTGAGTAGCACTGCGGCGATGCTCTTGCATGCTTGACCGACCCCTGGGGCCATCCAGAATTCCACTCGCATCAAGACTGTGCCTACCAGTGCCGGGAGCCCAGTCCACTGTGTCCGAATTCACGCGCACGCCATCGGAAAGCGTTTGCGAGGGAATGTGCTCCAGTGCATTTTCGGAGCCCAGTACAGAATTAATGTATGGCTTTTCCTCGTGCGCAAAAACATCAGACGCAGATCTGCTGGTGGCCTCTGCGTACGAAGGCAGGTCGTGGATGGAATGTCCATCATCTCCTATTGGCTGCACTTGATAGAAGAGGAGATAAGGTGTCTCTTTCCTCAACGCCTGATGGATGTCGACGTAAGTCACCCGGTTGCTGGCCAAGTCATCGAAAAGCATCCACGGGTCCTCGATGTCCTCGCTGTCAGACACGCTATTTCGTCGGCTAGGAGGCGTGCTCTCGGGAATCGCAGAGGACGACTTGCCACGGCAGAGAGTAACATAATGTCCCGAGTGCACGGACGTCCCTCTGTGACAGACGACTGATTGTAAGATCAATCTGAAGTTGCCTACGAGCGGACCATCTTCTTGCATATTCTCGTCACTAACGAAGTTTGGGACCCCGATCTCAAGCGGGATGTCGATATAAGTATCTCGCTTCGTCGCTGTCCCATTATTGGTGAAGGAATATCGTTTCAGGCAAATGCCAAGAACCGGTCGTTTCTTCGCGAAGTGTGCTGCAACCTGCGCATCGGAAGTTGGCATGTGATCCGTGTACCACGGGAGCAATTTGAAGAATTGCCAAGCAGGCATGAGCACTTCTGTCTTCGTGCTCATTTTCCGTTCCCTCTCCTGCGGCGGGTCGCCGCCTTCCTTTTCCGGGTCGATTCCTATCAGCTCGATCTTGCGCTGGCCAAATATGCTGTCTCCACGTTTTCGTCCTGCGCCAGGTCGTATCTTCTCCAAAGGGTCTTTGCTGTGAGTCATGGCAACAGGCGATTCTGTCAAAGGCGTTTGAGGTATTGGTGTTCCGGGCCCACTTGCAGGAATTTCCGCAATTTCGACATGAAGGCCAGAACTCTTCTCGGTTCTGGTGCTGTCTTGCCATGGGTCGGAACCAGACTTCAACGTGTTACGTCGTTGATTTTCCAAATGTCTCATGACTTCCACTCGATTGTTGAAGTAGTGCTCAAGACAGTCTTCCAAGGTAATATCCTGGCCCGACTCGGATGGCTCAGGGATGGCAATTTCCAACATTCGCTCGTTGACGAATTTGTGATCATCTTGAGGCTCCTCCTTGCCGGTGTGATACAGATCCATTTTCAGTGTCAGAAGAGGAAGTTCGAGCTGGCCGGTAACGAACGTGAAAGCCTCAGAAGGGTCCTGCTGCCTTGTATTGGCTGCATCTTCCCAACCACACTCGGCCAAAGACTGCTGCAGGTGCCTTGTGATATCCGTCGTGATCAAGCGGCCTGTCCGGAGCATATTTACCCACAATCGTAGCAGACCTGCCAGTCGTCTTCGCGGCTTGTCGTTGAAGTCGTTGTAGAGCATTGCTTCGAAGCTGTCCAATCGCGCGAACATGGCGAAGAGCAAGGCATCGAGGTAGCATGTGACATTGTTCCGATTTATTGCTCCAACCAACTGGGTGCTGGGGTCATACTGCTTGACAATGCCCTCGTACGTCTCTTGCAGCAGGAGTAGTAGCCGAAATGCCTGGTCCCCATCGCCTTTGTTCTGTGTAGTCCGGAGAGCGTATCGCGCGTTCCCCTCTGTCATCGTATCGATGCCATGACTGCGAAATCGTTCGAGGATGCCCTTGATGCTCCTCTCCTCCTCCTTGTCGCGGGCGACTTTGGGTTCATCGTATATCGACCACAGGTCTCCCAGGTAATCGGGTCTGGAGGAACTGGTGGAGGTGGAAGGCTGAATATCTCGGCTCTGTGAAGGAGAGGTTAGCTGGCTCAGGCGAGTCATGGTGAAAGTTGCAATGCGGAGCCGTGGTCACTGAAACGTGTTTCATGCTCATGCACGCCCTCAGCGTCTCCAGAAACGGAGCAAGACTCTTGATGGAAGACGTGCTGTCGCTCTGACGCGCCTCTCTCCGCTTGTTCGCCATTCCGCACGTACTCGCTGACGGGCGGCGACGGCGGTGGTGAATGACGAGGGTCGCGGAGGTCGGAAACGCTGCTGAGCCGGGCGAGGAATAACATGGGGGAATGATGTAGGGCGGCGCGGTGATGGTGGCGGAGCGGCATACTTTGGTTGGGCTGTGTGAAGAGGCGCGACGACTGTCCTTTCTCTTGCGCGTGCTGAGGAAGCGCTTCAGGTCGCTCATGCTTTCGAGGTCGGCTCCGCGGCGCTTGCCCCATGGGCGGTCACCAGAGTCCCCTCGTGTCTCGGGCAACGCGGATGTCGCTTGTCGTCCCTGTGCGCTGTGAGAGGCTCAGCGAGGCAGCGGAGCGGGGCTCTTGGAGGAAGATGAAGAACATCCAAGAGCCAGGCGGCCGGATTATTGCTTCTTCGCCAATGTCGTTACCTGGCTTCACCGGCAGCACGCTGGTGGAGAATTCACAGGTGCCTGGAGCAATCGACTTCGGGCAAACGCCGTTTCCGAGAGACGAACAGCAGCAGTACGAGTGGCTAGTTCTATGCGAGCGAGCGGTCATCACGCTGGCGGCCCTCTCCTCCCGCCGCCCTCTCGTCGCTCGCCGCCCCGCCCTCCAACGCCGTACTTAAACGAAGGCGTGCCTAGACATGCGCCACGCGGAGGTGGATAGCTTCCTCAATCTCGGCCCATTGCTACGGATTGCTGCCTTGGGCTGTGGTTCCACTCGGATTTGCCAGTGCAACTGCGGCATACATGAGCATCACACAGGCAGTAGAACGCCAACACGTCTGCTGCCATCATCATATACCGATCACGAATCGAGGGCAAGCAGACCTGAAAGAGGGATTGCCCAACGAGACTTTACGAGCATGTGGCGCCAACATGTGACGCAGTGACGCAGGGCATTGCTAGCATTGATGACTAACACTGCGACTAATCCTCCACTAAAATAACGAACACAGAGTTATTCTCGTGGATCATCTGCTGCAATCTTTACTTTGTATACGCATCCTCTCAAACACTTCGCTCTCAACCTTTCATTAGAGACGTTTGTTGCCCACCACTCTCATCCTCTCCACTCCCCTGAACCTCCTCATGCACATCTTCACAGATGACCACTGTTAAGATATCGAGAGCTCCATGTCCGTATTAAGATTGAAGCCGCAGTGGCAAGGCCCTCCCCAGGACGGCTGTCTTATTGCCGTATTATGCTCATAATCTGCTTTTTTCCTTGAATTGCCAGGAAGCCAATAATTGTCGTCCTCGTACCACCAGTTCAGTTTGCCTTTGGCACATGCCCATACGCTGCCATGAGCGGGATAGATTTTCGCGCTACCGCCAGCAATATTCCACACCATAGTTTCTTGCCAGTATTTATAGGCCACAAGGATAGCTGCATGGCGGCAAAAGAGAGACAGCGTCAGCGGTGAGTGATCATCATGTGTATCTGTTATGGGGCGGAAATTGAGGACCAACTCACTGCCATCGCCGTTGTTTGACCACCGTGCAATTTCCCAAAATCCTGTGCCCGACTGTTTAGCCGCACTCGGCAGCCTACGGCAGTTCCGAGACTTATCAGCTGCCGTGCGCAAGTCGTGGCGGATCTCGTGTAAACAGGCATTTTCTTTCTCCTTACCTCACACAAAGCACATATTGATAATCGCAGATCCACGGCTTCTTGGCCGATTTCGGATATCTCGATCCGACGGTACGGCGAGCGTCGCTTATGGCCTTGTCTGTAAGCACAGTACCACCAGGGACTTTCCACCCATCTCCGCAAGGCGGTGCGCCCGTGAAATTGTTCTTGACTTGAATGTACGTTGGATCCCCGTCCTCGAGGCTGAAGTCTGTATTCATGTGTTCCAGAGTATCCAGATTCGCGTCGTCTACGGCACGGATAGCATTGATATGCCTATCGCTTGCATCGCTCTGAAGACCCGTGGGGCCTCCATAGGCTACAGCCAAGAGAGCGGCGAACGAGGCGGCCAGTATTCCAGTGCGCATTTTCGATGTTCGTTGCTGTCTGAACTCTTGGGGTTTATGTGATTTTCCAGCTCAGGGAAGCACAAGGTGTGACGAGCCTCTTATACATTTTGATGAATCTGTTGGTGCCCATATGCTGCCGTATTCCATCTCGTATTCAAATCGCTTTGGTGAAGGTAGTCGGGGGCCAGGATGAAACGAAAAAAGTTCATTCAGAATCTATGTCAGCAACGGATGAGCGTGAAGCTGTCCCTTCGTAGTACGGTGCTCTTTTCGCAGACCGAGAGCACAGAGCTCGAAGTCTCATACGGCTGACTGCATTGAGTTTATCGAAATGCTTGACTGTTCCATTGTTCTAGACCATTCATCAGAGTCCAGAAGCGGCTTCACAGGTCACCAACGGCAAATTGCTATCCCAGCCGGAAGGTCACGGGCTGCAAAGGTATCTACAATAGATGCATGAGCGCTTCGAGAAGTTCTCGAGCCAGCGCCCCGATATGAATGGCAGGCAGCGGGCTCGTGACATGCTTTTCCAAGCACCAGGTATTCCAGAAGACTTTCGCGGGGCGACGCTAGGAGCGAGAGCAAGCAGGTGGCCCTCCGGGACTCGGCATCAAGCAATGCGGACGGAAAGGCCAGGAGCCGTGTCGCCTTTTTGGCATCAACTGAAAGTTGTCGTTGACTGCATTGCCCAAATGCGTAACGGCGAGGCGATGACCGCGGATGTAACGATGTAAGCCAACGCTGACATATCGCGCTCCGAACAAAAGCTCGGAGAGCCAAAAGGACACTAGCAGATCGAGTTGTCCAGAAGGCGTCGCTCGTAAGTAGGCCATTTCGTGCCCTAATCATTGCTTAGGGCAGACATAGCTGCAAGTTGAGCAGGCTGAACCTGCATGTATATGCAATCCCTTTCGCCGCTCGGTCGCGCATTAACTATGGCCTCGAGCTTGTGTCTCCAGCATCCGAGGAGGTTCTTCAGTCTGTCACCTGCATTCGGAGATCGGTTAGCAGGGTATATTTCGCTTTATGGGCACTTACAAGCTATGTAAGGTTTTCGTCAGCCGGCTTAGGGCAGCTTATTGGCAGGAGAGGCCTCCATGGAATTGATGACAGCGATTTCACAAGGATGGCTTGCAAGACGGAATCATGTTTGAGCTTGGCGCTCGTATGTGTGAAGCGTGTTTTGCTACCCCAACCGCATTAGTAAACAAAGATTTAGTGTATGAGCGACAGCACAAGTACGCATGGGAGGGTCCGATTTTTTAATAGTACCGTTGGTATCTGGAATAGATCAGATGATGCGTGATGCTCTGAGGATGAGGTGGAACTGACGGAGTGGCGCCAGTGAGGGACGTCGTCTGCTGTCGGGTCTGCTCTCTGTCTGGCCAGTTTCGGCACATGCGAAACAGATGCTGAGAGTAGACGCCCTCATGTCGGCCCAGAGTCCAGTAGCGAAGCAGATGATGTTGGTTGTTGAATCAAAAGGCGATGCGTTCTTGCTTAGTCAGTTGGTGGAGGAGCGGTTGGTGCCTTACATGTAGATTTACGGATGCCTGACTGTGCTGCTTTCTCCGCTCACCCCCGAGCGACATTGGCAAAGCCGTGTCTGGACAAGACCACACGAACATCCTCATCATCATGGCACTGCAAGAAGTCACCGCGTCGTTTTTGCGTCGACTACGACTTGCTGAACGGCCATTGACCAGCGCCTGGGCTGCACAATGTCGGCGATACGCGTCCACGGACTCGTCTGATGCATCCACCTTTGCCCAGGAGCTTGAAACAACAGAATTCCAGTCGACACCCGCCGATGCTGCAGAGAAGAGAATACCGGAGTACAACCCGCTGCAGAGATCGCGACGGAGAAGGGCGCAGTTGCCAGCCAGCAGGTGAATTCTGCCCACAACATGCTGCGATGAAGAGAAGCTCACAGACCCGTAGATATCAATTCCGCCCGCCTAGATACTTCCGCGGTCCTTTGCACCCTCATCAGCCTCCCAAGGGCTCCGATCCTGCATCGCGCGAATATGTCCCAGGCCCATTCTCTCTTCCACGTCTCGAACAGACTTACCACGATACATTCAAATCCGATCTGATGACCCTGGCCTATGCGCATTTTCCACCTGGCACAGAACCTCACAAGAAAGGAGCGCGCTTAAGAGAATGGGTCGGAGACTCGCCATACTTCAAGAATAGACCTCTGCGAGGGCCTCGTGGAGGAGATGTGCTCAAGCTTCTGCGCAAGCCCATGACATTTAGGAATGTGCCTCAGCTGGAGCGCGTGACAGTGCATGCCTTCATGAAGCAAGCAGCGGAGGATAGCGCCTATCTTCACGTGGCGGGTATGGTCTTGCAAGCCATGACTAATGTCCGCGTGCAAGTTCATGAGGTTCAGCAGAGTGTCGCCGGGTTCGGCATCCGAGCAGGACAACACCTCAGTGTCACCGCGGAACTTAGAGGAGAGGACATGTATCACTTCATGAGCAAGGTGATTGATGTCGTCATGCCAAAGATCAAGGACTGGCGCGGCGTGAAGGGCAGCGCTGGAGACAGTAGTGGCAACATTGCGTTCGGCCTTGACCCGGAACACGTTGCTTTGTTTCCTGAGATCGAAGTCAATTATGATGCGTGAGTTGATAACCCGGCCCTCGAGGCGGTTCTGCATCCTATGCTCGGCACTTTCAACTGACTTAGGTACAGGTACCCGCCGAAGATGATCCCTGGACTTCACGTTATCGTACACACTTCTGCAACGAACGACATGGACGCGCGAATGTTATTGAGCTCCATCGGCATTCCATTCTACGGCAAGCTCATCAATTGAGAAACAGCATCTGAATCAAGCTGTCTCAAACGCCAAGGAAACCAGACTCATCGCAATGATCATAACCTGCTCTTGGACTGGGATGAAGAGTCCTCCTGCATCCCTTCGAAGCACATGCACCCCCACGCGATGCTGGGACCCATTGAGCTGATTCCTGCTGCAAAGTCAATGCAGTCATTCATGGTCATTGAGGGTCCTACAAGCTACTGCCACAGCGTTGCAGCAAGGCCCGACCTCTCGCTCTCCCACGGCTTTCAATCAGAGCTCTAGCTGCAAGCAATGCACGCAGCTATAGCTGATAGTGGAGTTGGTTCGCTTTGTGGAGCGCGAGTCAGAGAACTAAGTTCCATCCCACGAACTTTAGTCCCGAGGACAGCCCGCTCACGCGCCTTCTCCACATACAAGCAAACTCACACAATCGTCAGACACCAGCCCTGCACAACGATTATTCCCTCTCGTCTGTCGCGCCTGATGATCTATTTGAGTGCGTCACCTTCAATTCTGCCTAGCATCCTTTGGGCAGGATCAGCTCGGCCGAAGTGGTTGCCACACCACACGGGCTCGGAGTATCCATGGACGTCCTGACATAACCGTGCACGAGATGCAAGGCATCGATAACGGACAATCTCCGCAGGATCAGATTAGATCGCATAAGAAGCGCAGCTGTCCCTGTCGACGGCGCAGCCACTGTATCAACATCACCTGTATAAAACTCGTTGCTCCTGCTCCTACTAGGCAGACATATTTCCATTCCATTTGATTTTTCATCCCGACCTGCAACTCCCGTGCAGCTTGCTGAGCATCATCTTTGTCGATTGCAAATTCCAGCCGTCACCATTAAACATGGCTACCTATGAACTCACTGTCCATCAACTCCTCGCCCGACTCGCGCTTGACGAGAACGACCAGCACACTCAGCAAAGCCATCACCAGCGGCCCACATCGAAACGCCAAGCTTTCCCTCCCACGCGGAAAGACAGCATGGATCTCGTTGTCGCAAGCCACACCGACCAGAGGAGTTTCCTACGCACGGATTCAGTAGCCTCTTCTACGGACTCTGAGATTTCTGGCTCAGATGACTGGAGTGAGACCGAAACCGATTTTACCCATCGTTGGACGCAGAATTGCAGAATGGGAGGAGAGTAAATGAGAATCCGAAGACGAACGAACAAGCCAAATCACCACTCATTGCAAGCAACGAAGAAGGTTGCTACTCTACTCTTGTTTGAGAAGCGATTGCGACCACTTATGCCATTTTCTGGAATCGCGAACTGCTGCGCGTGCGCAAGCCTCGCATAACAGGAATCCCGCCCTCCACTCCACCATTTGAGATCCCAATCCATCAACAGCGAAGCCGATTATGCGCGAAGAGAAAACGCCGCTCAATATGCCGTCGGGTGGGATGTAATGTCTTCGCGCTTCCCGGAGTGGTACGAGGCTTGCAGCATGCATCGCATGTGACCTTTCGTCCAAAAATGCAGGTCTCGCGAACACCAAGTAGCATGCATGCAGCAATGCCCGCAGATAACAGCACAAAGCTCGAAGCTCGAAGTGGTAGAGCTAATGCAGGACCACATTCTGGCGGCTCATGACTAAAGTGTCTTAAGCTGGATGACTACTAGTCGCTGTGGCGGGAGAAACGGAGAAATTCAGGCGCTTGATGGAAATCAGACCATATACTAGACATGAATTGAGAAGACACAGAATTTGTTCTTATTTTCTCAGATGCCGCCATGATGCATTTCCTTATACAGTTCTGTTGCTCCGCGTCTCCCGCGACTTATCTAGCATTTCCCACCGACATGTGTGCATAAAAGGGAAATCTACAAGTACACCATACATATATTTCATTCACCGCTTCGACTCTCGTGTTTCCGGCACCGACATAGCGCTGCTACTATCAAATCCTCATCCCCTCTGCAATGATCTTATACTCCTTTCTCTTCTTCTTTTCCCCAAATCTCTCCTTCAGCTTCCCGATGACCCTCGCAAAAGTCGGGAACACATGCCTTTCACACAAATAACTCGTCGCAAAAGCGCCAATGCCAAGAACTAAAATGAACACTCTGAACTTGTTGCTCATCCACGTCAACTCCATGACATTCTCGACCCAAGGCGCTGGGTCGAAAAGCATGTACGATGAAATGCCCAATGCGACGCCCATGGTGACGACAAAGGGTAAATTATGTCGCATTGACTGCCGGAAAGGTTTGCCGATCGAGAGCACGATGGCAGATAGGATGTATTGGTAGCAGGAGAGGAGGAAGAGCGTTGTGTTTTCCGAGTTCTTGGAATTGGAATGCTCGGTGTCCAAGACGGGAGGCTGGTACCAGGGTTGTTTGCGGACGAAGAACCAGCCGACGAATTGGAAGAGTATCGTGATGATGATTTGACCGATGAGAGGGGTGAGGACTTTGCGAGAGACCAGGGAGGCTGTTGGGCGTTTGCGTGAGAGTGAAGGGTAGGGTCCTGTCCAGCCCATGAAGATTGCAATGGGCAAGATGAGAAGGAGATCGATGTAGAGGAACTGGAAGTCGCCGAGGTTGGAAGCTGTGGCGTAGAGGAAGCTGACTGAGGTGAACTGAATGGCCGAATAGAGGGACATGTACTTGAAGCAGCTGAAAGAGGTGACGAGTGCGGCACGACCTTCGCGAATGACTTCTGGGACACAAGAAATGTCGAAAATGCGGCTCGTGAATGGCGCTGCAACGGACGCTTCTGCTTCGGAGAGGGAGATGCCGACGTCGGCAGCTTTGAGTGCTCCGCAGTCGTTGGCGCCGTCACCGCAGAAGCCAGCGCAGTAGTCGATGCTTTGCAGCTTTTCGATCAGCTCGTGCTTCTCGTCGGGCGACATTCGTGCGAAGACTTGGCCAATGACCAGCATTTCTTTCAGGACCTTTGGAGATGCGAAGTCCACGATCCAGCGGAAGACATCGCCAGTGACTGCCACCGAATAGTTGCGTAGATTGGACACGTCATAAGGCAGAGAGGAATCGTGCTCGGCAGGCGGAGGCAATGGTCTGAGTGTATTCTCGTCGAGCTGGTAGACAGGGTTGTCCACCGATTCCCAGGCAAGCTTGGAGAGAGCGGTATGAGCGTCACCCTCGACAAAGTGAGGCACAAAGCAGTGGGCCGACTTGTCAATGACGCCACACTCTCTTGCAACACTGATGGCTGTCAAGATGTTGTCACCTGTGCACATGACTGTGCGAATGTTGGCTTCACGTAGCTCGGTAATGATGTCTGTAGTGGTCTCCTTGAGCTTGTTTTCAAAGATGATGAAGCCCGCGAAGTCCAGTCCAGACTCTACATCTTCTCGCTTCATCTTTTGCAACTTCAGCCAATTAAGCTTGAAGATGTGCTTCGTGGCGCAAGCAATGACACGGTAGCCGCGGTGGGTGTAGTAGTTCAGCAAGTCATCGTAGTCGGCAGGGAAGCTCTCTGGCTTGCATATGGCCTTCATGGCCTCTGGGGCACCCTTAACGAACACATCTCCACTCTTTTCGCCGAATTGCCTGACCACGACAGAAGCGCGACGCAGCTGCGAGACGAACTCAAACGAACGGAGAACACCAAGCTCAATTGCTCGCCTGCTGTTTGGAGTCCCTTGTTCCTCGTCCAGATCGAATTCCATGCCTGGTGGCGGTCGAGCGACGGAAGGCGTGAGCGAGAGCTCTTCTTCATCATCACCAGCGCCTCCGCCTTCCACACCTTCTTCATACTGCCACGATGTCCAGTCAAACATCTTCAAGTCGAGAGGGTCACCAATGAATTCATCATCCACGATCCGCAGAGAGTGACATGTGGCCATGGTATAGAGAATTGCCTTGTTTGCGTTATAGTCTGCTGTCGGGTCGCGTTCATAAACTGCGCCAGGGAGCAGTGTTGATGAATCAGTGAGCAAATCCGAGAAGCGATTAGCTGGTCTCGAGACGACGCGCACACCCAGCACATCTAACCCGTCTTCTGTCAATGTGCCCGTCTTGTCAAAGGCCATGACATCAATCTTGCCTCCAACGTTGACTCGCTGAGGGCTGATACAGAAGATGTTCTTGCTCTTCAGGCGACTCAATGCGAAATTAGTTCCGATGGTAAGCGTAGCTGGCAGAGCAGGAGGTACGACGATGGTGATGAGATCGAGGGCGCGTACGACGATCAAATGCCATTCCAGACCTAGGCGAATGAAGTTGACGAAGGATGCGATGAAGCCAACTGCAGCGATCATGCCCATGACAGAGATGTATCTGAAGGAGTCGCGGTAGAACTTGAACCCAGACGGCTTTGGGAAGAGCATGGAACGGACAAGCGCTCCTTTGGTAGTATTGAAACCAGTTCTAACGACAAGTGCAAGTGCTGCAGCCTCGTCGCTTTTGTCGTCTTGCGGTCTTCGCGCCCGGATGATTTTCGTGCCGCTAAACAGCATGTGCTTTGCAACATCGGCGTGGATAGCGGAAGCAGAGAGGTTCAGCATCTCAAGAGTGTCATCAGTGCCGGGTGTTTTGGACACGGGCACGGACTCGCCAGTCAGCATGCTCTCATTGACAATGCAATCTCCTGAGAGCAGAATACTGTCGCAAGGGAATTGGCCAAGGTTAGGGTCCGTGACTTCGTAGACATCACCAGGAACCAGTTCGCTTGAGTCGACATATCGCCAGAAGCCACCTCGCAGAACACGTATATCGCATTCGAATTTCGCGATATCTCGCAGACGCTTCATTGTCGCCTTCGTTTCGATCAGGGTCGTTGTAACACTGACGACAGAAATGACAAAGATACATGCAGCATAGTAGTAGTACTCGTCTGCGGACCAGAGGATGATACTGGCGATCTGAAAGACGTAGAACGGGTGAAAGGCCTCGTCCATGAGTAGTTGACCAGTGCTCTTCTGTTCGAGATCAATTGCATTCTTGCCAAAGATACGCTCGCGAACTTCTTGTTCTTCGCCATCAATGCCCTGGCGCACAGCCAGGATATCAGTCCAGGCGGGATCTTTCCACGTGTTACCGAGTACAAACTTGTCCTTGGTGGGATGGTAGCAGAAGCGGATATATCGATAATCCAGAATTCGAAGTTCGTCCAGAATAGGATCGTCATACTCGTCGTAGTCCTGCCATTTTGCTTTGCTCACGCCGAATACGGACGACAAGCTCTGACCAAACTCCTGCTTGCTCAAATTCTGAATCGCCATCTCTCCCCACTGATTCTCAATGACAACCCAGTCCGCATCTCCAAGAGGCGTGCTTTTCCCGATCAACTTCACGTGCCATCGCGGAAGCCATCTAAGGATGAGGTATGCCAGTCCTAACGTGCATATACATAACGCAAGATATGCCGAAAAGCCAAAGTTCGAGGTCTTGAAGCCAGTAACCACGATTGTCATGTCCTCGGTCACAATGTATATTTTCTGGCTAACCCTACCACCAACGCGGAAGCCGCTCGTTTGCGAATCTTCAGAGTGGTTCCTCCGAAGAAGAGGGCTCTGAACAGAGTGTCTGTTAGAGTCCGTAGATCGACGCGATCTCTTCGAGTGAGACGAGCCTCGACTGCCGTTCCTTTTCCTCGACGCGATGGAGCCACTTTCAGGAGTCTCGTCATAGTCTCCATTCATCTCAGGCTCAATGAACGTGCTCTCCCCGCTGAGCTCTCCATTCTCCATCGCGTCTTCTTCTTCGTAGATGGCATCTTCGGGCAGCTCTTCTGAATCAAAATCGCGCTCTTCCTCGTAATATGTGAAGCTCGTGACCGAGTTGGCTCTTGATCGGCGGTGGAAGAAAGATGATGAGGCGGTGGGGACACTCTCCGACATGGGCCCGGAGAAGATCTCGTCCTGGGCCATCTCGACATCGTCCAAGAAGCTGGCCTCGCTGATGTTCGACTCGCGGCGGCGATAGGCAGCGCTATGCCGCCGCAGGTCTTCTGGCGAATGCTCGTCCGACATGGTGGTGGTAGTGCTCGCTGGCTGTGCAGTGTATGCGGAGACCTGGCGGTCTTTTCCAAGCCAATGCTATCGCATGTCGTCCTGGCGGATGTGGAGTGCAAACGCGACCAATGTTCAGACGTGTCGGAATCTCGAAATGTTCGTCATGCTCTCCCGTGTCGACATGGATGAGATCTCGTCTATCTTTGCCGAGCGTGCACGGACCATGCTCGACTCCAGCTTCACGTCTTGGTCATCTTCACCACCTCGACTTCACCTGGCCAGCATGTCCATGACTAACGCCTGCGCCTTCCAGGGCACTGCTGCCTTCAAGTCTGCCCTGCAGACGATCTGACTTCAGCATGCGCAATCATCCCGTCGACGCTGCTTGATGACTTAACTCCGAGCTCGGACGAGCTCATTTCGGAGAAGAACAGACCAGACTCCACGGCGCATCTCGAAACTGAGGTTGAGCTTCGCCGACACCTAACGCGTCGACAATCGCTGACGTATCTTCTGTGTACCGTTGGCCGTTCTCTATAATCTGATCCGACACTCTGTAGGCCTTTCAATCTCGCGCGCAGTAAGAAGGTTTGGCTCACCAAGTACCGTTAAGCTATCGTCAGAAGCAGCCACCAGACGGCTTACGGAGCAGGGGGTGAAATCATGCCTACGGATCCACTTCTACCGGAAGGGCGACAGTTCCCTCGTGCACGCTCGCCCGATGGGCTCGGAGGTAATGAGAGGAAGCGCAGACGAAAGGTTCTGTCCTGTTACGATTGTCGGAGGCGCAAATTGCAATGCGATCGAGCAATGCCTGCCTGCGGGCGTTGCACGAAGGCTGGCCAAGCTTCTAATTGTCTATACCTGGAGGATTCTGCCGAAGTGCCAATACGCGAAGAGCCATCAATACCTACAGCGTCGCACAAACTGCCGCCGTTGTATGGCCATTCTACGCGACCCATTGCGGCCAATGCTCCTTCTGGTGATCTTCTATCTCGACTTGAGTATCAGGATGGACGAATCAAACAGCTCGAGGCTGCACTTGCCAAGGCAGGTGGCGCACCCGTTGGCAAAGCACACATTCCACTCACCCCGGAGTCGTTAGCGGGAGGTGGCGCTGTCGATGTAGCGGCGCCTGTACAAGACCGCGAAACAACACTTCTTAGAGGAAGAAGTTTCAAGACTCAGTTTCATGGCAACACACATCCAGGAGCCTTGATTGCTCGGATACCTGAGCTTCAAGGTTTCACCAGAGGTGAGTACATTCCATCACGGATCAGCTTCTTATTCCACGAATGATTACAATTGTCACTTAAAGCTATGTGCTGACTTCCCTAGAAACGTTTGAGCAATATCCAGCCTTGGCCAGAATCAAGGAGGACATGTGCACTCTTGAGCGACGAAGGGAGCACTCTGGATCGACACGCAATCCGGTGAATGATGAAGCACTAAGAGCCATGCTTCCTACAAAGGCTGAGGCTGATGTTCTCATCGAACTGTATCTTGAAAATTACGGAAGTCTCTACAACGTCATTCATCAGCCAAGCTTTTGGAGTGAATATGCGGAGATGTGGAATGAGGGGGTTTCCAACGCCAGGCCGTTTTTCGTGGCTCTGCTACTGACCATGATGGCCGCCGCGCAGTGTTTGACACCGGACTCACCACAACTCTACAACGGGAACAGCTCAATGCCACGAGAAAAGGCAATAAATTGGGTGCCCTCGGTCGAAGATTGGTTGGCAGTTCAGAGTCAAAAACATGTTGCCGCGATCGACTTTCAGCTTAGAGTTGTGCTTCTCATCGCTAAAAACGCCGTGGCACGGAAATACAAGCGAACTTGGACTGACTGCGGGAACGTGCTCCGTTTTTGTATGGCTGCTGGATTACATCGCACGCCGGACCTGATCAGGAAGCCGACCTCAGTTCTCGACAAGGAGCTGAGGAAGCGAGTATGGGCAGCGGTAACAGAGTTGGAGCTGCAAGCAGCATTTGATCGCGGCATGGTCTCTACACCCTGGAGTCTCCAGTCCGATGTACCCGGACCTGTTCACGTTCACGACGATGACCTTGACCAAGAAACCCAGCATCTACCCGCACTACGAAAAGTCAACGACTTCACGCCAACATCATATCTCTGTCTAGCCAGCGAATCTTACCACTTAAGATCTACGCTCAACACATACCTGAACAACATCCGCCAATCCGTCTCATTCGACGAATCCAAACGCTTCACTGACGAGATCGAATACCACATCCAAAACATTCCCGAATGGTCCACCGCCCCGACATCCTCCGTCGTCGCCAAAGCGATGCTCGAAATCAATCTTCGACAATACATCCTCGTCCTCCACGACCGCCAAATCCGCACAGCAGAAACCAAAGCCGAACGCGACTTCAGCCGCATGATCCTCGTCGAAACCGCAACCAAAATGGTTCAATCTCATCAAGATCTCATATCAAAGGGCTACTTCGCCCTCGAACTTCTCTGCCACGATCAACTCCGTGCCGGAATTTCACTCTGCCATATCTCAGCTTCTAATCCTCGAGCCGATGACGCTTTGTCCCGCGCGATTGATGAGACAGCTTCACGGTTAGTTCCGCTATGTTGCGAAATGCTCACAGATAAAGTTATTCGGTTTGGGAGAGAGCAACGACAATTGTGGATTTTGCTTGTTGCGAATGCGTATATGAAAGCGAAGAAAGATCCGGAGAGGAAAGCGGTGTGGATGCAGGAGGCTGTGGATCGGATTACGAGGCCTTTTTACAAAATCATGGCGTGTCAGGCTGAGGGGCCAGTGGAGAGTTCTGCTGCGGCGAGAGTGGAGGACAGACAGCAGTCTGTTCAAGCATCGCAGCATCAGCAGCAAAGACGATCAGAGGTTGAGCAGAAGCATGTGGACGATTCGATGGAGTATTATCCTAGTGGTGGGAACGAGGGAGCTGAGGCGTCGATTACTGGTGATGTGAACCCGACACCGAATTTTGGGGATTTGGATGATTTTGCTGCTTGGACTTTTGAGGACTGGGCTTTTGACCCGGCGGATTTGGCGGCGATGAATGTGGCGGGGCAGTTTGGAGCAAATGGTAATGTGGTCGGCTGGTGAAAAGGAAATATTGTGCAGGATGAATGCTTATAATGTTCTGATTCTGCTCTGTACGAAGAATGTGCCTGTATATTATCCATTATGACAACTGCCAATCACTCGTATCGAAGTCCAGATTTCCAAGCCACTGCAAAAAGTCTGCATCATTGTCCATATTTGTGGTGAACTGGTTCGTACCGCCACCAGTTTGCGCGTCGAAATTCGTCGCCGGTCTCTGATAGGGTCTCGATAGTAGTCTGTCAAGCACTTTCTTGATCGCATGCAATCCCATTGCGCAGATTGGTCCGTTGCCCTCATCCGCTGGAACGGCCTCCAGTATTGGTACCAGAACACTTAGTTGTTGCAGAACTTCTGATCGCGGGAAGTCATCGTTGGCGTGGTAGTATTGCTCGCGCTTTAGCATTTCCAATGCCAGAACACCTGCTGTAGGCACGACGTAGAATGCCAGACTATCTGTCAGGTCCACCTGAAACTCATTCAGAAAATCGCTGAGCGAATAAGCTTTCAGCACAAGCGACAGTAAGGACCTGGCTGTTGCAATGAGCATCGAAGGATCCGATTTGGTCTTGTTGTATGCAGCGCGTTCCAGCAAGAATGCGGCGTGTTGCATGCCGAGATGGATTGAGCAGAAGCATACCACATCGACCGGTCGCCAGGGCACTCCCCTTCCGGGAATATGGATCGTGGGATTTCGTTTGATATCGGCGATCAGTTGCTCTGGGTCTAAGCGACAGAACTCTGGCATCTTGGCAAGAGCTTCTTGCTCGCGAGCGCGTATGAACTGGAGACGGGATTCGATATCTGTGATATGAGGGCCGATGACAATCTCCAGTATCTCCTCGCGTATGATGTGGCGGCTGGTGTTTGCTTTGCGCCACGTAGCTCTGGCGACAGGACCACGAGTAGACCATCCGCCTGACAGACTCAATTCGGACAGTCTCCTTTGAAGAGTGTCAGGATCTGAGCAGATTTCGGCATCGGTCAGATCATGAGGTTCCTGAACCACAGAATACCGGTAGCTGATCCGAGGTGGGCGTCCTAGAAATGTCGAAAGTAGCTTGTCCATGGAGAAGATTACATTGAAAATTCGCGACCTAAGTTCTCGCAAGAAGAATGGCATGTTTGCATTCTCGGGTACTTCCAAATGCAGACCATGGAGAACAGCAGTGTCTGCGACCTCGCTGAAGCTCGTCCAGACCTGACTAGAGGTATCTCCTTGCATGATGGACGTAATAAGCAGTCTCTCGTAGAGGAGACAGATGAGCAGTTCATTGCGGCTTCCACAACGCTGACTCAGTTCGATGCATATGCCGGCAAGATCATAAATTGTCTGGACCATTTCTTTTCTCGACTGTCCGGCTGTGAAGATTGGCTCCCAGGCAGGCGACATGGATGCGATGACGCCCACTTGAGTCAAGATCAGTCCCATCGTCTCCCAGCGTAGGTTAGGACCGGTCGCTGCACGAGCCCAATCTTGGACGAGGGTCGTCCGCGTGCACGGCAGAGAAAGTTGCGTGTTGCGCGATAGTTGCGCTGCAAGGGTGATGGGCGTCTTTGCATTCAGCGCGTCTTGGATTACAGGAATCGACTCCTCGAACCAGATTCGAAAGATCGGACTATACATCAAGAAGCTGTCCAGCTTTCCCAGCCATTTGTGCGCGAAGTATTCAATTAGACTGATGTCCTTGAAATAGTTGAGTACCTTGAGCCCTTTCTCCACATGATCATCTGACAGTCGTTCAGTATGGGATTCATTGAGGGTCGCCGGCGTGTCGATCCCCAGATTTTGGTTCAGCTCCGCGACAAATGCAGAAGAGCTGGTTTCGCCTAGGTAGCCGACCGGTCGACCTGCTGCGGAATCCATCAAGATGCCGGCAGATGGCACACTTAGAATCTCCTGTATCCGGTCTGGCGGTGGTACTGTTTCGGCTCGTACCACGGACCGTGCTTGGACCATACGTCGACTTTCTGTGCTGCCATGGACATGATCTGGTGTCCATATTTGTGGTCGATAGGAAGATGTGCCTAAGAGCAGCCGATCAGAGGTCAGAATGCGGTCCAGGAAAATGCATGTGATTCAGAATTACAGATGGTGTCCCACGTCAACTCTACTGCTGGGTGTAAAAAGAGACGTAGTTGAGATTTGACGCCATTCCTTTGTGAACGTACCTTGCCCAGACCCCTGAACTACCCGTGACCCAGCACTAGGCGAGGTGACCGAAGACTCTGCGGGTGATGGCAAGATTCGGGCATTGTTTGTCCTCGTCATCGGCGCTGGATGATAATAGCACTGTTCCGCGTGTTTCCTTCGAATACATCTTGTACACGCTGGCAGTCTGTGATCGCAGGACAGCTTCCGGACGCGACATGGCTCGCAGCTCTGTAACTTGCCATTTCGGCGTTTGACGTGAACTGTTCGAACTTGCGTATTGGGCGTAGTATCAGACATCCTGATTCTTGACGACCTCAGCTGTCTTCAGGGCAGTACAGGGCAGCTAAGTGTTGATAGCGCGGAGTTCCGAGTTTGAACTCCGAGCTTTGGAATCCTTCAGAAGCATCCTCGGCATTGGAGAATTGACTCTTTCTCGAACGCATGTGCAATCTTTTGGCCATATAAAGACGCGGTGTACGCTGCCTCGTGCTTGTAGTATGATCAAAGCCGGATGGTTATTGTATCAGATGAAGTGTTTACAAGCTCAGAAGGACGGGAAGGTGTTGGTGGATGCCTGCTGACATAAGCATTGAGCTAGCCTGTTACAGATTAGCGCCAACTCGATCTCAAGACACACTTGCAATGAGACTTCGATCACAGGAACAACGCGCCTCCGACGAAGTGTCACGACCGATTGCTAGCACGCACCGCAAGTACCGAAGCCATCCACCATACCGAGTTTTCGTGTAAGCCGCAGGATGGCGCACGCTGAACTGGAGCACTTTGGGCAGTACGCGGCAGAACAGCGACACCAAAGTGCCGGTTGGCACGGCTCCTTGTCTGGGAATGAATGCTGCTGTGGACAAGAACGGCAGGCAAAAGCGGCTGCAGTACCGCCGGTCATTAAGTTGCGCCAGTACCGGCGTGCGATGAACCTGGTCTGCGCCCTCTATGGCAGGGTCGGGACCGCCTGAGAAAGAAAAGAGATGAGATAGGATCAACACGAGGGCACACGGCAAGATATGTCTGGTTCGGATTGCCGTCTGGCCAAGGGCCGTCCGCTATAGGCAACGACATCCTCTCAACTCCAACCAATGCCAACGTACACCATTCCGAAGAGCAAGCCTGCCTGCATAATCTCCCTCACCGGGCCCCTGCGCTGCTCTGGTCGAGGGGTATCAAAAGAGGGACACCATTGGCATCGATGCTTACGACCCTACAACGTCTCTGGAGATAATGATCATCGCGAACCTTTTCCCTCAAAAAACTCTTGCCGCATCTTGGACAGGCGGGTTTCGCGTACGCTTGATCCTGCTCTCTACAATGGCGCTTGTAATTACTGAGGTTTGTGAATGGCCTTCCCTGACATCCATGCTGCCAGCAAAAGTAAACCTGTTCTTGGGGTTTGCTGGCCCCGATCGATAACGACTGATCGGACGGAACGCACGTGGACTGAATCTGGCCCTGCGGAGGCCATTCATTGCCGGCATTCTGCATCGTGGCATACATCTTTGTGCTCACGCACTGTAATGTTCCGGACACATTCGCCTGCTGCACATGACTTGGTGCGGTCCAGGCAAAACAGTTGGCGCGGATTTGTGCTGGTCTCTTTTGGTCTATCCGCGCGGTCGTGGTCTTGATGTCATTCGATGCGGCGTTGGACATGTTGGTTCGCAACCGATCCAGAGGAGCGACGGGGAACCTGCATTACTTGTGGTAAGTGATTTTCCTCTTGAAAAGAGGAGAGATCTGGTCTGGACTCACCGAGGCCGATTCTTTGGTCTGTGGTAAAGCAACGCGGATTGCACCGCTCCACATGGAAATGCTCCCAGTCCTTCGCCATCATATATGTTCACTGCTTGCGGCGCAGCCGGTCTATACTACCTTGGCGGGGGGACCTTCGCGCTCAGTGGGAGAATTTTCCGTCATCGAAAGCAAAGTTGAATGTAGGAGTGCGGCGTAGAAAGGATTCACATCTGCGTTTGCCCACTAGTCGATCCCTAACGCCGCAGCACTATACTCTCATGATATCGCTGCTGCTACGAGGCTATGCGATCTTCCATTGATCGTATTGGTAGCCGATCTTTCGACACGGCTCAGCGCCCGGAACAGGCTAGCTTCAGATGCAGAGTCGCCAGCGTGCGTAGCTTGATGGCTATACCTCACTTAGGCTTCCGGCGGCCTGCACCAACACCACGCATGGGTCTATGCATTGGCGCCCACGGCGATGGATCTGCAAGAAAAAGACATATCGGCATGTAACACAAGACGCGAGTCTCGGTCATGCTGGCTTGAAGCGCCGCCTGCTCGAGTTTTCCCGGCCACCTCCTTCGCTGCCAGCGGCTGCCTCACTCGGTATTGGACAAATAAGCGCCGGCACGTGAAGCGATTGTGTATGTTCTTAGCCTACTAAGCAACAGCTTGAAACGACTTTTCCGTCAAGTCTCTGACTGATGCATGCAGCATTCGCTGTTCACTGGCACAAGGGCATGCTATGCGCTGGCTCGGCGCATCTGAGAATCCGGCATGCTGCTGCACATCGGGCAGGTCAGGCTTGTCTTTCTGTCGCCGCTTTTACCCCTCGGTCCACCTTGAGAAGCCAAGCTGTCGATCTGCTTTGCCAAGATGAGCCGCACCCGGTAGCCGTCGAACCTACTTCCAAGTGAATCCTTCTCCATGAAAGTCTGTTGGTGAGGCACAGTAGACATTGGCTTCAGCCTTCGGGCCAGTGTGTGATGGCGCGCCGTGCACGCGTGATGCTTGCTTGCTGCACGATTTCATCATAAAAATATTCGCGCCGCTCCTGAGCAACTACCCTTAACTTCATTGCTCTTGCTCCATCCTACTTGCTCTATACCGCACCTGAGATTACCATGTCTACACTCAACTTCACCTGCACGCAAGGCTCGCCTAGCCCTCCGATCGTGCTGAACAACACTTCGGGTCGTATCTGCGGCTTGGCGAGTCCATCCAACAACTCTCGGCTGGCCTCGTGCTGCAACAACAATCCCGTACAGCAATACCTGTGCACCGAATACTGCAGCACAAACCTCGTGTCGCAACAATTCGTCGATTGCCTTGTGGAAGACAGCGATGTCAACACGGTCCTCGCCTCACAGCCGTTTTGCCAGGAGGGTATCATGGGTAATATCACCGAACGCCTATCGAACGGAGACTCCAGCTCTAGCAGCCCAAAGAGAATCAGCCCCATATCCTTGAGAGTGCTCTTTCTCGTGGCCATATTCTCAATGATCTTCACCGTCAACGGCACAATTGTGCCTTCCCTCTCTCCCGGAAATCTGGTCAAGCGACAAGGTACATCCACGGGTTGCACGATCAACGTGATGAACAATTTCACCACCACTAGTGACTCCTCCAAGGCAGTCAGCCCTCGCACTTCGTGCGGTACGGACACGCTCTGCACATTCGGATTCCCAATCGACACTGGCATCCTGGACAACAACCGCACCATCAACGGCTCTTCGGCCGCCGAGCCAGAATTCGACCAGTTCTTCTTGGACCTCCAGAATCTGACAAGCCGCTTTTTCCCAGCGCTGAGTAGCGCTGAGCTTAACTACGATGTCATTGTACGTGGGGGAGCGAGCTTCAATGTGGCCTTTACACCAAGGAGGGTAAGTGCGCGCAAATGCTGTGATCGACAGTTTTGGTCATGAGCTGACAATCTTACAGTGGTGTGCAAATCTTATGACTGACTGCGAAGGCATTGGTGGGGAAGGCGATGGCATGAAGGCTGTGGAGGCATGTGGCCCAACATTCGTCTCGGACTACGCTGAGAACGCCGGAGATATGAATCTCGAGGACATGGTCATTCAAGGCATTCTGTCCACAGTCATCACGGACTGAGATGTGCCTGGCGCCCGATTCAAGAGGAAGAAGCGAAGTCCAATCGCATGAATGTATACTATCAATCAAACAACTGCTTGAAATTGTATGGTTCTACGAAGAGCGCGTCTACCGTCGAATCGCAGGTCTTACCACACGGCGGCAACAGCGCACACGTGGTCGCGCAGATCTGTGTCGCGGTGACTATGGTTTCATCGGCTCAATTTAGCCTTCGTACTAAATCCCTCGCACTAATCCCTCTCGCAATCCTTCGTCGATCTTGGAGCTAGTCGCCCTTGGCAAAATCTTCACTCTTCTGCCGACGTCCAGTGGAGAGTAGTGGAGACTACTGCACTGCATAAAACGCGTCGGAGCGCAGCGGAACGAATGTTTTGCAAAATCACCTGCTAGACTAATTTCATGGTCGGACTCATGTTATCGATTCATCGTACCTTCTGAACATGCACAACTGCCAAGTGAATCTCTGATCCATCTTATCACTCAATACTGCGGGATCATCATTTACATACATCAAGACACAACTCGCTCCATTCAGATATTCGGCTCAACTGCTAAGCCTTCGCGCAATCTCCTGCTCATACTGTGTAATTATCGAACTCGGAATGGTGCTATATTCCCTTTGTTCACCAACAGCCAAGCACGAGCTCACTTCAAGCTAGCCCTAGCAGAGAGCACAATTTGTCCTTCAGGCTGAGTATAGCAACCATTCTCCGTCACAGTCTAAAAGCCAAATTAGCATATCCCCGGCACTGATTATTCAGGATGGATTGGGCTGCCACTTACGACGATCGGGTTATTGCATCCCTCTCCTGAAAACAACTCGATCGAGTAGCTTGCCCCCTTGTCCTGAACGATCTCTGTACTCTGCCAGTTGTACAGGCCAGTTGCAACGCAGTCACCAGGATAAGCTGGACCCTCACTGCTAAAAGGGTAGGTGATTTGATTGGACATTCCTTCCACGTTGCAGCCATTCTCCCAAAAGGTGAGAAGGAGAGGATCGATCTTGTCGTTGCGAGTGACGAGAGTTGGGGCAGCGCTGACAAAAGCCAGAGTGCTGAGGCTGACTACGATTGTGCAGAAAAGGTGATGCATTTTGATTGTTCAGGTGGTTGATCAGGGCAGTTTGGAGAAGGTGGAATGTGTTTGCGGAAAGGGAGATGGCACTGGTATAAGTATTCTTCTGCTGTGGTGATTGCGCACCAGGAAGTTTTGTAGGTCTGTACGTCTTGATTGTCTGTACTAAGCGTCTTGGTCTGGTAGCTGGTGGCCTTCTGCTGTGAAAACATCTCTAAAAACAGATGTCCTCCACATCGAGCTTCGTAGTCATACTGTTGTCCATCGTCAGCATCTTGCCTATTGAGTCGTGATCAGCGGCCTGCATGGCGGCCAACAAGGCTCAGGCAGTGGGATCAAAGAAAGGGAAGGCTCGAAGGAGCACCAAGCTGTGATACAGTGACTTTTAGCCGGCAGCTCTATCACGAGGTACGATCGACCTGTGTCTAAAGCGAGCGACACGTGCGAACTGGGTTGACCATGCCCGTCTTGATTCGCTCAATTCCTGAAGCTTGGGTTCGATAAATAGAAATGATTCGCGAGAGCCGGGGATCAGAAGCAGGATCATGAGGAGGACTTGTTGGGGGATTTGATAGCTTGATGCCTACTGGACGCTTCACTGGGATCATCTGTGGGATGTAGCAGACGACGTATTGCCCTTAGGAATGCTGTTGACGGAGTTGAAAACATGAAAGATGTTCGACATATAAGTAAGCAGGTCTCAGCAAAGTACATGAGCCAGACCCGACTGAACAAGCACCCAAGCACAATTAACACTTAGAATCGCACTCACAATGGCCCTCCTTCGCCTACTCCCCAGTCTACTGGCACTCCTACCTATTGGGGCCCTCGGTCAAGCACCAATGCGCCTCTGCACAGATGAAACCTGTGAGAACTGCCCCAATTCCGTTACCACTGCCGGCACAGGATACCCAGCTTGCGTCGTATATGATCGCGACACCGTGCTCGGCAGCACGGCAGGGGACTATGAACAGGTCGAAGACTCTCGGAGGAACATTATCTTCGACATTGGTGAGGCTTCTCGGACTTTGAAGCGAGTGTAGTAAATCCTAACTCATCGCAGCGGAGCATCCCAACCCTGATTGCAAGTTCATTGTCCGTAGTCCCGCGGGACAGCAGGGTAAGTGGTCGATCCAATATCAATCGCATTTTACTGACACAAACTAGATCCGAACTGCGGAGAGCCTCTGATCGTTACCCGTGGAGGAAGATGCTTCAAGCCGTCCAGGGCCATAGACCCCACGTTCATGGTCCAATTCTGTTGTGGTAGCGGCGACTGCGCGGTATCTGGCGTCAAGCGTGGTCTCAATACCGTTTCCAGTGTAGTCCTCCGGGATGGCTCAGGCAACGTCGTTGTCCCGCTAGGCGTCGGCAGCGAGTCTGGTGACATGATGGATGTCTTCATGGAAGATCTGGGCCTCAACTCTTCATCAGTAGTCGAGTCGACTTCAACTTCCGGAATGCGAGTGTTCAAGATTGGACAAAACCTGGCGAAGCGCGACTGTGACTCCTTCACGCCATCAGGCGACACTTACACCAAGGCTGATAGCGTTTCCTCCAAGATTGGCGCTAGAATCTGCGGCGATGGCACAATGCAAGAGGTCACCAACGAAATGAGTGTCTCCAGATCAACAACCTTTGGAGCATCTGTAGGTGATCCATTTGGAATCGTATCGGCATCAACGGAGTTCACGACCGAGGAGTCGGCTTCGCAGTCCTATACGTATGTCTTCACACCACCAGAAGGCCAATGCGGCAATGTGGCGTTCACTGCGACATTGAACTGTCTAGGCGGAACGATTACCGGGTGCGAAGGCGGAGACCAGACCGGAGAGGTGTGCACTGCGAGAAGGATCAGCGAAGATCAGGTCGACGGGACCTACTCCTTCGTTATTACCGACTAGGGAAGGTGGTTCAAAAATGTTGCGGCATCGTTGGAAGGTATGGTGTGGGTATGGGTAAGCTTGCTCGGTGCTTGCCATTGTGGCTTGCATGTCGGCTATATAGCTCTGGTCGAATATTCTGATGGTTCTGTCATGGCTTATTGTTTGGTGAACGGATCTAAATCAAAGATTGTCGTTAGTGTTGTCTTCGTAGGCGGACATTGCAGATAGCGAGCAAAACCTGCATGGTAGTGTGCAAAACACCTCCCGCAACTCATCCAGCTTTATTGCCTTGCGTTCACCGACTTGTCCTGTTGCTGGCTTAATGGGTGAATTTGGAACTGAGCCCTTCGACGCGTTTCTTGAGCCTCTTTCACGGCATCGGGTTTGTAGCTCTCGTACCAGCGGACACCAGTGAGTGGAGTGTTAGACCCAATGCCTAACATACCGACATCACCTTCGCCTCCAGTCGCATCACCAACGTAGCCGGGCATATCGTCCAAGATACGGACAGCGCTAACTTCGAAACATATCTTGAAAGGCACTTGTTCGTGCATCTCGGCACCAATCCGCATCATCGTAAAAGAGTCCAGTTGTCTTGTCCACAACGGTTTCCTCGAGATATAGACCGAAAGCACAATAATACAAGCGAGGTAAACGCCTAGCATCAGAGATAAGATGATCATGCTCGCAAGAGACATGGTGGGTATCGTCGTGTCGGCTCCAGGGTCAGAGTGGACTGACCTGGAACCCCAATCGGAATGACCAGTAGTGAACCATGCCTCCGTCGCGAGGTACACGGCGGCTGCGAAGGCATTCGTGGGTCTTTCGGCATCTCCAACTTCGTATTGGGTATTGACATAAAAGGACTGGAGATAGCGAGCGATTCCATCATCTAATTCTTCTAGTGATCGGACGTCGTCCATGACACACTTCGCACTTCTCCCATATGATGGTTGAAGAAGCGATTCGAACGGCCTTTGGTTGATACAGCTGCTGGCGTGATTGGTCTTGTTCTTGGGACTATCATTGTAATATGTGATGTTCGAGAGGTATGCTTTCGGGTGATCGAGCTGAGCTGGTGTGTACGACCCATAGCCGAACAAAGCCATAGCGACAGTCAGAAGCGGCTGTACTCATGTCAGCGAGCGGACTTGTCGAAGTATGTGGAGGACACTTACACCTTTGTTCTTCAAAGTGTTGAGATCCCAAGAATCGTCGTTCTGATAATTTATGGCTGCAGATCTCGACGACAATTTTCCTGCAGGGGTTTGCGACATACAGTCAGAGCCACAGAGATTTTTGGGGTCATCCTCAATAATCTCCCCAGCCTTTCCTCCGTTCATGTGATTGGGAAGCTCGAAATAGCCAGCGGTGGTATTGGACGTGACTTTAAAGACTCCTCCGAAGTGTGGTGAACCAGGTGGCTGTTCAGAAGCATGTTGCCAGTCGTAGCCCATGACGGATATGTTGAGATACAATTCTTCAACGAAATCTTGCCTGTGGTAGGTGCTCTTCCAAGGGACAGCACTTTGATTGCCGGGCATGCAGGCTTCGATGCTCCAGTTCTTGGGCGCACCTCCCATCAAGTCCCAGTCAGACTCTGGTGGCCAGGTTGAGTTCGAGTAGTGCACGTAGAATGAGCCTGGTAGCGATGCGCAATTCGCAGGCATCGCTTCAGCTGGCACAGACTCCCATCGAACAGAAGAGTTCATCCGGGGAAGGAACTGTTTGATGACCCCGGTATGAGTGCCGGCCGGCAATTGGGCAAAGTACGGATTCGACATTTGCGAGATCTGACCAAGCGTGGCAGCGCCCAGAAGACACTGCTCAGTGAGGTTGCTGACCAGCATCGAACAGTTGAATTCATTCTGCCACAAGCGAGCTTGTGGCGCCGTGTTGCTTGTCGAAAGCGCGTTTCGTGTCATGATGGTAACCACATTGTTGTCCCACGAGTCCTCGAATTGATCAGGTATATCGGCCAGAAATATCACTGACGTCGACTCAGTCGGAGTCTTTATGATCTTTGGCGTTACGAGAATGGTCTGTAATGGGGTAATCGATGCGCCTTGGTTGTGTCAGCCCTCGTAAACCATGATTTCACATCTGGAACACTGCCAAACTTCGCTCGCGAACTTACCCAGGATGTTGAGCAATACCGCAAAGAACAACAACCGCGATCCAAGTTTCTTCCCATTCCCACACAAGACCTTTGCGATAGTCACTGGATCAGTCCATCCCTTATCAGCAAGCACCATCAGCTGCCGCATTGTCAAGCGGTGCTGCCTTGGTCCAGTCTGCGCGAATGCGGGTGCAGCAGCAGAGCAGACGGCCGAGGTGAGGGGAATGGTGAGCAGCGCTACTATTGTCTGGAGAGTGCGAGCAGCTCTGTAGATTTCCTCAGATTTGACATATTTTGCATGGAAGAATTTGGCGCTTGATCCATAGCTACGCTCGTGTACGTTGAGCTCATATTGTCCGACCGTGAGAGGATTGTACGTCAGCAGACATGTTAGTGTCCAGGCAACCAAGGCCAGACTCGAGTATGTTGCAACCAGGAAAAGGGTGTAACCAGATCTATGCAGCAACACGGATGAATTTTCTTTTGCCTTCACCATTTCACAGGCGGATGGCGATTGGCTGTGCTCAGATGTGGCATCGTGCGAGGGTCGCCGATATTCCGCTCGTAAGAAAGTAGAATTCTCGTCACAAGCCTCAATCTGTATTTCCTCAGAGACTCTGGCTTCCGATACGCGCTGTCCGTGCTCCGATGCGCTGGAAGGCTGTGTAAGTTTGGGCGATCTCTCTGTTCCAGTAGAGTGATCCTCTCTCGGTACTTGAATTTCACTCAATTGATGACTGGCGTCTGGATTATTGTCGCGCTCGGTCTGAGGATCATCGCGCGGGATTTAGATCGTCATCTTAAACGATGCTATTGGAACGATCTGTGCCTGGCTTCAATGGCAGGAGGGTTTCATGTGGTCTGACCCGATGGGCCTGAAGAATTGGAGGAAGTGAGTCCGGTGAGCAAAGTGTGGCTTGCGACTGTGGGCAAGTCAAATCTGTGAATATGTATGTGTATATTCGAGCCGAGCTGCAGATGCGCAGCTGCTCAGCCTCAGCATACCAGCATAGCCTGTGTGTAACACGCATGCTTCCTTCGGCCCACATGTTTGGACAGAGATTTGTAGGTGTTGGGCGATCTTCTATTGTCCGGGGATAGCCTCGCGTTCTTATTTGAGATCGGTCAGTGGTTAATAATTGTCACATGTGAACAAGAGACAGCTCCGGCATGTTTGAACTTGCGTCTCTGGCCAGTTGGCTGCGGTCTATGTAATTCGGTACCGAAAGGAATGCTAGCAATGATCTGCAACATGCAGCAGTGGCCATGTGCGTCTTAGACAGAGGCCGGAGTTGCAAGTGTGGCCTCAGGCTGGAATGGCGAGATGCCATTTGGTTCGCTGTCTTTACTCCGTCAGCGAAGAGAAGCTGGTCGTTGTCCAGGAATGCCGTTTTTGGTAGGAATTCAGGATTGGTCCTATTCGACCACACGCGACCTCCGGCGCACCGGCAAACATGTGTTCGGGCTTCTTTGTCCGTATGTGGCTTGCAAGGACATTTCACAGTGCCTGCTTTGAATGGTCTTGATCGTGTCGGTCGACTTCTCGCTGGCAGCGTGCGGCTTCAGCCATGGCTTACTTGTGGACAACTCGGTCCTCCCTTTCTGCTTGAGGCGAGAGACCTCATCCTCTTCTCATTGCATTTTGCGCGACCTGGAAGAGATCAGCAAGCAAGCAAGTCAACGACTGCTACAGCTCCAGAGAGTGAAGAAGGTCCTTTTCGTGGGTGCTCCACCAGCAACCGCTTTTGCTTCAAGACATTCTGAGTAATTCTGGCCGTAGACAAGCTCTTGCATCTTCCAACATATGGGCACGCGAACCATACATACTAGCAGAGAAGATTGGCCCCGTTTTTGTTTGTTGCAGGACGACACGGGGAACAGGAGGTCACGACCATGCGCGAGACGAGCACCGCCAAGACTCACGTGCCTGTTGGCCGAGAAAACTTCTTCCAGCTTGATCCTCGTGGAGAATAGCGTTGTCATCATCACAACACCATGATCTTCATCAGCAACGATCAGTCATCAGTCATCTTCGTTTCCGTCAGCAGCTTGTTCTGCCAAGAGATGGTCTATCATTGAGCACGCAGCATGAAAAGCCAATCGAGTTCGAAACCTCGGAATGCGTCTGGCCACATGAAGTCGATGCGACCACCAAACTTGTACAGCGGTCATGATCAAAGTCCACATGGGGTGAAGTCGAGCAGGCCGGACTTTTGGCTTCCATCGCGCTAGATGATTTGGGACTTTGGAACGAGGTAGTGGCATGCGATCGCTGGCTCTCTCAGGCTCTCGACACCTCAAAGATCTGGCTCCAAGAACTGTCTTTGAGCAGGAAGTACCTTAGCACTTCATCTAGAGGTCCAGCAGAAAGACAAGGGAGGCGATGAAGAATGACCTTTGACTTCATCATAATTAGTCTGACCAGCTCTATTTCTGTGCGACCGCACTCAAACATGCTCCATTGCTTCTATACAGTTGCAAGGCCTCGGCCATGGGCCATCATTGACCACCAGTATAGTATCTTCCTGCATACACCACATTCAGCTATGGACGGAACAGCCCAGAGACGTGGCCGAAGACCGAGGCAAGCAAAGCAAACGGTGCAGCAGTATTGGATATCGCAAAATACTCCAAGAGAGGGGGCTCTGCCCAAGTCTGATATAAGAAGAACTGCAGACCTGCACAAGACCACGCGAAGATGCGATTCCGTTCTGTCCTCCCCTGTCATTGGTGCCAAACTTCCTTGGCAACATGTGGCTGGCCATGGCAGTCTTGATCCGTGTGGGGAAAGACCTGCTATTGACGAGCTGCCATGTGCGCGTCGTGGGCAGCTCCGCGCGCATGGCTCAATCCCACTGAGTTGGTGCATACTACTCAGACGGTACAGAGCTACAATTGCCCTTGACAGGAAAGCACCCCGCCTCGTTTGCTAGGCGACCCGAGATCAAGACTTCCCAACTCGCAGTGAGCGGTACTCGCCGTCTAGGATAGTTCTTGGGATTAGAAAATACACGTAACTAGGTACAACACCGGGACAGTCTTGGAAAAGGTTTAAGTGCTCGATGATCGCCAGCTGGGAATCTTCTTGTTTGCGCCTTGTCATTCAATCTTCTACCAGCATTGTGTGACTGTGTTGCAAACATGGCAGAAGAACATGAGAAGCGAGAGGTCATCGCCGACCATGTTGACCGCGAAAGCAATGACAACCTGAGCGACAGTGACAAGCCCGAGTTGCGGCCCCATCGCACCATCTCCCGTGTTCCAGGAAATCCCAACTACTTCGAGAAGGATGGACTTCGCACAGAGGGCGATGGCCATGATCATACTACGGAGAACAGGGTGATTCAGCGCAATTATTTTCTTACATGAGACTGCGCATACTGAACGTATTTGCAGAAAAACTGGCAGTTCATCTGCACCGTCCTTGGATGTGCCATGGCCTTATCGGCGTCGCAAATCTCAGCTCTTCTGTATCTCACAATTGGCACAGCCATTGCAGTAGATCTCCGCTCAGCCCTGTTCGCCTGGATGTTGACGGCATCCAATCTGTCCTCCGGTGCTCTGGCTCCTTTCGTCGGTCCTCTTGCCGATCTCATCGGACGTCGCAACATCCTCTTGTATGGAGGCTTCGGACTCAGTATTGTTGCGACCATCCTCTGCGCTGCCACGCCAAACGATATTGGCTTCATCGCTGGACAGCTCCTACTTGGCATTGGAAATGTGGTGCAAGACTTGCTGAGTCTGGCTGTCGTGGCAGAGAGCGTGCCAACGAGCAAGCGACCAATTTACGTGGCATTCATGCTGCTGATTATCATTCCTTGGGCGCCAGGAACGCTGTATTCGAACCTTTTGCTCGAAGCAAGCTGGCGTTGGGTCGGCGCTGTACTGGCTATCTGGAATCTGATCGGTTTCGTAGTCCTCTACATTGGCTATAAGGAACCACCACGAGTCAACTCACTTGGCTTGACGCGCCGTGAAATGCTGAAGAGGATCGACTTTGTGGGCGGCTTCATCTTCATGGCTGGTGTGCTGCTCATCTTGGTCGCGCTCAACATTGGTGGCCGAGACTCTCCTTGGACATCGGCACCTACCTTGGTACCATTGGTACTGGGCTTTGTTGTGCTCATCGCTGGATGTCTTTACGAATATTTCGTGGCTCCCTGGCCTCTCTTCCCTCGCCGGATCGTCCATGCTCCAAGGCCATTCTTTTGCATGCTATGCGTCATCTTTGGAGCCGGCATCAACTATGTCTGCATGGTGGTCTTCTGGCCAATTCAAGCGCGAGCTGTCTTCCAAGGTGACAATGTCCAAACCGGTGTCTGGACTGTTCCGATCGGAATCTGTATCCTCGGTGGCGCTATCATTGCTGCGCTTCTGTTGCATGTCTTGAAGAATCAAGTCAACTGGATCATGGTTGGATTCTGCGTGGCTCAGGTCATCGGTACCTCATGTCTTGTCCTCATCAACCCTAACAACCTCGCCACAGTCTGGGGACCACTCATCATTGCTCTTGTCTCTGTCGGCGGTGTTCTGGTTCCAAATCAAGTCATTATCACCATAATCACTCCAGACGATCTCCTCGGCTCAGTTACAGCATTGACTGTCGGACTCCGAGCTGCCACTCAAGCTATTGGCCTTGCAATCTTCTACAACCAGTTCTCCAGCAAGGTCACTGAGTTAGCACTAGAGCGACTCCAGCCGGTTTTCATTTCCAGCGGTGTCGCTTTCGATCTCATCAACGAGGGATTCGCCATCCCTGAAATCACAGCACTCGCTCAAACCATGTTGACTTCGCTCACAGCTATGCCGTATCGCCAGTGGGCGGGGATGTATCCTGCTTTTGCAAGCGAGGGGGCGTACAGAGATATCCTACCGACTGTCGTTGGTATCTTTTCGGAATCTTTTGAGCACATTTACTACATTACGATTGCGTTTGGTGTCTTTGCATGCATTTTTGCTGTCGGTATGGGCAGCGTGTCGAGGTACATGGACAATCATGTTGCGGTGAAGATGACGGATTGATGAACGGGAGTGAAATGGTTGACGATGTTACGCCAGACTTGTCATATAGTGCTGTATCAGAGAATCGATGCAACTCAGAGGCATACTTGATCTGTAGCATCAATCATGCCACCGAGGCAGTCGATACAAATCATTCTCACACAGACCCTGATCATGCAATAGTTTACATATATAGAGCAGAATGATGGAGCTCGCTCAAGCTGCTTCCCAGCAGGTCCGGCCTTCGTGTAATGGAGGACCATGGCTGAATAATGGCGTCTGAAAATTCGTTAGAAAGTTCGTCGGATATCGCTAGACAAACTGTGTAGGTGATCCCGAAACTGCAGATCTATCGAAGACTGAAGGCTCAATTGAGGTGAGGGTTCAGGCAGCACAAGTAAAATGCAGACAGTCTAGGACTATTCATGTCTACATGGCAGCAAAAGAGTAATACGGCATGCCTCCCTTCGGGTTGTAGACAAAAGATAGCTGAGTGCTCTGGCCTAAGGACCAAGGACCAATTTCATGCCTTGCCTTTGGTGTACCCTGGCCATGGACTGGAAAGTCGCGAGTAACAACAAAAAAGAAGGTTTTGAACGAATCGAACGTTCTAAGTCGTTGTGTTCACGATCTTGACGGTGCCGTGAATCGAACACGGGCTAACGCGGATCTGTAGACTAACCACAACACGTCGTCATACCACTCTGCGAGGGTATTAGTATGTAATACAGACGAATTGGAAGCGATGCTACTTGCAGACCACACCATCTTAGCTGTGCTAAGAGTTAACCCATAATTGGATGGCGGTCGAGGCGACATGAATGTATATGTAATCTAATAAATTTGCACTTCCGAAGCCGGAGAAGCCTCCGCCGACTTTCAAGCAGGTTATTTGCCAACCTTGAAAGCTCAGAGCTCCACTTGAAGCTGCTCACATCCGGTACCGGCCTGGCTGACAGCATTAAAACTTCAGACCGACATGTGATCACTTCGAGTGAATGAAATGCATTTTTGATCTATGGATTGAAGAAGCGTCGCTACGCCGTGCTATACATGTCCGTCGACCAAGCACTTATGCTCTCCATCGATCTCCTCGCTCGCACAATGCGGCGGGTGGACAGAGAGAAGTGGTTGGACTAGCGTGTTGTTGCGCGCGCACGGGCCATTAAAAGTGGGGCTCCACCAAATTTCACTTGGCTCGAACTTTCAAGTTCTCTCGCTGCAACACGCAACAATCGGCCAAATCTCTTTCGGTAAACGAGCAGCATCTATGACAGGGACCAAAAACAATCGACAGTATATGAGTGCGTCCCCCAAGTTCTTTGGCGTGCCATCGCCCCAAGATTCATCCTGGAGCGCAGAGGTGTTGCGCTTCTTCGGGGACAGCGATGCTTTCTGGCCAATTTTCGTCAACAAAGCTCCGAAAGATGAATATCATTTTCTCGTGCTTGCGCACGACTGCAGCCGTCGACTGCCACCGAATAGTCCAGCGTCTTCTTACCTTGCATCGGAGACGTGACAATGTCGCCATTTCGCCCAAGTGAACCAACAACACGTGCATGCAGCCAGAAATACTGCAAGACCCAAATACGGGCAAAATTGATACACGGAACACTCGGCTCTGACATGCTGACTGACCGGAAGCTTTTAAGGCCAGACATAAGTCCACAAAGCGACTTCACTTCGTGTCCTGAATATTTGATCCTATTCAATGAGACCTCTTTACGGTTTTCATTCATGCAGCATGTCGGCGAAGACGCAAGCTGCTCATGGTCTGCACAACTTCTCGTATTAGGTTTTGTGTGGTCGGGGGTGCCGTTCGAACCAAGACAACCTGCAAATTAACAAGGCGAGGCGCTCGACGAGTACTGCCAGACTGCAATGGAAATAATTGCGACGTGCACACGGCATTAACAACGTGAAGGGTACATTCTACCATTGACATACTTTGCAGAAATGTAACATAAGACTTCCGCATGTTATTTCGACCATCCACAGGTCTGATCGCGGCCAAGAGGATGCATGCGGAGTAGTGCTGCAATGTACCACTGTACCCGACGATCGACTGGGGCTAGCCAACTGCAACACGATGCAGAAAGAGCCTCACGACGGTCGTCACCTTGCAATCTTCACGGCTGCAGAAATGCTTCATTTGCCTTCCCATCGTACTGACAGCGACTTTCCGCGATGTCCACATCGCCAAATACACCACGTTCCACAAACCAGACATCAAGCATAACCCGACGAAGGACAGGATGTATACCATGCCGAGATAAACATGTGCGCTGCGATGAAAAGAAACCATCATGTCGACGGTGCGAGCGCTCGAACACAGACTGCTTCTGGACCAGAGGTTTAAAAATTGTGTTCCAAGGACCCGAAGGCGTGACATCGACATCAACACCTCCGACACAAGCTACCGCACCTCCCACAGGATCAGCATCACCATCTTGCCTACTGGAAAGAAGAAGGCAGTCCATGAACTCCAACACAGATTCAGCACAGAAAAGTAAATTCATCTCATCATTATCAATACTCTCTCCACCAATCTCAGAGCATGACACCGAACCCGACATCGCAGATGTAAAGGCAACACATGTAACAGCAGCTTTGACGCCTAACCAGGAGCATTTCACGAACTGGTCAAATCTGGAAGCCTCAGATTTGGTTCAAAAAGCACTTCGAACAAATCTGGAAACTACATTAATGCACAACTATCTCACAGAATGTGCCCCATGGTTCGACGCACATTCTGCAAGACTGTACTACTCGCGAGTCGAAGTCCCTCGGATGTTGAGATGTCCGCCATGGCGAGCTGCAGCACTGGCACTATCGGCGAAGAATATCGAATTGAGAGAGCATCGAGCCTTGACTTCTGGATCGGAATCCTTGCCACTGCACTTGTACCAGATGGCCGTGAGGTTGGCGATCGAGGCGATGTCTGGCAGATTTGAGGTCGTGGGCACTCTTGCAGGATGTGTACTGCTTTGTGTGTACGAGATGATGACTGTGACATATACTGACTGGCGGCGGCATGTACAAGGCTGTGCAAGCATACATACTCACAATGGCTGGAATGGATCTACTGGAGGGCTGATCAGTGGCTGTTTTTGGGATTATGCACGAATAGGTAGGCGTTCCCGCGGCAAGGAGCAGCTACGAGCTGACCTTTTCAGACATCTGGGCTGCATTCTGTGCGTCCACAACGACGATATTGCCACCGGACACTTACTTCGACAATGCGGAAGCTACCATGGCTTTGAATGGAATCGACGAAGATTTACATGCTTGTATCGCGATCTGGATCACTGCGCGAGCCATTAATCTCATCTCTGATAACCCTCCGCTGGCCGGGAGTGGCGCGATTCTGCACTCGCTACAAGCTGATATGACGAGATGGGAAGTCATGGGAGGCCAGTCTGCACAGCCTGTACAATTCAGAGACGCAAGTGCTGAAGCAGACAACCCCTTTCCCCAGATCCTCTTTTCCAGTCATAGCGCTACAATTGGTCACACACAATTCTACACGGCCAAGGTCCTGCTGCTGGAATACGAGGCAGCTCAGCGCAGCATCGAAGCAGCGGCGAGCCTGCGCGAAGAAGCGTACAAGTATGCACTGATGGCCAATGGCATCGTCGAGACGAATGATCACACAGCTTGCCTGGTGAATTCACTGCAGCCTGTATATGTCTGTGGACGGCACATGAGGACACGAAGTGAAAAGTTCGCAACTCGAATTGCTTGCTCAGATAGAACGAAAGACAGGCTGGAAATGCGGTTGGCGATCGGATGGCTTGCGCGAGTTCTGGAACTTGTGCTGACGCACGGTAGAGACGCATACAATGCAGTGGAATACCCTATGGCGAGATGGGTACCGGATATCTCGTTTGCAAAAGTGGACTGGTGGCCATACAAAGATGACTGCGTCGATCGGACCCATCGATGACGGGATGAAAGCAAGGCCTTGTTGCCGTGGCCCAGTTCCGATCGTTCAGATAACGACCGGCCGTCTAACGTTGACATTCTCGCCCAAGCGATACTGTGGTATCTTATAGCACGAGAAAGGGAACAGTGATCATCCAATTCCATCAGGAAGGGTGTTCCGGTGCCAGCGAATGTTAATAAGGGCGAAGACTCTTGCCGTAGACACTGCGAGAGTGATGATTCCTGAGCTTGGGATCATCTTTCCATTTGTCATACAGCATAGGCAGTTGAGACGAAGGCTTGGGGTGTAGGCGTCGACTTATGTCTTCGAGAGATCTTGCCGCTGCGTTGTCATCTTCGAGCCGCAACAGGTAAGAGGCTCGCAGAAGATCATTTGCCATGTGCTGCCTGGTACGGTCCTGTCGGCCAAACCAGTGCTCCCTCTGGCTCTTTTTCTGGAAGTGCAGCAAGATCGGACGCGGATCGGCGTTTGTTGGATGGTAGAGAGCGACAGTCGCCAAATGCGATGCTACTCCCAACCGCGTTGCCAGTTTCTTGCAATCGTTTGCGGTTGGCAGCCATGAACAGTATCGGTCAAACAGTATGGGCGAGCACGGCGGTGTCTCATCTCTCAACAGGGTTTTCTCCAGCTCTATCATAGCACTAGGGAGGAAGATGACGTCTCGAAGCTGTCCGAACCCTCGATCGAACGCACGTAAGAGGCATTCGAGAGCAGCCGTGGCCGAACCGTCTGCTTGCCAGTGAATTTTGCCTTGGATGAGACCAACAAGCGCCTGCGACGGCCATCTGATATTCAAAGCCCGGCGAAATGGGTTGTGAGCCCTAACAGCACCCTTCTGCATCTCGACTGATGTCAAGTATGTAGCTATCCACTCCTCCACCACATGACTCTTGTCCTCTGCTTCAATGTGCCAGCAAAGAAGCTTTATAAAGTCATCGGGAAGAATAGTGTCCCAATAACGACGATCGGTCTGCAGTACCCAAGCGAGGATACGTGATGCACATGCAGCCGCTGCCAATGGACGCTGCTCCTCTAGCGGCAGACGTTCTAGTCGCATGCGCGATCTGGCCAGGAACAACATTGCCTCGGGGGCTCCAGCCAGCCCACGCGCTACGAGCGTCTCGAACTCTGACGCGCTTGATATGTCTTTGACTTCGTCTAAAGGGAACGAACGGTCCATCGTAGCTATAAGACGACCAGCCTTTTTTTGCAACCAATCACTCACATCCTCTTTACTAAAGCGTTGTTGCTGTCTCGGCTGAACAGAATCATCAGAAGAGCCTGTAGCTCTCCTGTCGACAAGTTCGTATATGTTGGGAATGGGCCGTGCAGTCGGCGTCGGCTTCGGTGCGAAAGGATTGGGAACTACTTCTCCATTGCGCAGATTTGTGCGTTGGACAATCGGAGAAGCATGGTAGAGCCTTGTATGGTGTACTCGAACAGTCACGCCGGTCCGCGGCAGTACTTGTAATCTAGCCCGCATCGTGGTGGTGTCGATACCGTCGCTGATGGTAGTCCGAAGTCCGAGATGGAGACATTGTGTTCATAGAGAAATGCAGAGAGACGCGAGGTCCGTACGACGTCGAAGTGGAGCTCGAAGCTGATTCCCGGAGCGAACCCCGAGGCACGTGAATACAACACATCAAACTCCAATTCATTGAGGCAAATATCATGCGAGCGAACACATGCTAATAGAGACAAAACAACGATTACATGCTATTCAATACGATCCATCAACACCCTCAAATCTTCGCCCCCGCCCTCGCCGGCTTATTCTGCCCAAAATTCTTCACAGCACTCTTCTCCGCCCACTCACTCAACAAAACCGTCCTCTCAGTCTCAATCAAGAAAATCGTAACTCCATCATTCTGAATCTTCCTCGGACTCAAATCCTCATTACTCGCCTGCTGTAAGTCCGCCTCAGCAGGACCATGCGGAACATTACTCCCATTAAGCCCGGCCATAAACGGCGCAAAAGCATTACTTTTCTTACTAGCTTTATTCAAAGGATGTCGAGGGTCGTGAGAATTGATGATGGGCCCGTAAAATTCGCTCATGGTGTTGCGGTGGAAGTAGGGGATCCAGAGGGTGTCTTCGGCTACGCTATAGCGTGGGGGAATGATGGCGAAGTCTACGACGGAAGTTCCTGGGGCTTTGCCGTGTGCTGCGGCTCGGAGGACGACGTAGAGGGAGGGGTCGTGTTCGTCGAAGAGGAGGTTTCCGAGGACGCTGAAGCGGGCGAGGTCGTATTTGTAGGGGTATAGAGTGCCGTGCCAGGCGACGACGTCGAAGGGAGTGGAGGGTTGGGTGCAGGACCAGAGGCGGGAGGAAAGGCGGGCGATGATGGTCCATTCTTCATTTTTTGAAATCACGGCGCGGTCGTCTTTCACGGATCCCGAAAAGTGTGCGGTGGGGATCTGGAAGTCACGAACGTTGGCAAGGCCATGAGAACCAACGATGCCCAGATCTGGTAGCTCATAGTGTCCTTCATACAGCTCGCAGATGTAGCCGCGAGCTGGGCCATCTGGAAGAGATACGTTATATCGGACGCCTCGCGGAATGACACAGATTTCGTTCTGCTGGACCAAAAGTCTGCCTTGCTCGGTCTGGATGTCGAGTGCGCCGGCCTGCGGGATGATGAGCTGCTCGCCATCCAGCGAAGAGAATGCCGTTCGCGGAGCCATCGATTGAGATGCTGCGAATAACCAAATCGCGAGGCCTTCCTTCTTCTCAGGTTCGCCATTTCGGCCGATCAATTTCTGCTTCGTCCAGTCTGCTCCCTCATCGCCTGAGAACGAAGGCCACATGTACGAATTGGGAGACAGGAGTGATGGTTGCTCTGGGACATCTTCGATAGGCTGGAATTCGCTTCGTTCGAGCGAAGATACGACACGATACAGCCATGTTTGTAGATTTCTCTCCCGCGGAGCTGTGAAGGATGTGCCGCTTATGCGTTCGGTTCGCAGCCCATATGGTGGCTTCTGCGGGCTATTGATCACAAGCGGATTGGCGCCTTGGACTGCTTCAGAAGAATGATAGCTGCCGAAACCATTCAGGTAATCGTATCTCTCCTTGACTTGGAAGTTCGTAACGGGTGCCATGATTGTGTATCTTGGAAGATTGTCCTCTGGTTGCCTTTGTACGCTTCGAGTACTGTGAGCAAGACGTCAAATATGAATACAGAGCCCGGTGAAGGATGACGACTCGACAACGACTCGCTGCTGATCGTTGCACATGCTTGGAAATAGGTTTGCGCAGCTTTAAAGATAAGGTTGCACAAATGAGGAGAAAGCTCAATCCTCGTAAGCTTTTGCTTCAAAGTACCGCGTACCCCGCGGAGTGCATGGTGCGGATCTTCAGCTGTTCTGTCAGCAACGAAAACATATCTTGAAGTTAGTTCTTGGCTTGCACGAATAGTGATAGGTCGCGGAAAGTCCTGTTCGCAGCCTCGTATAGCATCGTGGTATCGTGTTTTATAGTACGCCTGTGAGCGCGAAAGACTTTGCTCGCGTGTGCATAGTCTTCATCTTTTCGAAACTTTTGACAAGGCGTAGGTGGAGAATGAGCAGCAATATTCACAAGCTGATGGGCTGTTGTTTAGAGTCAGCTTACTTCTAGATGCATAAAATCCTCTTCTACCACAATATCAAGCCATTGAGCCTACACCATCATTCCCGTGATCGCGTCCGGAGTTCGCGCTATGCCCGGGCGTGATTAACAACCACGCTCGGCGGTACAGAGGATCGGACGCGGTCTCGCAGATGTGTCACTCATTCTGAGCAGAATCCTGCCGCCACGCTGGCTTGGACCATGCCTCAAGTCTCTGGTTATATCCGGCACGTATGGGTGATTGCAAAGCAGAACTGCCGTTCATCGTCTCCAGGGAGATTTTCGGATCGGGTACTTCGAGCTTCGCATCAAAGGTGGTGGGAAGAACCAGGAGTGAAGACACCAACAAGCTGTGGACAGCAAGAGAAACCGTACCGTCCAATCTCGGCACCGGATCAACATCGACACCGACACGAAGCCTGCACTTTCTCCCGCTGTGCCTTCCACCTGTCAACCTTAGTTTCAGCAACAATGTTTAGCACTAGCAAAGATCCACGCCGTGGATCGTTCCTGAAATTGAAAACTCCCGCTTTGACAAGCTGATTGCGAGTCAACAGTATCAAAGGGAAGAAACTCAGAAGATCGTTCCTTCACTATGCCCCGCGAAACCTACACTAACCCCTCACGCCACTGCAGACGCGAGTGATCAGCACAATCAGCCACATCGTCCAATCTGACTCTACACAACCTGATAATTACTACAATGATTGTTAGCCTCTAATAGCATTCATCAGCCTCAGGCTATCAGCCTACTTGCCAGCTGAATCTCAAACAAACCCATCAAACTCCACTTCTCACTTCCTCACTCAATCCTCCATGTCTCCATCTCCCCAAGACGTGCCAATAACCCAAATCATCCACCTGCACAACAACCGCCCCAACGACCCCTCCCGAGGCGGCCACCTCTTCTCTGATCCCAAATGGCAAGCCGCGCTAGATTATTGCACTGAAGCACCCGGGTTTCAAAGAATTTACTGGGGAGAATCGCTTGAACATCCGCAACATGTTGAGATACATATAGGTACAATACCACCCCCCCCATAAGTCCCGCATTCAAGTCAATGGTGACGTGCTGACGACCTGTGTTTTGTGTTGACAAAGTCCGCAACACCCTCTCTCAACATCAAGCCTTCCTCGCTTCGGATAACTATCGTTTCTTCATTGCACTGGTTGATGTTTTGGCGAATAAGAAACAAACCCCTGTGATCCGCCATGCTGTGTTGCAAGATTTCACTCCTGATTCTCAAGCTTTAGCGCGAGGAGCTCCGTTTTCGGGCACGGCGATATATGTAAACAGAAGCGCCGCATGGGATGAAGGTGCTTGGCCGTTGTGGACACATATTGTTCGGTATGTGGACGGATGTCTTGGGTGTAGTGGCGGGCCGATTTTGGAAGAGAGGGTAGAGAGCGTGAAAGGGAGTTTGGGAAGGAAAGTGGAGGGGAGAGGGGAGAGGGAGGAGTTTGAGAGGTGTTATGTGGTTTATGTGGGGTGGGCGACGACGGAAGCGCATCATGAGTATCATGCGACGAAGCATTTTGCTGAGCATAGTGTGATTTTGAGGTGTGGGAATGAGGGGTATGCGGAGTATGGGCATATTGTGTTCAAGGGGGAGAGGGTGAAGGAGGTTGCGGCGAAGTTGTGATTGTGTTGATCGAGATTGTGCGTTGCTGTTTGATGTGGGCATCTGTCGTTGATATGAATGCTATATTCATCTGCTGCGAGGCTTCGAGGGCTGTTAAAATTCGGAATCCTCTTCCTCGAGAATCGCCGTGCTCAAGAGTCCTGCCTTCCGCCGGCTACTATCTGACAGACTCAGATACCCAGGTGATAGTGACCCAGGCGACAGACGCTGTGGTGAGACTCCATTCACTTGTCGCGTGGGAGGTACGAGAAGAGTCGGCAGCTGGTCCTTGGCCTTCTTCTGTTGTTTCTGTTCGCGATAGTCCTTGACTGATCGGCCTTTCTGTGGTTTGATCGGAGGCGGCTTGAGGAAGGTGCCGGTCACTTTGCTTGCGATCAGACTGACTAGCAGACCGCCAAGGATTCCGACTAGAGCTGCGATGCCCAAGTAGATGTACAGAGTCTGCAGATGGTAAGTATCGGTAGTGCTTGGAAGCCATTCGAAACACCAACCTCAAGCTTCACTATTGCTCTGAATGGCAATGCCAAACATGCTAGCAAGAAATTGCCTAGGTAGAGGATGGGCTGCAGGGTAAAGGCAATTGGTCGCCAGAGCAGGTTGAGCAGCCACAGCAAGGCGTAAGCGATGGTCCTCAGGACTATCACAATGAAGTAGACAAGCCAGTACGCGCCGCTGGCGAGGGTGGGGAGGATGGCGGCAGCGCCAAGCAGTTGGTCTGATGCAGCCTGGTCAGACATGGTGACATGTTTCACCTTTCAGCCCCTCGCGTTCATGCGTTTTCATGCGTTCACTCTCGTGCCATGTCAGCAGCGGAGGCGTAGTGGTGGGCGGGCGTGTGATGGCGTGGAGGATGGGCGCATGATGAGGCTGAAAGGGGTGGAGATGACTTGCATGAATTGGCGGAAAGGCTATCCGCAACCTCGCCAAGGGCACACACCCATGCACGATCGACAGTCGCCGGTGATGTCGCTTGCTGCGCTGCGTGCTGCCTCTTTGTGCCCGGCGGAGGAGGGCAGCACAGGTCGCTGCTCCGTCTCACTCGCACTCGTTCGTTCTGTCTGTCTCCCCGTGTAACCCTCACTGTCGCCCCGCTGTGCCCGCCCGAGTCGCACAGACGTCATGTTCCGTTGACGCGTTGAGGCAGCGATAAGAGGCCATTGAGCGATGGGCAACGCCGAGAGCAAAGACGGCGCTTCAGGCCCACCCGCGACGTCTCCGGGCAGCAGCAACACCACCAAGCCGCAGCGGACAGGCAGCAGGCGACTGAACAAGAAGCCGTCGTTGCCCACCGAGGGCTGGGTGACTTCGAGTAGCTCCGACCCGCCGTCCACCTCGCAGTACTACGCCCACGGAGCCACCGTCTCGGCCTCACCCAAGCGCGCTGCACACGCCCGCGCGAGGTCCATCACCGCTTCACAGTCAAACCACCACCGCGCCGTCGACGACCTTGCCCACAGCCACCGCTCGGCCTTATCGGCCATTTCCGCCATGGGCCAGGCAGATAGCAAGGCCCGCCCGCCATCGAGGTCAAACACTCTGCCCATCCACACCTCACCACCGCGCCCGCCGACCCCGCCATCACAACCGCAAGAACCCGCGCCCGCGCCCGTCACTGAGTCGCCCGAGCCGACAGAATCACAGCCCGTCGATGTTCCACCCGCCAACCATGTCGGCGGCGACGATGTGATACCAGATGACTACATCCCGACCGGATATTCCGCCAGCCCATATGGCCTGCCACCTGCCAACTACAGTCGTCCGCCTAGATTGCCGCTGCCTATCGAGGAGGAGGTGCACACGCCGGGCTCCCCCATCATCACCCCGCAGGATATTACTGCGATCAAAGATGATGATATTGAGGAAGGTGCCATACCCCGCATAGCCTCTGTGCGGAGTTCCACCACAGTCGACGACGACGATGTGGGAGACAATGACGCATATGACACGTCCGGATTGAACAACGGCTCAGTCAAGGTCTCATACAAGTTCGCATGGAACGGGAGCGGCGAGAAAGTTTTCGTCACAGGAACATTTTGCAATTGGGACAAAAAGATCAAAGTGCCCCGCAACAAGGATGGCGCACCGGGGTTCTCTGCGCGACTCTATCTCCCTCCGGGCACCCACCATTGTAAATTTCTGGTGGATGGGGAAATGGTCACATCACCAGATCTCCCTACTACTGTGGATTGGACAAATATTCTCGTCAATTATATCGAGGTCGTGGCGCCCTTGCCAGAGGGACAAACGCAGCCACCCGAGGCAGCTCAGCCAATTGACATACCCGGCACAACTGCTCCCGCTGACGAGGTCACGGGAAAGCAGGACGCCGCAGTACGCGCGCTGGCAGATTCGGCGCAGCCATCCGATAATGAAGCCAATGTGCCATCTCCGCTGCAAGCAACCGACGGCTCGACTAAGAGCGAGAAACAGCCCACGGAAGTGTCTGCATTCATCCCTATCCCTTCCACCCCTGCACCACGACAGATTGAGCCTCAAACAGAGCCCGAGACCAAACCCAAGCCAGCTCCGAAGCAGACGATCCCACGCGCCAAGTACACCAATACGATTCCACAATTCCTAGTAGACTTAGACAACTACCAGAACCCCGAAGATGAGCGATATCAGCGCGCTCAGAGAGTGACGAACACTCTTCCACAGCCGCCGAGTCTACCAATGTTCTTGAATAAGAGCATCTTGAACGGCGCCACTCCTCACAAGGACGATGCTAGTGTACTCATCATGCCCAATCATACCGTGCTTAACCACTTGGCTACTAGTAGCATAAGAAGCGGCGTGTTAGCCACGAGTGGTACCACGCGGTACAAGCGGAAGGTGAGCAGTCGCACATACTCTTTCGAAACTCACTGTACTGACCACCGATAGTTCCTCACAACAATCATGTACAAACCGACCTCGGAGGATACATGAGACTCTATGCGGCATTTTCCCAACAACTTGCCCACTGGTCGCAACGCATTGCGGGGCGGGCGTAACATTGACGACCCTGCGCACATTGCTCCGCAACGAGCAACGAGCGATCAAAAATGACTTTCCTTACTTCGCTGCTCACGCTGACGCGCAAGAGTTGACGTCGGCGAGATGCAGATGTGCGGAGGCTAAAGGGGAAGGATTCACCAGTACCATTAAAAGACGAACAGTCAACACAAAACATATCTATGAAGCGGCGGCGGACTTTTTGCATAAATGACTTCTCTTCTCTCTGGACTTTGTGGGGAAGGAAGGGACGTGATGAGGCTAGCGAGGGTTTTTGGGTTGAGTGGTGGGTGGATTGAAGGACTACCATATGAGCAAATGCCTGCTTGCATGGAGGAAGTAGCGTACGTGGTAGGACAGGAGGAACATGGCATGGAACAGCTGTGGGTTTGTCTTATGACGAGTTGATGATTGAAGATGCAGATGAAGACAAAGATGAAGGTGATGATAGATGACAATATGAGAGATTTCGAAGGTGAAATTTCCCTCTGCTCCCATAGCGCTTTTATCACTTAGTCGTGCGACTGGACAGATGGGTAAGACACTTCCCGAGAGTGACTTGAACTACTTTTCACTGTGTATATGCTTGTCTATGACATGCCATTCCGCTCTCCCTACTCCAACACGATATACTTCTTCAGATGCTCCGGCACGGCGCCGAGAAGTTTCTTACTCTCCAACCATTTCTTACTGAACAGACGGTCCGCGTAACGATATGCTCCATCGCATAGAATTGTCACAACAGTGTTCCCTGGTCCCAACTTCTGCGCCAAGTCCCTCGCCGCTGCGACGTTCAATGCGGATGAAGCTCCAAGGTATAAGCCCTCCTCGTCCAGACACCTGTAAACCATCTCAATGCTCTTTTCATCCGAAATATGTAATGCGCCATCGAGGAGATCGATATCAGGTTTTAAGTTGTCTGTGATGCGGCCTTGCCCAATTCCTTCTGTTATCGAGCTTCCGCTCCGTTCGACAAGTTTTCCGCCAGAGGAGACGTAAGTGTAGATTACTGACCCGGGAGGATCTGCAACGTAGCATTTTACGCGGTTTTCGGAGATGGTTTTGAGGTACCGTGTACAACCTGCAATTGTACCCGCTGTCCCAGAAGCGCAAGTAAAAGCGTCGATTTTGCCTTGTGTTTGAGCCCAGATTTCAGGACCGGTGGTTTCGATGTGTGCTTGGCGGTTGGCGGTGTTGTCGAATTGGTTTGTCCAGACGGCGTTGTCGAGACGTTCGGCGTGGCGTTTGGCTTGGTGATTGTAGTTCTCGGGATTCTCGAATGCGACGGCAGGGACGGGGTAGACTTCTGCGCCGAGGAGACGGAGGAGGTCGATTTTGCCTTGGGATTGCGTGTTGGGCATGTAGATTACTAGTTTGTAGCCCTTTGAGCGGCAGACGTGGGCGAGGCCGATGCCGGTGTTGCCTGCTGTGCCTTCTACTACTGTGCCGCCGGGGCGGAGGAGGCCCTTCTCTTCGGAATCTTGGACGACGAATAATGCTGCGCGGTCTTTGACTGAGCCGCCTGGGTTTTGGAATTCGGCTTTACCGAGGACTTCGCAGCCGGTTTGTTCGGAGATCTTGTTCAGGCGGATGAGGGGCGTGTTACCAATGGCTGGGAAGAAGCTGTATATCAGTCTCAGCGACTATGCGGTGATCGGTCTCAATGCCTAAACATACCAGAAACGAGGCCATTCTTCGCGACGCCTTGGGCCTTCGAGATCTCCAGGCCGTGAGGGTTCATGGCGTGCACTTCTGACGCTGAAGGAGCGATCGTGACTGCCGTTCGTACTCCTCGAAAGTTCGTGGGCCTCGTCGCCGCCCGTAGAGCAGTCCTGGCAAACATGATGCGCACAATCTAGCACAATCGCGAACGCACAGAGGGAGTGCAGGGTGTCGAGTGAAGCTGCAAGCAGAAAGTCAAAAGCGCCGTGGTGCAGCACGTCATTGGCTCGTGGTCGTGCATCGCGGGACCCTTTCCGCCTCTGTTTACACCTGCAAACACCGCCGAGAAACAGATGACAACCGACACGAACTGACATTACAACACACCACCATGCCGGGACGAGTCGCCAGTGCAAGCACGCGCACATCGCGACGTACAGTCGCAACAAAGGCCTCCACGCGATCCGCCCGCAATAGTTCACCACCGCCGGACATACCAGACGAGGGGGAGGACAGCTCCTTGCGACGCGCCATCTGTACCGTGTTTGCAGACTCGCAAAAGTCCACTGCCGCACATCGGAAAGCCATCATATCACTACGAAAAGTCCAGGAAGCATGTTGCTACGAGCCGGTCAGCAACAAGAAAGGCAAACAGCATGACGACTTCGACGAGGACGACTTCAATCGAGAGGTTGTGCGATGCGTGATTCGCATTCTGCCGGTCAAGAAATCCGAGCCGGTCGGCGATCGCGTCGTGCGCTTTCTGGGAACATTCTTGAATGTGGCAGCGGGCAAGGACAATGAGATTGCACAGGCGGATGACGAGGTCGAGGATGGCACACTCCCGCAGACGCCAACAAGCAGGCTGGCCAGCGAGATTTTGAAGATGACGATGCTGGCCATGAAGGCAAAGGCCAAAGAGATTCGGTTTCGGGCGACGCAGATTACAAGTCACATTATCAACAGTCTGGATACGCTGGACGATGCACTGTTCCACCAGCTACGGCAAGAGTTGTTGAAGAGACTGCACGATAAGGAAGCTTCGGTCCGGCTGCAAGCTGTGTACGGTCTTGGCAGGTTGGCAGCGGAGGTGGAGGGTGACGAAGATGAGGAGGACTCAGACTCAGACGAGGACTTGGGCGGCAAGACAGTGCTGAACAAGCTATTGAACGTGCTGCAAAACGATTCTTCAGCTGAGGTCAGGAGAAATCTGCTGCTGAACCTGCCGCTCACAAAAGAAGTGCTGCCATATCTATTGGAACGAGCAAGAGACGCGGATGCGACAACACGAAAGGCATTGTACAGCCGTCTGCTACCTGCACTTGGAGACTTCAGACATTTGAGCCTTACGCATCGCGAGAAGCTACTCAGATGGGGTTTGCGTGACCGAGACGAGAATGTGCGCAAGGCTACAGCACGACTCTTCTGTGAACGCTGGATCGAGGACTGCGCAGCTCTACCTGCAGCTCAAGCTGCCGAAAAAGAGGAGGACGGGGAGGCTACGAAGGATAAAGAAGCAGTTCCGTCACTCGATGCACTCCTCGAGTTGCTGGAACGTATCGATGTGGTCAACAGTGGGGGCGAGGGTGGAATCGCTCTCATCGCAATGGATGAGTTCTGGAAAGGACGACCGGACTACGTCGATTATGTCTCCTTTCCAGACAGTTTCTGGGATGACCTTTCGCCCGAGCTCGCATTTGTGGCACGCACATTCAATGACTACTGCCGAAATACGAAGGACTACGTGGGACCGCGAGCGCTGGTGGAGCTTGCAGAAGAGAAGCTGCCCGAAGTCACCAAGTTCGGGTTCCTCCTTGAGCGTGAGATCAAGAAACTGATTCAAGTCACCATTGAGTCCGCGGAGGCAGAAGACGAGGAATACGACGAGTCAGAGCTCGCACATTGCGAATTCGTCGTCGAGCAGTTGCTGCACATGGCTCTGACATTCGACTACAGTGACGAAGTTGGTCGCCGAAAGATTTCCGTCCTCATGAGGTCTTCTTTGGCGCTACCGGACTTGCCCGAGGAAGTCACACGGCTTGTTGTCGAGGTGCTTCGCCTTGTCTGTGGCGAGCATGCCAAGGGCGAGCGTGAGTTCTGCAGCGTTGTTCTCGAGGCCGTCGCCGAAGTGCATGATACTATCATCGCGGAGGACGACGGCGATATCGACGGCAGCACAGAAGACAGCTTCCATTCCGCCACGGAACAAGTTGACATCAATGTGGACGATAACAGGGCAGCGCAGAAGAAAGCCAAGAAGCAGCAGCAAGAGGCTGAAGCTGATCCTGAAGCAGAAGAGGAGAGGGCTGTCAAAGAGCTCATGGTCAACATGAAGTGTCTACACATTGCTATGTGCATGTTGCAGAACGTACATTGCGATTTGACCGAGAACGTCCATCTTGTGACGACGCTGAACACTCTGGTTGTTCCTGCTGTGCGGAGTAAAGAGGCGCCACTGCGAGAGCGAGGTCTCCTCTGCTTGGGACTGTGCTGCTTCCTTGGGAAGGTGAGTCGTGTCCATAGACGCCAGCGTGCTATACTGACAAAGATACAGCAACTTGCCGGAGAGAACCTCACCGTATTTATCCACTGCTTCTCGAAGGGCCATCCGGCGCTGCAAACGATCTGCTTGCAGATCATTACGGACATGCTTGTCACGCACCCTTCGCTACTGACACCTGCAGAAGGCACCGAAGATCCAAACGAGGCCGCGAAGCCTGTCCTGAAGATGTTCAAGCAGTCACTCAAGTCTGGTGATCCTGAAGTGCAATCGACGGGTGCCACTGCTCTTTCAAAGGCGATGCTCTCCCGTCTTATCGTCGACGCGGATCTTCTCAAGCAGCTGGTCGTCACATACTTCGATCCGGACAGCATCACGAATCCGCAACTGCGCCAGAGCCTGAGCTACTTCTTCCCGGTTTATTGTCACTCCCGTGCCGAGAATGCAGTGCTCATGGCAGAGATCACTACCAGCGCCATAAGCAAGCTTCTCACTCTTCGGAAGGCCTTTGAGGACGATGACGACGAGGACGCTGCTGCCGGTGCTGATCAGATGGTCTCCATGACACAAATTACGAACATGCTACTGGATTGGACAGATCCACGCAAGATCGTGGGCTTCTCTGACGCTGTTGGAGATAGCTCCGCAAAGAGTGGAGCTGGAGAGACACATTTTATCTTAGCGGAGAGCATCCTGGATCGCCTCGTTTCTGCCCAGCTGAACAAGGATGAAAAGAAGATTCTCTTCAGCATGCTTAACAAATTGCATCTGCCGGCCGGAGGTTGCGATGCCGAGAAGTTGAAATCTGTTCTTGAGCTCTTGCAAGAGACGATTGACACGAAAGTGGCTGCTGACGCGACGAGCAAGAACGTCTTGACGAAGCTGCAGACTACTTTGCTGAAGCTCATGCACGATGTCATGACTGAGGAGCGTGGCGGCGGCGATACTGTGCTCGAGACTACCGAATTGCCGGATCAGAGCGACGCTGGTCTTGACGAGACGGAAACCACGCAGACTTCTGTTGCGCGCGATGGAACGGAAGTTGAAGAAGAGGCGGATGATGACTCCGCTGTCACGCAACTTCAGCAGGATCTGAAAGATGCTACACTTGGTGCTACGACAGCATTAACATTTGGTCCTGCAGATGCAGAGGGCACGAGGATTCAATTGGAGTATGAGGACAGCGAGATGATGGATATTGATGGATGAGGTTTGGGATGAGGAGGCTTGTGAGGCTTTTCGTAATCGCTCTCGCGTTTTCGTAACTTGTTTCCGTTGGATGGGTGTTGTTGGCTTTCTGAGGCTGGCGTTTGATAGTGTGGATGCATGAAACGAATGACATGTGAATTGATACCCTTGCATGTTATGACACTCTTTCCCCAGCCATCCAGGACTTTCTCTCCGCATTCTGACCAGGCTCCGGCTCCAGGCATGTTTCTGCCCCCGGTGTACAACGACGCCGAGCCTACATAACCATACCATAAGCAGGGAAAGTCAACTTGGCGCGGTGTGAAGAGGGCCGGCAGTGGAATCCGGCGCTCCGTGCGCCGAGCTACGACTACGTCACGCGGCTTTTTGTGCAAATCATTTTGCGGATTGCGATCTACAACCCAGCACCACCCACGGCGAATTGGTGGTATATAGGCCTGCATGGCCGTTTCGCGGCCGCGACCTCAGACCTTTCCCCATCATCAGTGTACACTCGCTAGCGAAGTACCTACGATACGCCTTAGTAATTAATAATCACTCATACATACCCTTGCTGTTTACAGCAGCAACTGGATTTGGACTATCAGCTCCTCAGCTGCTCAGCTCCCCTCAACCAAAAACGCGACGCGACCACGATACTTTGCAAACCGACAGAAACACCGGAATCAGACCACCTTGCTACGACTAATTTGTAGAGCTTCTACACATTTCGCGAACACAACTACATAATACACATCTTCAACAAGAAGAGAAAAGAGCGAAAACAAATCACAACAACAAAGCTGCTCGAAACCATGCCCGAAGCCNCACCATCCCCTCCGGCGGAACCTTCAGCGTCTACGCCGAAACCACAATCCCCACCCCACCACAATACCCTTACGAAGCCCTCCTCGACCTGCACTCCTGGCGCGACTGGAATACTTTCAACCCCGATGTCCTCATCACGAAACACCCCAGCCCTCACAGCCGAAGTCTGCGACTCGAACAAGGGACGCATATGACCATAACGATGGATTTGGGTTCTGCGACTGGAGGTGATAGATTTCAGAGTAAAGAGGTTTGTCTCCTACTTGAAGCGTTGAAATGGAGAGGAGATGGGAGGGAAAGTCATAAGAATGGAGGGAATGTTACGAGGATACGATGGGTTTCGGATAATGCGAATTATTTGATTCCGAGGTTTGTTATGAAAACTGAACGAGTGACTGAAATTGAAGAGTCGTCTTCTTCAGCTTCGCCGGGGAATGAAACTTGTACGGTGAGGACGTGGATTACTTTTAGTGGTTTTGCGGCGAAGAATTGGAAGAAGAAGCATGAGAAGGAAATGCAGGCGAGGATTAAAGGTTTTGTGGAGGATTTGAGGGAGAGGTGTGAGCAGTTGTGGGAACAGAATCCGAATTTGGAGCCGGAGGATGGGAGGGAGAGGGTGAGGAAGAGTATGCAGGCTGTGAGGAGGAGTGAGGAGATGATTAGGGCGATTCAGGGAGGCAAAGAGGCGATTAAGATGGAGAGGGAGAGGGGGCAGGTTAGTGTGGTGGGGAATGGGAAGGTGTGAGCAAGTGGTTGCAGAGCTTGTGGTAGTGCGGACGGCGAGTGATGGAGCATCCCGCGTGCGTGTGTTGACGCATAGGAGGCAGTGTCTGGCCTTGAGCGAGCTTTCACGACTCCGCGGTTGTGGGATCTGGAATTCAAGAGAGGCTACCAACAGAGATCTGCGGCTTCTTCTCTTGGCTTATGGTAAGATAGCGGGGCTTGTGCTATGATCTGGCTGAGGCCGCCCACGCAGACAAGACCGCAGATCGTGATACTGGATCTGTGATGGAGAACAACGTGGCTTCGATGTCCGCTCTTCTGTTACACATAGCCAACCGCAGCTAATCGTCCGCATTAGCGAGGTGGCGTAGCATGCGAAGGATCGAGGGCGCCTTCCAGCCTTCCAGCTTCTGATACAAGCCACACATTCCCACCACAGCTCCCATTTTCGTCAGTTCACATTGAAACTGTTCCAACGCTCGTTCCGCGGACCACGGAGCGTTCATGGCACTACCACATTCTCATGCTACACGGCCAGAACTATGCGCCTCCTCAGGACGTCACTGAGCGAAGACGGCAGGCTGGAGTTGATCGAAGCATGGGACGAACGGGTTCCGCCATATGCCATTTTGTCTCACACCTGGTCAACGACAGCAAGCGATGAGGTGTTGTATCGCGACGTTCTTTCGGGCACGTCATCACGAAAGCCTGCTTACGACAAGGTCGTTGGCGCCATGAACCTGGCACATATCGAAGGCTACGAGTACATCTGGATCGATACGCTATGCATTGACAAGTCATCCAGTGCCGATCTGAGCGAGGCAATCAATTCTATGTATGCCTACTATGGCCAGGCCGGAATATGCTACATTTATCTTTCGGATGTCACGGCTGCTCAGTCGCTGGCAGACGCCCGCTGGTGGACACGAGGCTGGACTTTACAGGAACTGTTAGCTCCTTCGCACGCTGTGTTCTATACTCTTGACTGGCAATGTATTGGGGGCAGAGACGAATTAGTGGAAGAGATCAGCTCCATTAGTGGGATACAGCGACATTACCTGGTCGACAGCTCTCGCGATGTCCTATGGACAGCAAGCATCGCGAAACGTATGTCGTGGGCCGCGAGACGCAAGACTGGCCGTTCCGAGGACATGGCTTACAGCTTGCTGGGTCTCTTCTCTGTCAACATGCCCCTTCTCTATGGCGAAGGAGGCAAGCGGGCTTTCTTACGACTGCAAGAAGAGATCATGAAGTCAACAGACGATCATACAATATTCGCATGGGTGGACTCCCATGGAAGTGATGAACCTCATGGCCTGCTGGCAGACAGTCCCCTAGCTTTCGCACACACGGGCCAGTACCAACCTTACTTTGACCATGGCACTCGCAGGCCTTATGCTATGACCAATCGCGGCTTACAAATGAGCTTGCCTTTGACCAGAAAGGGCCCTGGCGAATATTTCGCTGCACTCGAATGTCCACCTAATGCAGACAGTTCTCGGGGAAATTTGGCTGTTGTACTCAAGCGATGGCCCGGCACAGAGAAAAACGCTGACTTCCAGCGCTATTCGAGAATCGAATGCAGCACACTTACCGCCATTGGTACACGCGGAGATCTTCAGAACCTATACGTCCCACAAGCGACGGCACAAGTTGCTGGCGTACGAATGTATCCAGACATGTTTTTTCGCCTGCATCAGCTACCAGCACCTTACAAACTGATTTCTGTCCGGTACGACCAGCAGCTACCGAACGACAAGCTCGGGGCCGACCGATTTACAAAAATGCCAAAGTCGACAGAGTTTCTCATGAACCTTCCAATGTCTGCGAAACCCAGTACTGTCTCTGCAATTCTGTTGATGGAGAGTACGAAGCACGCCGCAGTCTTTGCTGTGTTGCTCGGCACTTCTGCGAGCTCGGAGGCAGCATTCGACATCAAATTGTTTCCCACCGTCGCATTGACAAGAGAAACCGAGTTAGAGGCTCAGTTCACTTCAGTTACTTCAGGTTCTTGGGTCATCCTTGGCAGCTATCGGTTTAAGATTGATTTCAAGGAAGTCATTCAGGTGGGACAAGTCATATGCAATGTTCATATCGAAGCTGTGTCAAATCGTGGTCGACATAAGGCCGAGTTGAGCGAGGACGGGTCGCTGATTTTGCAGAAGAGTCTGCCTGTCCGTATCGCCAGCAGCCTGTTCGTCCCGAAATGAGGGGGACAAAGGTACGTGCGGCTGTACACCTCGTCGTCAGTCGCCCCTTTGGAGAAGGTGGTGCTAAGCTATTGCAGGCCCACTCCAGCATCAACGCTCGGCCTGCTGCAGGAACTGCAGCTAGCTACATTGCTTGTACTCAATAGTCATCATCTGTCTGAGTTCAATGGCATATGAGCTCCGTTCGGCATTAGCAAACTCTCTGCTCGGCATTGCCATGTGCGACTTAAGCGCTTCGCTCAGCTGATTATTAGTCAGCTTCATTCACAGCTCTCCCGTCAGGATCGACCCTGCATGAGGCTCCCAACTACCAAGGACCGCACAAACCAGGCTCTGGGAATGGTGTCAAGAATGGTGGCAGTCCATCGTGCGATCATAATGTACCGAACTTTGGAGTGCCCCTGTTGTGAAACGAAAGAACGTACTCCTAAGTCATGACTCCAATCATCGCTCGAAGAAGCAATCCTGAGACTGATTATCAACCAATGCCTCTCAGGATCACAGCCGAACCCTTAGCGAAGGCCCCACTTGTCAAAGCTACATGTATTTCGTATGCGTCTTCAGCTGAGGCACAACAAGCTACTGATTGGACGAGAGGAGGCACAAAGCCAATTGTGCAACACCTGATCTTTACGCCGTTTGCACAAACTCAAGTACGAGCGGGGCATCACTAAGCCTAGCTTATGAAGCATTTCAGGTTACACAAGACTAACATGCTTCTTATATTCAGCCTGAGAAGACAGCAGTGATCTGACCCAGGCAACGAGATCGTTCAGCAATTGTGCATTCTCTCTTCACATCCAATTCCTCGACAAGATCAAGGCCAGTTGACAAGATGTCTTCCTACACGCCACCAGGCCGTCTCGGCAATACGGACCTTAGCATGTCTACTGATCCCAGGACTCATCCCAAGCTCAAGGCAGTAGTGAATGCCTATGGCATGGGAGGTAACAACATGCAAGGCGTGTCCGACACGAAAAATCTCGAAGTAGGCACAAAATTGGCCGAGGAGATGGAGACCGCGATCTTTGGTTTGTATGGAGCGATCGACATGAGCACGCCCGAAGATAAGAACGAAGGTGAAGTCGAGGAGACAGTCGAAGAGATCGATGGACCAGATGGAAACAAGATTAAGTTGTACATTTTCAAGCCCAAAGGAGTGAACGGAAAGTTACCTGGTGTGGTTTACATTCACGGTAAGCTCGTTTCCCCATCGCCACAGCGTCCAGCTTGTGCTATTCGAACAGAACATCTAACCTAATCTCACACTCACAGGCGGCGGCATGACCATCGGCCCAACCAAAAACCCCGTGCACGACCGCTGGTGCAAATCCCTCGCCCTTAAAGGAAACGTCACAATCATGCCCGACTTCCGCAACGCCTGGACAAAAACCCAACACAACCCCTTCCCCACCGGTCTGAACGACTGCTGCACCGCAGTACAATACATCGCAGCCAACCGCTCCTCCTTCGGCATCTCCCACTTCATCCTCCAAGGCGAATCCGGCGGCGCAAACCTCTGCTTCGCAACCTCCATCCGCGCAAACCGCGAAGGCTGGATCAAAGAAATCTCCGGTGTATACGGTTACGTCCCGTATATCAGTGGCGGATACGACTGGTCTCGAGAAAGGAAATTGAAAGAAACCCCATCACAAATCGAAAATGAATATTACTTCCTGAATCCTGATAACAGTGCTGCTTTGGCGTATTATTATTCTCCGGGAGAAGGACAATTGGAGGATCCGCTGGCGTGGCCTTATCATGCGAGAGAACAGGATTTGAAGGGTTTGCCGGATCATATGGTGAGTGTGGATGAATTGGATTGTTTCCGAGATGAGGGGATTGCGTATTGGAAGAAGTTGACCAAGGCGGGAGTTAATGCGAGTTGTGATGTTAATTTGGGGGCCATGCATGGGACGGCGCTCATTTTTAGGAATGCGGTGCCGGAGGTAAACCGAAAGCAGATTGAGGCCATTGCGGCTTTTGCGAAGAGGGTGGCGTAAATATGTGGTAGAGTGGGACCAGGCGATGGGCTTTGGAGCTGGGTGTATTGCTGTGAACAAGCGCAAGGAAATGAGGAGGATGATTAGCAATTTTCGGCACTCTGTAATATTTCAAAGAACAACAGTGATCAATTCGGTTAATAAGCTTGTATGCAGTTCACAGGGGAGCTAGTGATATTCTCTCTCTCCATGCTAGAGATGCTGCAAGTTTTCGGCGTATGCCTTCAGTGCACTCAGCACGACACGCCGTCCGAAGCGCTTATACAGTCTGTCGTCATCATCAAGCCACGGTCGCGGCTGCCCAACGCGGTAGTTCTGGTTGATTTTGAATGGAACGATATAAGCTCACTGACTAGCTTTATCAGCAAGTAACGTCCAGACCAAGGTTTCTTGCTGTAGAGACCGAGAACACGCACGCAAATGTACGTGACGTACTTGCTGCACGGAGCGAAGCTGCTTTGGATTAACCGGAAGTCGATTTCCAGGCAACGTTGTACAGTCTCGATCGACGATAACTCTTGCTGAGTAGTCAATTGCAGTGCCGTGGATGTGTTCACTCGGTCGAACAGGCCCGCAGACTAAGACAGGTTCGCTCGAAACCGCCTCTCCATGCCCTCAGGTGGGCGTATGAAAGCGGCTCTTCGCTGGGCGATTGTAGGAGTATGCTCCAGTGCATCGTTCGGTTATGGTTGCCCCCGTATTCCCGTGCCTGCTTCAGGCGAGATTCGTGCTGCTGTCACATCTCGCGCCAACGCATCTGTAGCTCTCTGTCATTTGTGAGATGGAATGCACGCATCGCTGGGTGACAGCCGTCAGGTTTCAACGCTTCAGTTTATGCGGCCTCCTCCTTCTCTGCCCCCTTCGTCTTCTTCTCTTGCTTCTCTGGCATTAATCCACCTTCGACAGAAACCGTCGCAATTCTCTTATTCCCATCCGGCACGCTCTGCGCCCCAGAGCTCGGCGCGTAAGCTCCCCAGCTGGCCTTGAAAGCCTGATCCACCATCTTCTCCGGCAAACCGAGCTGGCCCATTCCCTTGGCCGGCTTCTCCAATTCTATGCTTCCCAACAGCTCCTCAACCCTCTTCGCCTCAGCATCCATCTCCTCCGCAGCTTTCAACGATCCATACTCAAAAACATTTGCCTTCAGTCCCACTCCGTAGTACTGGTACTTTCGCAAGAATGCCAGCCAAACACTCACGGTCTCCGGATTCCCCTCTTTGATCACAATTTCCCTTCTCATCGTAATTCTCTCGAAGTTCTCTTGACTCTTCTTGTGCACGAAATTACTCCTCGGCACAGTCCATCGTTCTGTTCGGCGAGGGAGATTGTAGCTGGTGGCAGGGAGTTGCAGGAAGTAGGCTGCGCGTAGAGCAAAGTCGGAGAAGACTTCCAAGTTGCGGACATTGTAGGAGCGCAATTGAAGCTGGCACACAGTCTCGATGGGTTCGTTGGCTTTGCGTGGTGTGGTGGGTTCTCGTTTCAATGGGGCGAGGTAAGTTGCCTGCACGGCTTTGGGGAGGCGAATCTCGGATAGCTCGCGCTCGAGATTGGGCGACAGAGGCTGTGCGGCGAGTGGAGCTGAGTGTTGCAATTGCCGGACCTGCTGGGTTGTGAAAGTTGATGTGGAAGGGGAGAGCTGGGATATTGTCAGACGGCAAGTTGGACATCACACGAATATGGCTCTGATACTGACTTTCAGTCTCTTGACGGCGCTTGTGAGCGAGCGCGAGTATGAAGGTGCCGACATGATGTATAGGAGATGGAGTGGAATGTCTCGACTGCCGCACGCTCAATGACTGTAGGAGCGACATGCGGCCGCCCGGAGATGCCAAGACCTTTGGCAAAGTGTCAAATATCGCGGCACACTGGTGGGAGTGAAGCCAGGCGGAAGCACAGTCGATGAGGCACTACACCGGTTTTACAACAGATTCGCGCCATCACCTTAGCAGCATGGCAACGCGATCGAATGTCGGTTGGCACATGGCGACACCTCGTTTGAATCTATGCATTTCTGCAACATGGCAACGTTCTCAGAAGCCTCATCATGCCCCTCCACTCAGGATGTGAGTATCAATCGAATCTGACTTGGCCAGGACGCCGTGATGTCCTACCTGCCCCGTACTCGTTGCCCTTCTCCTCTGTCGCTCGCAAATCCCGCGGATCAACTTGTGCCCCCAGCTTGCCAGTTAGAGGCTTCAGCTACCGAGGACACCACATATTGTTTCTACGCACGGGTATATCGTTCTTTGCTCCCAAAGCCATAGTATGTGGCTCTGCAAGCTACTTGCACATTCGATCAGCCCTTCTCAGCACTGTCCGTCGCGATTGACAACACGTTTTCATCCAACGGCTCTTCGCTCTCCTCCAGACTCTCTGTTACAATAGACAACTCAGCGAGCTCCTGAGCGGCCTCCTCCAATTGTCCCGAGACCCGCGAGCCAGCCACGCAAGCGACCGCGAACAGGGTCAGAAGGGCCGTGGGTATTAAGATGGCCATCATTGTCTGGTCGTCTTTCGTCTCAACAGTGTCGTCTGACGTCGTCGAATCTGCACTAGAGACGCTTTCGGGTGCCGGGTCTGCTCCGTCGGGTACTGTGATCGCAATGTGGTTCGAATCGCCGCCGGTCGCTGACCAACTCAGCGACTCTTCACGCTCGCAGGTCGTGATCGTAGTCGTGGCCGTTTCCGACATGTTACTCGCATATCACGGTACTCGATCCGCATCGACTTCTGGTCCGACTCTTGGAAGTGCTTGACGGGGTGGCTGTCTGCGACGAGGTCGGCGGTGCGCCGTTTGCGCTCTATTCTATGCAGGGACAAGGCGTCTCGTTCCCACGGTCGCACCAGCGTGTCCCGCTGCAACATAGCACCTCCATCCCACTATCGCAGGGCATCGGCTTGTCGTACCGTCTATGGCGCCGAAGTACCTTGCCGGGCCGGAGTTTTCTTTGGTTGACGGTCGAGTGCTTGGGCAGTGATGCTTACAGCGCCTCGCAGTCAATAGGCGTCCGTCCAGATTGGGTCGACAGCCGAAGTTGTGGAGCATCTGCCGCGGTGTGCACTACCTACAAAAGTGCATTTCATGTTCCAGGGCTAGCGCGAAGACTGCAGATCATTAGGAGTGGTTAGAGAGAATCTTTTGGATCAGGGCCCGGAACGACAGAGGACCGTGCCGCAGCTGCGGCACATTGATGGCACTGCTTCAATATCAGTAGCGCTGGCGCAGCATACCGCAGCAGACTGTCCGGGTCGTGGGGAAGCATTTGACAGGCGTGCGCGTTGTGCGAAAGAGATGGCGGGGCCTCCCACGTGTGCCCACCTTCGTTGCAGAACAGGCCGCTGCAGTGCATCTGTTTCCAACCAGGCAATGTGGAGCCCTATCCAATGACCGGGCGCGAATCAATGAGCGGCGTGGAATTCCAGCAAGCACGCAGGTGAGAAAGTCCTTCGTCCACTCCGTATGCTGAATAGCTGCGAACAGCGACTAGCAATGTTACAATCACACCAACGCGTGGTAGGGCACAGGTGCACCAGCACCAGCACCAGCATGCCAGTTTCTCCAGTCCAGGACAGATGAACGGAGCATAGTCCAGATCATCTCGAGATTCGGATCCGACTATGAATCACCATCGGAAGCATCCACGCGCGAGAGTATTCCGAGGTAGTGACGGAGCATCAACGCATTCAGAATTCCGATGCATGCGTGAGCGCCGGTCAAAAATTGAAGCGCGGTTGGGCCCTACGCCATTGTGACGAAGGGTGAGATTGGTCACATCGACGCACTGGGAATTTCCAGTGGCTTTATTATCCTGGTTGTTCTTGGCTGCTCATCGTCGCATCTCTTTTCAATCTGGCATTTCATGATGGTGCTGGGATGAAAACTTCCATGGCCAATCGAGCTGATGGTCTCTTCTACCTCCCGTCGGCCTCTGCCATCCTAGCTCTTCTCTTGTCGCGGTGACAGTTGCATGCTGTGGCAGGGAGCAACCACGCCGTAACCACCTATCCTCAGGGGAGCCGGCTTCGATGCCCAGCCGCGATTCGATTGTGGCTGTCTGGCCGTCGTATACCAAACATCGAGAGGTTGTGAGTGAAGTCGTGCAGAGGCAGCAATGACGCTGTAGGCTGGGCCACCCTTGTCACGACGCTCGATCTTGGTCCGACCAAAGGCAAGCGCATCTTGGAGCTCTGCCTCTCCTACTTCGCTTGGCCATCGGGAACGAAAGACTACTCTTGAGCATCACCAAGTCGCACCTGAAGTCTCTCCACACGCGTCGCGCTCATCCCCCATGCAGCCCTGTGCAACGAGCGCCAAGGCAAACCACAAGCGAAACCTTACTCGCGCCAGCATCTCATCCACGGCAGCAACGTGAACGGCGTGCAAGTGCTATGGAGAACGGGAAACACGGCTTCGGACGGGCCTTCTATCGGCATGCCGTGTCGACGGCACAGATGCGACATGGCATCCATCGGGCAGGTGGCTCGGAACGCGACTACTGAGAACTGTTTTCCACTACGAATGCTGTTGGCGCCCCGCGTGTCCGCTTTCAACCCAATGCGCCGACGCCTGCATTTCCTGCTTATCATCGTGTTCTCTTGATATTCCTACAACATCATCGCTCGGACGAAGCAAGGGACCTGGGAGTGGTACATCTCTATAAGGACCAGCTGCCTGGTGGACTTTGGTTCCGAAGCCCTACTGCCTGAGAGTTGGACGTCCAAACATGCCCGCAAGCACAGATGAAAGGACGCCTCTCCTCCAATTCCCTGGATTATTCGCAATACAGCAACCCCCAAATCAGCCGGAGACAGAGACCTTGCCGAATGCCTATAACCAGTTCTGCTTCCTGGTAGGCAATCGACCATTAGAGCATCCACATACGAAGTCCTATACACCACCCAAGGATTCCCTGTATCACCGTGCAATCGAACATCGAAAGGCGCAGAGTAGGATGTATGCCTTCACCTCTGCTCTGACGAACACATTGCTGCTCTCTCAGATCGTGCTTGGAGCCTCCCTGACGGGCATGGGCGCGAGCGACTCACCTCGCTGGCTAATCACCGTGTTTGGCGCCCTGAACACCATCATAGCTGGACTGGTAGCTTTCTTGAAATCACGGGGCCAGCCAATGCGAGCAAGGATGTTTCGGGATGATCTAGATCGGGTCGTCGATGAGATTGACAACTCTGCCACAATGTGGAGAGGTATCAGCCAGGGAATACATGGATACGACGCGATCGATACGGATGAGGCCGTGACAGTGCGCAGTGAGGTGGCAAGGCTGACCAGATTGTATGATCGCGCTGTCAAGACGAACACTATCAACGATCCGGACTATTACGGTGGCGCGGGAATCAGCAGCGACTCTGCGAACTCTGGTCTTCGCAGCACTCGTTCTGCGCAACCACAACCTCAATATCCATCTGCACCAAACCCTTCAGCACCCGCTCAGGTTCCTGCTCCCATCTCGGCACCAGCTGCCGTGCCCGCAGCAGAGTCTCCACCTCTGCCTGATCCAGATGAGAGTCCGGCAACTAAAGCGCCTGCTCCTACTACACCTAAAGCGGAACTACCCCCAACAATCAACCACCCTCTTGACGGCACAGCAGACGCAGACACCGATCACCAAGAGTCTTCCACACCAGCACCAGCTTCAAATCCCGAGTCAAGTGTGGCCGCCGTCCAGAGTGTCTCATCGGATGCTGGCCCCCAAGCAAACAGTACAGCTCACGTCGTTGTCGTTGATCCCGATGCCAGCCCTGCCACCGCACATCGACCACCAGGAGCGGAACGGACAAAGTCGAACAAAGCAGGCAACAAGGCCAATGGGGACATGGCGCAAGAAGATCCACCAGTGAAGTGATATTATGCGAAGAGTGTCCACTGGGATGGTAATTGGCAGGGCATGCAACATGTGTGCAGTGCTTCAACGCATCTTAGTATTTGTTCACCTTTTTGCAGTGCTTTGCGTGTTGAGCGACAAAGGCGATCATGGCAATCATAATACAAACTTCTGCTCGATTCACTGTTGCGAAAGATCTGTCGTTTTCTTACATGCATTCCCTCGGTCTGGATCTAGGCACAACGTGATTCACTGCTGCTTCGCCATGAACTTTCCCGCTAAAAAAAAAAGTCGAAGGACCTATATGAAATTACTACCAATGCGGCCGTACCCAAAGATCTACAACCCAACCATGACTTCGCTTCCCAGATTCCACTACTTTGTGACCAATCCACAAGGCGCAGGAAACTTTCCTGAACCTCTTCATCCCTGTTGGAAATGCATTCCGGAAAAGGAAGAGCAACGGTGTTACGAAGCATTAATCAAAAACAAACCGTTCTCTTTCAACGGCCTCGAAGACCGTGCTACGAGTGTCTGGGTGGGAGGGAGGTACGGATCGGGAAAAAATGTGCGACCCGAGGAGATCGTAGGGATACCTTGGGTGAGTGGTGGACTTGGTGACAGAGAGCGCAATGATGTTGTGGCAGGCGGAGATGAGAAGAAAGCGGGCAGGAAGGCATGTCGGAGATGTAGGAGGAGTTGGGCGTATTAGTGGAGACGAGTTGTGTCGAGGTGGTTGAGGCTTCTTGCGAGGTGCTATGCTGTGCATGATTCTGTTTCTGAGTATTGGTTTCGGTATTGAGCAGTGTGGAGGAGTGAGAAGGTGTGATTCAGTGCAAAGCAGGAAGATGGTGTCTATGCAGTTGTGTGCAATTGCGACGCAACACACAATCATGACCCTGATGCACAGATGATGTCGATGCCAATGATGAGCGCCCAGAATGTGATGCTCGTGAAGTGAAGTCAAAGAATACGTTCCTGCATGTGAAGTGGGGAGCCAAAAGTGTGGTGGACCCTTGAATTGACAGGGATCAGTTGAACAATATTTGGGGAGGAACGCTTTCCGCAATGGTTCGATTTCGCGATTCTTGGTTTTATGCAACTTCGTTCGCTACTCGCACCAACAACATCTGCCATTGGGTTTCGACAACTTCTACACATACTCCCTCGATCTAGACCGTGCGGCGCAAAACGAGTTCAGGCGCCGAGAAGAGCGATTTCGAGAGCAACGACAGACATCCCGAGATTCGTGTCGTTGCGGTTTACAAATATGCCTGCGACGTTGAAAGAGTTTGAGGGCGTGTTCCCGAAGCTGGTGGAGGATCTTAAGGCGGAATGTCAGAAATACAAGTTGCCTGAGCAGGCATTGACTTGGTTCGAGAAGGTAGGAGCTTTCAACTACGCAGGAGCTTGAGGAGGTGCCATGCCGAGAGAGACGCAATGCGGAGCGAGCTCCATGGTGTGGAGATTGAAAGAGAGACAATGCAGTACTCTGCAGGAGATACATTGACAATACAGACGATCTGGAAATAGCTGACAACCACTTAACAGTCACTCTACCACAACACGCTCGGTGGAAAATGCAATCGCGGACTTTCAGTCATCGACACGACCCAGCTCCTCCTCGGCCGCAAACTCACCGACGAAGAGTTCTTTCACACTGCGCTGTTGGGCTGGTTCATCGAGCTCCTCCAAGCCTTCTTCCTCGTTTCCGACGATATCATGGACAGCTCGAAAACACGACGAGGCAATCCATGCTGGTACCTCATGCCTAATGTTGGCATGATTGCGATCAACGACGCTTTTATGCTCGAGAGCTCAATATACTTGCTTCTGAAGAAGTATTTCAAGAAAGAGAAGTACTATGTGGACGTCATCGAGTTGTTCCACGGTGTCACATTCCAGACGGAGTTGGGACAGACATGCGATCTCTTGACCGCACCGGAAGATCACGTTGATCTGGACAATTTCTCGCTGGAGAAGTACACATTCATTGTGATCTACAAGACTGCATACTACAGCTTCTACCTGCCAGTGGCTTTGGCCCTGCACTTCTCGGGCTTTGCTACTGAGAAGAACTTGAAGACTGCGGAGGACATTCTGATCCCAATGGGAGAATACTTCCAGGTGCAGGACGACTACCTGGACAACTTCGCCGACCCAGCCACGCTCGGCAAGATTGGCACAGATATTCAGGACAACAAGTGCTCGTGGCTCGTGAACCAGGCTTTGAAAATTGCCACACCTGAGCAGAGGAAAGTGCTTGAGGAGAACTATGGACAGAAGGACAGCAAGAAGGAGGCAGCAGTGAAGCAGCTATACAACGAGTTGGGCTTGGAGGGTATTTACCAGAAGTACGAGGAGGAGCGGGTCGCGGATATTCGCCAGAAGATTCAGGCTATTGACGAGAGCGAAGGACTCAAGAAGGAGGTGTTCGACGAGTTCTTGAGGAAGATCTACAAGCGAAGCAAGTAGAAATGTTTCAGCAGCTCGATGAATCATGTAGAAGCGGGTGAAGGCTTACAATGGCACAAGAGAGCTTGCTAGAGTATATAGAAGTTGTAACAGCGCAACAGAAGACTCAGGACCATCTTGCCGTCTCGAACGTGTTCCTCTTGTTGCAGGTGCCAAGACTTAGCTTCGTCCCGGCACGCGCCTGCGACTTTGACTCGAGACGCGTTTGTTTGCATTTCATTACCAAGACCGAACTGATCAACCACATTATGCGCCACACCGCACACCGGCTTCACAATCGGCGCCGATAATAACACATACGGCGGCATCAGGTTGAGAAGGCAGAACGTCAGTTCTGCTGCTGATCACACCGACCAAAATGCTTTCGAGCGAACAAGAAGCTGAGCTGGTGGCACAGCTGCAGCAAGCAATCGCCGCCTGCAACGAGCGATGCCTCTACTTCGCAGCGCAATGGTCTGCAGAGCTTCTGAACTCATTCGAGGATCCCGCAGAACTCGCAGAAGGCGATGGATCCGATACTGAGATCGATGATGACGAGGCACCTTTGCCCACCATCCAGACCACCAATCGGGATCCAAAAGAAGTCCGACGGGAAGCCAAAGAGCTACCTCGCTATTTGATGGCAAAATCTTTCTTCGACTGTCGCGAGTTCGATCGCTGTGCTGCGGTCTTCTTGCCGAGTCAGGTTCCACATGCTGCTCCTTCGTACGAGACGGTTCATCCTTCTGATGTGAAGTCGACGCCAAAGAAGGATAAGAGGACGCCGCTTGGTTCAGCTGATGCTCGCGCGCAGAAGCTCAGGCGAGCACCGTTGCTGCAGACGCCGAAGAATCTGAGCCAGAAGTCTCTGTTTCTCGCGCTTTATGCGCGATATCTTTCGGGCGAGAAGCGAAAGAATGAAGAGTCGGAGACGATTCTAGGACCTCACGATGGCCCTCTTACTGCTAATAAGGAAGTGCCAGGCGTTGCGATCGTGCTCGAGGAGTACTTCAACGCGCGAGGCGGACTGGAGGACTTGAGCAATTCCGACGGGTGGCTGGACTACCTCTACGGCATTATCCTGATCAAGTCCAAGTCAGAGAGACTGGCTATGCAGTGGCTGTTGAGGAGCGTGAACTTGAACCCGTGGAACTGGTCGGCCTGGCTCGAGCTCGCATCACTAATAGAGAACCCTGAGCAGCTTGACGACACTTTCAAGGCCAGTCTACCAAAGAACATCATGACTTTCATCTTCATCATCTACTGCAGCCAGGAGCTCTTTCAACAGGACCCGCAGGTGTTTGACACATTGACCCGGATGCTGGACATCTTTCCACGCTCGGCGTTTCTGTTGCAGCAGAAAGCACTACTGCTCTATCATATGCGTGACTACGACACAGCTACAGCGCTCTTCGAAGAATTGCTTCGTAGGTTTCCTCATCGGCTGGACGCAATGGAAATATACAGCAATCTCCTCTACGTACTACAGAACAGACCAAAGCTGGCGACACTTGCGGCCATGGCAAGCGACACAGACAAGTTCAGGCCAGAGACAAACTGCATCTTGGGCAACTACTACAGTCTCATAGGCGAGCACGAAAAAGCTGTGCTGCATTTCCGACGTGCCCTTGCGCTCGATCGCAATTGCCAAACTGCCTGGACTCTGATGGGACACGAGTACATCGAACTCAAGAACAATCAGGCTGCAATCGAGTCATACAGACGAGCTGTAGATACGAATCGCAAGGACTACCGCGCATGGTACGGACTAGGCCAAGGTTACGAAATGCTCGAATGTCACAGCTACAGCTTATTCTACTACCAACGAGCAGCGGCGCTTTACCCTCTAGACCCGAAAATGTGGGCAGCCGTCGGACACGCCTTCAATCGCTGCAACAAGACCACAAACGCGATCCAGTCGTTCAAGAGAGCGCTCATCGCTGGCGCTCAAATGGACACGGGCGCAAGTTTTGGCAGCTCTAATACTGATCCACTCGCACAAGCAGTGGGAGGTGCACTTGACCCACAGATCCTTTGGGAGATTGCGTGTCTATACGAGCAGCAGAGCGATTGGGAGGAAGCTGCTGCATACATGGAGCTCACGCTTGCGCAAGAAGAGGGCGCGGACGAGGGCGAAGACGGCCTGGGTGTCACCCAGATCACAAGTCGTGCTCGGCTCTGGTTGGCAAGATGGAGTCATACTAGTGGGGACTGGCAGCGTACCATGGACCTCGCGAATGAGTTATGTCAAGACGGAATTGAGGTTGAGGAAGCCAAGAGTTTGATCAAGGACGTCAGAGCACAGTTGCAAGAAATGGACGAGGAGGGCGGCACAAGACGCACATTTAACAGAGGATCTGAGGAGCTATGATCAAGCGCACCACCTCGCGCTGCTTACCCTTTCTGGCCTTCCTGGTACTGACATTCGTAACTCGTATTGCAAGGAATAACAAGGAAGGATCTCAAACCTGTCTGACTAAGCATGCATGAAATCAAGCAACAACACACTTTCGACTTGCATCTGCAATTTGGACAACGTGGGGAAAAGGAAAAATGGCGCAACCTTTCGATCTTTCTTTAGGGCTGGAAGGAACACATGTGTTGATCACTGGAGGCTGCGGCTTGATCGGACGTGTTGTTGTCGAGGCTTTCTTGACCGCCGGCGCCAACGTCTCCGTTCTGGACCTTCCGGAAGCTATCGCCCAAAGGCAGTACTATGGCGCTCGACATAACTCTATACTCTTTGTTCCCGTCGACATCACACAAGCAGAATCTGTCAATGCAGCATTCTTGAAAGCGGAAGATGGCTTTGGCGCTGTGGAGTGTTGCGTCGCGCTGGCGAGCATGGATTTGAGCAGCTTGCAACAAACGGAAAGTATTTGTGATATGGATCCAAAAGTACGATCTCAATGCTTATCCTACAAGACTTTTGTCATGGCTGACAGAAAGCGCGCAGGTCTGGCAGAATGTCTTCAATGTCAACATCAATGGCACTTTCCTAACAGCTCAACGTTGGCTCCGCGGCATCCGCTCCGCCCTCGCAGATCCAATCGCAGCTTCTAACCTCCGCAACGTAAATCTCATCATTATGGGTTCAGAATCCGGCAAGTTTGGCGTCCGGACCATGGCCGCCTACTCTGCTGGAAAAGCCGCTGTGCAATATGGCCTCTTGCAATCTCTCGCCAAGGATGCTCCGAGAATCTATCTCAAAGCTCGCGTGAATGGCGTCGCCCCTGGTGCTGTTGACACGAGTCGTTTCAGAGAGGAGATCGCCAAGTTCGGTCCTCAGTGGGAGTATGAGGAGTCTGAAGCTACTGTTCCCATGGCCAAACCGGTTCGTACTGAGGACGTGGCGAGGACTTGTCTGTTCTTGGCGAGTGAGAAGTGGAGTGGAACCACGCATGGACAGCTACTGCATGTGGATGGAGGCAAGTGTGGAAGCCTGGTTTGGCAGCCTGGTGAGGCTCCGACGCGGAGACGTTAGAGTGTGGAATAGGTTGTAGTCGCTGGTCAGACTGGGATAGATTCGACGGAAGCTCGTGGGCTCGCGCTCTCGGAAAATGCGAAATAGAAGAGTGGTCATTCACTTGAGCAAAGTCGTGTCGTTCTCAAATGCTCCTCGGATGCGGCGTGCATGTCGACTTGCGCTCTCACATCTGGTGCCAAGGCAGTCGTGCTATGCACAGAAGCAACTGTTGAGGCTGTACCTTAATCATCGACTATTCAGATCTTGACATACTGACATCAACAGATGAGGTGATTCGAGAAGCAACGCCTAGACATAAAGACCACAGGCTCAGAACTTATGTCATCAACAGCAAGCAATTCAACCTAGAGTGCGAAACAAAAACGCCGGGAGCCGGGTACATCACAACAACCGATTGATACATACACAGCGACGTGAAACATCATGATCCACCTGCAGTGCCACACCTGCCTCACCTTGACAATTGAAACTACAGTACATCGCTGCTCTAGATGCTTCCCTTGGCGCACGTGCTATCACGCAAAGCGAACCATCCTCTTGTCCTCAGAGCTCTCTCGGCACTTCCCTCTTCCGATCGGCCAGAACACTTCCAAACAATCCAATACATTGAATTCCCGCAAAGCAAAGCATTGCGATCGCACTCCAGCTGTCCGACAGTACAACCTCACCCCGCGATTGTGTGTGCGTATCCCACCTGCTTAATGGAGCCAAGCGGCCAAGGCAAACTTCCGAACGAACAAGCTTAAACGTCTTAAGCTTGACATCCTACAGGTTCGCTGCATGTGCTCGAGAATGTGCCATGTTGATAGCTTCGTGCAGGTGGTGGAGAATGCAGTCGATCGAAGCACGCAATATGAGGTATATTGGCGTGCTAGAACGAAGTGCTGATGAAGAGATTTACGGATTTGTGATTTTGAAGATCTAATCGCCAAGTCTTTGGAAATAGAGGCGTGAGAAATTAGCATCGTTCGCAAAGCGAACATCTCTTGGTAAGGCTGAGAGTTTTCTTTGTCAACATTTGCCAACACAGTATTCGATCAGCGATGAATGCTTGTTCAGAGGCTGGTCAGCACAATTCTATGCTGACCTATCTCGTTGCGGAGAGCGGTCGAGCTTCCAAGCTGTCGGAATGCCTCGGTCTGGACCCGGTAGTTGTGGCAAAGCAGGTACTGCTATAGCAACTCAACAGCTTTCCAAGTTGAGCTATGCAAGCAACTCAAACGGCGTTTTCCCGTAAGTGGACGCTACCGTCTCCGCGTGCTGCACTCGGTGTTGATCCAAGATTCCTGATTGGTCTGACATGGCCATCTTCGCTGCACAGTTCTGCGCTTTGCGATGGAGCGACACCAAGAGTGTGGAGCTGGGAAACGGTTCCATGCCTAGGAAAACCAAGTCCTAGATCTCATGTATAGCAGTCTTAGCCCGGCCGAACGAGCAGGTCGTGGGTCCGTTGCTTGAGCACAATACTCCGAAAATCCCGCTATACTTATCCTACTTCCCAGTCCGGTTGCAAGAGTGCATATGAGAGCCTCTACTACTCTTGCTCCTTCTTTGCTGACCAAAGGAAGATCACTCATTCGGAGATTGTCGAGATGGCGGAATACTACATGCCTGCCGACATGGCGCTGATCAAGCGTGTGATGACTGCCCATGGAGTTGTGGCTTCTCTGTCCTGGGCTGTGGTCATGCCGCTTGGCGCCATTGCTATGCGAAAGGTGCCTTCGAGTAAGGCGTGGTTGATGCATGCCGCCATCATGACCCTCGGACTGTTGATGTGGACATCTGCATTCGCAATGGGTCTCTGGGATGTGGCACAATGGAAATCAGATGTATGTGGTCCAATATGGTAGTCTTTGTGAAGTTGAAATTGACAGTATTGCAGGTCAGCAAATTCATGCACACCATCATCGGAACGGCCGTCTTCGCTTTCGCCTGGCTGCAACCCATCCTCGGAGTAGCACACCATTACATGTGGGCAAAGACACACAAGCGCACTTTGGTCTCCGCCCTCCATGTCTATTTCGGCCGCTTGCTCATCAGCGTCAGCATGGTCAACGGAGCTATTGGGTTGTCCATGGCAAATATCGAAGGACCGAAGAAGTGGGCGTATGGTGTGCTGGTCGCATTGATTTGGATCGCCTACACCATGGTCAGCCTCGATTGGGACGTCAAGCGAGACAACCAAGGCCAATGGGCTCTGAGAAGGCTTCAGGATCCAATCAGCTCGCGCTCCAGCAAGGATCAGGTGTCGGTTATTAAGTCTGAATTGTCGTAGTGGGGACGGAGAATATGAGTGTTTACAGATGGAAAACAAGATACCAGGAATGAGAATCCTTTTCCACGGAGTTACGTCGGCTCGGACTTTTCGGCATGGTGATGCCTATGTTGTGCCAGTGTTCAAATGCGTTGAGATCCAGAGAATGACTGTCTCCCAGTACGCGTCCTTTGCTGAAATTAGAGGCCGATCTTTGAATCATTGCGAGCAGCCTTCCGCAAATTGTCAGAGACAGGGTATGTTTGGTTCCCTTCTCCGATATTCTTACTGTTCACAGAGCCGCCGGGTGTTCATCTAGGTCCCAACAAGCCTCCGACAGATGTACAGAGACAATGAGGACGGGGCTATTCTCTGGAATCCGTGCGCACCAAAGCGTCAACCCGTATCAAGCAGGTCGCGATGAGCTTACCGTAGAGTTGCAGAGATACTGGAGACTCCTGAGTTGTCGTCCTGGTGCAGAGGATCACCTGCGACTTGCGGACATGTTAAAGTCCCTTCATGCCACACCTATCATATCAACAACTTCTCTCAACGCTTTAAATCTCGTATGCTGTACGTGTTGATGCTTGTGGGACCCCCGTGACGATAAGAGGATGTCAAGATAGCGGTCCAGATCGCTCTTCCCTATCATGAGCCGTGGATCGCGACTCGTCTGACCGAGGTGCTGTGTCTCTGATACGAGTATTCGAGCAATTCTCATCTGATGAACCATGTAAGCATTTGCATAAATGTTACAGTTGCTTCTGGCGCCAGAACCTACAGCTTGAGCATACGCCCTGGTATGGTAACTGGCCCACATGTCCATTTGATCGGGAAACAATCGCAGAAGTGCGAAGAACGAAGACATTGCTTCGTGCGTCGCATCGATAGCGCCATGGATGTCCAGAAGAACGCCAGCCTCGAGATTTTGATCCAGATAGAGTACCGTCAACACCCCAAAGAAGCTACTGGAGACGGTGATCAGTTGTCGCGCCAGCCGTAAATCGCCAAACTCGAAACGCTTCGGGCTCTGAGAGTTGAATGGCGGCCTCCAACTCTCGTACATCTCACGGTATTGAGATATTATGGTCTCCTTGTGGTAGGAGCTGCTGGCGATGGGACCCTCCGTGGCTCGAGGGTTGCAAATGTGCTCTTTGACGAATGTTGCCCACTGCCACATCGCAGACTCGTAATCCAAGTCATGATCAGAATCTACAAAGTCAGTTGGGAGAGCTTGAGTTTCTCTGAGCGTACTTACGATGACCGAGCTCGTCAATCTGGGCACGCATGTCGATGCAGTGTATCACTGATGGAGGTAAGTCAAGATGGTACGCGATACTGACATCTTGAACAACCACAGCCTGCCAAAGTCTTCGCCGGAGAATGCTGTCCCGATGTGAAGTGGAATTACGATGGAGACGAAGAGCGTATGCCTGGCGTACCAGAATCCCAGAGAAGGTCCAGGCCTCCGAGACACGATTCGTATTGATGAGCAAGTAGCCAATCAAGAGTATGACTTGTGCCGTTTCCAACGAGAACTGGCTCAGATACGAGCATAGACACAGGCACTGATGACTCGCTGAAAGGTAAAGATCTGACAGGCTGGCCCGCTCCTCCGGCTCAACTTCTGGAATGAAGAATGCACCTGCGGCATAAATGATAAAGTGCAGTGCTAGCTTGGCTGCGTTGTAGCTATGCTTCTCCTCAAACGACAAATGCTGGAAATGCTCGACTTCTGCAATGATGTGGCCTCGCGATAGCATTGGATAAAGGGGATCGACGGAATCGAAGTAGCTGGCGACCAGTTGCAGGGCTCGCGGCCGATCCGGTAATATCGAAACCACTTCAGCGAGGCCACCGTCTTTGGTCCAATAATTGTGGAAAGGATGACCGAGCTCAACGCCGCTTTGAAAGGCACCTAGGCACGGGATCTCTGCCGATCGTGGGGTCGCTGCTAAGGAGATCTCGTCAAACACAGCAGCCTGACGAGGCTCGCGTGATGTAGAGATCTCGCCAAGGAAAGGTTCAGGCAGAGGCAGTAGGTCCACCATGTCATGGGAGGGAGATCTCGAGTAGGAGGAGATAGATCGTCTCTCTTTGGGCAGTTCGGGTCCCAGCGATCGAAGCATATTGGCGACGTCCGTGTAGCTGCAGGCGGTCTGGCGTCGAATGCTGCGTGCATGATCAGCATTTTTCTACATGAAAGATGTTTTTGATCAGGGGCCGAGTACCATTGCCTGCACTTCGGTCGATCTCTGCTGCATCTGGTCTTTCGAGAGGTGCAAGCGCCGCAAGTCAACGTGGGCTTGTTCCGCGTCACCTTGGGTCGTGGCGTAGGCTTTGTCGAGGGCTCCGGACAGTTCATTTGAGCGTGAGGATCCATGCTGGCGCCTAATAGCCAAGTGAATCTCAGTAATTGGACCTGCAAACTCGAATGTCCCTTCGCAATCGTATCTCTGCCTTGTGCAGCGTATCTCAGGCACTCTGGTGAGCGAAGCGACGCAGTCGCAGGATCAAGTTCGTGGCGAAGCGTCAAGAAGCCTGTATGTTACCTAGTCCCCGTCCTGTCGACCGGAGGTAGCCATATTCAGAACAATATGCAGGTGCCACACGGGTCACGATGTGGTGGTCTAGAGAAAGTGCAGGTGATGAGAAACGACCTGGAACGACAGGAATGCGGGGAAAAGCGGGGAAATCCGGGGTAGGACAAGAACATCACCTCTTTCACAAACTCGTCAAATTCACTATTGGACGGATATAATGTGTACATACACCAGATACAGATCATAGCCTCATTTTTGTGACGCCGCCGCCTCTTCGGTCATCAAAGCTCGCGAGTCGAGCGAGGGAACGAGATTCCCCTTTCTTTCCACACTGCTCTCCGGCAACTCCTCTGAGGACGAAACAGCCGCTCATCTCCGCTCGACGGCTTCAGTCAAATAATTCCAACGGAGATCGGAGAACCGAGATGACTGCTCGACATGGCAAAGAGCTTTCTCATTCTGAGACTACATAATCACTCCAATTTCCGATTCTGCTCTAGAACGGAAGCGTAATCGGAGGAATCGTGCCAATACCGAGATCAGGCAGAATCGGTGGCCTCACTGGCATGCCCAGTACCTCAGTCGGGACAGTCAGGTATGCAGGCAAGCCAATGATCTGACAATCCTGAGTGTCGATAAGTCCGTCAACGTAAATGTCGGTCTTGACGGGCACGGGCACGCCGAGTGCTCCCACGCCGAAAGTCTGGTGGCATCAAGGTTACTAAATGGTGATCAATGTTGGGAAAATGTGGATGCTTACAACCACGGCGTCCATGATCGTTGTTCCATTGTCAAAAGCGGTGTATTCTGTCACCACGTTCGCAACGGCTTGTCGTGCTGCATTGGCAATGTTCTTGGCACCTTGGGCGCCAGGGCCAAGTCGCAAACATGGTGCTCCGTTGATGCAGCTAGTTTGGTCAGTTCGGAGTCCCGTTGAAATGGCGTTCTTCCAAAACACTCACAAATCAATAAATCCGTTTGGCTGGTACTGTCAGCATGAGCATGGTGCAAATACAATGGATTTTACTCGCCTTGAATGGTGCATTTTGTATTGTAGCAAAAGACCTCGCTGGATCAGGGTCGTTGAATGCCTCAATGATATTCGTCGCAATTTGCAGTCTTTTCTCTCTAGTGCATGGGATGGGCGCTGGGTATGGCGCGCCGCCTGGGACTGTGACAGTGATGGGTGTTGCTCCGACGAGCATGGAGCCAGCAAGGGCAACGCAGGTAAGGGTGCGAAGCATTTTGATGTCGAAGAAAGTTGGAAGGTGCGATCGAATAATGGCCCTTGAAGTGAATGAGGCGAGTGTCCAAAAGCAAAGCTACCTTTCGCACGGCGAGTTAGCTCTTTAAGTAGATTACTGCAATACTCGTGTGTCTACAGACCTTCATGATAATTGCCCGCTCCTGCGTGTGATTCAGCCCACTACGTGCCCTGGCGCGAAGATGTGCAGACTACTTGCCAAATTGGGGCAGTGGCACTGACGGAAATTATACGGGCCAAGACAATTCTGGAGGAAGCCAGTACGAACTCGACAAGTCGAAGTATGAGACCCTTCTCGTGCAATTGTGAACTGCCGGCTCTGCTATTGAGAGGACGAGTCACACTTTCCTCGTGTACTTTGCGTCACTTTTTACTCCGCGTGGCTCTGGAACGGGCGCGGAAACACAATACTTTCTCTCAGAGTGGCTTGAACAGGGCAGCGGAAATAGAGTGGGTGCCAGATGATCGACATGTTGATCGCCACAAATGGTGCATCTAGTATCACTAGTGTGTGGGGTATAGATTCAAGCTTTCTTAGGGAACAGGTCGGAGCTGTCACATTCTGTCGCGACTCAGTAAGCAAGACACGTCCTCTATCGACTTCATCGGACAGGAAAGCCGAATCAACTTACCCAGAACAACAGTATTTCCTCGTTTGCTCTCAAAATCTTCCAACCTGCGTCCCGGTCACCACAATGTCTTCGGCAAAGCGTCGCGTAGAACAGGTCTCCGGCCATGTCCAGAATCCGGATCGATCACCTAAAATAATATGCCAAACAAAAGAGCATTCGAAAGGCAACACCGTGGCCACCATCACTTTCCACAACCCAGCCAAGCTCAACACCGCAAGTAACCAGCTCCAGAACGAGCTGATAGAAGTGTGCGAAAGACTCAGCAAGGACGAAACTCTCCGCGTGGTCGTCCTGACAGGTGCTCCACCTCTGGCTGCTGGCAAAGCCCCGGCGTTCATTGGAGGCGCCGATATCCAGGAATTGAGTCGCCTAAGCTCTTCTGACGATGCTCGAAAATACATCACTCAGATCCACAAGACATGTCTCGCAATTCAGAATATTCCAGTTCCGGTCATCGCTCGCGTCCATGGATATGCCCTTGGCGCTGGTCTCGAAATCATGGCGGCCTGCGATCTAAGAGTCGCAACCCGAGCTAGCAAATTCGGTATGCCAGAGCCCAAAATTGGACTGCCTTCTGTGGCCGAAGCTGCCCTTTTTCCCAGCATGATCGGCATCGGTCGAACGAAACGACTCGTATATCTTGGCGAAGATATTCCTGCAGATGAGGCATTGTCATGGGGCTTGATTGAGCGTGTCGTTGGCAACGAGGCTGAGCTTGATACGGCGGTCAAGGAGTGGGTGGACAGGCTAGTTACGATGGGTCCTCAAATCCTTCGGGTTCAGAAGCGTCTTGTAACCAAGTGGGAGAATAGCACGCTGGCTGAAGGTATTGAGGCTGGTGTAGAGACCTTGGCCGAGGTATACGAGGATGGCGGCTCGATAGCGAAGAAGATGATGGCGCCTCTGCTGAAGAAGTGAAATTGGTCAATGGAAATATAGAGCATCCGCCACGCCGGCTTCACGCTTTTGTGTTCCCGGAGCTTGCACATAGCAGTCTGATAGAGCATCGCAAATAGCAGTCAGAGCTACAACACTTCATTGCCACCGCGAGTCGGTAGTTTCGAGGCCATCACAGTGTTTTCATGGGCGCCTTGTTCAGTCCAGACATCCTCTGTCGCCATGCTCAATGCAGTCAGAAACTCGGGCGCCTTTCTTCGCCTGGTCGTGTGGATATGAACCGAGAACAATTGTTTTGAAGTTCTGTCTGTCATCTACTCGTTGGGCTCCGTCATTTCCGGCAGGTGCGGATTCTGATGAGGCTTTCATGGACTGTAATGAATATTTGACTTTGACCGCGCGGAACAACAGAACGTTGCAACGCGTGCCACATTTCACACGCGACGCACATACATCTCCGTTACATAACTCACGATGATACTTTATGCAAGTCACCACCTTGCGCATGAGCTTCCCGACCGCATATAGCTCAAGCAGCTGTTGACTGCTCGGAACTTGGGACAGGTAGTACAATGCGAATGCTCCTACCCTATATTGTGTGGCGCGAGCTACGGAAGAAAGGTGGAAATAAGGAAGCCTATCATCGTTCTGTGATCAACGACCACAACTGCCAGACGGGAGATGGACATGGTTCCAGCGCGTCGGAACGGTTAGTGGTCTCAGGGTACTTTGGCAACCTCAGGTGAACTTCTCATGCAAGCTGTCGAAAGTCCGCAGACTGAAGCGAGCTTACAATGGCACAAACCATGAGAGCTGCGCAATATCACAAGGTACCTGTCCAAGAGCAAGGCGTCAAGTCTCTCACTAACATACTCGCCAGGAAAGTGGCAAGGTGCTCATTCGACGAATACCAATACCCGAGCCTGAAGATGGCCAATTCCAAGTCAAAATCGTGGCCGCATCGCTTTGCCACTCGGATCTCATGATGGACCAGCGACCTGACAGTTTGAAACACCAACCGCTTACGATAGGCCACGAGGGTGTTGGGATCATCTCAAAGATTCATCCTTCTGCTGAAAACAAGGGCTTCAAGGTTGGCGATAAGGTCGGCATGCTTACCATCATAGACTCTTGCTTTGCTTGCGAAGGCTGTGTGGTGCACGCTACCTTTTGCACTGCAGCCAAGAACGGTGGACCGAAGATTCAAGGACTCCAGGCTGATGGCGTGTTCGCGGATTATGCGGTGACCGATTGGCAGAATTGCATTCACTTGCCCGAGAACCTGCCAATAGAGAGAGCTAGCCCGCTGTTCTGCGCAGGTATTACAGGCAGGTCTCTCTATCCCTCAATTGCAATGCATCGTATCGGCAGGCGAAACATCATTTTCCGCCAAGCTAATAATGTCTAGCTTTCCACGCCGTCAACAAGTGCGAGTTACAGCCAGGTCAGTGGCTAGCAGTCGTGGGCTGTGGAGGGCTTGGACAGCTTGCCATTCAGTACGGAAAGGCAATGGGTCTGAAGGTGATTGGCCTGGACATCAACGACCATATGCTGGAGACAGCTACCAAGAACGGGGCGAATGCGACATATAATCCGCGCAAAGATCCGAAATTCTTCAAAGCCATCAGGAAGCTTACCGGTATTCGCGGCTGCCACGCGGCGGCTGTCTTCAGTGATTCAAATGCTGCATATGCTACAGGTATCAGAAGTCTGACCTTCAACGGACTACTGATGGTAGTAGGAATGCCGGACAAGCCTCTCGAACTTCCTGCATTTGCTGTCTCGACGAATTTGTATCGCGTAAAGGGCGCAAGCAATGGAACGGCGGCGGAGTTGAAGGTGGCTGTTGATTTCACTGCCCGGCATGGCATCATCCCGAATTGCGAGTTTCGAGCATTGGATGAGATGCCTCAAATGTGGGAAGAGATGGCACAGGGCAAAGCGAAGAGAAAGCTGGTAGTTTTGTTTGCTAACGAGAAGTCCAAAATGTGATCCATTTCGACTCCTCAGAAACGTTCCTTCTGTAGCAAGATGTTAACAGTAGATTTTCAATTCGGTTGTGTCTCGAGCCATATATTTGATGTCGTTGCTGCTGGCTCAATTGAATGAACTGCTGGAATATCGACCATCATCGCTAATAAAGCGCGTTTCGTTTTGGGAGAGAACGAGAACAAATTGACATGTGCCTCACGAAATCGTCCCACACCTTCCCGTGACGACTCTTCCCACCTGCCATACTCACGTGCCAACACTTCGACACGGCGAACGGCGAGCTCCACCAGCTCACACAAACCAGATACCCACACACAGACATATCACCCTCCACTTCCCCTTCTCCCCTCCTCCCTCTCAAATTCATGGAAATCCTCCACCACGTCGCTTCCCTCTACCACAGCGTCAGCCACATCAAACACACGCTCGGCACAGCCCACGACGAAATGTCCAGTTCCGCTTTCCACCGCGCCACAGAAACGGTCGAGTTTCTACGCCTCAAATTGCCCGAGCAATTGGCACGGCCGCGCGTCGCGATTGTGTGTGGAAGTGGGCTAGGCGGGCTGGCGAAGACGGTGAATCCTGGCACGACCGAGGTGTGGGAATACAAGGATGTGCCGAATTTTCCGTTGAGTACAGGTGAGTTTGTGAAGTATTGAATGGATTCCTTACGGCCGCATTTTACGCTCTGGAGGAGAGATTGAACAGAGGTGAAAAGTGTGTTGGTGGGAGATTGGGCACTGATTCGATTTGAAATGCAGTACCTGGCCATGAAGGCAAGCTAGTATTTGGAACTATGGGACCCCAGGGTAATGAGATCCCAGTGGTACTACTCGTGGGAAGGGCACAGTCAGTAGCGACCCTATATAGCCCCTCTATCGATCAACGAGCGCTCATTCCTTTCTTAGTTTCTACGAAGGTCACTCCATGGAAGATGCATCATTCGCCACCCGCGTCTGCAAAGTTCTTGGTGTCGAAACCATCATCTTGACGAATGCTGCGGGCGGGTTGAATCCCGAGTACAGTGTCGGCGATTTGGTCTTGCTGAACGACCACCTCAATCTTGCAGGTCTAGTGGGCTTCCACCCGCTGCGAGGCGCCAACGAGGAAGAGTTCGGGGTTCGCTTTCCGCCCCTGAGTGATGCATACGACATTCACCTACGCCAGCTTGCCCATCGAAGCTGGAATGACTTGCGTCAGGAAAGCCCCAGTCAACGCAGGATGCACGAAGGTGTGTATGCCTTTGTTGCAGGGCCGACGTACGAGACGCGAGCAGAGTGCAGGATGTTGCGGAATTTGGGTGCAGATGTGGTCGGCATGAGCACTGTTCCCGAGATCGTCACCGCGAGACACTCCGGCCTGCGAGTGCTCGCTTTCAGTCTGGTGACGAACAAATCGGTGCTGGAGCCGACAGTACGCGCAGACCATCCAGAGCTGCAAGGGTTGAGCAGAGAAGAGCTCGATCGGCACCTTGGTCAGGGTGCCGCCAACCATGAGGAAGTGCTCGAGGCTGGCCGAGAAGCGGCTTTGGACATGCAAAACCTCGTGCTGCGTATTGTCACGCAGTTGTGAAGCTGCCATGAGGGCATTGTAGATGAGCATAGCGCCAGGCTTCTCTCGGCGTAGAGCGTGAACGCCAAGGATAGACAGCACACAGTGGACATTGCTGTCTCATCCAGAACCTTTCTTGACGCCAGCCTTGCGCTTCTCTTTTAGTGCCTTGTAGAATGCCTTCTTGCCATTCGTCTTCTTGTCTTGGATCTGGCCGTACTTGTTCTTGAAACGACCAGTCTCGTGTTCGCCGGCAAGCACTTCTTCTGCGAAGGTCCTCTTGCGCTTCTTGTTCTCAATGCGGCCACTGAAGAACTCTGTCGCACCCTCTTTGATGGTACCAACCTGACTGTACTCTGGTGCCTTCATCTTGCCATTCTCTTTCTTGTAATGACGATGCGGATCAAGCACATTTCGCATTTTGATAAGCTGAAGGTCGCGTTTGAGTTCGGGCGTAAGCTCGGTCTTCGGCAGGTTGTACCAGTTGCTTCCAGCAGTGGCTTTCTTTTTCTGCATCCTGTCAGTGGTTGCACTGCATCAAGAGCGATCGAACAGCGATGGAGATGGATGTTGGCTCAGAGTAACTATGATTATAAAACTCTCAGTGGTGCAGAAAGGCAACCAAGACGGTGCCCGAACTCTGCTCAAGGAGAAAAGATTGGGAATATTTTCCTCATAGCCAAGGTAGTGTGCGAAAAGTGCCTGGGAACGTACCTCTTCTGCAGTCTTTTTTGCGACAACTGGATCCTCGACTTTGCGAATCTGTTGGCTGCGATACTTCTCCTCGACGAGACGCAAAGAGTCGATCGTCGCGACATGGCGGTTCGTGGAGACGTAAGGCTTCGGAAGATCTCCAGTTTCGAGCTTCGGAAAGGTGATGCCTTTGGACTCGTTCTGCTGAATTAGCTGCATGTCTTTCGCCTGTGCTTGCAGTCGGGCTGTGGCGGCTGCAAGCTCTTGCTCAATCTGCTCGTCTGTCAGGTCATCCTCTGGACCTGACGAGGCCTTGACAGGCTGTTGCAGCGCTGTTGCCATGATTGCGGTGGTGTGACAACACTACCTCCGGTTGTGCGTGAGGAAGAAAGTTGCGTGAGAAGTTGCCAAAGAGAATAGCTTGCCGCACTAGCGCCGACGCCAAGAGTCCGAACTTCAGCCGAGAACTGCCTCCTGCCATCGCGCTGACCTTCATCAATGATCTTCTGACACTTCGTCACTCCATATCCTGCATCGCCGGTAACGACTATGATGTCCAACTGCCAAAACTTGTTTTTCCGAGGCACACAATTCCATTGTCCGTTCGAATGCTACGAAGCTGGCACGGTAGCACAGAAGGAAAGATCATTGCCGTGCTCTGAGGCTGTATGCGTTTTCCCTCGAAAATGCCCTCTGGATTTGTCAAAGCCTGAACTATTCTGAGACCCTCCTCCTCGCCGCGTTCGCACACTGTTCTTCGAATGGCCAGACTCTCGACCTTACGCTATGAGAGAGCCGACATCATGTATCGAAGCTCCACGCGAGAGCCTACTCCGGCGTCATGTGTGGCACTCAACTTGCGACACTGACGCGGGTCCATTCTCGTTCATTTCTCCCGTGGCTTGACTGTTGCCCGCTCTGCCGACTTTGCTCTCGCTCTTCGAGTAACCCAGCCCTGCTCCCTGCGCCTTTCTGGACTCTTTCGAACGTCGACGAGCGGCTTCTATCTTCGGGCGAAGGACTGGCCAGACGTACCAGTATAGTGGGCTCAGTATTACACGAGCCACGGTGAGATCGCTGTCCACTGTCAGTTCCTACATCTGTCTTCGCACCACTTTGCTTACATCCAGAGCCCCAACGGCCATCCCAGGATTCGTGGAGTATATCCAGTCACCAATGTGACAATCGCCGTAGTCGCAAACAACCAGAAGAAAGCCGCAATGCTTGCTCGTCCCATGGTCTTGGTTCAGACTCTCCTTCCTACTCACAGTGTCGGTATCTGGCTGTTTCCGAGGTCGCGTGGGACTGGAAGTATAAGACTGACAATGTGCAAGTGCGGAACGCTGGTGTTCATGGATCCCTGCACCATTCTCTTTCTTCAAGTTTCTGGGCACTGGCAATGAGCTAGGGGTGTACCCTTGTGGGCACGCACCTTATTTCGCGGATGCACAATTGCAGAGTATCACAAAAAACGATGACCTCAAGGAGCGAACATTGCACTTTGGCAGAATGACACGCTTTCATTCTGCGGTACACTGACTTCCGACAGGCCGACTTATTATCTCCTCATGACAGACCACAACACATATGCTATGCTCCGCCCAGCTTCACCTCCGCATCAACGCATACACGGAACTCTCGCGGCTGCTGCATACGCAGTCCACAGCGGTAATGGCTCTCCGCATTGCTCTGAGATCCAGCCATCATCTGCGTTGCATTTCTTATTGATGAATGAGTGATTAGCTTGCATGGCACTGAAGCGAGATTGAGCAACAGCTCAATTGGGCGCAAGCTGACATAAACAGAGTTCACAAACCTCACCTGGTCCTTGACAAGCTTTCAACCTTGGCAGGAACAGCTTCAGGAGCCGTGCAACCAACACTCAAAAATCAACCATCTCATCTCCGATATCGAACGGCATTCGCTGTGTCACTTCACCACACAGGGTGCAGAGCAAGAAAGCCATGCTAACGACCCATGAACTACCTTAAGCGAAGCATGGAACATCTAAACGAATGCCAGCAAGCAGAGCCTCGAGAATCGATCACGGCCGCCTGCCGGCAGCCAGAGCGATCCGTATCGCTTATTGCGTTTCTGTGGCTGCTGAGAAATTCTACCTTCTTCCCCCATACCCTACCTACAGACCAAGTCTTAACTTTACGCCCTTCCTCACATTGCGCGCACCTGTCGCAATCAACTTCTACTTGCATTCCTGTCACTCGTTCACTAAACATCTGCACTGCGGATGTAACATTGTACCATAATGCGTTTTCACAGATTGCTCGACTTTGCGCTTTTAGTTACCACGTTGGCAGTTCCAGCGCAGCAACACAGGCATGACGATACCCACAAGGTCGAAGACCATCATCACAAGCATGAAGGCACGAAGCGAAAGAGGCAGTGTTGCGACAACCTGAACCAGCCTGGCATCTATGACTATATTGTCGTAGGAAGTGGTCCAGGTGGCGGACCAGTCGCTTCCCGACTTGCTCGCGCCGGTTTCAGCGTTTTGCTTATCGAAGCTGGCACCGATACAAGCGGGTACCAGGACGTCCAAGTACCATCCTTCCATCCTCGAGCCTCCGAGTTGCCCAGGCAGCTATGGGTGAGTGCCAGTATCAGATTCTCAACGCTAATGCTAAACGCTCATGCTTCGACGACAGGCGTATTTTGTGGAACGTTACGAAGATCCAGTACAGCAGCTGCGCGACACCAAACAGGTCTATTTGGTTCCAGATGATCCTTCCTACTACGGGGCTCCATTCACGGGTGCTGGACACTGTCCTCCCGACCCTTTTGGAATCACCTATGTCCTGCCAAACGGCCGTTACTACACAGGCCAATATCCTCCTCCTGGGGCAATACGTCTTGGTCTGCTCTACGCACGAGGGTCTGCGCTCGGAGGTAGCACGCAAATGTCCGCAATGGCCATGGTCACACCTCACGAGGAGGACTGGGTGGGTCTTGGTGAGGTGACGGGTAATATTTCCACGTTCGATCCTCATATGATGCGTGAATACTTCGTCAAACTGGAGAACTGCAAGTACTTCCTCAACAGCGTACTCGGCCATGGCTTCAATGGGTGGCTGGACATTTCGCTGACGCGTGAGTTCTGTCTCTTGCTTGGCACCACTACCAGAGACATATTGACTTGACACGCAGCTCTTACACTGGTGCTTCGCGATTTGAAGCTTGCGTCTTTGATCGCCGCAGCTGCGTTGGCCGTAGGCAAGGTAAAGACCTCTCTGGCCACGGTCGCATCGACCGGTACAGCAAGGAGCACTATTGACAATTTCATAGGCTGGAGGCTTTCTTGGAGAATTGCTCACGAGTATAAGCGTCTTTGCGAACATCTTAGCAGCTGATCTCAACGCGCCCGGTCTCAGTAGAGATTACGCCGCCGACGTCTGGCAAGTACCAAATGCGGTCAGCCCGGATAGGCACAGCATCAGAAGTGGTAAGTAGGGCTTTGGAGTTATACAATTGTGTACATTGCTGAAGGTTTGTATAGGTGTCATCGACTTGATTCGCTCTACTGTACAAGAAGGCTACCCTCTCTATGTCCAGCTCGATACCATGGTGACGAAAGTTCTCATGGATACCAGCGGCCCCATCCCTCGAGCCTACGGAGTTCAGTATGAATATGGTCCGAACTTGGCCTACATGTCAACACTGTCAACGAAACAGCATGGTATTCCTGGCTATGCGTACGCAAGATACGATGTGATTCTTTCGGGCGGCGTGTTCGAAACACCGAGTAAGTTGCGTAGTCGAGTGCGCTGTATCGTTGACTTACTCACTCTTGTTCAGAACTTCTCAAACTTAGCGGTATTGGGCCAGCGGAGGAGCTGAGCTATTGGGGCATACCTGTCATCGCGAACCTTCCGGGAGTCGGTGCTAATATGCAAGATCGTTACGAGCTTGGTTCTGTTGGCCTTGCGACAACGCCATTTGCGGCGTTTAAGGATTGCAGGTACTCTGTCGAGCCAGATCCGTGCTTGGATGAATACAGAGCCGGCACAAATCCGGTGAGTATTGCTACATCACGTTTCAGTGGTGCGAGCCCGAGCTGACAGGTTTATAGGTCGACCAAGGGCCTTACGTGAGTAATGGATTGGTGAGTTGCTCGTACGCCATCGCCTTTTTACATCTCAACCACTGACCAATCCAACAGGCGGTCGGCACAACCCTGAGCACGTCAGTCAACGATGGCCCAACACCAGATATCTTCATTGTCGCAGTGCCAGCGTACTTTGCGGGCTATTACCCTGGCTATGCTACCTGTGCAACACTCGATGCCCTTCACTGGACATTCGTGATCCTGAAGATGAAGAGTCGTAATAATGCTGGCTATGTTCGTCTTCGCTCATTGGACCCTCTTGATCAAGCCGAAATCCAATTTAACAACTTCGCAATCGGTGGCGACCTGGACGCACAAGCTGTCGCAGAGGGAATTCAGCGCGCTAGAGACATCTACGACAGTGTTATCCCACTGGACGGCACTTTGACTGAAGTCGTCCCCGGTCTCCAATATCAAGGGTAAGTACTCGACCACGGCGTTCCCTACTTGTCACGTCGTTGAGCTATCATAAACTGACACTCCCGACAGAGCAGCTCTCATCCAATACATCCGCGACAACGCCTGGGGCCACCACGCCTGCTGCACGGCCAGACTCGGCGCCTACGGCGATCCTTTTGCAGTGGTAGACTTCGACTTCCGCGTGATGGGCGTTTCCGGCCTGCGCATCGTCGACGGTTCCGTCTGGGCAAAATCCATAGGTTACTACCCCACGGTTCCGCTGTACATGCTGAGCGAGCGGGCTGCCGACGTCATTCTTGGACAACAATCAGTGCCTCTGGGCCTGAACGACTTGAACAATTTCGAAGCCGGTGGTCCCGTCGGCACATTTGCTGCAGCGCTTGTGGGAACAGTGGGCGGACTTGCTGGTATGGGCGGTGACTCTGGGCAAGGTACAGGACTTTTGAACGGGCTGAAGGGTATCTTGGGTGTAAGTGACTCTCAATTGCCCCCCTTCCAACAAATATGAAGATACTGTGTTGTGTAACTGACCTCTCGAAGAAACGATGGAACGCATTCAGCCCTGCTGCATCCAAGCAATAATCCATCCTGCGCAGCGTTACATGCGCACGTCACACGATCGAAGAGTCACTATATAAGCTCGTCATCGATGAATCTCCGGAAATCACTCACAGATGTGCACTGTGCCGGAACGGCTTGGAAGAGATATCGAAGTATTCGATTGTGGCACTCGCTTTCAGTTGTGAAGAAAAATGCGGCACCATTCCTTCATGAAGTCACAGACGCCGTAAGGATCAAGCGGAGCGCCCTATCTAGACCACCGCCGTTATATACGTAGTGTAATATCTCTGTATGTAGCAAACAACGACATTGCAAAACCTTATCATATTTCAATGATTCAGAAGGTAAACAGAAAATGAAGTCTTGCGCGCCGGGAATAGTTTTATCGTGAAGAGGCAGAAAGAAGTGATTCTGTCCTCGTAGCGAACGTCTTCTCGTCGATAATGAAAGTGTTGATAGCTATAGTTACACCTGCGATTTCCACTCCTCGCTCGCGATACATCCCGCTCACTGAAGGTAAGGATTGTACGGCGTGCCATGCTGCAAAGCATACGCTAGCAGTCTCTTATTCGTACGCCACAGACACCATTTCAGAAGCATTGCGCCGCAAACACAGAGCCCCGCCATGGTGAACATCAGAATGAAAGCCATGATGTAGCGAGGCTCGTCAGATTGGATAAAGAAGTACGGGGCCATGACCTGGAAGCAATGGTTAGCAAATATAGTAAGATGAATGCAAAGAGGGAGAACATACATTGCCTGCTTGACCAAGAATATTGTTGATAGCGATGGAAGTACTCTTCTGCTCTGGGCTCTTCGACAGAGTGCCAGAAATCCAAGTCTGAATGAGAGGATTCGCGCCGAAGAGGCCGACGACGTAAATGAAAGACATGGCGTAGCGAGTGATGTTATGCGTAGTGGCCATACACACAATATAGCCGACCATTGCACAGGCAACAGGAGTTGCGAAATGCCAGCCACGGTCTTGCTTTCTGTCCGAGTGCCATGAAATGCACACAGCGGCAAAAGCTGCAAGGAAGTACGGCGGGAAGGTGATGACCAGGGTGACCACGCGCGAGTACCCGAAACCGCGGACGATGGCAGGGTAGAAGTTGGAGAAGCCATAAGCAGCCGAGATGGTGATGTTGATGAAGATGATGATCCAGAGTTTGTAATCCATGAGGGATAGCTTGACACCGCCCCAGATACTGGTCTTGATTTCGACTGAGGAAGCCAGTGTGACTCTGTCGGCGATGATTCGGGTCTCCGCGATACGTCGCATGTCCTCTGTCATGGTCCACATCGTGCTGCCGGTTCGTGAAGCTGGATAGTCTGGCAGCACGAGGCAAGCTACGACGCCGAAGACACCGCCACAAATTGCGAGGACGATGAACAGCCATTGCCAGCCAGCAACGCCATGTTTGCCTATTGAGTGGAATGTTAGCATCTGACTCAATAATGCTGTCCTGCACACACATACCTTCAAGAGAAGAAAACACAGCTGCAGCGATAAGCCCGGACAAACCATTGGCAATCGGCGTCCCGGTAGCCATGATTGCAATGCGGACACCAAGTTCGCGGCGAGTGTACCAGCAAGACAACAAGTAGATGGCTCCTGGAAAGAGCGGCGCCTCGACTAAACCCAAACAGAAGCGCACTGCAAGAAGTCCCTCGTAGCTTCTGACTCCAGCAACAGCGGCCGCGACACCAGACCAGATAAATGCACAGCATCCAAGGTACAGACTGGGCCGAACGTACGGGATGATCATGTTGGACGGCAGCTGACCGAGTACATATCCAGCGCTGAGAATCGAAACTGCGTTTCCGAATTGGTAGCCTGTGAGATTGAGGTCCTGATCCAGAGTGCTCAGGCGTGCTTGGCCGAGAGATGCTCGATCGAGGTAATTGGTGACATATAGGATCCAGAGAATAGGCACGAGTGTGCAGTCAAGCCGACGGACGAGTTTCTTCTCCAGAGTTCTCCAGTCGGCGATGCCCAGTCGGTCGATGATTTCCTCTGGACTGGGCAGCTCATCAGCAGAGAGGTATTTTGGCACATTCTCCAGCTCGATCGTGACACCATTTTCTTTCTTGTCCTTATTGATGATGGCATCAATGACCGAAGCACGTCGAGAAGGATTAGCTGATGCACGATTGACGGCTGAGCCTCTTCTGCTCTCCGGCGATTGAGCATCAGTCTTCTCGTTGGTTCCTCCTGACATACTGAGTTCTCTCGCGACTGTGCTGATGAAAAGAGGGAAAAGAGAACGACCGGGTGCTGAGGAGACTCAAGCACGCTCTGCTCGCGGCGGAGACAGTTATACTGCGCTCTCCAGACTCACTTACCCACTCAACTTGATACGACTTTCCCCATTCCCCACGGAGACGGTTTGCGGAGATGTGCGACCAAAGACCCATACTCAACGTGATGGTTACATTCTCACCCGGGGCATGTCCAAGAGTATCCCGTATTGCGCTCTCCACCAGCAATGCTTCGCCGATAGGTCATTGAAGTGAGAAAAGGTGGCAAATGAGATCAGGAACCTTGGCCATCTCTTGACATTGTACTCAAAAAGGCTGGCAAGAGCACAGAGTTGCAGAATAATCGGATTCGCGGGCTGGGCGACCAGTCTTACATATGAAGTCCTAAGACGCTAGACACCACATATCGATCATGTCTATGGGGACAATGCGGAATGGAGGAGCCGTAGAATCCCGATGTGCAAATCCGCCTCCAGTGGAAGGTGACAAGCCGCGGGATGTTGTGGAGTCCGCATACCACTCAGGTGATTTTTGCTTGGAAGTAGGGCGTGCAGCCCGTCTTGAGCAGCTTCGTATCCGCAATGCCTCGTTTGGTCGTCTCCCAAGAGATGTGGAGACTGTCTTAGCGTGGCTGTGCCATTCAGAAACTTCATCTGAATGGTGAACATGGTGACCATGGACTCACTTGGCAGGCGGCGGACTTCCTCTCGCGCAGATGCCATGGCTTGGTCAGTCCCATGTGCTTACTGTAGAATCCACATCGCGGTGAGCAGACCGGTGTCTCTCACTTTTGTATCATGCCCAATGTGCGGGCACTGCAAGCTTCAAGTCTTCAGGACGTGCCACCGGGCCGGACAATATGAACTTGTAACCCTCAGATTCGTCTTCGAATAGCTCCTTGTGCTTGGGGGGTAGAACATGAAGTTTTGAGGTTCGTGAATGTCGAAGAGGGATCGCCGACTACTAATATCAGTGGCTTGCCTTTACGGACTGATCGCGTTGTTGCTCCGTGATCGGAAGTTCACCTGCGAAGGCAGCGACATCGCAGTGGTCTGTTGTGGCAGGCGGAACGGAGTTTCAAGCAAATTGAGGCAAGAACATGGGAGACAATCTCTTCGCTTCTGATTGGCGCGATAGCACTCCACGCTAGCCGATAGCCCCATTTTTTGAATTGAATTTCATAGTACTGAATATTCAAAATCAGAATATACGACTCACGTCCAACGACAGAAATCAAGGAAACAAACAAGAACAGTCCATCAACAATTTCTGCAGCGGCAGCAACGCCCAATGCTACCTTCGATGACACCGACGGAACTCCAAAGTCGTTTGCACTGTGAACATATGTTGATTATTCAAACCGATTCTGATTATTCAAAATCCTATTCCATGCTCAGACGCTGTCTCGGGCGTACAGCAGGGCTCGCTGCTACTGCAATTACAACGAAAATGTCAGCGCCACCTTCTGGAGCAAGTTACTAAGTCTGAGAAGAGCGGCGGGGTTGTCAGTAGGTAGTCACTTGGTAGGTGGAACGGGACGATTTGGGGACTCTTCAGACGCGTCATTGAATCTTGATTATGATTGGCCTGATAAGAAACCACGCTAGCCGATAACCTCGAGAAGGTAGGCGGATCGAAACCGACTCGAGCTCTGTTCGTTTCTATAGTCAAATTCCAGCACACCTCATCTCCCATACCAGAGATCACAGCAAGAGATCGATATAGAAGAAGCTTAGAAGCATAGATGTATCTCCGTTTGCATAAAGGATACAGTAGGGTCATACAGAAGTTTTTTACATTGAGACAAGGACGGGGCAGACTGTTCAACAAAAGTACATTATGATGGATTTTGATCGTCCAGAGTATCGAACAAAGAACAGCAGACTGCGAGACAGGTAGGGTCTTGGCCTTGTCACGACTTCTTCGCTCGTGGGCGACTGCTCATCAGCTTCGCTGCCGCATCTGGATCGAAATAGAATTGTCCTCGCAGGTGCATACGTTGAGACTACGACTTCCATCTCCCCTCTTGCCTCTCATTCTCGTGTCTCGTTCTGCAAGTTGGAATTCTGATCGCCAGTCTGCAGAACCTACCATCCCTGCATCGCAGCAAGAATTCCCGTGGTCCATTGCATTGCATTGTATGGCTTCACTTCTATTTCCGCGTAAGCCTCTCAGCAGCTCATGCCAGCGATGGCCCCGGATTGAGCATGGCAGTCGTGCAGAGCGGTGAGAAGGATCTGATCCATCCGCTTGGGATTTCTCGGTTCTTGTTGAGGACGCGTCGCCGTTGAGCCTGCTGCTCAGCTGAAAGGGCTCGAGCTGCAATGCACGAAACAGGAAAGAGAAGAAGATGTGCAGTAGTTTAGACGGCGGAGCGGTGTGCCTTCACTTACACAGCGGCGTGGGAATTAAGGTTGTTGGGTTTTGCGTGTGCTCGATGCATGGCGTAGCGCTTCCTTCAACCAAACATGTGGTGATAAGCATGATGCATCTTCGTCGGTGCTGCTTCCGTTCGCAATTGCTATCCAGGTCGCTGGGTCTTGCCTGCCTTTGGACTTTCTCTGCTGCACATTAGCGGAGCGAAGAGCGGTGACGGTAGAAGAGAGAGAATGTATGTGTAGTCGAAGTCAAGTGTATTTACGGCAGCGAACCGAAACCGACCGACTCACAGATATCCATCTGTGGCGTACGCCTCTGTACCCTGCAGATCTGTCGCGCTTTCGTGGCGCACAGTGTGCACAGAGCAGAGATCTCCAGAGAGTGAACGTCACTCATCATATGTAGGGAAGCGAATAGCGCTGCCAGTAATAAGTGACCTCACCTCTACCATTGTATCGGTAAGCAAAGCAGAACATGACTTGCCTCATCAGATAAACAAGAATTGGACGTCTTCATTGCTTGTGTTGTCAATCCGATCGATGTCCGCGCCTACCACACCTTCCCAGCGGTGTCGCAACCGGCGGGCAGGACGGCACGCGTCAGTGTCGTGCAGCGAAAAGAATGGAGCCTTACCATCATACCATGCGCACTCCACGGCGTCTGTACGGAGCAAAATGTGCCTTCGACATGCAGGTACCTGTCCGCGCGAATCTCTCACATTTTCCAGTCGAACAACACACCAAAATCTCTCCAGGCCAGCTTTGCGGCCGCATATGCAAAAAAGAACTCGTCGGGTCAAAGCGACTTGGCGAATACTTCGAGTGGTAGAAGTGATGTCGATGATGTATGTGCAGCCCACGGGATCAGCGGGTGGCTGTCGGCACTGAATCGCGAGAGTTCAGAAGCACCCGCAGAAGGAAGTCTTCCGGCAACGGCAACGGCAAGCTGCAAATATGCAAGCTGCCGAAAACCTAGTTTAGGACTTTTGCTCTGGAGGCTGGTAGTGTAGCCAGGTTGGTCGGGTACGCACGGTGAAGAGTATAAACTATTGAACTGCATGTGGGTGAAGGTAAGTCGCCGGCTGCTGGGCCGAAGATATTCTGTTCGGTTCTCGGGCTGTGTACGAGGCCGGTCTGCTGGCAACGAGATGGGATAGAGTGTAGCGAAAGTGATGACACTCGATCGTTGAGAGTACATACAGTAGATTCGGGTCCATGGGTAGCTGAGTTGACAAAGTCCCTCTAAGCTCATCACAAGCTGATCGAAAGGTGAATTGCAGGGAAAACTTTCTCAAAGTCGACTTTCGATTGGCTTCTGGAGACAAATACTCGTCAAAGCTGATGCACGAAGTATTGTTTCACCCTATAGGTACATCGCATACGCTTGCCTGTAAGGAGTCGATCATTTCTAGAGCCGCATGGTTGAAGCAAATGCATGTCTACGATTGGTCGTTCGTTTTCTGCTTGGTTGCTGGTTGTTTACCAGCCCTGGATAATTTTGTAAACTTTGACATGCACATCGGGAGCCTGGCTCTTGACCGCTTGTGCGGTTGCTATATACAGTTCTTGCTTGCGTCTTCTCGGTTGCTGGAATTGGGCAGCAAATGTCGGGCCTGCATCCGACTTGGTGGGAGATGTGGACTTGCTGCTTGTTCAAGACGTCTTCTGGTAAGATCGGCCGTGCACTGCACTTTCTCCGCATCCGTGTTTCGAACCCCATGGCGTTGCTGATGTCGACTCGAGCTTATAGTGATTGAAGGGTCCGAATTGTGGCTATCGGGAGGTTTCTTGAAGCTGATCCGCAACCGGAGGAATCCGAGAGACAAGGATATGTGGCTCTGTCATCGACAATGTGAGGTTGATGCCTGCTGGTTGTCACTTTGCACAGCCCGCGGGCGCTCAAGCGGTTCCCATGTAAAACAGGGCAGCTATAGGGCAACGTGCAAGCAATTTCGCTGTCCGTTGCTATTGTTGTGAGTTCCAAAACAGGCAAGTTTGAACGTGATGTCAGATTCGTGCGTTCTAGACATGAGCTTGGACGACAACAAGATCCACTGAGGGGCTAGGTTGAGCAATGCTGCTCCACCCCAGGCGATCAGCAGGCGATGGCTCCCATATTATCGTGGAGAGCCAAACGGAGGGTTCAACGATCATAGCGCTTCTGTAGCGCCTTGAAAGACTCGCAGAGAACAAGTTCACGTCGGAGCGGCATCCGACGAGTGCTGCAGACCAAGCGATGCAATGCCGCATGTGATTGATGTTCGATGGCAGGCGAGTTGCAGCTTCCGTGCAAGGAACAAAGTCGGCGGCTCCACAAGAGCATGGTTCAAATACACGTTGAGGCGCACAAGAAGGATCGCGCTCGGTGGAGTACGAGCGTGGAGGGTCGCACACAATAGTGCTGTGCGGTGCGACGTTGAAAATGCCTCTCGTAATGATGAATGTGTTCAGCGCCCATCGTACGGCGAAATGCTGGCAAAGCATTTCGAGCGTTTAGTCAGTGAGAGAAGGTGGAACGTATGCAAAGTGACAAAAGACGTGCATGCGATACATCACAATGCCCTGGTCGTGAACTCACCTAGACCTGGCGATTGAACTGGTAGCTGGGAGCTGCTGTGGACGTGAAGTCAAGAAAAGCTCAACGCCTCAACCGCATACAGGTCCGAACAATTGGTGGTGAGACGTCGAACAAGTGCTGACGCATTGGGGTTGACGATCAAACCGGAAAGGTGATGCGTCGCGCCAATATGAGGTGCATGCAGGCCCTGCGGTCAGCGCTGCAACTCCGGTCTCGTGGGCAGCACATATGTAATGCGGTGCCTGGGCTGTACAGACCATGGGTCACATGTGTGGTCATGAGATCGAGTACTGCTGTCAGCGGTGTTCGCACTGCCCGTCAGCGCATGTCAGAGGTGTCGCCGAGTCCGCTACGGCGACTGGCTACGGCATGAGGCTGAGGAGGAAGCGTGAAGATAGCCGCGGCTGATGTCGGTTCCCAGTTCGGGGGCATTGTGATACTTGGTGCTCCGGCGTCGAAAAGCAGGCGACCCAAAAGGGAGGGGAGTTGGGTGTGGGCGATTCTTCTAGGCTGGTGGTTGGTGCTCCCACCGGTGTCTCGGATCTCGCAGTCAGCAGGCAGCGTGGTGCGACGACTGTGCTCGATGCTCGATGCGCTCGACGTAGCTGCGAGTGGAAGCGGCGGACGGCGCGGAGACGTCGGCGCTTCTCGCGACGCGTCGTCGCCGCTGACCTCCACCACAGCACTCCGCCGTCGACTCCCAGCAGTGGAGATGAGGGTCCGTTCTTGTGGGTGAAGCTGTTGGGCGGGCGCGTTGGTGACGGGATTCCTGGTGTCAAAAGATTCAGGAGGCCTCCGTCCGGTCGACTTGGCCGCGCTTCGGCAGGGAGGACAGCCCGGTCGTGTCGACCTCATCGCACCCCGGCCCTCGTCGTCTTTCCAGCTGCCGCGTAACACTAGCTCGCGAGCACGATCGGCGCCGTGTGCACGGAGGTGCGGTGCTGTGCCTCGACGGCAACGAACAACTGCCCTCGCCGTCCGCCTGGGCTCGGGGCGGCGGCTGACGATTTGCTGTCAGCGGCGGCGGTGGTGGTGAAGCACGCGGCGGCTGCTGTCGTCGCCGCTTTGGGAATTGGCATGTCGCGTGCGATGGATTGGGCAATGGCAAGAGGATCTCGACCCGCTGCCCAAGTTTGATGGGTGCTAGCCCGCTCGCTTGCGCTGAGCCAGCGCGTGTGGATGGAGGATGTTCCAGCGCGCATTGTTACCGCGCCCCCAGGACCAGGGGCGTACCCATGCCGGCCACGCTGCCTGTCCTGCGAGTTTCCGCTGCGCAGGCCCCCTCCGGATGCACACGCCGCTGCGAGCACACGGCACTCCCCCTCCTGAACTCGACCCTGTTTTCGTGACGAGGCCGGGAGGCGAGGCTCTTCCTCGTCCTGTTGTTGGGGTCAAGCCGCACGAGAACTGCACACCCTGTCCGCAAATAGACGGCACTGACGAAGAGATGAAGACGACAGCGCTCAGCACGGGTGGCGGGCCGGTGGTGGAAGTGAGTGGAAGCCACTGACGGAGGGCCAAATCTCGTGGGAGCGCAGCAGACTGGCAAGCGACGGCCAAGTGCAAGTGTTCCTGCGCCTGCCGACAGGGTTGACCGATGCTGGGAGGCCGAGTAGCGTCGCCGACCCATGATCCTGGGCGCACGCCAGATTGGCCTGTGCGAGCAGCTGCGTCGTACAGTTTTATCGCCGCGACTCGCAGGTGCTGTCGCTCGCGGGCAATCCCAAACACACCACACACACCTCATCATCATCAAACCCGACGCCCTCACGCTCCCTAAACACACGACTACCCTCCCACCCGTTCCGCCTGCTGTGCTTCAGCCTTTCTTTTTGTCATCTCCCCACACTCATTGCGAAACGACCGCCGACATTGTGATACCACCCGAGGATCAGCTGGCACTTAAGCATCCTGCACAGCCAAACCTTCTTTGCCCACCCTCTCGTCTAGTGCCCGCAGCTCGCGACGCCCAAGGGATGCCCATTGAGCGGTGACGATGACATCAATGTCTTCATCTGACCCGACTTCCTCAAGTCTGACGGACCCAAACAACTACCGTCTGTCTGACACCCACCAAATGGCCGCCGCAGAGGTTCCAGCAGCAATATCCGCGCGGGCATTGCCCGACCACGAGCCCGAATCTGCGTCACCCAACGACACCACGCGCAGGAAACGATTGTCCTTTTTTGGCCGACACAGCTCCGACGCGAACACGCGCAAGCAGCAGCCAATGCAGCCTCTCCAAGCTTCAATCTCTACAGCCAAAGGCGAAGTCGCGCGATCGCAGAGCAGACAGGACGCGCCGAGCTCCCGACCGATGACTGCTGGCAGCGAACATGCGCGAAGGAAAACTTCCGACCAGATTGAGAGCATTCGAAATTCCATTTTCGGAGGGAGGAAGGGTTCTATCTCGTCTCGACCGAATGTCAAACGATCGCGACATAGCCACCAAATCGAATCGAAGAAGCCCAATGTCGCATTAATCCCATTCGCGTCGCCGCTGCAGGAGGAGTCGCCCAAGGCTGAAGCGAAGGGCAATGCAGGCGCGCAGGACTTTAGGGACGAGAACGACTGTAAGTGAAGCATCGCAATGTAGATTTGTACGCACGAGCTGACCAAGTGCAGTCTACCATCACCGCAAGAAGACTTCAATCTCATCGCCATTCAACTTCCACCATGTTGGCCACACGGATCGTAAAAACCTCCCAATGCGCCTCGAGACCGTCGATGAGACGGCTTTCCAAAACAAGTTGCTCGATTTTGACGCTCAAGGTCGCGCATTGCAGCAAAATCCCGGACGGCGTTCAATGGGTCTTGCCAAAGCGCTTCCTGCACTTCCCCAAGCTCAGGCCATTCCTTCCCGACACCGACCCAGCCCAAGCGTGGATGAGACGACTTTCGACGAAACTGCCGATACGAAATTCAACAATCTCGATGAACACTTCAATGCTCGACCCGCACTCAAATCGCCTCCTCGACGATCACCGCGCCACTCGGCGTCGTCGCCAAATCTCCTTTCTCCAAGCGCAAGTAGCGCTGCACATACAACGCCGCATTTGCACTCCGATACATTCGACGATGAGACTCGGCAAAGTCCGCCGAGCAAAGAGTCACCGCCATCCGGTCAGCTTGCGCAGATTCCGACACGCGGCAGACCCTTGGGACAAAGTTTCCGTGAAAAGCAACCCCTACCGCCCGTGCCAGGTCAAGCTGCCGCGACAGCCATCGGCCAGCAACCTTCGAAGACATCAGTCGCTTCCGACCGGCACATCATCGGACTGCAGTTCCCTGCACCACCTGGGGCAAAAATCGAGTATCCCGCAAGTATTGCTTCTCACAAGAGCAAACGATCGAGCAAATCTGCAGCTCCCACAGTACAAAGCGCGTCTACGAGAGCATTCTCCGATATTCCCGTCGGCCTAGACTGGGAAGATGACATTGACTGGGCCTTTGAGCAGGAAGCGGAAGCGACATGCGACTTTGATTGGGAGAAACATGCCGCCAGCGAGTCAGATGCGAAGGAGCAATTGCCTGTACCCAGTCCCGATGACGAGTCGCCAGAGACTGGTGGCAGCGGTGGCGTACGACTCTCTGGATGGATGAATGATCCATCTGCACTTGAGAGTGACGCCAAGCATATTTCAACATCATCTACCCCAGGAACATCGCCATACATGGAGGATGGTCTCCCACAAAATCACAAGCGTGGTTCCTCTGTTGGGCATCGCGGCTTCTTGGCTGCCAGGAATGCTTCCTCCGACAAGCTGACCAAGACTCCGCCAATGTCGGTGGAGATCAAGACTTCTGAGGTAGGCACCCCTCCCACATTCAGCTTGACTACGGAAGGTGCTGACCAGGAAACAAAGTCACCCTACGCATCGCAGACCTACTTCCCAGCGTTCGACAGCAGTATTCCCGAGTATCTCAGCGACCCGGAATCAACACGTGTGGGAGGCAGCAAACATCGTAAGAGCTCCTCATACGGCTCCTTTGAGTCGTCCGGTCGCTCTCTCCAGACAACTTCTGCATCGGAATCGACAAGGTGGTCTTCCGCCAGCACATCTTCGATCCCCGATCTCCTGCACAGCTACAACACCAACCGCAAAAGCGTGAGGAAGAGCGCAGCCTCGGGAACCTTCCGCACTCTGGAAAGTGTGCCACATAGCCCAGATGAGAAAGATGAGAGCAAGTCTTTCCCTGACTTTGAGGAACGACCGACTGTTACTGATCGCGCAATCAGTGACGGAATCTTGATGAGGAGACCTGCGACGCCTGGTGACCGAGCTTTGTTGTTCCAAAGTGGACGTGTTGTGCAGAGGGGACGTGCGATCAATCCTAGTCGAATGCAAATTCAGAGTCTGCCCGGTGATGGGCAAGAAGGTGGATGGATTTGAGTTGTCAGCCTGGACTTTACTGTCAACCATCTTTTTCATTTGTATGGGAAGGGAATTATGATACTCATGATGAGGGGAAGAATTGGGAAGGGAAGGGAAAGAGGAAAAGGAAAAACTTTGGAAAAGAAAGAAATTGGACAGGACATGTGTTATGATGTTATGTGGCGATATCTGAGTGAGGAAAGGGATTTATGCTCATATGTTGTGCAGGCGAGGAGTATAGGAGGAATTGTATCGATTGCGGTGTCGAAAGAGAGAGATGGGAACGAAACAGAGAGGCAGATGTGTTTGTACTATTTTGTACTGTTACTCTGTACGAGCTGTAAAAGGAGTGAAGAAATTCAACCCAATGTCGTTGAGAGTCCCATGAGCGTCTTTTGCATCCCAGGAAATGTTGCAATTGGTACCTCCGACACGTTCGAAGTAAACGATTCTGGTGATCTGCATCTTGATAAACGGCACGGTCTTGCTGGACCCTGAGGGGTCGCGAAGAGGCTCTCTGCTATGCGTGGGCATTTCGCCAATTGCGCATTGCCTACCATGAATTTCCAACGACCAACTATTGCAGCGCAATCCTCTTCTGTTCAGGACATCGCCTGTAGAATGGTTGTCACAGCAGTGCACTGTTCAAGAAAGCAGAAGGCCGCCCGAGAAATCTAGACTTGTAGACGCGCGCAACGTGTGGTCAGGGATCAAGCTTCGCCATCCCTCAGCCGACTGGCGCCTTTGTTTTGGGCCAGCAAGCGGGTCTGCACTGCAACTCCGACCGGCGCCAACCAACCAACAGCACCTTCTCGAACTGCACGCACGTCGTCTGTACCTGACTCTCCTGACCCGCCGCTTGACTATTGCCCCCGCTCGCATTGTCAACACACGTCAAAACATAGATACTGTACTCCGCCGACACTACCACCGCCGCCGACACAGCATTGCACCTCCTGTTTGCTGTTCGTGCAGCCCGACCAGCGAAGACGAAGAGCGAAGAGTGACCCGAACACGGACCGAGACGATCATCAATTTATCTTGCAGGCAGCTTTGGGCAGCAGCCATTCCATTTGCACCGCCGGTTGGAGGGGTCGGTCGGCTTTGAGTGCGCAGCACAGTATGCTCCCTTAGGGCAACATCGAGATCCATACCTTTTTGGCTGTTGCATGGTTGACGAATAAGATATGGCGGTGTTGGAGCAATCTTGGTAAGAGGGAGAGGATAAGTGAGGGGAGGGAAGAGGGAAGAGTGAGTGGGTGCTGATAGTTGTTGTCATAGGGTCAAGGTCCAGGAGAAGACGTTTGGAAAATGGTGAGTTTGGTTCTCGATTTCTTCTGTTAAATTGTGTTGGAGTGGAGGGTCTGGAGGTGATGGGAGGGGAATATGCTGAAACATAATACGCATGGATACGGCACCACGATGCTTGCATACATTTCAAGAGATTTGGGTTTGAAACGACAGACTAATCTCCCTCTCAACAGGCTCAACAATAAACTTCAAGTCCGCAACCTCCACCTCGATAATCTCGTCAGCGACCTCAGCGACGGCGTCATCCTCATCCATCTCCTCGAAATCCTCTCCGCCGAATCCCTCGGCCGCTACGCCGCTCGTCCTAAACTCCGTGTGCAACGCTTCGAGAATGTCAATATCGCGCTCGACTTCATCAAGAGTCGGAAGATTCAATTAACGAATATCGGAGCGGAAGATGTCGTGGATGGGAACCGGAAGATTATTCTCGGGTTGATTTGGACGTTGATTCTGCGATTCACGATTAGTGATATCAATGATCAGGGCCTGTCTGCGAGGGAAGGTCTGTTGCTGTGGTGTCAGAGGAAGACAGCGTGCTATGATGAGGTCGAAGTGAGGGATTTCTCGAGTAGTTGGAATGATGGGTTGGCGTTTTGCGCTCTCTTGGATATCCATCGACCGGATCTGATTGATTACGATCAATTGGATAAGAGTGATCACAAGGGGAATATGAAGCTTGCATTCGATATTGCGAGCAAAGAGATTGGAATTCCGGATCTTTTGGATGTGGAGGATGTGGCAGATGTGGCCAAGCCGGATGAGAGGTCTTTGATGACTTATATTGCATACTGGTTCCATGCTTTCTCGCAAATGGAGAAGGTCGAGAATGCGGGGAGGCGAGTGGAGAAGTTTGTGAACAATATGCAAGGAGCGTGGGAGATGCAGAATAACTACGAGAGGAGGATGAAGGCGCTTTTGGCGGCTATTGCGAAGCAAAAGGAGGATTGGGAGGTTGCGACGTTCGATGGGACGTACGTCGATGCGAAAGAGCAGAGTCGAGAGTTTACCAAGTATAAGCAAAAGGCCAAGAGGGAATGGGTTGCGGAGAAGAGTGAATTGGCTGGCATGTTGGGCAATATCAAGACCAAGTTGAATACATACCGGTTAAGGCCGTATCAGCCTCCGAAGGAGCTGAGTCTGGAAGCGCTGGATGCTGCTTGGAGCGAGTTGATGGAAGCCGAGAGAACAAGATCACAAGTCATCAACAACACGATCCGCGACATCAAGAACAACTTACGGAAATCCTTCGCGGACAAGGCTAATGACTTTGCGCTCGCGCTCAAGACCATCAGTGTCAGCATATCCGGCCTCGAAGGCGACGTCGAAGATCAACTGGAACATACTTCGCAGATTTCACGGAACTTGCCTCCACTGGACCAGTATTTGGATATCATCGCGAGTCTGGATTCACAATGTCAAGAAGCGAACATTGAAGAGAATGACTACACGACATACACATACGACGAGTTGGCATACGAATTGAGCCTTGTGCGGAGCTCCGTGCAGAAGAAATTGGCTTTCTTGGATAACCAGATTGTGGCGAGGAATATGACGAATTTGACTCCGATTCAGTTGGAAGAATTCGAGTCGGTCTTCCGACATTTCGATCGCGATTTGTCGAATTCGCTGCAGGAGCTTGAGTTCTCGGCTGCGTTGGCTTCGTTGGGACTGGTGTATGATGAAGAAGAAATGCATGAGCGATTCCTTGAAGTGGCGGGACGAGGAGGATCTGTTTCGTTCGAGCAGTTCATCCGATTCATGGTCGATGTTACCGAAGATCAGAATACCGCGGAGCAGGTCTTTGAGAGTTTCAGAGAGGTGGCGGATGGAAAACCTTATGTGACGGAATTGGATTTGACGCATAGTCTGATTCCGGAAGAGGTGGTGAAGGAGTTGATGGACAGTATGCCTTTGCATTCGGGTCCGGATTTGAAAGAGGATCGGGATCTGCCGAAGTATGATTATGTGAGTTTTATGGAGAGGTTTCTTGGGGGCGATGAGGGGAAGAGTAAGAATGGTGGGGCGGTGAATGGGCATCATCGGAATCAGTCGTCTTCGAGGGGTTAGGAAGCTGAGAGGAGGAGGATGATGATGGCTTTGATGGCTAGGAGGGAGGTCGATGGAGCTGGTGAGGAGGATGAGAGGAGGGCGATGGACGGGAGATTTCGTGCGACTCCTTCGCCTCCTTGGGGCTTGAGTTCGGCGAGGAGCAGTCCGGTTCGTCGGCCTCCGTCTCGGCTCCTGAACACTACAGAGACGGACGCTCGCAAGCACGATGGCAATACGAGAAGGCACAGCGATTCCGTTATGGAGCAGCGTCAGCTCGTCGTCCAGCAAGATGCTGACACCAACACCGAAGATGGAAGAGAGAGTGCAAGACTGCTGTGAAGTGGAGAGGAATTGGATGTGGGGAGGACAGCGTGGTGAGGCGAAGTTGATTGGTTTTATTGCACACACTACTATTACTGTAGGGTCATACTACTGTGTCCATTCCGAAACGAGCACGACTTATACGATACTTGTCTTTCCTCGTGGGCGTTCTGAGCGATTCATCGATTAATTCGTTCCATCGTACATATCCGCAATCATAACCCACATTACACTTTCATCTTCTTTGTCCTCTACATCAGTGCCTCATAAACCACCTCACCAATCAAACTCCCACCCATGTGCTACCTGTCTCTGCTGTATATGTCCCAGTCCCAAAGGCCTCGCAATCGCATCCCGATCATCCACCATCCTCCAAATCTCATCACTAGCCTGAATGACAGCCTCCAACGCCTCGAAACCATCCCTATGCTCCCAATCCTCTAACGCCTCTCTCGACTTTTCAATATTAAATTTCGCCCAATCTGGAGGATCAACGATATTGTCTCCATAAGTCGTATAATGTCTCGAACCTGTAATTTTGCGAGTTTTGAGGTTAAGGTGGATTTGTATTCGATCTGGCCAGCGGACGTAGCCGCATAAAGTGATGTGTTGCATGTGATTGAACATTTGACAAGGGGTTTGGTGGAGCCAGGGGTGGAAACCTCGTTGAGGAGAGGCGTGGTACATTTCGCATTCTTGTTCTGGTGTTGAGGGGAGTTGATATGTTGGGAGGTCTTTGGGCCAAGGTTGGAATTCGTTGTGGATGAGCCAGAAGTTGTTTATAGAGTAGAAGATTGGGAGGGATTCTTGGCGGATTAGATTGGAGACGCGGGTTATGGGGGGTTGGATGGGGCGGTGTTTTTGGTTGTTGCGGCGGAGGACTTGGCCAGAGCGGCGGTGGACGTCTCGAGGACTTCGGAGGAAGTCGGATTGCAGGCGGGCTTTATCTTGGAGGCGGCCGATCATGAAGGGGTTTGAGACGAGGAGTAAGTGTGAGTAGATGGAGAGGCGGAGTTCGGAGCTGAGGTTAAGGAAAGGGGAATGTTCGTTGCTCGGTGGGAGAGATGCTGAAGAGGTCTTGGAGATGCTGGGGCGAGATCTTCTACGAGGCATGAGAGCAGCTTTGGGCGATGAAGAATGGTATAGCAGGACGATATCGACTGGTACTGACAGCACAATGAACCTTAAACCTCATAGCTCGGAAGCTGCCGCCTGTGCCCCTCTCATACATGAAGGTTAGCCAAGAGCGCCTGGAAAGCTGCGCTAGTGAATCCCATAGTCAGAAGCTGGTGGTAAAGATGTATTTCAGCGATGAGGCACTTCAGCGGAAGAAGATAGAGAGAACCCGTGCTCAGAGCTCCCTCAACAACTCTCCCGCCTGCCCCATCAAGAAGCCAGGTATAGTGCTCCACAGAACACCCTTCAACACTGCTTCTCCTTCGCCTTCAGCCCACTGTCCGGCCTTCTTAAGCTTCTCTTTCCAGTAGTGCTTCTCCTTGTCCGCTAATTCGTCCCAATGCTTTGCATCGGTGTCATCTTGTGCAAGATAGGCGTCCTTGTCGGGGTGAACAGCGACGTGAACGCCTTCGCCATCTTCAACATGATGGACAACAACAGCAGTGGCCGCCGCATCATCGGGTGAAGCGTGATGTTCGGCGAGCGCGTCCTTGAGATTTACAGCTGCGGTCGGGACGACAATGTCGTCGACTTTGGCTCGTGAGAGAATATCGCGATGATGCGCGGCGGAAGCAGGCTGATTGAGGAAGTCGCGGACAGTGGGTGGGAGAACCGACAATGGTGAGTCGGTAGATACGAAGGATTGGAAGAGTATAGCAGTGACCAGGCCAATGATAACGACAAGGCTCCATTTCGCGATCGTCCAGAGTTTTTCATCAGAAGGATGGCTGAGAACGTATCGAGAATCTTTGTCCTTAGGTTCGAGAGGAGTCAGAGGGAAGGTATCGATGACAAGAGTGTTGCCAAAGCTGACTGATGCGAGCCGAGCGTATTGTGGACCAGGATGCTGAGGTTTTTGAGGTGGTATGGGCTCCCCATTTTTGCCAGTAGTAGGTGCCGGAGCTGATGCACGGACAGGCGAGTGGAAAGGCTGCCAGCAGATCTTTGTGATGCCTTGCTGATGTACGTCTCGGAGTGTCATATATCCACGTATCGACGAAAAGGTATCTGTGCCCGCTTGGTAGTTGACTGTCAGAACCTCTATGCTGCTATCTTGGCCAGAGACAGCAAGTGTGAATTGTTGGTTGCCGTTCTTATCCGCATCTAATGCGCCAACGTCTAGACTCGTTGCTTGCTTGATGCGGCTGGACAGCTTCTCAGTTTGCATCACCATGGCGGGACCAGTGGGGTATAGGTGGTACAGCCTCAACTCGGCGCCAGACTTATTGGGCAGGTTCACGAGCGCGACAAGATTCTCGGAGTTTAGGAAACGCAGAGCCTTGAATTTCGGCCGGCCCCCTTTCGCCTGATACTGGTCGGTGGATGCCATCTGGAAGACCCGCCTCGGTCCATTGGGCCTTTTGTCGACCTTCTTCTTAGCAAAGTCATATTTGTAGGTCTGCTCGTAGATGTTATACTCATCGCAGTATGCCAGGCTCAACAGGTCGTCATCATCGCCAATGCAAGCAATGTCAAGATCGGCGGCTTCTTGCTTGTCAGGCAAGTCGATCCTGGTGATGATGTCCTTGTCTGTGGGTACAGCAGCTGTCGCATCGAACACAATGATCTCGGACTCCTTCGCGAAGCCTGATGCCACAGCACCTATCCGTTTGCTGGGCACATCTCGCTTTCCCACAGGTGACAGTCGCAGTAGACGCTGATATGTCTCTTTCTTGGGCGCTGAGGATGGCTTGAATAGCGATCGCTTGCCCAGCAGTTTGATCTGCCCTTGTTCGCTGCTCGCCTTCTCTTCTGTCTTTTGCTTCTTACGCGGAGGATATCGGATGTCGAAAGCGCGAAAGTGCTCGTTCTTGTTATCGTTATGTGCAGCCTGGGACGAGTTGATGCCGGCTAAGGTGACGAGACCATCCTTAGTGGCCAAATTCGCAAGGGACTGGATTGAGTCTTCAGCGCGGGACAGGTCGATCTCGGCAACGGGTTCGATGGTGGCACGATTGTTCACATCTAGGACGGACTACTTCGTTATCAGATTGTGACATTCTGCAATTGTCCATATATTCCACATACGATCTTGTTGGGCACGCCGCTGCGTCCCTCGCCGCCGCCGCCTGCGACTACGAGATAGCCGCGACTGTAGGGATCCCAGTCGGCTGCATAGACAGGATAATCGAGGGTGTGTTTCGCGTAGGAGACGTCGGAGTTGGCGAATGGCGGCATGGCGGTGGACCGGAGGATGTACCTTAGCGATGTTTGTGCTGCATTGGCAAAAGAGAGGAGAGAGTTGTGCTGTCGTGGAAAGTTGGTCGCCAAAGCTGCCGACGGAAGTGACGACAGATGTTCCGCAGCTTCGCTAACTAGTTCTAGCGCGGCGTCTAGACTTGACCTTAGCCACCACCACTTCCTCCAAATTGTCGACTTCCATCTCCTACATTTAAATGTATTCTGCGTAATGGCGATCAATATTCCTGGGATCGCGTTGAGATGCAACCATCATACAGTCGCCAACAACAATGACTACCACTTGGACTCTCCAAAGTTTGGTACACTCGGCCTTGAAATTGTATATATATGTAGTAGTAATAATGCTCCAATGAACATAACGATAGTGGAAGCGAAGGAGTAGCACCCTGAGTCCGGCCGCATAGTGTACATCGTGTAGTAGCAACGCCGTGTAGCATCCGACATGTAAATTGCCCACCCAATTACATCGCTCCACTCAGTCTCGATCTCCAACCCCTACTCACTGCTCACCACAGTGCACATTGCTATTATCGACAGTCGCAGTGCCCCATGCCGAAAAGTCCTGCTTCTGAACACCACAAATCTCGGTCAAGATCTGCGTCAATTTTCCAGCTCCAGTAGGTGGATCATTGCAGGTCTTCCTGAAGCGTCGGATGACGAATTCTGCCTCATAGCGCACGCCCCAGTTGTATCGGTAAGGGATGGTGCACGTTGGCTGGCCTGGGTCGACGTAAGGTTCGCCATTCAGGCAGTTTGAGCCATCGTTGTGACTCTCTTCGGCATCATCTTCAATTCTTTCTTTGACGTCGCTGCACCACGAGGTCAGATCGTTGTCGGGATCCTGCAGGGCGGCATTTGTGAAAACTTTATGGCAGACGATTCTGACGCGAGCACAGTCGAGTGTGGCGTCGGCTTTGGGGAAAGGTTAGTGCGAAGCATGTTTGACAACGGCGCGTGAAGCGCAGGGCACTCACGCTGTACTTTTCCGCCTGTTTTGCCTCCTGTTGCTGTAAAGACCAGTGGTTTCACGGGCACTGGCTTCAAGAAACCTGGTGGTATGGCGTTCGCTGGTTTGCCCGCTTGGTTGGCCACTGGTTTGGTCACTTGCTTGGCCGCTGGTTGGCCTCCCGCTGAATTTGTCACTGGTTTACCCGCTGCTTTGCCCGCCGGGGTTCCCGCTGGTTTGTCGAGACTATTATCGTCCAAGGCAGAACCGCCTGGCGCAGCAAGAGCCAGCGCTGCGATGAGAAGCTGGGCGAGGAAGGCAAGATGCATCGTGCAAGCGGAATCGATTCGAGTTAAGGCGAGGAGGTTTCCGCCGTTGGAAGGTAGTGTGTTGTAGCAGTCGAAGTGCTTGCGAATCGTCGGGGCTTTCATACTACTATGCACACATCTGCTCTCAGTCCGCATCGTTCGCCGTCCGTGATGCGCAAGTTTGAATCCTTCGGCGAAGTTGGCATAAGTCGTCAAGGATAGCTGAACTTGTTCGAAGAGTACTGCAATAGCAATACGAAGAAATCAGAATGACAGTCAACGTTCTTGGCTGATACGAAGCAGTCGCAAGGACAGTCTACGTTCCTGATTGACATTTTTTGTTTCAAGTCTAGCAGTACGAGACCTGATCGGCTCGCTCGGAGGGTAGTTTTACATCGTAGAGCCGGCATTGATCTTGTTCTTCCGGCATCGCTCGTCGCGGTCCGTCTTGAAAGTCAGAGTCCATACAAACAGCGCAAGTGGCAGATTTCTGTGACTCGATAGGACTAGGTGCTGCATTTATTCGCGGTGTCCTTGACTGTGCATGCTGCGGAGCCGTCTTCATGGCATCGAGCAGCCTTCAAGTTCGAATATGGCCTATGTTGGCCCATGAATACACCCGTATCACTCAGAGTCGTCCAGGCATTGTCGCTCTTGCTGCATCCTTCGTCTTCGCGCCGGATACGATCTGTCTCGACTCGCGTAATCAATTTGATGAGGATATCCTCGTTTCTTAGCGGCAGTGATGTCGCATGCGGTGCTACCTGAGGTCGGAAAGAGTGTAGTTGCTCGCTCGTCAGAATCTCGCTGTATGAATAGAGTTTCAGTATCAGTGTCAGCAGTGATTGTGGAAATCAGCAAAGGCGGCTGGGCCGAAAACAGCAGAAGTCGAAGCTGTGCCAAGGATTTCGACTTAGGGCAGGCAGGCGGCTGCTCACGTCCGTCCAGGACTCAAGCGGAACTGGTTCTAGCAATCTTTCTGGAGGAGAGAACTCCTATGAGCGCATATGGCAAGAAGTGTCGTCGTGCGTGGTCGGTCGAGGAGGGTCGGTCGTTGCCAAAGGTGCCGCCGGAAGCGATGACAGAAGTTCCGGTTCCGTGCCTCCCGCTTGCGCCGGCTTGTCGAAGCCACCCCTTTTCCGCTTCTATCTCGTCGAAGCCATCGCCTCCCATCTTCGACGTCGAAAGAGCTGCATTCGTCTCCTGCGACGACATCATTTGCATACTGAGCACAAGATCCTCAGAGGAGCTCCGGATGTCCAAATGATCAGAGGCACCCGCTCCGCCAATGAAGTTGCGCCTTGAGGCTGGGAGCACTTTCTCATCATCACCACACCGCACCGAACACTCCTCTTCTGGCAATGCAAGACCTCCCGATGTTCTTTCAGCTACTGGATGCAGTTATGGCCGGTGCCCATGAATTCATGATGCTCGGGACCGGAAGGCTCACGGCCGATGGTATCGCTCCTCACGCAACTCTACCATTCGTGGGAGCGGCCTGGACATAACAGCAAGAATGACGAAAGTAAGCGATATAGAGTAATCAACCACCCTGCACAAAGGCAACACGTTTGTAAGATGCTGCGAGGTGATCTGATCAAGCGATGGCGTTCGTGCTCAATACTTGATGCTTGTGCTACCCCGCCGAGAACTTTTCAATCTACTTTTCTCTGTTTGCATGTCGCCTGGAACCCAGTCAAGGGTCACAAATATGAGTCTCGGGGGCACCATATTGACCATCACTTTCGTTTTCGCTCTCTACATCACGATACGTTCCATATACCGACTTTTCTTGAGTCCTGTAGCGCAAATCCCCGGCCCAAAGCTCGCGGCTGTTTCGCGGCTGTATGAGTTATACTTCGACTTAGCACAAGGAGGTCGCTTGCCATGGAAGATACAGGAGCTTCACGATGAATACGGTAAGTTTGTGGATGAACAGGTCGACGAATGCTGACATCTGTCAGGCCCTATCGTACGCATAGGACCCAACGAGGTACATGTTGCGGACCCTCAATATGCAGCACACCACTTCAATACACGAGCGAACAAGTATGGTCCGCATAGAAACCGATTTGGCTTTCCTGAAGCAACATCCGAAACAGCGGAGGCAGATTTACATAAGCATCGAGCCCACGCCCTCGCACCAGCTTTCAGCCGGAAAGCAGTCGTAGATCTAGAACCGCTCATCAAAGCACAGGTCTCGAAAGTGTGCCAGCGTCTGTCCGAATTGCGGCATACGCAGAGGTCAAAGGGCGAAAGTTCTGTTATCGATTTGAGAAAGCTCTTCCTGTGCATGACGACTGACACGCTCACAACGTTTGGGTTCGGATTCAGCTTCGATTTGCTCGACGACCCGGATCTGGCTGCACCATGGCGCCAAGCCTTAGATGATGCCCTGCGAAACGTTCAGATGATGAAGCACTTTCCCATATTATGGGAACTTCTTCGTCGTCCAGCCGTGAGCGACTGGCTGGTTCGCGCAAAACCTGGACTTGCTGTGACGATCGACTTCCAGAACAGAAACAAGCAGATCGCTTGGGAAACTGTATCTCGGTACTCGCTCGGTGAGAACAATGAAGAGAAGATTACATTAGCTGGACACGAGTCGAAAGGTAAAACGAGCTCCGAAACCACAGTGCCCAAGACGGTCTTCGAACAACTCCTTTCTAGCGACCTCCCAGAAAAAGAGAAATCCTACGATCGCCTATGGCAAGAGGCGTCGTCCTTGATGGGCGCTGGAACTGAGACTGTCGCTAATATGCTAAGCTACACCTTCGTCCAACTGCTCTCCAATCCCACATCCCTCTCCAAACTTCGCGAAGAACTCGAATCACGCATTCTAGACCCTTCTCCAGCCTCTCTACCATCTTGGACAGAACTGGAACAATTCCCGTATCTCTCTGCTGTGATATGCGAAGGCCTTCGAATGAGCACCAGCGTCGTGCATAGAATGCTTCGCGTTCTGCCGGCAGAGACAGAGGTCTGCGGGTATGTTTTGCCGAAGGGAACGGTTGTGGGAATGAGTATTCCAATTCTGCATCATGATGCAACTGTCTGGCCTGACCCATATAAGTGGATGCCGGAGAGATTTCTGGGGCCAGAAGGAAAGGGAAAGAAGGATATCTATTCGTTTTCGAAGGGGCCAAGGGCGTGTACTGGGATTTAGTAAGTGCATTGTCCTTTCTTTTGCTCTCGTCGCAGGGCTTCGAGGTTGCAGAATGCAAGACTTTCAATGCTGATCATGTGCATTCTTTCCCCTAGTTTTGCTTATGCGCAATTGTATCTGACGCTCGCGGCTGTGGTTCGTCAGTTTCGGCTTGAGCTTTATGAGACTACAATCCGCGCTGTGGAGCCATATTACGATGGAGTCGTTGCTTTGACGAGGCACGACTCCAAGGGTGCTAGAGTTGTAGTCTTGTGAGAATCTCTTACGAAGACGGCTCGCATGCATTTTAACAGTCCCTCTTGCTATTGATATCAGGGTTCTGGTGAATGTTCGCTAGCTGACAATGCTGTATCGTCTGAAGATCGTCACCCTTTGACTTCAGCTTCGACAAATGTGGGTCTACAGTTATGCGTTCGTGGTGCCCAGCGCAGCTTCCTTCTCAAGCAACCCCGCAAAGCCACTTCCGTGTGCAGTCGCATTCTACCGCAACTTTTACTCATTCGCCGTATGACTTCTTCATCTGATTGCAGATGCCATGTCGTCTTCCTGTGGAGCTTCGCAACGAAGAGAAGCACAATATTGCGAACATGTTCATATACAGTCCAACACCCACGGGCTAGGCATGACAATGCAACAACGTGCAGACCTTCGAGATTGTGGCGCCGCTTGCTGAGGCCAGCCAGCCGTCTGCATGACGGCCTCTGGCCGCAGCTGAGCTGCGCCTCGCTTTCTTGAGTTCGAAACCTCTCGGTATGAGGCGAAACGACAAGAAGAAGAAGGCGCCTCTGGCTAGTTCTAGAGCGGTTTCGCACCAAGTCATACCACTTTCCGAGAAGCAGCATCATGAGCGTCGATGGTATTGACAAAGGCCCTGGGGCCTACGAGATCTACGAAAAGCTAAATGCCTCAAAGAAGGAGATCAGGATTTGCCATATCGAGAACGAGTTAGACGAGGAAGGAAGGGTTCGATGTCGGCTTGAAGTCGCGGCTCTGGAAACAATCGGGTCTCCCGAGAATTTGAACGGAGAACTCGCCCCGATTTTCGACCTTCCACCCGGGGTCCAGGGCACGGATATTCGATGCCAGGACGTCCAAGCTATGCTTGGACTAGTCGAAGAGTCCCTCAATCTTGATTCCGGGGCCAGCGCTGCAGCACAACCCAACAAACCAGTGTACAAAGCAATATCCTGGGCATGGGGAGACTCCAGCAAGAAAGCTCAGATCGTACTCAACAACCAGGTGGTCGAAGTATCCCAGAATGCGCAGACCCTGCTCAGACGCTTTTGTTTCGAGCAGCAGCACTCCCCGATCTGGCTTGATGCTATCTGCATTAACCAAGCAGACATGGCGGAAAGAAGTGAACAAGTCGCCATCATGCACCATGTCTATAAAAACGCGACACAGGTTCTTGTGTGGCTGGGGGAAGAGGATGTTTCGATTGCCGAAGCGGCATTGTCCTCCATTGACAAGCTTGTTGTACAGTGCATGGAAGTCGCCGGAGCGGATGACACTTCTTTGGATAAATTCTTTATGAGCGGAACCAATGCCAGATACGCAGAGCGGCCTCTGCCAGATTACGATTGGTCTGCTCTCGAAAAGCTGTTCAACAATCCGTGGTTCTATCGTCTTTGGGTTGTGCAGGAAGTCATGTTGGGAAACGAGCCACTATGTTATCTTGGGATGTGCTCTCGACCACAGTCTGACATTAGTCTGGCTGCACGTTGGCTGCACTACCGCAACTTCAGCGTTGTGAAATATATTGGCACCGGTGGCAGAGGTCTAACTCTTGTCGCCAAAACATGGAACATTTCCCGTAGGATGCTTCTTCTCCAAGATCTTCTGCAACTGAGCTCCCAGCTTGAATGCACAGAGCCACTTGATAAAGTGTACGGCATGCTGGGAATCATGCAGCAAGAAGCCAGTTCCACACTGTGGCAATCCCAACGGTGGCAGTCCCTAATGACTGCTGATTACAGTGCAGACCTAGCGACAGTGTATGCAAAATTCACCAAGGCTGCCATAACTTCTCATCCTGTACGCTCTCACGCCCTCACGATTCTCGAATCAGCACAGTGTATGGTACCTATAACGGCAGATCAGCACGATGATCATCAGGACTGGCCTTCGTGGGTACCGAGATTTTACTGGCGAGACTCTCTTGCTGACGGATCACCGCAACTCCTGAACTGTCGTGGCCATGCAGCAGGTGATATCTCGTGGTCTGTGGAAATGATCGATAAACAGGATCCGCTGATCATTACCATACCAGGTATCCTCATCGACAGCGTCAGTGTGTGCAGCGTTCCGTTCACGTACGATGTATGGGAAGATGACTCTGTTCGATATCAATGGTTGGCGGCAATGAGCCAATACGCTTCCAAATTAGGATATACATCCCACGAGATAGCGCTGACCTTGACCTGTGAACAAAGAGCTGGTACAGGCGATCCAGCTTCAAGCCCGAGTCACACTGCGCAATATGAAGAGTATATGAACTGCGGCGAGGGTATTGCTTTCAAGGATCTTGCGATAGGGCCGCATAACTATGTTTTGGAGGTCTACATTGGAATACTCAATCGAAGGTTTTTCACTACACAAAAAGGAATCGGTATCGGGCCACCAGGCATGCGAGCAAATGATTGGCTTTGTATGTTGTTCGGTGGGAGAACGCTTTATGTCCTGAGACCGCAGGAAAATCACTTTGTCCTTATTGGGACGGCGTATTTATACGGAGTCATGCAGGTGAGTGAACCCACGGTCTTCATTTCATATCGGACTTTTAGTAGTCTTCCAGGTCCTCTGTTCTTATCGTGTAGCACTGTTGCGCAGACCTTCCGCTGCTAATTCGAGCTGCAGGGCCAGTACGCTAATTTCCTGAGAGAGGAAAACACGCTTGTCGAGCAGACGCATATGTTCGAGATTCATTGATATCTCCCCAGACCTATGGTCCCACAGGACCAGGAACAGTCTGAATAAGCATGGAGTCGTCCCCGGGATTGATCTGCAGCAGTGTTGTACCGCTCTCAATCCAGGTCTCTCGAGGTACGATCTATCCATGTTCGCCAACTACGTTATGAGCGTCTGTGAGTCCAGTGCAACCGGTACAATTATGACATCGGACACCTGAATACTCTTGTTAGCAGAGGACTTATTCGCACCTATGCCATGCTCGATCGTCACTTTTCAGGCTGCATAGCAAGCACAGGCTTGGTGTCCATGGGTAAAAGTGCAGGAATTTGCGACGAATCTTGAAGCGCCTTGTCCGCAACAGGAACACATCGAGATCTTGGGATTAGAGTGGCAGAGTGAAACTCACAATCTGTGCAATCAGTGCAATTATGACAGTCGATGCCTGTTCGAGAAATTAGTAGCCTGATTGCGAGCTTCCAGAACGACATAGCTCAGTGGAGAGACATATACTCACAATCTCGACACAGAACGCAATTCTTGCATCCTTCGCAGCCGACACATCTGAAGTGTCAGACCACTCGTCAGCTTTTTCACGTCTCTCTGAAAATAGTCGTGACAAAAGAAAACAGATTGCATATGAAAAACGCACCCGACACAATTCTTATTTGGCCGTTTGTCTTTGCTACCGGTACCTTCCAATGTCTTGATGTCGCCGATCGGCTTTTCGTCTGACGAAGTGCGCGCTACTGATCCAGGACCACAGAAAGTCTTGCTGATGGCGCTGGTCAAGGCATTGAGACCTGCTCGGAAGCCCGAGACGGGGCCGGTGTTGTTGGCCGCTGATGTCTCATCGTGAGGTGAGTATGCTGGTGGCGGATCGGTAGATCCGTAAGAAGACAGCTGCTGTTGGCGTGCGTCCAGACGGGCTTCTTCAGCGCTTTTGGATGCTTTGTTGTCGGACATGGTTTTGAGGACGCAGGGAATCGGGGTTTAGCTTGTGAGCTCGATCGGTCGTTCCAGTGAATTGGACAGGAAGAGCTCGAAAAGGAGAAGTGACTTAAGAATCGCAGAGCTGAGAGGCACGGGAGACCTTCTGGGTGTGAACGTGGTATGTTATCAATACCTCTGTACTTATGGACGAGAACTGATGTCATGATAGCTCATCGCAAAAGATAACACAAGATGTTCACGGCTGAAGCTCAGCTCCTTCCTGCTTGCAAGCGAGGACTGAAGGTGCAGCCAATTCCTGCATCGCTTGCACTTGTTACACAGCATGACTGCTTCGGAGGTAGCCCCAATGTCAATTTCGACCTCACCAGGGCGCTCCTTCGATTCAGGTCTTCGTTTCTCTTGAGCTGTCTGTATCTCTGCCAGGGTCAGAGGCGAAGCGGGACGCTGTTTCTCATCGCCCCTGCCGCTGAAGCATGATCTGCGCCCATGGCGCTTGGCGACCTTTCAGCCCGCGGTGTCGCATCCACTCACCAGGGCCCCAGCCAACACACTGGCAGGCTGAAGAACCAGAGAAAGGACTTGAACGTCTTGATGGATGCAGAGGTCCAACGATGCTCCAAATAATACTACAGGTCCAAATGTAGCTCCTGCTCAGCTACATAAAAGGAAGTGCCGTCCTTATGGGTATCTCTCCTGCCATCTACCGTGGTGACTCTCCTACGCAAGGCCCAACGTAACCAAGAAATGATAGTACGCTCTGACCATCAAGACAAGAGTCGTCAAAAAGAACTTTCTTCAAGCCCTCTTCGCGTTCTTGAAAAGATCCAACAAAGTATTTTGTTGTGCTGTTGCCTGAGGTTGCTGCTGATTTTGATATTGTGGCTGTACTCGTGCTGGTGATCCCGCGTCTCGGAAGAAATTCGTATCTGCGCTTGACGGGAAGCGAGAGGCAGCATTGTTGTGGCTGGCTGTTGAAGTTGCAGCTGCGAATCTTTCTTCTGCAAAGGGGTTGCTTGTGAAGACTGTTCCGCCGATATTAACTTCGGTGGGCGGGGGTTGCAAAACTGGAGCTGGAGCTGCAGCTGCTGCAGGCTTGCCGAAGAGCGTTGCAAGGTCGATTGATTGTCCTTGTGGTTGCTGTGCTTGTTGTTGTGCCTGTTGCTGCGGCTTATGTGTCTCGTATATCTGCTGATGCTGGTGCTGAGGCTGCTGATATTGGTGTGGGTCTTGGTGCGTGAAAGTAGGCGTGTCCTCTCCCTGCCATTGTTGTTGTGCAGCATGCAGTCCATTCCCTTGCTGGTCCAGATACTGTTGCTCCTCGTAAGTCACCTGGTCTTCGTATGCTTCCTCTAAGTCCTCTTGCTCGGCCATTGCTTCAACCTCCCTTGCGCAGCTCAAGATTGCGTTCCCCACCACATCTCGTGTATTCCCACCCTTCTCCTCGAAAATCCAAATTCCATAAATCTGCTCCTCCCCGGTGCTCTCGTCCTCCTTCTGTACTATCACGTACTCTTCCGATAGCTGAATCGCCTCTTCAGTCTTGACTTCGTACTCCCAATTCTCCAAACCTTTCCGGTTCAAGATAATGACTTTATACCTGCTGTGCCCAGATGGTGATTTCGTGAGTGAGCAGAGGAATAGTGAACCTTGCACTTCGCATTTCTCCCAGGTGGGAGTCTCGAGGTTGGGGTTGAAGATATAGAGGACTGCGAACGGAGCGATTGTGAGGATACTGGTGATTTCTGGCTGCCATCGTCGGAGGACCAGGAGGTTGAGTTCATCGTTTGTTCGAAGCGGTGGAGCGGGAATGAAGGGCTGGGTGTCGGTGAAGGCAGCCGTGTCTGATTCGTAGTCGCTTGCTATGGCGGGTTGCTGTTGTTGGCGCGACTTCTTCCTGTTAGGAGCCATGATTGTGGTCGCGGCACTGCTAGCGATGGTGGATGTTGTTGTTGTGTTTGAGAGCAACGAAAGTGGCTCGCATGTGAAGATCGGGTCGCGTGGTGGATTTGATGGGCACTGTTGGGTAAATCCATCAATATTGATGGCGGGTCAGCTCACTTGCTTGGCGCTAGTGAAGCTTTCCAAGCGATGACATCAAGTGATAGGCAAGGAAAGCGGCGCCTTAGCCCGCACTGCACTGCCTCGAACCTGGAAGAGGAACGCATTTGGTGACGGTGGTGGAATACACATGACATGTCCATTCTCCTCTTCTTCTCCGCCTGAGTCGAGCAGCATGACGCGAGATTGCTGCTGTCACGCCTGCCATAGATGCTTTGCCAGTAGGCCAAACTGCTGAAACACGGCAGTCATTTCTCCTACACCATGTCTGCCTCGAAATCGCACTCCCGGGGCGGCTCAACTGCGAGTTCTTCCAGTCTGATGCAAGAAGTACCTGGAGCATTTCCAACGACTCCCATCCCACGAGACAACAACGATGAGGGTCTAGGGGAGGACGAGAATGAAGTGACGTTCAAGAGTCTGTCCCAGGCTGTGTATGCTCGGAGAAGCGAATATGTCAGGCCCAAACATGTCCGGATCAAGGTCGGCACGTGGAATGTTGCTGCTTTCAAGGGAACCGAGAAAGATCTGGGAGGGTGGTTTGTCGGAGGCAAAGGTGTGGCAGATGACCTGACGGGAGCTGTGAACGCCGAAGACAGGAAAACTGTCCAAGAGGATGCAACAGAGCAAGAGAGCAGATATGAGCGGAAGAAGAAGACACTACCATCTGGCGACGAGAGCGTACTGCCGCATGATAAGGATGTGGGCCTGTACGTATTGGGGCTGCAAGAGGTTGTCGATGTAACTGCTGTGGGAGAGGCGTTGAAGCCATACACTGATCCTGCTGCTGCAAACAAGTGGAAAGATGCCATGCAAGAGGCAGTACCAAATGGATACCAGTTGATTGCCGAACAACAGCTGATTGGACTACTGCTCCTCATATACGCGGCTCCAGAAGTAGCATCGGATGTCAAGGCTGTCAGCACCACCAGTGTCGGTACAGGTGTCTTTGGTTATATGGGCAATAAAGGCGCTGTCACTGCTCGCATTGTGTTGGGAGGAACAACACGACTCGTGTTCGTGAACTGCCATCTGGCAGCTGGTGCGGATAAGACTGCATTGGAGAGGAGAATATGGGATGCCCAACAGGTTGTGCAGCGAACCAAATTCGAGCCGATCCAAGACGCATTGGATTTGAATCAACAGTCTGGAGAGACCATTGGCGATGAAGACTTCGCATTCTGGTGCGGGGATCTCAACTTCCGGATGGAAGGCATCCCAGGTGATGACGTGAGGAGGTTACTTATGTTGCACACACGAAACCAGTACGATTTGAGCCAGCCAGCGTCAAGAACGATCGAGAAAGAGATCGAAGAGACGACAGAACAAGTCAAGAACAGACTCTCAGTGGACACAGGCAACAGTCCTCGGCCGAGCAGCGACGGCTCGCGACATGATACTCTGGTCGACGAAGTTCAGGCCAAGGAGGATCCTACATCACTTCAAACGACACTTGACTCACTTCTACCTCACGATGAATTGCGACAGCAGATGAGGAAACGAAAAGCCTTTCATGACGGCTGGCGAGAAGGACCGATTACCTTCCTGCCAACTTACAAATACGACCCTGGGAGCGTTGGTGTCTTTGACAGCTCTGAGAAGAAGCGTGCTCCTTCGTGGTGTGACCGCATTCTGTACCGGACGCGCAAAGACAAGCTGGCTTACGAGGCGAAGGTCCGTGAAGAGGAGAATGCTCGCAAGAAAGACGAAGAAATGAGAGCCAGCGGAATAGATCAAGCCGCTTCGGAAGAGGATGTGCTGTACGACTACGATCCTGATACCGATGGCGCTACCGTCGGAGACTACGATGAATATGATGAATATGACGACGCGGCAGACGAAGATAACAGTGCAATTGTAGTGACACGAGAAGGATTTGAAGACGAGATCACGCTGGAGTACTATACCGCGCATCAACGAGTGCTTTCCTCAGACCATAAACCGCTTGATGCGTGCTTTATGCTCAAGTATGACGCGGTCGTGCCAGAGCTGAAAGCGCAGGTTCATGCAGAATGCGCCAAGGAGCTGGACAAGGCTGAGAACGAGGGCCGCCCAAATGTCACAGTTGTTGTCGACAAGCAGACCCATACCTCTGCCGCTGTTTCCAGTGAGGACCTGCCGGGAGGTGTTTCGGACGAAGGTGTCTGGTTTGGTGACGTGCGGTGGATGCAAACGAAACAGCGCTCGCTGACAATTGCGAACACCAGTCGCGTGCCAGCCAACTTCAGTTTCATCGAGCGGCCGGTGCAGTCAGGAGAGCCCGCAGGGATTGCGCCACAGTGGCTCACGATCAAGATCGAAGGCATCGCAATATCGAATACCGCAGGAACTTCGCCAAACATCACGCTTGAACCAGGAGAGACAGCTAACATCGAGCTTGAGCTCAAGATTTCCGACATGACAGATGTGAAGAACTTCAACGATAAGGAAAAGCCAGATATTGATGAAATATTAGTTCTTCGAATCGAAAATGGCCGCGACCATTTCATTCCTATTCGTGGACACTGGCTAGCAAGCAGTCTGGCGCGTACAATCGACACTCTCGTGCGAATACCTGAAGGCGGCATACGTAAATTGCAAGGCCAAAAACCCAGCGACAAATCAAGCAAAGAGTCTACCTCGCCCAACTCACCCATGAGGAATGCTTTCAACGCCATTACCGCGTCCGATGCCTTCTCAGACGGCGCAAGCATCGGATCCTCTCGTCCAGCAGACCACAATCGAAATGTCTCCGCCGTCAGCACGAAAAGTATCGATTCTTCCGGACAACCTCCTGTACGTTTCTCCGCTCCGCGCGAGCTGTTCAGGCTGACGGAGGCGATAGAAGAGCTGAATACTCGCGTCGTTGCTGAGTGGGAAATGATGAACGATCTACCTCCTGTCACGCCGACTTCATCTGCTCCAACGACTCCGAGGACGAGTACTTCTTCTTCGCTTTCAGCGAGAGTCAATACGGAGGACGAGAGTTTGGGTGTTGTGGCTTTGCCTACTGCGCCTTGGGATACTTATCCTGCGTGGCCTTTTGAGAGGGAGTGTTGGACGCTGCGGGATACGAGTGATTGGGAAGAAGCATTGAGTTCCGTATGTGATGCACTGGATCGGGATTTGGCACTCGATGGGGCATTGCCGGAGACTTTGCCGAGGATCGAGAGGCTTTATGTTTTATGCTCGTTTCTGTTGACTTTTCTGGAAAGTCTGACTGATGGAGTCATTACTGGGAACATATGGATGGAAATTGAAGCATTTTTGAGTGGGCTTGAAAAGGGCAAGCAGGCGCAGAAGAGGACGAATGATGAGTTGAGGACTGCGGTGCAGGAGATTCTGGCGATGAGGAGTTCGAGTCACAGCATTAGTTTTGTTTTGATTACGGGCATGCTGGAACGCATGGTTTGGGAAGTTTCGGGTGGGAAGGAGCAAGGTTTCACGAGTGATGTAAATGTTCCAATGAGTCCGACGAAGAAGGCGTTGGGAGGGTTGAAGAGAATGGCGACTTGGAAGGGCAAGATCTCACTGGCGCAGCAGGGTACAGGCACGGGTGGCAATGCGAATGGGAGTTTGGGAAAGAAGGGAAGGGCTTTGGCGGAAGTGTTTGCGAAGGCTATGATTCGATTGCCGGGTGGAGAGGGTGAAAAGGGGAGGGCTGCGAGGGAGAAGAGGAGGGTGGAGGTTCTGGAGTGGTTTATCGTGAGGGGTGAGGAAGGCTCGTAGAGCTCCTGGAGCATGGCTCGACGGAGTCTTTGCTCCTGTTCGATGAGGCGCCCCTTAGGAGACGAGACAGCCAGCTCGACAGGGTTCTCGATTAACACAGTTCGAAGCCTGAAGGCAAGACGGATGAGACATCAGCTGCGCTTGACGAACGAGACTTCGCGAAAGGGCAATTTCGTCAAGAGTCGCAAATGCAAGTGCAAGTCATATCACAGCAGTCTTCAAATTATTCCGCTTGCTTGCTCTCTGCGAACGGGTATTGTTGTCGACGTCCGCATGCGAAAGTTCCTGCTGGCAGGATATTTTCTGTACCGATGGTGAAGGATGCTACCCAATTCGTCGCTTGGCCTGCGCCATAGACGTTCTCCTGCATGATATGGCGCGTACATTGTGCCGCGTTTCGATTTTGAGGAGTCAACGCACGCCGCTAGTGGCTTTTCTCATTGGGCGAGTGTAAGCCACAAGGCTGTGCAGAATAGCACAAAGGCTGTGCAACCTTTATGGTCAAGCGAGCCCTTTCCTGATGACCTGGCATTCCTCCATTCTCAGGCGCTGAGTCTCCCTTGGCATCCAACGCTCGATCGGAGCGGATTGATCGAAGTCCACGATGAGTGATGAGGTTCCCTCACCAACAGCTCGAATGTATTCTGTGAACAGACAGGAGTCTCCTCAGCCCGATTTAGACCTGGAACGCCAGTCTTTACCGCACACAACAGATGGTGCACTTGATCCCGGAGACCTGCTCGAAGAGTGTGTAGCATCTGGACATGGCGTCGCTGGTGCAGAGTGTGCCTGCGATTGTCCCTCCCACGAGCCCAACTATACCCGAGCGGACTTCATGGATCCAGAGAGAATCAAAGTCCTGTCGTGGCAAGACTCTGTGAAAAGGTAATGTGCATAAGATTCCTGCACAGTGTCCCATGCGAACAGTCAGTTAAACGACGACAGGAATGATAATGTCGAGGATGCAAAGATCGTCTTGATTCAACGTCCTGACAGCTCTACCGAAGACACATTTACGCACGACTTAGGTGTGCGCGGGGAGTTCTTCAGCGAACACGCAGCAGACACACTGCGAGATTGGAACATCACTGCAGATGGCACACATAATTGGTGGCACATTGCAGGTTCGATGACCCCTGGCCCACTCATACGATTCCACCCGGGGGTGGGAGAAGTCGCCTGTTCCTTCTTGCCCTTCGCCGCCACTTCGAAGGAGATAACGCTGGCTGTCGAATCTTTTCGCCCAGCGGCTTCGGGAGATGACTCGATCGAGCCAGACCGTTCGATTTATACTGCGCAACGAGCCTTCCGAATGCATCGCTGTCGTTTGATCGTTCTTTCTAGTGGTCAGTTCTTGCCTCGCTGGGAGCGACCCAGTCGATTTGTGGTTTTCTTGTATCGACTCAAGACCGTTGAGGTCTGGATTACCGCACCCTTTCTGTTACCCTTCGTGCTTCTCTATATCTTTCTAAAGATTGTACGGCCTTCCGCTCCTGACTTTTTCGAGATTATGTTCAGACGGCCAAAGCCCTTGGGTCGGCAGAGAATATCGAAGTCTTACCATGAGACCACGTTCGAAAACACTAGGTGGAAAACAGAGCCGATGCTCACACAGGTCCTAGGAATGAGGAAACAAATGAGTCTCTTCAAATTCAATTGGAACTGGGTTTCAGTGGAAAGGCATCTTGCAATACTGGAAATCATTCGAGACTTCCACTGTCGGCCTGACGCTGTTGATTCTGACAAGAGACTGTCCGAGTGGGCGCTCTCTGCCCATCTGAACTACTTTGCATGGAACGAAGTTGTGCGAGGGATCCAAGAAGAGTCGGACTGGCTGAGAGAGCATGCCATTGAGAGTCCTGGCCAGGAGCTACTAGCTCGTCTGAATACCTGTCGCTCACTTTTGGCGAAATTGAAGAAACAGTTAAGCGGAGGCCGAGACAAGAATGAGATTCTTGGCCTATCTTGGCTACAAGCACATATGGTTGGGCTAGAGAAGCTGGACGATGGCGTTCAGCGCGAAGAGGTCACTGTTCAATCACATATGTCAGATGGAGAGACAACAAAGGGCGCTACAGTAGCTTCGATGGATGAGCAGCAGTCGAACGAGAACGGCGGTGAGCCGCAAACATCGGATCACGCACAAGCTGACAAGGAAGCCTCTACGCTCGGCGATCTCAATGACGAGGATAATCTCACTCCACTCAATATCGATCACAAGTACATTGGAATCAAAGCAGACCTGGAAAAGCTGGAGGACGAAGTGCAGGAGACTTTTCAACTGTTGGCAATCAGCATCCAGATCAAAGACACTGGAGTGGCAAGGACACAAGCTAGGAGAGCGACAGCGTTGACTGTTATCGCGACTATTTACCTTCCTGCAACACTGGCAGTCGGTGCTTTCGGAGTGAATGTTCAGTATCTGGGTGGAGATTTGAGTATCAAGTGGCCGATTATCTTGTTCGCTGCCTTATTTGCTCCTTCTGCTATCGTATTGCTATTTTTGTTTCTGCGGGAGTGAGAGATGCGAAGAGCATATAGAGCCATCACAGATAAAATGTCCGGAATAACAGCTATGTGCTGGTATCATGGCACGGCTGCAGCGCTAGCAAATGTTATTCGACGCGCTAGCCTCAGGCGCATCAAACTCGGCGCAGGTAATAACTTCCGCACATCCAAGGTACTGCGCTACTTCCTTTTCTTCGTCACATCGAGTCTGCATATCGTGGTGTGATGTCTCAGCAAAACATCGCAACCCCGGTCCCAATGCGATAGCAATTTGCCCATTTGGGTTTGTTTCGTGCGACCGATGAATCTTTGCATCAAAGATGTCTCCACTTGCAGGCCAGAAAAACTCATAACGATGATCCACAGAAGCGTATGTCTCCAGCTTGAGCTCGATAGCCCTTCTCACGATTAGACCAAGATCTTCTGTGAGAACCTCGCGCCATCGTCTGGCAGCAAATGATTTCCGATACGGGTTCAGGGCTTTAGACAAGTCGACAAGGACTTCAATGTATGGTACCAAAATGTGGAGGATTCTGTCAGCGGTAGTTGCAGCGAAGTCGGCCAGGATATTGGTGAGTGGTTGTGCACTGGCTGTGTCGCGAAGCTTTCGCGCAGAGATCGCTGCGGTCAGTTGCTCCGCTCGAAGGTGATCCGCTGCATCGAAAGAAATTGCCTGAAATAATGCGTCTTGGTAGTCTGAAGAAATAGAGCATCATGTCAGCAAGGTCTGCGAAGAATGACAACGGGAACTGCAAATCAACAGCTTACTCACCTGATTGCTCGACTGCAGCTTGGAGACAGAGCTGCAACATCCAATTGTGCTCACTCAAGATCTCTGTAGACACTGCCGCCGAAAGGAGTGCTGTCGTCAAATCGCTCGCTCGGAGAAACCGACGAGTTCTGAAAGTGTCGAGTGTTTGGATCCAGTTCTGTCCACAGCACAAGCGAAATAGGCGTGCGAGAGGTTCGGAGCAGCTGGCATCGTAGGTGAAGAGCTCCTGAACGTCGAGTTGTATCACTTCGAATAGACGGGCAACGGATTCGCTCGTTATGGTCGCGATCTCAAGCTGGAGACGACTGGCATTGTCCTCGCCCGAAGGACGCTGCCAACCGCTTTCGGAAAGTACTGAACTGTCAATGGATGAGAGTGAGTCTGATGTATTGGACATCGTGGATTGTCCTGAGGTTGTTCGCTGTGGTTCTGGCTTGGGGCTTGTGGGCGTTGGCGTTGAAGCTCTGAGCTGGAAATCGCGCTGCACCACAATGGGTACCCGACCTGGTGTAAGAGTGTTTGTAGTATCGATCGACGTCGCTGCCCGACACGCTTGCCGCTGACGTTTTCGTGGAGGTTCCTCCAGATCTGAGTCTTCAGCCGCTTCTGTGCCAGTCTCTACCTTGTCCACAGTGTCTGGAGCCTGGAGTTGGGAGCCTGGATCATCGTAGAGCTCGTTGTGATCCCATGTCGAGCTCGAGCCTGAAAGAATTGCCTGGACATCATTGCTTAATGACACAGTTCCAAATTCACCGTAGTTGACAAGATCATTCGTTTGGTTGAACGCTTTTGCGGCTGCGACTGCGTTGTCCCACCAAGCAGGGTCGAGATGTTCGCTGCCCGTAGTGAAAATAAGGTCTTCTCGCTCGTCTACCGAATAACGCTTCCGATCTATGCTAGAATGGAAGTAGTACGCTTTTTTCATGCGATCAATCAGCTGTTCTGGCGTGATAGCCTGCGATCCCGCTTTCGATCGAAACTGCGCTTTCAGAGAATACTGCTGTATCAACATTGAAAGCGCCTCGAAACGGCTGTCGGAATCTCGGTACTTGTAATCTGGATGAACTTCGTGCATTTTCGAAGCATCGATGTCTTGAATAGCATACACAAGAGTGCGATAGCTTTGGCCGTGTGACGCCGCCAGCACCTTAGCATCGTTTCTCCGGGCAGATGGCAAAATTGATTCCCTTCTCATGTCTCTGAAGGGCGGCGCAATCTGCCGTGCCTGGCGCGAATCCAAATTTGAAGTCTTGCTGTTAACGATCTCTCCTTGTGCACGATAGTAGGCCAATCTGTAAACCAATGTCAAGATTGGCCGAGTTTGCGCAGACAAGGTCGAAGTGGATTGCTCGCTTCCAGCACTTGTAGTCTCGACGGTTGAGCAGAAGCCAAGCGGCCTGGTCAGGCAACGATGTCGTGGCTTGTGTGTGTCGCCGCGCGGTTCTTTGTTGAAACTAACAAAATTAGTCTAAACACAGGGGTTAGGTCAAACGTCAGCATCCGGTGAGCCAAAATGGATACCAACTCATTGAGACATGAAGCTCGCTCTGAGTCCTGTTAGATTATTTGGCCTGCACTGAGACCCACAATCCACCAGTCAAGATTGTAGGCAATTGTGATTGGACCGCACGATTGTCCGGATAAAGAGAGTTGCAACAGATGTGCGGGAGTAGGGTTGGAATGCAAGACGCAAGCATGCTAGTCGCGGATATGTGCTTCCATCGCTCCACACGCTTAGACCTAGTCAAATGCAAGTTCCCGTGCTGCAGATTCAGCCTGGCCCCACCGACAGGAGCGTTGCATCGCTGATATTGCCGGCACCAAATGCCGAACGGAGTATCTAAATTTTCGAGACAGCGAAGAAGTACACAGTGAGAAATCGCGGTTTGCATTGTGCAGTTTCGAGATCCTCTCCAGCTTTGCGGAATGCAGGTCAATCGGCTTCATGACAGCTGATGATCTGAGTGGTAGTGACAACCTTCTGTTTCACAGCATCGCCGCTATTCTCCCCATGCGAAAGTCTAACGCTGAGACCAGGAAAGACTGTCAGCGCGACTTGGTGCTTTCCCGGATATGCGAGGAAGTGTTTCGAAGCCATTGATGTCAGGTCCACGGGAGAGCGGTAATCAGCCCAGTGAAATGAGTGATCCGCTACTGTCAAAGCCACTTTCAGTCCCACAGCATCGACCAAAAATTGATGCAAAGAGTTGCTCAAGTGCGACGACCACGGCTTGCCAGAACTCCGGTTGGTGTTGCCATTCATAGTTTCTGCAATCGTGACCAGTCGCTGCAAGCATGGCTCAAGTGTGGTTGTCAATGCCTCGTGTAATCCTGTGATGTGTGCCGTAATGGTGCCCGACCGTGCGTCGTTGATGTCGTTGCTCAGCGCATTTGTGATGAGCAGTCGAGCATGCTCGCGAGTAGCTTCGCGCTCGTGTGCATTCCGTGAGAACATACTGCAAAGTAAAGACAAAGTATCTGTCCGGTATCAGTACTGTCCGCTAGCAGACCTGAAATGGCTCTCTTGCCAACCATGTACTCACTGAATTCCGCAGGTAGGCTTAGGATCAGGCATTGCGTAAAGCGGGGTTGCGATAGCAGGTCCACGTTGAAGATAGAATGCATCACGAATGCTGCGACCAGAGCGCGCAATTGATCGTACGCAGTAAGTAGGTGAGCTTCTCGGAGCTGACGAGTGATTTCATTGTGTTGCCTGCCCAGACAAAGCTGCATCAGCCTCTCTGTAGCATCAGGCAATGCACCCCATACGATGGCGCCCAAGTTGACGTCCAAATCCAAGTCGTAGAAAAGTCGCAGAATTGTCTGATTTAGGTGTTGTAAGAGCTGGGACATCTGGTTTTCGTATTCATTGAGATCGAAGCTGGATTGCTGACGGATTTTGGAAGTGCGTGCACGTGACGAGGACGACTGTGATGGCCCAGAGCGCGCGTTTGAGTTGGTTTCCGGGCAATTGTCAGCCAGAGGAGTGGATGGCAGATTGGGCTCCATTCTGATGCGAATTGTGCCTCGGCTGTCAACGATTTTCGCCATTGCAAAAAGGCCATCAGCTCAGGCATCTGCGAAGGAACTTGTGCCAGCGAGCTGAACGGGAAGTAAATCCATCTTTGGCTTGATGAATGGTCCCATCAAACGTCGATGCTTCGTGGGATGTTGCCATGCAACGCAGCTTCCACCCCGCGCTGGTTCCCCCCAAAGTACCAACTCGGGTTACGAAAGTATGCAGCCGGATGGTGTGTGGGTCCGCCTGAGACCCGTGCCGCTTCGCCAGAAGATCTCCATCCCTCGTTCCGATGCTGGAATACGGCGCTGGGCGGCATCTGTCAAAATTGTACTCTACTCGCGGTATGCAAGCCTCTTTCTGGAGCTTCAGGAGAAGACAAGGTTTCAGCGCATTTAGGTGTACCGCGGTGTGATTTCAGCCTTCAAACCCATCGGGAGTGGGAGATGGACGGCGTCCAGCATACGCGAGATGCAATGTATCAGTGTGCGAACGGAATCCGTGCAGTGGTGTGTCGTGGAGATGAAGTGAGGTCGCACCGTTCCGCCTCCCTCCGGCCTTGGCATCGGAAGATTGCAGCATCACCCTCTCGCGTTCCGTTTTGTTCTGTTTGCTTACACGTCCATCGACCTTCAACGCGACCACTTGCACCAACTACGCTGACTGCAGGCTCGCTGTCATCACATATGCAATGAGGGTATACCGGGATACCCAGTGCACAGAGCGGACCCGCACAAATACAACTATCAGCAGTACTTGATGCGAGACGCGTTCTTTTTAGCATGCATTATGGACAATGCACTATGAACAAGCAGACAAACGGACGTACGGACAAACGCAACATGCCGCGTGGGCGGTAACGGACCTCTGATTGCAGTCTCGCATCCTAAGACATGCAGCTACGTATGTGCCTTCGACGCGGTAGCTGCCCATGTTGAACACAGACAGGCTGTATCAGAATCTTGCTTGAGTATCATATTCTCTCACCACGTCCTCATCGCATCCCTCACTTCTTCTTTTACGTTTTGCTTCGATTGTCCACAGCAGCAATGGCGTCCGACTCAGCAGTGCGCCCCAATCCTGTTCTACTCATCTCTATTGACCTCGGCAGCTTTTACCTGAAATGCTGGGCCAAGCATGTCCCAGCCGGTCGGCATGCTGATGACACTACACCATACGCGGTGTATCTGATGCCAGGTTTCCGGAAAATTCGACTATCACTCCTGATCGTGCCTGACGAGCAGGGAGAAAGCAAGCTTCTGTGGGGCGACGAAGTGACACAACACCTTCGCCATCATCCAGAAGACAGTCACAGAGTCTTCGACAACATCAAGCTCGCGCTTTGCGCAAAGTATAACCACCATGCAGCGGTTCGGCATATTCGAGAGGTTCTTGGGTGTCCGCAAGGCGAGAGCGTGCTCGGAAACATCCAGCACGTGTACACCCTCATGCTCGAGAAGGCGCGGAACGCGTGCCTACGTTGGTACACTTACGACAGCGATCAGGGGTCGGCCATGAATCCCGACTATTGGCGCGCTGTGCCAGTGGAACTAAAGGTGACCATTCCCGCCATGTGGAATGAGACGGCGCAGAGCATCATGAAGCATGCGGCTCTGGATGCTGGATATCGTAATGTCCGGCTGTATTTGGAACCACTCTGTGCGGCAGCGGCAGAAATGACCAAATTAATATCGCAGCGTCTGCTCGAGGTAAGCTTGTTTCTGGGCTGATGAGATGAAAGCACGCTGATGAGATGCTTCTTCCAAGTTCGGCGAGACTATTCTCCTGATCGACATCGGGCACTTTACAATTGTAAGTCATCCGATCTTCTCTCGTGACCCCGCTGACTCTGTACAGGACGTTGCGATGACACGAATCAAGGCTGCATCCGTGCCAGATGGTCGGCCCGTAATGGTGGCGGTAGGCGAGGCTGCTGGTACGCCTACCTATTTGCATATGAATGCTTCCACTGACTCCTTCAGGTGACTCCCTTGGCTGTCACGTTGTGCATGAGCTTACCTGGCAATGTTTCGAATTCTCTCCCGAACTTCGACGGCATGGTGGCCTTGCAAACTGTTCGCGGCTGCTACAAGGGCTTTCAGAGGCTGAGATGCGGCGACAGTTATCGTCGTATGTTGAAGATCGAATGAAAAAGCCTGACCCGCGGGACTTTCCTGTTATGATTGAGTCCGCCGCGCCGCCAGGACCAGGTGAACTTTCCAACATAATGGTCAAATTTACGGGGTATGTAACGTCGTCCGAGTTTCTACATGCAGCCATACTGATATGACCAGGAACGCACTGCAGCAGTGTATCCATACCTGGGCTTCTAAAATTGCTGACTTTGTCGAGAGATTTCTAGACACCGACCAATGCCAGGAACTAGACGTGAGTGTTGTCCTCATTATGCGAGAATACTGGGCTAATTACATTGCGTAGCTCCGTAGAGCCCACTTGACTGGTGGAGGGTCGTCGAACACCTATGTGGTGGCAGAACTCAGAAAAGCTCTTGAATCGAGACATATCGACGTGCGCGTACCGGACTCCGACGAAGCAGACATGGCAGTTGCTCGAGGTGGCCTGGAGCAATACCCCACAAATGAAGCCGATGACCTGCCCGAAGGCTTTTATTATCTTTGCCAAGCCGAGCCGTACGATCACAAACGGCACAAAGACGTTGGAATGGACTGGAAATCGCAAGACGGCTATCGGAAGGCAGTTTCGACAACGACACCGAAGCTTGCAGCGCCTTCGCACGAAGATCCAGACCGATGGTTCGCTCTTGATCGCCTTCAGCTGGCTTATCAGCATTCACTCTCAGGTCCGAAGCAGCCACCACGATATGTGTCGATGGATTTCCCGATCGATGCAAATTTCAATACCCAGTTCAAGTTCGACATTTATTTTTGCAAGGACTTTCACAGGGATGGGAGTGCATTGCGGTCGAAAGATGGCAAGGTGAAACCAAAATTCAGCAAGTTCCTTGTCGAACTCGCCGATGTGGAAGTGGACTCGTCGAGATACAACTTCGAGAAGTATGATAACAATGGGACTCCCTATTTCAACGTACTAGGACTAGTTGAGATATCTGGTTCAGCGCAGGAGCTCAATTTGGTCGTTCGACTTCTGGAGCCTGGACAGCCTTTGAAATGGCAAAAGCCGCTTGGCGCGAAGAGATTCGATAATGCGGATCTCATCCTTGATCCCAGCGTGGACTACCGCTACATCACGATTATCCGCCGCGAGATCTGGGCACCGTATCGCAGCCATGCGATATCCTCGGCCTCTCGTGCTGTGGCAACATCCACGAAAGTAGCACCTTGTAGCAGCAAGAGACGCAGCAAGAAGGGCATTGCAGTCAAGCGCTCTATTGGCACGCGCAGCAATCGTACAAGACATGTTCGCAGCAGCAAACAGCCAGCACAAGTGGATCCAGCGGTTCGGAATCTTCTGGCAGACGAAGCGACTTGTACCTCTGATACGGAAACGATTCGACCTCCTGTCAACAATCCTAAGAGCCGCTCTGTGCGAAAACGCAAATCTTACGCTGTACCCGCAGACGACGATCAAGCAAGTAGCGAGACGAGTGACGACCAAGTGCCCAGTGAAGTCAGTCATATTGCCAAAGAAGATGCCGCCTACAGTGGCGCTGAGCGTAACAGCCTTTGGCAACGACCTCGTTCGAGACTCACAACGCCGACGATGTTGATTGGACACAAGCGCCGTCGACCTGAAGATCGGACGGATGTCAGTCTGGACCAGCGTCCTCCATCACCGCGTGGCCAAAGTTGTGAGCCTTGGGGCACGCTTGCGACACCCGAGAGTCTGGTGATAAGTCGCTTAGCGAGTACAGAGTGTGACGAAGAAGAGAGAAATGCGTTGATCAATGCATTTCTAGAGGACAAGATACCCGAGTGAGAATTTGGAAGCACTTTTGCAGCAGAAGGAAGACTTCATGATGGCCAGGAATACTTTCGATCTGGAACCGAGCTACGACTTGAAAGTATGAGCTTTGCCAGACAACTCAGCGAATCAGGAAACATTTCCGACTGTCTAAGAGATCCTCCAATCTCTCGTCGAGACGTGCGCAAAGAGCCGGAGTCACAAAAAATGGCGATCAAATCTCCTCATCTTCTTCGACCCGCCATATTCGAAGAATAGTCTGCGAACCTCCAGAGCTCTACATAAGTACGTCTTCATCTTCATCTTCATAGTCTTCAAAAGCTGGTACGGCAGGATACACGTGTGCTACGCCTGGATCGCGACGAATCTTCAACAATAGCTCTTGATCCAGAACTGCCGATACAGCGTACCCTCGATGATCTCCACCCGCTCGATGAGGCTGGCCATAAAGTTCTCGGCCGATATATGCGAAATGCTGCTCCATACTGTGGCCGGGTCTAAATTTGATAAGGAATGAGCCGGGAACTGTTTCTTCTTCGGGTTCTAGGGGTGCCAGCCATAAGTCAGTCTTCGAGTCATTGGGCTTGTCTGCGGCCGTCTCTGTAGTGATGGTCGCTGTTGGCGTGTCTTCTGATTTGTCTTGTGACAGTCCGCTAGCCTTGCATGACGGCGAAGACTCGTTGTCTGCTGCGTGGGCGGGCATTCGGAGTTCCCGTACATTCATGATGTACCTCACCTTTCTGGCTGCCGCCAGTCGCAGTAGCGATTGCAGTTGAGGTCTTTCAATGCGCTCTAAGCAGAATGATCTACAGCAAAGTCGCTCAAGCGACAACATGCATAGCTTGAAGTGCGCATGACTCAAAAGGAATTTACCGTCATCCTGCAGGTGCTGTGCCGCAGCGCTTAGACTCAGCGGAACTTTAAGCGCCAGCGCTACACCAACCGGTGTATTCTATCCTCTCGTTGTGTTCATTACAGGCAGCCGTGCAGTTCGTTACTTTCAACGACCGTCGTAACGGCCGCATACAAGGCACTTGAACAACCTAGCGATATGTAGGACTCGGAGTGGTATTGGAGCTTCAATGATAGGCAGTGCTGTCCTAATATGAAGATTCGTCATCTGTTTCGCGTAACATCCCAGAAACTACTCACTTGCGGTGAACATCAGGCAGCGTTACAGGTAGACCTTGGGCGGTGAAGCCAACTCTGATATGGGCTTCTCCTTGTTCCAGAACAGCTCTCTTTTTGTGAACTCCGCTGCGCCCATTGCACCCGCAAAGACCGGGTTCACCTTGTCTTTGACCCAGTCCGGCTGTTCCTCGTCTGCCAGAAAAGCCTTGAGCACGCCTTTGCTCAACTGTTGCATTTGGGTGTCGTTGCTTCGATCGCCGTACATTACGACTCTTGTAGGCTTCCAAACATGTCGGAGCAATGGCGTGCTCAATAAGTGTCGCACTTGCTCCCAATAGAAAGACTCGTCAGGATTCTGTTGCCGCATATTCTCCCCAAGCTCATAGTCGGCGTATGGATATGGTGTGACACTATAGGCCAGAGCAGTCGGTGAGGTTAGGATGACTTCAAGAGCATCGGTGTAATAGCCAACCATGTAGTCTTGCTCCCTGCCAAGCCGATCTCGACGCCCTGGTCCGAGACAATATTCTGATGAGACGTTGTATGGATGGCACAGTCCAAGATTGTGTGCAGCCATGATAGAGTTCTCTGGATACAGCAATGGCTCACCATAGTAGGAATATGCGATGATTTGTGTATATTCCAGACCCACCAGCGAAAAAGCTTTTCGAACAACATCGGCGACTGGACTGCCATAATGAGATCCTTCATCTGGGCCCGACATACTCAGAGCAGCCTCAGGAATACGATGTCCAAGAATTGTCTCGGTGGTGCTAATTTGGGATCGCAGCATGTCGGCAACAGTTGTGCTTTCGGTCGACGTTCTCCAAGGTCTTCTTCGCAGCGAATCGGGCTCGAAACAAATTCTGTACATAAGCTTCTTCCACTCGTCGTTGCCGACTACCTAAGCGAGGGCGATATTTGAGCCGTTTAGATAGGATATAGCAGAAGTCCTAGTAAGGGTTAATCCGTTATTAACGCAACGTTCCTTTGTCCCTACGCGTAGCTATAGATTTTAATTACTAGATAATTAAAGTAACTCGGCTATAATTATAGTTTAATTAGTATAATTAGTAATTAAGTCTACTATTATAACGTATCTATTCTCTTTATAACGACTATAAAAAGAAATATACGATTTATATCTATAGCTATATAGAGATA